AAAAAATTTACAGCGGAATGAGAATCAGGAAAAATGCAAATTTCTTCTTTCTATTTGTACGTTCAGTATTATGAGAAACGGAAAAAAAGAATTCTGTAGAAATTAGAAAAATTCAAAAAAATATTTTAAGAGCGACAGAAGTTTTGAAGAAACTGCTGACAAGTCTTATGGAAAAAAATTATTTCACTTTTTATGGTAGATTGATCGAAAATAATGATGATTATCCATGGGGCGCACATTACAGCTCAAAAAACTGATTATTATGGCTGATTTTTCCGCGATCTCTTACTTGAGTTTTCTCTCAGATTTTCTCATTTTCCGCTCAAAATTAACAAGATACATCAATAAACTCTGAGAAAGTTTCAGTTCATTTTTTTAAATATTTTTTATTCGCCATAACATGATTTGTTAAGTTCAAACAGAAAAATCCGAGAAATTCTTCAAGGGAGACGGAAAAAACTTAAACAAATCGTCTCTGATTCAATTTTTTTTGAAGCTAACATTTTGTGATTTTTTTTGGTCACAATTTTCAGTACTAATCCAAGAAACATGATTTTTTGATTTCTCAAATTTTATTATGGATCTTCCTTCAAAGAAATGAAAACTGGAAGTATGACAAGCATGATCAAAAATCTGACAAAAAGCTAAACGAAAAAATCTGAAAATCTGAAAAATATCACTCTGATCGATTTTTCTGAAGTTCCTTCTCACATTTCGTTTTTTTTGGACAAAACTTTTTCTCAAACTTCTGTTTGGAATTTCCTTCTGAGGAAAGAAAAATGAAAAGTATGACAAAAAGTCAGGAAAAACGAGTCGAAAAACGCTATGTAGGTACATACAGCAGCAGACGAACACACACACTCACACACAACTGTAACTTGAGCCCCGGGGAGCCTTCTTGTCACCGCAATGTCGAATTCCCTTTCTTCCGCTCACCAACTTGTTGACGGCAACTAACCAACGACTTATATACCTTTTTACTTGAAATTGAGGAGCAAGCAAACAAGTTGCCCCAACAGCTCTTTGGTGCTGTTCATTTTTTCCCCCGAGCCTATTTTTAAAGTTTTTTTTTTGAAGGGTGCCTCAAAAAAGCCTCAGTCAGTCTTTTTGGGTTAAGTTTTCGAGAAAATCGTAGAATCATCAAAAATCCTCGAATATTCAGATTTGTAGAAATGAATATCTTCTCAGACCAAGGAAACATATCAGTGGAGGAAAAAAGAGCCGCCATTTTTTAGGCTTTTACGCTCCATGGAAAAAATATCGCAGAACCATTTTGAAAAAGTTTTTTTTTTCGCGAAGTTCGCGTTTTGTCCTTGGAGCGCAGAATGTCCGGAACTGGCGGCGATTTTTTCTCAGTGTCTTTTTGAAGCTTAACGGAACATTCTCGTGGAAATGCAGCAATCTCGGACATTGGTCACGCGAATCGGACGTGTCTGGGCGTTTCTAGTGACCACTTTAGTAGCCTCACAACTCTTAAATGATCCCTAGAATCGGCCAGAAACGTCCGTTTCGCTTTATCAATGTTCGAGATTGCTACATTTCCACGAGAATGTTCCGTTGAGCTTGAAAAAGGATCGAAAAACAACTGAGAAAAAATAGCCACCAGTTTCCGACATTCTGCGCTCCAGCGACAAAATGTGAAATTTCGCGAAAATTCTAGCTTTTTTTGCTCTGATTTCCGTGTTTTTGTATAAAAATGTTCATCCTCAATAAAATGGAAAAATAAAAAAATTGGCTTTAAAATTGTCGATTTTGTAAAATTTTTTATCTCTGCCATCAAGCGACCCATTTCATTAATGAAAAAGATGGGAAAAAAAAGGAAAAAGATCCAAAAATCACTGAGATCAGAAGATCAAAAGATCAATCAATCGCCCATTAGAAAAAAACGTGCTGGGACATTTTTTTCGAAGAGATTTCAAGCAAGAAACTTTTTTCGGCATGCTGGATTCTCTAATTATGTTACTATAGTGATGGGATTGCTAAAAAGGTTCTTTTGAAATCGTTAGAATAATTCCAAGAAGAAGAAGAGAAGAGCACTGAAGTGGAAGGAAGAGGCTAAAATGTGTATAGTTTGGTCAATTGTCCGCTGAAAAATGTCCACTTTCTGCACTCTACATTGTCACAAAACGAGTGGAACGCGAAAAATCAACGGAACAACTAATTGTTTTCCAAACACGTGCCCACAAAAAAGGCTGGGGGAAAAACCGTCGTTCGGGCAACAAAAAGCGGAGAAAAGTTTGTCAAAAGTATCGAATTCAGGTCGTTTTTTTCCTCTCTCTCTTTCCACTCCAACAAAATGGAAGCTTTTGAACCAAGGACGTGTGCGTTGTTGACACCGTCGCTCTAGTATAATTCTCCACTCGCCGTCCTTTTTTTTTCTTCCCTTCTTCCTTTTTTTCCCCGCTTTTTGCAGAGCATTTTGAGGGGTTTCTTGGAGAAAAAGGCTCGAAAGTGAGAAGAAAAAGCCCTGATCTCACGATACACCTTAGAAAATGGTTCATCAATTAAAAGTTTTTGAAAAATCGAACCTGATTTATTTTTCTTTGCAGAGCTAGGCGCTTTTTGAGAGGATTTTGTGGGAAAAGAAAGCCTAGACGTGGCAGCAAACTATAAGCATTTTTGTATAAACAACCTACCATGGAATTTAGAGTAGACTACACGAAATTTCTTGACCTTCAAAAAATCCTTAAAAATACACATTTTTGGAGTAGATATGGTGAGGAAAGTACAAGAAGAAGAGAAATGCTATCTGTACCCCTGAAATTTGCGCAGAACTAAAAAAAATTATGAAAATAGGGGTGAAAACCCTCAAATGAGTCTTGAAAAGATATCTTATCCATGGAGCGCACTTTTCTTGGTTTAATGACCAGCTATGGTCAAATGAGAACACTGCTAAAGAAATGTCAAAAAAAAAATTCACTCAGATCACGGATTTTAACCTCATACCTTTTTCTGAAACACATTGTCAATAGAGCGAACTTCTATGCTAAAAAAATTTTTCCGAAAGTTTCCCTGCCTTCAATAAAGCCAAAGCAAAAATATTATTGTTATTACTGAAAAAAAACAAACTTTGGTCTTTTTATCAACAAAAAGTGTTTGTCGTCTGGGTTCTCCGACCTTTTCACGTGGGAAAATCTATCGATTTCTTCAGTTTTGTTGGCGGCAGCCTCACAACAAAAATCGACTCATTTTGTTCATTTTTATTGTTTTCCTCACTAATCTCTATTTTCTTTTGTTTCTTGCGTTTTTCATTGTCAGCTGATATGCATATATTTGCACATGTTTTCAATTTGAAAGCCAAACTTTCACTCAACAAATTTTTTTTTTAATTCGAAAATAATTGATATGAAATCCTATTTGAATCATTATTAGTAAAAAAAAATTCGTATATTTTTCAAATTGACCCCCTCCCCCAAGGTTTATTGAAAAAAAATGTAGAAATTCATGGAAAACTATTGGTTTTTTTGACTTTGTAGCCATCAGAAACTCAATTATTGAATTTTGTACAAGGAGAGGACTAAAAAATGTGAATAGAAAGGCCGAAAAATCACCTAAACTGTTCTCTCCTTTTTTTATTCTCCATAATTATTAGAAATTAACTTATTCTTCATTTAAATTGATGAAACCAAGCAACTTGCAAAAAAAATTTTTTTGTCGAAGAGGGATAGAACTCGGATACTAGAAATCCCATTTCAAGGCCATCACCACTACACCACGTAACCAGTTGTCATCTCCTTCTCCTAGGCGCGTATTAGCCCTTTCACCTGTCCCAGAACCTTGATAATCTCGCATGAAATATATTTTTGCTTTTCCTTCGATCAGAATGAAAAAAATCTCCACAGTTAATTCAAGAAGATTGAGACTTTTTTTCTGAAGAAAAAAATTCCAAGTTATAACCTATTCCCGAGCGTTTGAAGTTTATTTCGAAAAAAATTTTTAAAAAAAGGAAAGAAAAATAGATCAAAAAAAGCGATTCGATTTCGAAATTTTTTTGAAATTTTTTTCCTGCTCCGCTGAAAATCTCAAATTTCCACTTTTTCTCTTTTTTTCGTCCTTTTTGTTTTTATAAACCGGTTCATGAATTCTTTCCGATTTATTCCGATTCTTCGTAGATTCATTCATACATTTTATTAAAAAAATAAATAGAAAAAAATCTTCTTTTTTTGAAATTAATTCTATTTCAAGGACCCTGATCTTTCGTAAAACAATTCCTTCACAAAAATTTCAGTCAGATAAGAGTTCAAAAAAAGGGGGAAAAAAACTTTGATTGAAGCTAGAAAGTTTATCAGTTCGTAGCCTAGTCGTTGTCCGAAACGAGGGTATTATATTGCCCTTTGCCTTATTTTCGCCGCTTTTCAAATATTTTAGATTGTTGGAGGATTTAAAGGATACTAAATTCTGCTTTCTTTCTTCTTTTCTGAATGCTTTTTCCTATACAACTTCAAGAAACTAACAAAATTTTGTTGGTTTCCAAGCCAAATTAAGCAGAAAAAAACTTCTGTTTTTTTTTTTTTTTAATTGAGAAATTTCCTATGACGTTTTTTTAATGAATACTTGTACATAAAATACCGTGGAACACTAAAAATTGAGCTAATTTCATTTAAATCTTACAACGTTCTTCTCCCGTTAGGATTTTAAAAATCGTTGAAACTCTTTTTTTGTCGCTTTTTTTCAGGGAAACTGTTTTTCTTTTTGAACTTTTCCCTCAATTCGAAATTTAGTTGATAAGCAGTATGTTTTATAGTCTAGTCACCGAATCTTCCTTTTTTTTCGAAACTATTAGTAAAACAAAAATCTTTGTTCAAAAGTTTTTTTAAAGGCGCATAGACGGATCACAAAAAGGATTCGAAACGAAGAGCCGTTTTCAGTGTAATTTAAGATCTTTCCGAAATTTTAAAAACCGCAGCAAGACATTCTGAACAGAACATTACGCTTACGCTAAAAACTGTTTTTATTTTTTTAAATCGCTTTTCGAAAAAGGTTCAATTTTCAGGCCGAAAATGTCTGTACTTTGGTTGGCATTGGCTTTATTGGTTCTGATCCTGTTCCTACTGTACAACTTTTCCACAACAATGAATTATTACATGCGGATATCATTTTTCTACGCAACTATCTTCGCTCACGGAATGGAATGCACCGTCACGTTATTTCCTTCTTGGCTCAAACAAGGGGTCAGTTTATTTTACCTTTTATAAGTCAGGGTCAATAATTTTTAGCCTATTTATAAATTTTTTTTAAGCTCGAAATTGTAGTTGATATGATCAGAAAAACTTCTAACATAATTGAAAAAAATTTATCACAAGTGCGCTCTAACAAGATATATTGTTTTTAACCAGAGTCTTTTTAATTAGAAAATAAATAAAAAGAACTTAAAAAAATATTCGTCATTTTACCAGGTAAACTTCAAAAAAAAGTGCGAAATATTTTTCGAATGAATGAAAATAAACGTTTCACGTGGAGCGTACTTGCCCTAATTTTTTTTCCCACAAAAAAGTTAAGAAAATTTTATTTTCCTCGTCGCGTGGAAGTCATTTTGTTTCACAATCGGACTATTTTTAAACAGGAAAAACTAGAAAAAATCTCCAATTTGTCGATTTTTGGCTGTTAATTTATGTTTTATGAAGATTATGAAGATTCCAAATGCTGAAAAATAAAAGGTTTTGAAAAAAATAAAATGGATGGAAACCTATTGAAAACTTTGATTATGAAGTAAATTGTTAGGAGAGTAAGGAAAATTGCAAAGCTCTGCAAGTTTGTTCTGAAAGATGATGTATAGTGAAAACATTTTTAGTGGCTACTATAGGGTTTTGACGTTTTAGTGGTCACTATAGTAGTCAAATTAGTGACCACTTAAGGGGATATAAAGTAGTGGCCACTGTAGAGGTCTAAACGTTACTACTAGACCTTAAAAACTTTAGTGGCCACTTTAGGAATCAATGGATCATCATAACCAGTCCAATCTATTTGTTTTGGTGTTGGTTAGATATACGAAATTAAGTTACCGGAATCAAAATTTCAGATAATTTGGTTCAAAAATCCTTACTAGACTGTTTTGAGGCTCAAAGCTCACAGATAACCTCGAAAATAGCTCTTATTCAAAAAAGGCTTTATTGAACGTTTGAAAAGGTCGTCTTCTCAAGACCATTCGTTAATTTGGTCCATGCTTCTTTCTAACAAAATTATTTCTACAGTGGACGAGAGATTTTGGGGGAAAAAAAGCTCGTCTCTCATGTTTTTTGACCTCCACTGTACAGCTCAGCGACGTTTTTTTCTTCCCGCGAAAGAGCCAATGAAAGATGAATGAGCATCATCCAGGAGGTTCGGAAAAATGAGAAAATTTTCGAGGAAAAAAAAAGAGCTGTGCATAAGAAAGGTCACGCGAACTCCTTGTTGTCCATCGCCATGCATAAGAAGGAGAAGAAGAAGAATTTCTTCTCTTTTTAGAAAAAAAAGGACTTCTCATGAATAATTCGAGGCCGTGCTGACATGCGACAAATGAGCGGCTCGAATGGAGGAAAAATGAAGCCAGAAGAAAAAAAAAAGGGTGTACCAATTTGCCCTTTTTGGGTGGTCCTTTGTGGACAAAAAAAATGAGAAAATTGAACGAGTGGGTCTTTTTTTGCAAGTTTTGACTTTTTTTCGAAAAATTTTTTCTGGTTTTTTTCGATTTAAAAACACAGTGAATGAGTCTCTTGGAAAACTATCTTTTTTTATAATTAAAAAAATTTAAACGTTTGCCATTTTTGTTTTTTTGATCGGTTTGGATGGTCTCTTTTTCATTTTTGAATAATAATTGGACGTTAAAAAAATATTCAAAATGAAATGAGAAAAAAACTGAAAAAAACCAAGAGATTTTTTTATGGTTTTTTTGAATTTTTTTCGGAAGAATTTTTGTGAAATGACTACAGAAAATACAGTAAAAAAAGACTAGATACCAAATTTCAGAATTATTTATTTTTCTATTTTTCCACTGAATTTATCCGAAAATAGAGCTAAAAAAACGTCAATTTTTTTCGAAAAAAACGGGAAAAAAATATTTTTTTGCTTTTTTTAAAATTCGCTGAGCATCAACCATAGTAATGATTTCATTTCAAACTTTCATTTTTTGATTGTTAGTATTTTTCTTCTAGGATTATCCAGCGGTTTTTGGAGTATATTTGAAATTTCGACCTTAAAAAAATTTTTTTAGAATCAATCTTCTTTTTTTATCCAAAAAAATATCCTTCAAGGATGATTTTTCAATCAGATTCAGTTCTATTCTAGTGAAATTCTAGGTTCGAGAAATGATTTTGAGATTAAAAAGAGGTTATTTCACATTCAACGAGCAAAACGGGATTTTTTAAAAGGAAAAATTGCTCGTTTTGAAAAGATTCTTTGGTAACGTTCCTAGTGAAGAGTGTCCTTTTTTCGAAACTGAAAATCTCTTCCAAAAATACTCTTTTCAATCAGATACGGTTGCGGTAGTTTTGGGGGAGAGAGGAGGAGAAGACGAATGGGAAAACGAGTCATTCCGAGTTTTTAGAGCCTTTTCTCGGGCGGTGATTTATGCCCGTGTTTATGGGTCTGCCCACTTGGCAGATTGCGTGTTTCCCAAACATTTTTTCGAACCAAAACAACGTGCTTTGTTTTTTTTTGTCCTACTTGCGGTTGTTAACAAGAGAGTCTTTTGCTGTTGAGAAAGTAATGGGGATTGAGAAAATGACCGGGAGTTTTCGGAAAAATAATAAAAGTTAACAAGTTGATTCAGTCAAGAGAGAAGTCATGATCATGGAATAAAAGAAGATTTGAACGTCAGTTTGCGGAGTCGCGTTTAAAAAGAATGATACGCAGCTGATCTTGTTCTTTTTCGGTAGGAAATTGAGCGACCCGACGATCACTGCTTCTCCACCAAAAAAAAAACAGTAAAACAAAATTTTTTAATAGCTCGGATATGGTGAAGCTGATACGCAATGGAATTTTCAGAAAAGTATGAAAATTTAGCTTTTATAAAGACAATACTTGGAGTCTCCTGAAGCTAAAAATTTGTCAGACCATTTCAAAAAAAAGTTCGAAATAAGGTAATGATATGCTAAAGAAGATGAAAAATCTAACATCACTACTAAATTTCGCTTTTTTCCCCAATGTTCTGAGAAAAAAAAAATTAGAATTTTATTCAGATCTACCGATTTCTTTTTTTCGTTTTTTCTTCTCAAAACTCAGATTGACGTGATCTCAAAGGCCTAGATACCGATATTTTTCCCATTTTTTTGTCTTTTTAAAGGGAAATCGGGGGGAACCATGTTAAAAAAATTTAGAAATCTCAAATTAGATTAAAATTCAAAAAAATTTTTTTCTCAAAAATGAAATGCAAATTGTAAAAAGTTTGTTCAGCATAAAAGCTCAAAATTCAATTTCCTTGGGAAAAAAAGGAAGTAGTGGAAAAAAATTTTTTTCTCTGATTTTTTTATAATTTTCTTTTTACTTTTTTTGCTATTGGCTGAAAGTTTTTTTAATTAAAAAAACATTTTTTTAGGAACTTCCAGATAGAAAAAAATTCGGTTCTACGGTAGGTTTCTAGCATTTTGAAAAGTTTTTAGTGGCCATTTCAGAGTTTCAAAGTTTGAGTGGCCCCTGTAGTAGTCGCTTTAGTGACCACTTAAACGGATTAGCTTTGATGACGTCATTAGAAGTCTAAGTTGTACTACTATATCAATAAAAAACTGCTATAGTGGTCACTAAGAGGCAAAATAGAAGCTTCTTTAAATGTGGTTCGAGTGGCCACTTGAGTTTCCTTTCCTAGAGGAGCCTCTTAAGCGATCACTTGGAATTTACCTACAATTATTTTTTTCAGGGCGCCGACCTGGTCTTCCACAAGTTCTACTATTGGTGCTTTTGGACTGGGGTTCATGTGGAAGTCCGGGACCAAAGTCTGATGGACAAGGTCCAAGGACCTGCCGTCGTCATCGCTAATCATCAGGTGATTTTATCAGGAAGTAAAAAAAGAAGAAGCTAAGATTGGACATTTTTTCTTCTTTAATTGCTCGAAAAACCAAGGCTTCTCATTAGGAGCTTTGAAAGTGATTTTCTCCAGTTCATGATGCTGTATTAAACGGGAAATCGGTTGGAAAAAAAAAATTGAAAGTGGGACAAAATAAATCGATATTGTTGAAAATGAAAAAGGCACTAATATACTGATCCGAAAGCTATCGATAAAGTTGAAATTTTTTTTAATTTTAAAAGACTAGTAAGAATTCAAAAAACATCCGTGTTTTATTAATTCGCAATAGTGCAAAAAAAAAAGGCGGTCACATTTTGGAAACGCCCGTATTTTATAGCAATCTCCGAAAGAGACTCGAAAATTATAATGCAAATTCAAAGATTTATTTCAATATTTGCTGAAACAGGATTTTACTCAAATATATCGTTATTAAAAATTCAATCATTAGGGGGTTTATTTAAGACACTTTAGCTTTAAACGACTTGAAATTACACCGCATGCGGCTCTTCCCCTCAAGAACTTTGAAAAAATTGCCTATGCGCTTTTGAAACTATCAGAAGGGATTTTGGAACTATGTCCAAGGAGAGATCCTTGACGCAGGGAAAAAAAAATATTACTTTCTTGTAGTTCATCTCAAAATGACATATAGTTTGAAATTCCTTCAAAAATGACTCAAAATAACACTGGGAGAGGTTCTTCTCCTCAAGAATTTTTAGAAAAATTGCCTATGCGGCTTTAAATGCCTCGAAAGAGATTTTCGTATTTTGCGCTAGAAGAGTCTTAACGCAGGAAAAAAAAATTCCAAAATGGCTCATATGAAATGACTCGAAATAACAATGAAAGAAACTCTTCTTCTCAAGACCTTTTTGAAAAACTGCCTCTGCGCCTTTAAAACTATCAGAAGAGATTTGCGAACTATGCCCTAGGAGAGGTCTTGACCGATGGAGAACGAGTGGAAAAACATCGTTAAGCCTTAAACTTTGCGGGCCTCGATAAATCAGCGGCCCTCCGTCGGCGAGAGCAATTTGTTTTCGGCCCAAGCTTTTGCGGCTTTTCCCGCCTCAAAACCGCAGACGCAGCTGCCGCCGCCCGATTTACGACCTCTTGATTTATTGAATAAATATGTAACTTTTTTTTTCGTTTGCTTCTAGTTATCTTGGATCAAAGGGGTGTTGGTAGAACACTTATGTCGAAGTTTTGAAATTTTGGTTGATCTGAAAATTAAGATATTTCTGAAGAGGATTTACAAAAATAAAATAAAAAAAACAGCTTTTTTCAATCAAAATTCGAAAGTATTGCTGGAAATTTTGTCAAAAAATTCGTAAAACTTACCGTAACTCAAAATTTTCTACAGTAACCCAATATGGTATGTACTGTAAAAGTTCCGGAAATTGGATTACCTATCGATTGATATATTACTTGCCTAGTAAAGACTGTGCAATACTTAGATACGCAGGTGCCTACCGTAACCCGGTAAGAGGAAATGGCTCAAAAATGTGCTTCCGCATTTCTGATGATGGTTTATCACACTGGGAGAAGTTTTATCAAAATCTGAACATATTATTTTTTTATGTATCTTTTTTGCAAATTACAGAGACAGCGTATTAGAAGGAAAAAAACAAGAAGGAAAAATTTTTTTGAAAATCTTTTTTTATTTGAGATTTGAAGCTTAAAGTGAAACTATAGAAAACAGAAAAAAAAAGCTAAAACTGCCAAGAAAACCTTTTTTTTGAAAAATGATCTTTGAGAAATGTTTTCAAGAAAAAGTACATGGGGTCGAGGAATTGGAGCATGAATATTCTCATGTTTCAAGTGTATTTTCGTGCATTTTTGATTCTCTTATGAAAAATGGTCTTTGAGCGTCTTCAGCAACCTTGAAACTTGGAAAATGTTTCGAAAAGGGGGGATCTAACCTTTTTTAAAGCGGGAAAGTCAGTTAAGAGCTTTTCTTTTCTACAAAACCCTTCTTGGGAGCTCCCGAGTGGTCCCTATGGGGGCAAAGTAGGGGGCCTCGGAAAGTCCTCTCTAGGGAGCCAACCCCTACAGGGGTCAGAAGTTTGCAAAAGCGGTCCCTATAGGGGACATGCTAAACTGATCAACGTAGAAGCATTTCCATGGGAAAAATTGAATAAATAAGCGTTTTTAATGGAATTGACCGACCCCTATAGGGTCCACTTGAACTTTGAGGGACTTGGGGTCAGAATTTGAACCCCTATAGGGACCTCCTTAATTCTACCCCTATAGGAATGACTTTTTCGGCCTCTATAGGGTTTTGTCCCCCTAACCCCTATAGGGACTACTCTGGAATTCCTAAGTAGCTGCTTTGTTCCTTATTTTGTATAGCTTTAATAAAAAACTAATATTCACCCGATTCAATCGGCCGAAATCCACATCTACTTTCATTCCTATTTATACCAAAAGACGAGGCGAAGCGAATAAAATCGAGAAGAAATATTGTACAACGGCCGTTTCGTCAACTTTTACGACCATAATTACCTCGTCGCGGTGACGACTCTTTTTCCAACACGAAAAATCTCTTTTTTTTCCGATTTTATGTGGTGAGGGAGACACAAAAAGTCTGAAAAGTTGTGAATTTTCACACTAACTTCTACCTACCCCTTCAACAGACTAGCATGACAAAAATGAAGGGAAATAATTAGTCTGGATAGCCATTTTTTCAAGCTAGATAAGCCCTATAGAATTGGAAAATGCTCCATTTTTGAACCAGGACGCCAAAAAATGATTTTTTAGAGACACCCACGAGAAGCTGGAATGTGGAAAATTGAAAAAACTACTTTCTCGAAAAAAAAAAAATGAAAAAATTAGAAAATTCAAACATTTTTTGCACCGGGACTTGGCCAAGCAAAAATATCTCGGACGAAAATATTTCTTTTTATTTGAATTCAAAAAATTTTTTCATGGCCCATCTTTGAGCTAGAATTTTGAGTCGGCTTGAAAATCCCCATAGGGATAGATTTTTGAGAAAAGGTTCTCTGGAACTTCCAGCCTTTTCAGTTAGAAGGAATCGAATGAAGTCCATAAATGTCTTTTTTATTTCTTTTTTGAATCTTCGTTTGGAAATTGCGCACAAGGAGCGTGAAAAAAAAGTTAAAAGCGTTTGAAAACTTTAGAAAAATCAGTTTTTTTATCGAAATGACTTTTGAAGGTGATCAGTAGCAAAAAGAATTTTTTTTGGAATTGATATGATTTTCCGAAAATTCAGGACTTGAACTAATTAATAACCGTTCGTGGCAATTCAATAAAAATCAAAATTACACATTTCTTTTTTTAGCAAACTTAATAAAAAAAAAATGGCACTACGGTAAGACACGCCAAAATGCGGACTTTTACATACCGTACTCTTCAGAAAAGGAGCACCCTTGTCGTATAAGCAATGGAATTTGAATGTGCTTAATTTTCAGAGCGCAATCGACGTGATCGTCATGTCGTCGGTTTGGCCCCACCGTGGGGTCGTGATGATGAAAAAGGCTCTGATGTACGTGCCGTTCTTCAACATTGCCAGTTATTGGGTAATTTTCGGTTTTATTTTTGAAATCAGTATTGAAATAACCTATGAATGAACCGGATTTGGTCCAGATGTTTTTTTCAAAAAAAGTATATTTTTAGGGTGCTATAATTACCGTTTTTCCATTCTGATTTTTTTGAAAATTGTCCTTAAATCTTGTGAAATTATAGATATGGGTGTTTGAAGTTTGAAAAAAATTTGACCGATCTTAATTTTTTTTTTTTTCACAGACTTCTTTGGCGTTTTTGTAGCCCAATTGGGAACTATCACATTTTCGAAACTCCAGATTGTTTTGGTGCCATTTTCAGAAGATTTTCAGGCACCTAGACTTCTGAAAAAGCAAAACAAAGTCCAAAATCAGATAAATATTTGTCCTCTTCTTCATATTTTTCCAATCGCCAAACTTTCCCACGACGATTAGAATGGGAAAAATAATCGGTGTACGATTTCGTAAGATGTCTGGCAAACAGTCGCTGTCAATCTCTTTTCCTTGTTTGAATTTGAATTCGGCCTGCTTTTTTTCTTTTTTCTCCGAGGGGTCAATGTTATTTTGCGGAGAGAGATCAACATGTTTTCATGGAGAATGGAGATCAGAGTTTGGTTTTTGAATGAGATCGAGAAAATTTAGGAAAAAATCGAGTTGGAATGGGATTTTTTTCAAAAAAATAAAGAAGCCGGAAAAATCCTAATAAAAAAATTTGTAGATTTGTTTTTAACTTTAGGTGGAAGATTGACAATTACTGGAAATTTTTTTAAAAAAATTTCTGAAAAAAAGAAAAAAATTAGCGGTGAAGTTCTAACCTTACTTGAATTTTTTTATTTTTTTATTTTTTTCCTTTTTATAATATTTTTTTCTAGCTTCAAACTCAGGGATTTTTTTGAGAGTTCTCAGCTTTCGATCAAAAACCAAGCATAGGCTTCGTCATCGGGGGAAAAATTTAAAAAAATGATTTTTTTTGATTTATCAGAGAACTGTTCCAGCTCTATAGAGAACTTTATTTCTTTGAAATCAAAAATTTTTCCAGTTTTTCCTCTCAAATTTCCGAGAAATTTGAACTTTTTGAATAGTTATAGGAGTTTCATGAAAAAAAAATTAAGATGAAAGTGGGATTTTTACCATCTCAGGATCAGCCGTTGAATGAATCAAACTTTAATTTGGAGCTAAAAGGAAACAGGAAAGTAATCTTCAAAACTTTCAGGCGAACACGATATTCATCGACCGGTTCAACCGGGAGCGCGCCATGCATTCCGTCGATTACTGCGTCGAACAGCTCAAAATCAGCGGATTCAAGGTGAAATTCATCCGAATGACCTGTCTGCGCTCTCTTTTCTCTCACCGGCGAGGTGATGGAAGAGCAAGTGAACTGGAGAGGGTCGCTAAGGGCCAGAGAAAATGTCTCGTTTCTCTGCAACTCTCTCGTTTTTCCGGTCTCTAATCTGTTTTGCTATTTTTCTCTGCACCCTCCTCATCTCTCGGTGTCCCTCTCGTGTTGACTTGCTATTTCCGGCGAGGAAATACAGAGACGCAGACAGTTGAAGAGGATCGGGAGGAAAACGGGCGGTCTCTTTGCGGCCTAGCCGGCGAGAGAAAAGAGAGCGCAGAAAAATCAGATCGTTTCGAGACCTAACGAATGAATTATTCCGAACTTCTCGAATTTTGAATTTCAGCTTTGGGTCTTCCCGGAAGGCACTCGAAATCGCGACGGCGGAATGATTCCCTTCAAAAAAGGCGCCTTCAATATCGCTGTCAGGGTAGGGAATCCCCTTTGTCTACAAAATTCGGCCGCATTTGGAATGGCTTGTGATTCCAAATGCCAACTCGCGAAAGTCGCTCCAAGTCGGACGCAATCTTAAGCCATTCCAAGATCAAAAGAATGTTAGGAAATAGAGGATACTAAAGCCAGAAAAAATGCAATAAAGTCCGTTCTCAGCAGTTTTTTAAGAGTTTAAAGGCGCAGCATGCGCAAATATTATTCTTCTAGTCGATACTTTTCTCAATAATTTTCCTATGATCCTTCAAAAAAAATGACGTTTTTTTTTCTGTTAAACCACAACACTGTTTCAATTCGCGTTCTTGTGTTGGCCAACCCATTTTTGTTCAATGGGAGATTTTCTTGAACCATGTTGTAAATTTCGGTCGGTTTTCAAAGCTTTTTGAAATTTGCATCGTTTTTTTTTTGGTTCAAAATTTTTTGGGTCTCTAAAATGTGTAGAAATATTGACTTTGGTTCATTTTTAAGCTTCAAAAATCAAAAATTGTCGACCCAAAAAATGAGATTTTCTGTTTTTTTACGGTAAATTCCTGTTCAATTTTTGAATTTGACCTCAAATTCAAATATGTTATGTATGAAGAAGTGTTAAATAAGGTTTGAGAGAATTTTTTTTTTGTTCAAAATAAAAAAATGAGGGGAGAACAAAGAACATTTTTTGACAATTTAATGAACAATTTTTATTATTAATTTAAATGGTAATCATTCGAAAAGTTAAAAATTATAATCGAACCTTTCAGACTTTCCAGAACGCTACAAAAGTTAAATAACAAAAAAAAATTTTTTCTTGAATGAAATACAAAAAAATCAAAAAGTCACATTGCCGTTTCAAATTTCATTTTTAATCCGATAAAAAAACTTTACTCTCAGTTCCGATAAGTCGAAATCTTTAATAGTTCCAATTAGTCATTTAAGAAAATTTACTGTTGAAAAAAATATTCCAAGAAATTAGAGGATTTACCAAGAGAAATTTCAGGCCCAAATCCCAATAATTCCCATCGTGATTTCCGATTACCGGCCATTTTATTCGAAAAATGGGAAATATTTCCGGACGGATGGAGAAGTGATCGCCCAGGTGCTGCCGCCCATTGATACTACTGGGGTGAGTTAACGGAATAATCAATATTTTTGAGGAACACAGAGATTTTTGGTAAAAAAAATTCCTATCGTAGATAGTGAACGACCTCTTGAATATTTAGAACCAAGTTTTGTTAGGCTCCGCCCACTTTCAGTCTTACTGTGGAAAAAACACCGTAAGAGCCCAATTTTTTTTCTAGTGCACAAAATTGGTCCAAACCAACTTTAAAACAAGATATGTTCTTACAACACCCTAATGCGTCGAATAAAAAATAAAAATCTAAACGTTCCGGGGTACTAGTTATGGCTTAAAAACCACGAAAATCGTCATTTTCAAATACTTCATTTTTTCTTCTTCTGAGAGACGAAGTGTTACTGGTCAGTTCTAATATGAGAAATTTTAATATACTACCTTGTTTTAAAATGGTTTCAACCAATTTTCCCCTTCAGGATTTGCTTTTACGGTATTATTACAACAGTAAGCCTGAAGGTGGGCGGAGCCTAAAAACCTGGTTCTAGATATTTAAGAGGTTGTTCACTATCTATGATAGCAAGAAGAGTTCTTAAATTTCCATGGGTAGATAAACTTTAAAAAAATAGGAGAAATTAAAATATAACTTGTTCAAATTATTTTTGAAAAAGGTAAAGATTTTTTTGTTTCAATGATAACTTTTACAAACTTCCTTCCTTCTTAGAAATTTTAGTGGGGTATTTGTCCAAAAAAATTCAAAAAAAACCTATTATTCCCAATTTTGAAACATTTCTACAACCACCTGGCTCGAGACAAAAAGCCTGAATCTCCAATTAGAAAAAAAAAATCGATAATTGAGAAAAACTGACTTCCAGCTGTCCCTCGACGACGTCGCCGACCTGATCGAGAAAACTCGGTCGAAAATGTTGGCCGTCTATGACGTCATCAGTCCCGAAGTCAAGCACCTCATCGAATCCAAACGAAAAGACAAGTCCGAGTGACTTGTTACCCATATTTGTATAGATTTTGGAACCTTTATATATTTTTCTGTTGATGCCTTTCATTGTGATCATTACGGGCCAATAAAACTTTTATTTTTCGAAAAAAAACTTTTTTAGTGGGAAGGGGGCTAATTTTTAATCTTTTTATCCATAATGGGCGATTCAAGAAATTCTTGACGCTTTTCTTGAAATCTACAGAGTGTTCCATATAGGGGCAATCTTAGGGACCACTTTACCAATCCCTACAGGGGCCACTAAAGCTTTCAAAAGTGGTCCTTTTAGGGGAAATTTTTTTCCCTCTATGCGAAGGCATTTCTATACAGAAAACTAAATAAATAACAGTTTTTTGAAAAAAAAAAGAAAGACCCCTATAGGGACCCCTTGAGCATTTGTTGCTAAGGGGTCAGACCCTGAGCCCCTATAGGGACCACTTTTTGGCCTTTACAGGGGTTGTTTTTCCTCTAACCCCTATAGGGACCACTCTGAATTTCTAAGAAAGTGTCAGACCCTTAACCCCTATAGGGACACCTTGAGCTTCAGGGGCTTACGTGTCAGACCCTTAAGCTCTATAGGGACCACTTCTTTGGCCCTTCTAGGTGATTTTTTTCCTTTCTAACCCCTATAGGTATCACTCTAAAATTCCTAAATTCGTCTCGAAGCCCTTTTAAAATTTTTCTACGCGCCTTTGACATATCGAGCACTCAAGTGTAATTTTTTTGCAGGTTACTTCAAAAAAGAGATGTTTCATAAATTTCTTTGAAAAGTAAGATTTCTCTTCACAGATCGATATTTATTCCATAAAAAAATTTTTCTTGGTATCCTTTTTGAAAGAAGTTATAGTTTCGGACGCTCTTTAAACTCCGACAGTAACTTGAAAATCAAATTTTTTTCAGTTGCCGCATCTGTTTTTTTCTATAGTGAAATCAGATTTCGGAATAAATTTTTCCAAAAATTTGATAAAAAAATTTGACATTCCATTAATAATAGTTTTTATGAAAAACTGAGAATGATTTTTTTAAAAAAAGCTACCATTTCTCTAAAGTTCTAATTCTTTTCACACAAATATCATTTTGAAAAATGACACACAAAAATCATCGAAATTCCGCTAATTGGTATCAATTTTATTACATTACAGGAAAGTGCGAAAATTCATCAAAATTTAAAAAAAGGAGAGAAGCATAAAAAGGCACGGAGTACATAAAACAGGAAGAAAGAAGAATTATGTAAAACAAGGCAAGTGTTTCAAAATTAATTCCGGATGCAAACGTATAATTCAAACATCAAGATCAATAGGAAATAGCGACTCGAAATTGGAGGATTTCAAGAAAAATGTCGCCTTTTTTGGTTTTGGCTTGTTTAGGATAAGGTTAAACAATGAGGGAATATTCAAATCAATGTTTGGTGTCAAATTTTGGACATGAAGAAAAAGAATTACGTAAGTTTTTGAATAGCACGAGAGAAACGGAAAAAACGGAGGGACCGGTGGAAGTTGTGAAGGGTTTTTCTAGAGGATGGTGCACCGACGCTTGGGGGCGCCTTCGGAACGCGTCGAGCGGAGAGTTTCCGTCTTCTTCTTGTCGACCACGACGGGTGTTTCTACAACTTCAACGGCAACCACGGCCGGCTGCTCCACGTATGGGCTGGCCTGCAAAAAATGAAAATACCACTTCAAACCTTTTCAACAAGGCCAAATATTACGAGAAAAACATTTGTCTCTCAGAAAATCGGAATATATAAAGAAAAAAAATACAATTAAACAGTTTTTTTAAAATTAACCCACCCCCTTCGTTTTGGCTTCGAAGTAAAGGATAGTTCTTCAAAATTCGAGATTTTTTTCGAGCCGTCTATTTATATCATCAAACCTTCGGAAATAAAAAAAGAAAATCTGTGATGTTTATGAAAGAAACATTTTTTTCCTTGGTTTATAATCCATAAAAAGAGGAAAAACCTCACAAAAAAACTGCAAAATGAGTTGATCTTCCGCGACAGTGATCTACGGGTCAAAGAAAGGCGCCAAATTTTCCCCCCTTTTTTAGCCCTTCTCTATTGTCATCTTTTTCTTTCCTCGCCATATTTTTTTCTATTCCTTTCAAGTTCATTGTTCTTTCTAATTAGTTACCTTTTTTTATTTGTTTTCGTTTATCTATTTTATTCATTTGTATCTCGTCTTTGTTAAATTAATTTCTTATTCAAACGAGTAGCACTCCTTTATCCTATTAAGTACGCGTTAATAACTTCTCGTTGTTTTTACAAAACGTGTTGGTTTAATTACCCAAGTTTGAGGTTTCTCAACGTGGGATCAACCTCAACCCTTGCCCAGTTGTGAGCCGCCCGTTTTTCGTACTCAATTGTTGGAAGTTAGTAAAGAGTGGTATTTGAAAAAGAAATCGTGTTCGTGTTATATAAAAAAACCGCGTAATTACGCTTTAGAATTACAAGTCCTCGAACACTTAAGTGTTCACTAAGCGAGAGTCGTCGAGGGGCAAGGTCTCAGACCCAGCCAGCGTTGCTTCGTCGTGTCTCTCTGTCGAAGCTGCTCAGACGACTGCGGAAAAACCGTGTTGTGGCTCTTGCCCGCCGGTTCACCTTCTTTCTCCTGCAGCAGCCCAGCTAGGAAGAGTGTTGTGGCTCAGCCCGCCTCTCTCCACTGGATACAAACCGGACGTGAACTTTCCAAAAACTTACTGAGAAAGCCCTGAAGGGGAAAAACCTCTCGGAGGCGTAGAAATCTCTTTAAAGTTAGTTAAGGGAATACTCGTTTGGCGTTCTTTGATTACTGAGATTAGTAAAGTAGTGTTTATAATTACGTAAACCATCTTCGCTAAATCTACTTGGGGGCCGAACCAACCAAATTCGAACACCAGGCTCTCGAAAATCCGGAGTAAGAAAAACAACCGAATAATAAGAGTACGGAGTAAAAGAAAACGAGGCATAAAAGCTACAACAAAACCAAGGAAAACTTCTACGGAAAAATCACACAGCCTGAATTACAGGATGTCAAGAACAACGTCACCGGCACCCAGAGACGAGCCCATGGAACAAGAAGAACCATTACTGGCGGTCTTGGAGGAGGTGGAATCACTCACGGAAGATCTTACTCTCTCTGGCGACACAGAGAATGCCGAGAAAGCTCGAAAAGCGCATCAGCGGTTGATAAAGACGGTAAGTTCTTACCGAACCAATGCACAACGCTGGGTAATTTTGGATCGACTAATCAGTGAACATGGGGGCATTGATAATGAAATAAAGCATGCCGCAGAAAAAATCCAAACCAAAATCACAGCGCGTCAGGCGGAGGCGCTGGCAGCACCTTGCCTAGAGCATTGGAAAAAAGTAACACAAGAATGGAATAGAGTAACCTCGGCCCAAATCCCACCAAACCCAAAAGGTCTCCCGTATGCGCAAGCGAACCTGCTTCACAGCCTGCGAAAAATGGGGATCGTTGATGAAGACGATCTCAAGCAGTTCTTGAGGCGAGAGGCGGATAAAATCTCCAGCATGACTTCTGAAAATAAAAACCTATGTCGTCAGGTCGAGCAAAAGGAAGAAGAGCGGAAACAGATGCTGAAGGAACGACGAGCGATGGAGGAGAACTTCGTGCGAGATAAGAACTCTATGGAGGTGCTGATCGCCAGCAGAGAAGAGCAAATCAGGAAGCTGAAGGAGCAAAAGGGTATGGGAACACCAATCTGGTCTAAATCCAATGGTGACTCCTTACAGCAACGCGAAACTCTGGAGGTGGAACCCAAGCAGGCGCCAGTCGACTGTACAAAGACGGGTACGCCTACTCCCGAAGGTCGGTTTCGTTTTAATTCTGAGAGATCCCGGGGGGGAGTAGAGAGGGAGCCCACACCACCCCCAATTCGACAACAAAGGAGAAGCGGTTCCCCGAATCCGAGTGAGGCCGGAGCATCTACAACATCGAGCTTCTGCATGGAAAAAATGTGGAGATCATGGGCAATCCCAGATCCAGAGCCATTTGAAGTAGAGAAACACGACTTCAAAGCGTTTTTCCGGCTTTTTATGGCCAAATATGAAGATCTTTTTGACGACGAAGACACCCTAGCGGATCTTCTAAGGGACAAATTCATGAAAGGCTCAGCCAAGACTATGTTTGCGGCGGCCTGGCGTGAAAGCTACGGAGTCTTCGAGGAAGCCATTACGATTTTCCGAAACAAAATCAAGGTAAGCAAGACCAGCCAAGCGAATAAGTCTCAAATGGAGTTTTCCCAACTTCGGAAAAGACCGGACCAGTCAATTGAAACTTTCTGCAAGGTCGTTGAAAGGTTGTCGGAAATGGCCTACCCAATGAGCAGCGAAATTCTGTCAGCTCTTCGCACAAATAAGCTGATGGAAGCAACAGAAGACTGGCCTGAGCACAGCATGCTGGTGATGGAGAGAGCAAGATGCGACCAAGGAGAGGAGTATGACAAGCTCAGAGACTTCGCCATTCGCATCGAGACTGAAAGTTACGCCAGGAAGAAAAGGAAGGAACATCAGCGGCCGAGCTTCAAGTCCAGCTGGAGACAGCAAGACGACGAAGAACGACCAAAGAAGAAGCTGGAAGAAGCTCGAGAGAGCAGGCGCGAAGAGGCTAAGGACAGACCAAAGGCCGGCAAGTGGTCTGAGAAGAGATCAGACAAGAAGTCAGAATCGAGGAACACTAAATGTTCCTACTGCGGCTTCGGGAACCATACTTTCGAGAACTGCTGGAAAAAAAGGCAAAATCCTGAACTGCACCAAATCCAGCATAAAGAGGAAAAAGACGTCGACGGCGTGGGGCCAAGCCTGACGGAAAAAGCTAAGATTGGAAGTTGGTCAGGGACACTGCTGATTGACTCGGGAGCCATGGTGAGCGTGATTTCCACGGCCATTCTGGAAGAAGCTCGCGCAAAACTAGGCGAGCCGAACCAATTCATTGTCGAAGAGCAGCTCCCAACCAACAACTTCGGCATCCAACTGGCGGATGGAGGCAATCTCAAGGTGAAAGAAAGAGTCCGCCTGCTGATCACCGTGAAGGACCGCCAAGCACCAGTGCTGTTTCAAGTAATTGAAACAGAGAAAAAAGTCTGGATACTCGGAACCAACGGTTTTGGCGCCTTGGGAGTGAGTCTCGCCTGGAGGGAAGACGCGGCGACAGCCAAGGAGAGCATCAGGGTTCAAGCGCATTCCTGTGCAAAGCTTAAGGTTTCTGAACCTCCAACGGCAGCGGCGACGCTGTTCCAAAGCACCCACCAAGCAATACCAGAGAGTATTGTGGCGGCGGGACAACAGGAAACACAGCTTCTCATCCAGAATAACAGCAGCGAAATGCTAACGATCAAGAAGAACTCTGTCATCGGGACCTGGGAAAATTGGACCTCGATGGAAAAAGAGGAAGAAAAAGAGAAGGTCGAAGCAAACGAGGACTGCAGTCCGAACGGCCAAAACGAAAACGTCCAAAAGCCGGCCGTACTGGCGATTGGACAAGAAAGCCGTGAAGAGCGAGATCGGAAAATACAGTTATTACAGCTGATTGACGAAAATGGGAAAATTCAATACCCGTCGATCAGGAAGCTAGTGGAAGAGTTCAACGACGTCTTCGCCATCAAAGAGACAGAACTAGGCCAAACGGACCTAGTTCGACACGAAATCGACACTGGAGAACACCAGCCGATTCGCCAAAGAGCTCGACCAGTACCTTTGGCCCTCAGGGGTCAAGTTCAGGACATCCTGGACGATTTGCTGCAAAAAGAAGTGATTAAAGAAAGCACATCACCTTGGTCATCACCTGTCGTGTTGGTACGGAAGAAGGACGGCACAATCAGGTTATGCGTCGATTTCAGAAAACTGAATGAAGTAACGAAAGCAAATGCTTTTCCTCTACCCAACATCGAAGCCACACTACAATCCTTGAGTGGATCGAGCATTTTTTCGAGTCTAGACCTGATAAGTGGCTACTATCAAGTAAAGCTGGACGAAAAAACTGCCGAGAAATCAGCATTCGCGACGATGGACAAACTCTACGAGTTTTCAGTCCTACCTTTTGGACTATCAACAAGTCCTGCGGTCTTTCAATCGCTCATGGAGCAAGTTTTGGGCGATTTGATTGGAAAAGGGGTTTTTATCTACATCGACGACCTACTAATCGCAAGTCAAAACTTGGACCACCACGAACAAGCACTCAGAGAAGTGTTCAAGAAGTTCAGAAAAGCGGGCCTAAAGTTCAAAGCGTCAAAATGCTCCCTCGCACAGGGACAAGTGAGATACCTGGGTCACCTGTTAACCAAAGAAGGCGTCCAAACAGATGCGGAGAAGGTGGAAAAGGTAAAAGACTTCCAAAGACCTGAAAATAGGCTGCAACTCCAGTCCTTCCTGGGACTGGCAGGCTATTACAGGAAATTCATTTATGGATATTCCAAAATTGCAGCCCCGTTATTTATGCTCACCTCACAGAAATGCCGTTGGGAATGGGGTCCGGCGCAAGAAAAATCTTTCACGGATTTGAAAAAAAGGCTTTGTGAAGCACCAGTGCTGGGTCAACCGAACATGGAAGCGGCCATGTCGGGAGAAAGACCTTTCACGATCTTTTCTGATGCTAGTTATGATGGTCTAGGAGCCGTTCTAGCTCAGAAGATGGACGATGGAGAAATGCATCCGATCTCATTCGCTTCCAAGTCACTGTCGGCAGCAGAAAAGAACTACCATGTCACGGATTTAGAAGCGCTAGGCGTCGTATTTGCGACCAGAAGATTCAGAAATTTCATTTACGGAACGAGGACGAAGGTCTACACTGACCACCAACCTCTCGTAGCCTTGCTGAAATCAAAACAGGTAGCGCCGAGGGTCCTCAGATGGTCGTTGGAGCTCCAAGAATACAATCTGGAAATAATCTACATAAAAGGAGCAGCCAATAAAGTGGCAGATTGCTTATCCAGAGGAGGGGCGACAGTACTCGACGAAGACCTCGAAGGCGAAACCCTCGTGGAATACTCAACCATCGTGAGTTCAGCAGAAGTACAATTTTCAAATGAAGCAGAACTCAAGAAAAGCCAAGAAGAAAAAACTGAACAACCAGTTAAGACGACTTGGGCCGACTGCCTCAGCCAAGAAGAAGAATCCTGGAGGATTTTACGGGATAAACTGAAAGAAAAACAACATGCGAAGATAAAATTGGAAGGTGGAAAACAAAACTTCTGGACAGGCGACTTTTTCGAAACACAGGGAGAAATTTTTTTCACAAACCAGGAAGGAAAGCTGCAGAAGGTGGTTCCACTAGCTTTGCGGAAGAAGCTGTTCGAAGAAGCTCACTCGGGTCCACTGGCAGGACACTGGGCGCCTCAAAAAGTACAGGAAAAGCTGAAAGAAAACTATTTCTGGCCATCGATGTGGAAAAACGTCAACAAATGGTCGAGAGAATGCGTAAAGTGCCTTCTCTTCAATGATGCTCCGCAACTTACAGCACCCCTGAACCCCTACATAACCAGTGAACCACTAGAAATAGTTGCACTAGATCTTATCGACATGGGGAGAGCGACTTCTGGGAATCGATACATCCTCACGATTATCGACCTCTTCACGAAATTCGCTGCAGCTTATCCGATCCAGAACAAGACTGGAGAAGCCGTGGCAACTACGCTCACAGAGAACTGGCTCCTTCGGGAAGGAAGGATACCAAAGACGATACTGACAGACCAAGGAAATGAGTTCAGAAATGAGCTTATGGAAACGGTCACAAAAATGATGGGAAGTAACCACGTCCAGACCAAAGGCTATAACAGCCGAGAAAATGGATGCGTGGAAAGATTCAACCGAACGTTGGAAAGTATCCTGAAAAAGAAAATGGTTATTACCACGGATTGGGACAAGCTGGTGCCGGCGGCGGTATTTGCCTACAACAGTACCAAACATGGCACGACAGGGGAATCCCCTTATTTCCTAATGTACGGAAGAGATCCTCGAATTCCAAGCGAAATCGAGGACAAATTCAAACCAAAATGGGTTCAAAACGACCTAGACTCGTACAAGTACACCTTGATGGAAGTACTACATCAAGCTCATGAAGAAGCCAGGGCGAACCTCCTCAAGGAAGGAACAGCCATGAAAAAACAGTTCGATAAAAAGAATAAAACTGAAGACAAAACGTTTCCGAAAGTAGGAGATCGAGTCCTACTGTGGGTACCTACCGAAGCAGCGAACTCGAAAAATCCGAAGCTCGTGAGCGGCTGGTCGGGACCATTTCGAGTAAAAGAGACGTCAGGAACTTCAGCTTTGATAACACCTCTACTAGGTAAAGAAGATCCGATGTCTGTACCATTCGACCACCTGAAGATCGTACCTAAAGAAATCGCGGAAGATGTCAAAATGAACACAAAAAGGAAAAGAAGGGGACGAAAACCGGTGGTGGTGGCTTCCTTATACCTAAACGGGGAAAAAAACGATCAAAAAATCAAAGGTTTTCAGTTTCCTCAGCATAACGTGGCCAATTGCAGGTGCCTAGCGGTTTTCGAAGCCGATTCCAAGACATTGGCGTGTGCCTGCACAACGAACCACCCCAGTCTCGCCGAACTAGCGCAACGTCAAAAAGCTAGAGAGCGATTTCCAGAATCCGGAGCGCTCAGAATGCTGGCGCAAGTCGCGGTGAAACCGGAGCTGATCCCGACCACAGAAGATCTATTGGCAGTGCAATCTCGCTCGACCTGCTTACAAACAGCACGAGAAATCTTGTTGCTGTTCGAAACCAGGACAAGTGGAGCCGAGCCGCAGCAACAAAAAGAAAAGAACGCGTTGGCAGCCGTGGAATCTCTGCGAAGAGACTGGTTAGAGCACTGGGAGCCTAAAAAAGTGCTCCTACACCATGCGAGGATTCTTCTCGTGCCAGAGAAACTTCAAGGTTTAATCCAACTCGAAGGATATAGCAGCTTTGGACAAAGAAGTTTTGAGAGCTTCGCGAAGTTCATTATGGGAGCGGACTTTTCCAAGGTCCTAGAGGTCTTGATAGTGTTGCCAATCAACGAGTTTTGGACATTAGAAAACGCGGAAATTTTCGCCAAAGGCTGCGAGAGCCTCCCCGCCGGCACGAAATACATCATCGTCCCGTTCCACGCGGAAACCGCAGCGATAAACTGCAGTGTGGCTACAAACACGATGGAGAATTGGGCAAACGCGAAAAGACTGAACGTAGTGTCGCCGAAACGATCGTTACCAGAAAATCCGGCCGTTCAGCTGTCGTTCTTCGAGAATTCGTCTCCCATTCCCTCGAAGAAAGTGCTAGCGACGTGGATGAAGGCGGTAGGGATGATATTCCCGTCCTTGCCGGCCTTCAGAGCAAGAATGGAAGAGGAATCGCCAGAAGGAGATCAAGAACGAGGAAGTTGGCACGGTCCTAAAAATCAAAGGGTTCATCAGTATCCTGGGAACAAGCGATCAGCCTATCGTACGAAACCTTACGAAGCAAAAGGTCCGGCATCTGACAGCAGGAGAGGGAAAGCGGCCCGGGGCGGGCCTCTCTAGGGCCGGGGGAAGTTGATCTTCCGCGACAGTGATCTACGGGTCAAAGAAAGGCGCCAAATTTTCCCCCTTTTTAGCCCTTCTCTATTGTCATCTTTTCTTCCTCGCCATATTTTTCTATTCCTTTCAAGTTCATTGTTCTTTCTAATTAGTTACCTTTTTATTTGTTTTCGTTTATCTATTTTATTCATTTGTATCTCGTCTTTGTTAAATTAATTTCTTATTCAAACGAGTAGCACTCCTTTATCCTATTAAGTACGCGTTAATAACTTCTCGTTGTTTTTACAAAACGTGTTGGTTTAATTACCCAAGTTTGAGGTTTCTCAACGTGGGATCAACCTCAACCCTTGCACAGTTGTGAGCCGCCCGTTTTCGTACTCAATTGTTGGAAGTTAGTAAAGAGTGGTATTTGAAAAGAAATCGTGTTCGTGTTATATAAAAAAACCGCGTAATTACGCTTTAGAATTGCAAGTCCTCGAACACTTAAGTGTTCACTAAGCGAGAGTCGTCGAGGGGCAAGGTCTCAGACCCAGCCAGCGTTGCTTCGTCGTGTCTCTCTGTCGAAGCTGCTCAGACGACTGCGGAAAACCGTGTTGTGGCTCTTGCCCGCCGGTTCACCTTCTTTCTCCTGCAGCAGCCCAGCTAGGAAGAGTGTTGTGGCTCAGCCCGCCTCTCTCCACTGGATACAAACCGGACGTGAACTTTCCAAAAACTTACTGAGAAAGCCCTGAAGGGGAAAAACCTCTCGGAGGCGTAGAAATCTCTTTAAAGTTAGTTAAGGGAATACTCGTTTGGCGTTCTTTGATTACTGAGATTAGTAAAGTAGTGTTTATAATTACGTAAACCATCTTCGCTAAATCTACTAAATATGAACTTTTTCTCTGATTCTCATCTGTGTTTTCTTGCAAAAAAAAAATCTAGCTAGTATAGTCATTTTATAAGCGCTGTTTGGGCGGAATTATAATACGAAATTATAAAATTTAGTAACAGGCCGCTTGCTGCATTTTCTGGAACAACGGGAGCTTGCTGCATTTTCTGGTTATCGTCCGAAGCCCACTATGTCGTAAGTTTCTTCCCTGCCTTCTCACTGATAGTTTTTTAAAGCAATTACACACCGCCCGAAGATTTTCCGGATGATTTTTTGGAGCCAATGGATGGTATATTGAGGTTTTTTCTCATATAATTTGGATGTTTCAGATTCCATTGTCGAACTTTCATACCTGAGTCTTGAAGAAGGTGGGTTACTAATTACAAGTTTTTAACATGTATCAAAAAATCACTTTAAGGGGAAATCCGCGACACGAGTATGAATTCCACACGATCTACAACTGAATTAAAAGAAAAATCGACTGATGGTAATCGAAAATTATAGAAAATTTAACGGATGCGGAAAATTATTATTATCTTTCAGAGAACCAAAACATCATCGGTGTTCACCTCGATGAGATTAATTCTTTTTCGGATCAGCCATATGATGAGGGCGAATTTTTTTCGGATGTTAGAAAAGTTCCCCTGAACGTTCTGCGCGGGATCCAGTGAGGAGAATTATTTTTTTCAATTTCACCTGCTTACAGGAAGCCCCCTGTTATTGCATATAAACTCTGATTTATACATTGATTTCCTTTTTTCTATATTTTCATTTTCCAATCTGTTTCGTTATACGGCTGTCATTCACCGATGAACCACCAGACGCTTATGGCATTTATTTCATTCATTCGCTACGGTTATTAATTTATTTTTGATACTTCGTAAATTTCGTATTTTTTTTTTCTCGTTTCATGATAAATATTTTCAAAGCTTGGAAACGAATAAATTTTTTGGTAGTATCTCCAAAACTATTCTAGCGGGTAAGAGGAGAATAAAATATGAATGGCATCAATTCGAATATGAGATTCTATTACCAGAAAAATTTTGAGAGAAAGTATTAGAAAAAAATTTGCTATACGCAAAATTTGAGAAATATTGACTTTCATGCGAGACGTCTGTGAAATATTAGTTTATCATACGCAAAAATCTGTGAAATATTGAATATGAAAATCAGATGAAATTATTAGAAAAAATTTGCCATACGCAGAATCTGTGAAATTATAGAGACCGCAAAAAAACTTAGAAAAAAATCCATTATATGAACCTCAAATGTGAATCAATCAACAAATTGAGCGAAAAAAATGTGCATATAAGATCGTCAAAATTTGTATTCAAGGAGAAAAAGAAGGTAGAAATATGAAAAACACACACTTGGATGGTAATAAAGAAAATGATTAAAATGAAACGCTCGCGATTTAGAAACGCTCGAACAGAACGATAAGCCAAAAACGCTCGTGATTTAGAAGCGTTCGCGAAGGAGCGAAAATGAAACCGCTTGTGATTTAGTAACGGTCGTGCCGCTCGTGCCCCACAACCGCTCGTGTTTTAGAACATGCCCAGCGATAAATAGAATAATACCGTGATAAACTCAATGATACGATTTTCTCTCTTTTTAGCTAGCTTTCGCAATTTCCGTTTACGTCTTAAAAGCCAATATTTTCATGAACTAATTGAAAACTGAAGCAGACACTCATAAATCTATATTTTACAAGTATTGGTCTTTTTTTTTCGCAGCAAACTGATTTTCTGATTAGATCATACATCGGCTGGATCAGACTTTTTGCGTGGAAAAAAATTTTTTTAATGTACTGAAATAGGCCGCATTTGTCGGTGGGGGAAGGGGGGGTTAGGCCGTACTCCGGGGTGGGATCCAGCCGACAGATGAATTGAATGACTGAAAGACGTTTTCAGCCAGCTCAAGACGTACTACTAAAAAAATAAAACGTACCGCCCGTTCCCGAAACCATTTCCTCGTAGGTGTTCTTCTCGTTGAACGGCCTTTTTCCCACGAGTTCTATCATGTCTTCGCGCGACAAAACTTCCTTCTCCAGTAGTCTCAGAGCCACCTAAGAAATTATTTATTGAAAAAGAAAGAACGACAAAAAAACCTTCTCAATCTCAGCCTGCTTTTCGAGCAACAGCTTGCGGGTTCGGTTCAAGGCGCTGCCAACCAAGTCTCGGACCTGGAGGTATCTTCTTTTTCATCCTGTTTGGATGGGAATATAAACCTCCTGGTCGATGAGTTGAGCTGTGGCCTCCGAATAAGGCTTGTCGAAGGTCATCTCGCCAGGTCCAGGCGTGTCGAACGACAACGGACCCACCTTCTCCGACATTCCGTACTTCACAATCTGCAAAAAAGGGCCTTGGAATATTTTTCGAAAGAACAATATAAGTCCAAGTTTTCAAACAGCTTCATTCTCATTGAAGACTAAAATCAAAGATGGAAAAAATCGCAAAAAATTAAATATTTCCTGAAAGACAGATTTTTTTAAAAAAAGAATTTTAAAAAGAAAATCTCTAATGGAACGATATAATTCAAGGAAAGATCAACTTCCTAATTACGTTCATTTTTTTCGCGCAAGAAACAATAAACGAAAACTTTTTAATAACACCCAAAGAAATAATATGTCACTTTCCTGCTTTAAAATCTACTTTCTAAAATTTTCTAAAATTTTCAAAAACTTTGATCTCTCAAAAAAGAGCCCTTCTATTCTCCAAATAAAAATTTCTAGGTGAATTTTTTTCCAAATCAGACTTTCTTGGATTGAAAAATCACCGACACTCGAACAGCTTATTTTTTCAACTTCAAAAAGTTTTCAAAGCCAGCTCTCAATGAAATTTAAAAGAATGCTTCCGAAAGTCTCGCTTCAAATGTCGAAGAGTTAATGCTTCCAATGCTCAACACTGACCATGCAGCCCAGAATGGAAGAATCCGAAACCGGTACTGAACTGAACAACTACCCGACAGACAATTGTCGTACCAAGAGGCACCTATGAAACAAGCTGAATGGGTGCCTCCCTGACTCAGCCGTCCATTCCGAGGAACAATGGGAGCAGTGCCGGCCGTCGTTCCAAGGCGTGGAGTATAAATACTCAGTTGAACCCCGTATCAGCATCTCACAGACAGCTCTCCTCCAGCTTCACAAAATGTTCCGTCGCTTGGCCGTATTCCTGCTCGTCGTCGCCAACTGCCTCTGTGTGTCGGATAGTTTCGACAAAAAGCTGAACGAGGCCCGCGAGAAAGGCACCATCACGTTCCCGCATTTCGTCATGCTCGACATGTACAAGACGGTCGAAGACATGAACTCCAAGGTCGACAAGATCCTCGCCTACACCAAGATCTGCGCCGGCGCTGACGCTCCCTCGATATTCGATATTCTCAGCGGCGGCAGCTCCAGTGGATTCGGACGAGTTCGCGGAGGAACCAGCCTCTCCAAGGAACAAAACGCCTTGCTCCTGTCTATCCTTCAAGGAGTAAGTCACCAAATTTGCCTGCTTTGATGAACAATTAGGTATCTTTGGATTTCAAAGCGTTCACTCTTTTGAACTTTAATGTACCTTCACATTAGTATGGATGAGGATTATAGAGGTAGTGCGGTTAATTTTCGTACCAGTATTTTCTTTTTCGAAGTTCGCTACAAAATCGTGACTTTTCAGGCTTCAAGCAACGGCTTCGGCTCAGCTTTCTCGACGCTGGTCGGCCAGCAAACCGCCCCCATCACCTTCAGCCTTGACAACGGATATCGCGTAAGATTTATCTTCTTTTTTGAGTTTGATTAGGAGGCAAAGTGCTTTTTATGAATAGCTGGGCAAACATATAAAAGATGCACTGCAACTTGAGAAGAATTTCAAATTTCTTTACTTCCAAAAACTGAAATGTGAGATTTCGACATTTTTTGAACACTCAGGACCTGCTCAAGTATTTATCAGTTGGCTTTGAGCCGAAGAAATTATTAGCTTACTTCTTGTTCTTTTCTAACTCTTTTTTTACGCTCAAAATTCCGCTCATCCTTGCGAGACCCTTTTTTGGCAAAACCCCCGATCCTTCGAACTTTTTGAAATGTTGGAATTGAGCAAAACTGCCTTGCAGACGCCGCTGTCGCCAATCACTCCGATCGGCCCGATCTCTCCCCCGACCTTCACCTACGTCGCCCAGCAGCCTCAGGTCGTCTCCACCGGATCCGCCGGCGGCAGTTACGTCCAGCCGCCGCAAGGATACGCTACCGCCCCCGGCGCGGGCAAGAAGTAGACCTTGCTTCATTTAAATTTTGATTTCACTTTGTATTCCAATTAATTTATTTTTAATTATTATTTATCTATTCTGTTGGCTGATTTTTGATCTGAATAAATTTCGTTCGTTTCAAAAAGGATTTTCGAGCAATAAAAAAATGGAATTCACCTGAGAATAGGCGATTTGAGTGACTTTCTGTAAATCGTCTTGCGCTCCTGTCGTGATTCGGCCGCCAAAGAACAGTTCTTCGGAAACTCTTCCACCAAGAGTCATACACATCCTGAGAAGGTAATTTTTCGAGTTTGGCATGAAATTTGGTTAGAAAGTAAAATTGGTGCGGAGAAGGTTCCGAAAAAAAAATCCTAACTCCGTTTCGTCATAAAAATCATGAATTTTTTCTTTTTGAAAAAAATCCTTCAACCCTTTCTCAGAAGCGCTTTTTCCTTCAAAATTTCTTCACTACAACTTTAGAAAATCAAATTTAACCATGGAATTCGAAAACATGATAAAAAAATATGGCGAAGAAAGAAATTTTTCGCTGTCAAAAAAACTGGGCTAATTAAAAATATTCTATTGATAAAATCGATCAATCAGTTTTTTTTATTAGAGAAAACTTCAAAAACGAGTTGGTCGATTAAAAAACTTCATGAATTTAAGCTTAAAAATGTCTTTCTATCCCATATTCAAATTCCGCGAGCTTGAAAACGTTAAAAACAAAACTTTAAAAAAAAAATCATCGAAAATCGCTCTTTAAGGGCTAATAACGCGAAATAAAGGCAAAAATAGGTAAAACTAGTCTATTCATTATACACAAATCAAGCGAAAACTGTCCCCTCACCTATCCAAGAGCTGTTCCTTGGAGTACAAGTACTGCTCTTTGGGCAGATATTGGGCGTATCCGAGGCCTTTTCCGCGCGGGATGATGGAGACCTTGAGCAAGGGGTCCGCGTACTGCAGGAACCAGCCGGCGATCGCATGGCCCGCCTCGTGGAAAGCTACAGTTTTCTTCTCTTCAGGTTGCAGGACCTGAGGATCAAAGTCCGAGGCCTTTTCCGGAAACCGGATGAACCTGAGTCTTCTTCTCCATTCCGGCGACAACGCGTTCGATGGCTTGTTCGAAGTGTTTGGCCCCAATTTCATCGTTTGCGTCTCTGGCCGCGATCAGAGCGGCTTCGTTGCAGACATTGGAAATGTCAGCTCCTAGAAAAACCTTGAAAATTAGGAAACACACTTTCTTCCACAAGTGTTCCCAAATAAGCTGAACAATCTTCAATTAATTTCAACATTTTGTCTCTGAATCTTCGCAAAAACTCCTACCCGAAAAGCCAGGAGTATGGGCGGCGAGTTTGCGCGAAAGTTCAATCTTGTCCAGGGAAGTTCTGAGCGGCTGTAGATGAACACGGAAAATCGAAGCTCGGCCCTGAGAAAATCAAACATGAAGGAATGTTGCTTTTCTTTTTAGAGGAGAAATTGTGAATGGAAGTTTCTAAACTATAACAAAACTTCTCGACTTTTAGCCAATTGCGGTGTCTACAAGGCCCTTTTTTTCGCCTCATTTTATTCATAGAAAAAAAGAGAACTTTTTTTGTGATCTAGGATCTGAGGACCTTAAAGAACATTTCTGAGAATTTTGATCAGATTCACAGCTGAAAAAAAGATATATTTATTATTTGAATGTAAAGGTTCTTATTATTTTTCAAAGATTTTTTTGGATCGGCTCTTCGAAGTCACCTTGATATCCGGCACAGGTACGTAGATTTGCCGATCGAAGCGGCCGGGACGGAGCAACGCGGAATCCAGGATATCGACGCGATTCGTCGCCGCGACAACGATCACAGAAGATTCGTCCGTCGAGAATCCTACAAATTTTTCTTTGAGTCATGGCTGAAAGACCTGTGGTTGAACCCCGAGAGGGACTTTTCATTGCAAAAACTAATTATACAATATAGACTATCTGCTAGTAAAAAGTTCTAAAAAAGTTAATTTTATTGCATTTCAAACAAAAAAAGGAAACGATTCGGAAACCGTGACTTCTCCAGGTACTTTTCGAAACGAACCGTCCATCTCAACGAGGAGCTGGTTGAGGGTGTTCTCCTGTTCGGAATGTCCGCCCATTCCGCCTTTTCCTCCTCTTTTCCTTCCGACGGCGTCGATCTCGTCGATGAAAAGGATACACGGCGAGTTTTTGCGCGCCATCGCAAACATATCGCGGACACGGGCGGGACCGACTCCGACGAACATCTGAAAAGCGATTTCGTTAATTTGAGACAGCTCAAAAAGATTAGAAAGTATAGCTGATTAATGGCTAGCTTGGGATGTTAAGGGGCGTGGCCTGCCTGCGCTCTCCGCAAAAAAGACAATGTCTCTTTTATTATCCTGTCAGGACCCTTTTCTCGATGGCTCAAGCTAGCCTTGAATCTACTAGAAGCTTTGGATACGGTAGAAAAACGCGAGAGAAGATTGGAACTTCACGATTGAATAAAAAGACTTTTTCTATGTATAAATGGATGATTATAGGAATAGAAAATCGCAGAAACCTCCAATTTAAAAAAAAGCTCAACCTGAAAATAAACCCTAAAACGACGCTTGAAAATTTAAAAATTTTGATTTTGTAATTCTAGCAAACGAAAAAAATCCGGGTTTTCCATTATTAATTTCGGAAAGCTTCCAAACGTAAGGAAAAATTACTGGCCTCATAATAACTTTTTTTAGAAAAAAATAAGTTACTCACCTCCAAGAATTCGGATCCAGAAACAGTGATGAAGGGTACGTGAGCTTCGCCAGCGGTCGCCTTGGCCAAAAGGGTTTTTCCTGTGCCGGGGGGTCCAGTCAGGATAGCTCCCTGAACAACTTGGGAGATTCGTGAAAAAAAAAATGAAAGGAAATCGTTTTAGCCCTTAGGAAAACATTTTACATTTTTTTTCTGGATTTTCTTATAAAACCTCTTCTGGTCATTAGAAAATATTTATGCATTCAAAAAGTTTCAAATGATGATTATTATTCCGGATTTTTCAGATTATCTAAAAATTTCAAGCTTTCCCTTCCTATTATCTACCAATAATTTCTCAATTATCCAACTTTTCCTTTTCAAAAACCAACTTTGGGAATTTTGGCGCCGAGGTCCTTGTATCGCTGCGGATTTTTCAAAAAGTTTACAAATTCCATGATCTCGATTTTCGCTTCTTCGCAACCGGCGACGTCGGCGAATTTGACCTGAACATTTTTGTGAAAATAATAAAGATCAGCTGGAACCTTGATATCTTCCTTATTGATGACCCTAGCCGTACTCTGACCGAACCCGCCGAACATTCCTCCGATTCCGCCGCCAGGACCTCCAGCCCGACCGGCGGCTCCTTTTTCAAGATTATTATGAAATTCAAAAAACACTGCAAACCTGCTCCACCGCCTCTCAGCATACGGTAGAGGTAAAATGCGAAAAGCAATGGAAACGCGATACTTATCAAGTTGGGAAGTTCCCGTTTTCTGAAAAAAAAAAACACTCTGGAATGTGTTGAACGAAATAAATTGAAAGCATCAGCAAAAACATACAAATCGAACTCGGATTTGTAGAGGACCGGGATTTGACGATCGGATTCATAAGCCAAATGATGCTGGGCCTGTGCCAAGCTCCTCTCGAAACTGTCCACACTGCCAATATTGAAGTAGCAGGTTTGCTGAAACATTAGTTTTTTTCATTTTTTTTGAGAAATATTACTGAAAAACTGAAATTTCTCGCAACTGAATGAGAAAAATTTTTGTTTTCTTTTAGGAAATAAATGCCCGGAACTAGATCTAAAACCACTTGACTTTTTTCGATTTGATAAGATTTTATGTAAGCTTTCAGAAACGAGAAAAAAAAATGGAACTTATCAAAAAATCGTTAATTCAAAAATAAGTATGATCAAGATTACAGGGCTTCTAGGATTTATAGGAAAGTTGAAAACAACGAAAGAATTTCACAGGAAAAAAGCAACTAAAAATAAATTCTGAAGCTTTCAAGTTCACAATGATAATGTATTAAATCGAAAAACATCGAAAAAAAGACTGAAAAGAAAAAAATTTTTCTTCTTCAACATTTACTTTTTTTCAAAAAGAAAAAGAAAAAAATATTTTTTTCTTCTGTATTTAACAAGCTGAGAAAACAAATCAGAAAACTTCAGTGCCAAAAAGAAAAGAAAGAACGAACCCCAGAATGTTTACCGGAAGAACTGATAATTCTGACCCAGCGTTTATCAACAACTTCGAGGCGTTCAACCTTAAAATTCGATCTTAGAAAAAGTTCTGAAGAAAAAACACACAATTCCAGGCTCTAAAAACTCGGAATAAAACTCCTTCCAAGAAATTTCACGATATGATTGGTAATCCATGAACAAATACAGGCCCAGTAAAACTGCAACGGAAAATGCGATCTGCTGCCATTGTCCAGGACTGAAAAAAACAGTTAATTTGAAAAAAATGCACTGATTAAATAGTAGCATAAAGGATATAATAAAAATATAATTTTTTTCAGACAAAAGATTCGAGAAACTCACAAATTATCGAGAGGCCCTTTACCGCCGCCGGTTCCACCACTACCGCCGATTTTGCTCCCATCGTCTTTCTTTTGAGTTCCTCCTTCTTTTTGCTCCTCTTAACAAACATAAAAATGAACATTTCTTTTCGAAATAAAACCTTTCTTGGTATCCGGCCGGAAGAACTTTTTCAACGCCTCAGGAGTGTTTGATGCAAATAAACTCAGAGTTTTCACAACCTTAAACAAAATAAAATAAGAAAAAGAGAGCAAACAACATGCCTGATCGATAAACCGCTCTTCAAATCGTTTATCTTTTCGTAATAAATTCAAAAGTTGAGTTTGTGTGAGTGCCGAGTATGCCTGAAACCTTTGTCTGTTATTTATTCAAAGTTTTAAGCTTGCACTTACATCTTTAGTCGAACTCAACGTTTGGAACGAGTAGTTCCGCGAGTTTTCGTTTTTCAAGCAGTTCTTCACAGTCTTTTCCAACAATGATCTACGACATAATCTCCACATACCTAAAACCAATCAAGTAACAGAGATAGAAAAATATAAGCGCGACCGGAAAACTTAAAAAAAATTAATGAAAAGAGATGATTTCAAAGAAGTTCGAAACTACTTCTAACTATTAAGACCGGCATCGAACACCAGAAAGTCGATTGTTTCGGAAAAAAAATCGTCGTAACTTCAAACGAAATGGAGACTTATGAAATCAAGAAAAGATGATAAATAATGATGAAACAAAGTGTTTGTTGTTTGCTATTTCATCAGACAGTATATCGAAGAAAAGAGAATTATTGCGAGTTCAGCCATTTCCAAGCACGAGACATCTTTCATTTAAGACTTTTCTGAAGGATTTTCAGAGCGAAACTTCGAAACTCGCATTATTTGCTGCAAAATCTCTTCGAACACACAAGGAATTCCTACAGGAAAAAAATTGCTCGTTGGGTTTTGCGCCGAGTACGCAAACCGAGGACTTGACGCACATTTTGAAAAATGGGCTAGTTTTTTTTTTTTTGCTCCATCCAAAGTGGGTTTCGGCAAACAAGAACAGCCAGAGAGTATAAAAGGTAACTAAGATATTAGACAGCTGGGAATGGTTTCTATATTGCAAAAAAATACATTTGAGCACGACGTTATCCTTTTTTGTTTTTTTTTTAATGAAAAGAAAAACTGAAAGAAAAATAAGTTGAGCACGAAAATGAGCACGTTGAGTGGATGGACCTCAAACTTTTCATTTCATATAAAAATGAGCTTTATGAAAGGGTTTCTCATAATTTTCGTGTGTACTTCCATTCTTGATTGCAAGCGATTGAGTCGAAAAGAAAACGATTACCTTCAAAGCGTTTGTGGCAAAATAAATAGTGCGCTGAAATCGAGAAATGTTCAAAGTTTTTTTGCTTTCATATTTTCAGCTGAGCCGGATCTTAAAAGAAAAATTTTAAACGGAGTATACGTTAAACCAGGAGAAGCTCCATGGGCGGTAGGTCTAAGGATCGATCACGAAGGTAAATATTGAGTGTGATAAAATTATTCAAATATAATAATGAGAGCAGAGGGTCCTGATGAATATTGTTCGGGGACTTTGATTTCTTCTCGCCACTTTCTAACCGCCCGTCATTGCATCGTGAAGAGATTCGACGTATCCAGATGTGAAAAAGGGTATGTTTTTTGGGAAGGAAAGGTTGTGGAGAATTACCAAGTTTGAAGTGAAAGATAGGAACTTTTCTTTTATATAAAAATAAAAAACTTCATTTTTACAGTATCTATCATTTGGATCCAGCGTTTTTCAAAGTGATCGAGGTCTTTATCGGAACTACGTGTCTTGGCAAAAAGCATTGTGAAAAGTACAACCAAAAATTGACCGGAGTTACTCGTCGGATTATTTCTGTGAGACTACGGTAGTTATTAGGGTGTTTAACAAAGGATTGAGGCCTACATGATCGAGTACTGTGAAGAGCCGTCAGCAAACAAGCTCCGAACGGATCTCGCCGTCGTTGAAGTCGACAAAGACGTCAAATTCGATTCTTCTATCTATCCCGTGTGCTTGGCTCCGCGTACGGTTATTGTAGACTTTAAAAAAATACATCGTTTTTTTTTTTGAAATCAAGCTTGTTCAAGGTGACCAGTCGTATTACGGTATTTTAGAAAGGTTTTTTTTTGGTTATGAACGGTACTTTGTGGAACAGACTGCTCTTTTTACCTTGGTAATTAGTTGTAAAAAATTGCAAGAAAATTTTTTTTAATTCCTTGGCTCCGGAACAAACAGCGCAATAATGACCGGTCGTCGGCTGCCTTAAAAATAAGAAAACAAAAATCGAATTTTTCGACAAAATCTTCGCTTTGATTTTGTGAAAGCTTTGTAGTATTGCAAAATTTTCAAAAAAGTGGTCAGGAACAGATTATTTGAAGAATATGGAAAGCCTCAAAGATAACACTCATAATGGGAGACTTTTCCTTCTTTTTTCAAAAAAATTTTTAAAAAAATCTTTATTGGTGTGTCCAATTTTTTTCTCTTTTTCCAGTTCAAACTGAGGAACTGAAGAAGATTAACGCTAAACTCCCTCGTGCCTTATTTGGATTCGGTCATGATCGTAATATTTTTCATTTTACTGTTCTGCGATATTGAATTTAACATTTCAGCGAGTATGGGAAGGTATTCGGAGGACCAGGACTTCACTCTCGGCGCCTTGAGAAGGGAGGACGTCTATCCTTCGGTTCTTTTTTCTTTTCCTTTCTGTTTTTCATTAAATTATTCCATTTCAGGTTTGCGAACCGTTGGACATAGACTACAGATTTATGCTGTGCACAACATCCATCAGTGGAAATGCGCTCGGTTGCGGGGTTATTTTGTATTTCGAGTCTAGTCAGACCTTGGTAGCGTGAATCGGACGTGTCAGAGCATTTCTAGTGAACACTTGAGAGTGTTGATTCTATTAAAGAGGTTACTAGTGCTCCGACAGGTCCAGCGCGTCCGGTTCGCGTCACCAAGATCCGATTACCCAAACAAGTGTTGAAACGCCAGAGTGGACCCTAGAGAGATTAGGGGAAAAATAGCCTCTTAAAAGGACAGAAAATTGCTTCCAAAAGAGGTTATCCTATGTTGAGATGTTTCGTTCAAAAAACGCTTCTTTATTGATTTTATCGCAATAATTTGCTTCTTCCCATATAATTCACAACAATAAATGACTAGTATGCTCCTCCCTAAAGTGATCCCTTTCACAAGCTGTATTATCCTTTTTGAGAGAAGGTCAAGAGGTTTTTAGAGGGGATCTTTTAAGTCCCCTAAGGTTGCCGCTCTAGGGACCACTCGGCCGTCCCTAAGCTGGTATCGCTTAGGGAAGTGGCCTTCCCGTGGATCTTTTCCTGGACGATTTTCGAGATATTCGTCTTCACTCAAGTGGCTTCAGCGCCTTTTTAGTGCTCACTTCTAAACACAGAATAGGAAAAAGTTTACCAATTCCTGAAAGGAGATAAAATTTTTCCTGTTCTGAAATGATCTTTTCCAGGGTGATAGCGGTTGTGGCGTGATTCAATACAAAAAGGACGAGCAGAATAATCCGCGCGTAACAGTCGAAGGTTATTTTTGTCATAACTTTTTTTTTTAAATTGGTAATCCAAGTTGGAAAGGAGAGAAGAAAAAAGGACATCCGATTAGTTGGAAGGATATTCAGAACAAAAACAGCTCAGGATTTCTAACAAGAGAAGCCATTTGCCGTGCTCGGGATTCCAGAACTTTTTAAAAATCGGCCAAAATAATTTCTATTTAGTGTATTTAAAAAAAATTAGACCTGCCAACCGGGCCCCCCGGGTCGTCCCGCATTAAAAATTTGAAGCATTATAAAATTAGAAAAAAGGAGGTATTTTGACACTGGGAACCACCTCGTCTCATCAGTTGCTCTAGAAAAAAAGAAAGTTCTCAGTATTTTTCTGCTTTCTAATTTAAAGTGTCAGGAAAAATTCAGGAGTCTTGGTGAAGGGAGTCGCGTGCCGCGCGAATCTGAAAGATGCCAGCGATTGGTCGACCCCCGTGGGCAACTTTTCTTCCCGCATCTGCCAAGCTTCCGGCGTCTGTATCCAGTTCGTTTTCTTTCCTTTTTTGTTCGGCTGAATACAAATTGATCTTTCATCAATTTTTTCTGCTCAAACAAAAAAGAATTGTTTGGAAGCTGATATTTCAAGTTATTCAAGAATAATTTAGTTCATGTAAAACTTTATTGGTAAGTCGGGCTTTGAAAACCACTTTTTTCGATAATTCCACATTATAGACTTAGATAAGAATTTTTAAATCAAAAAATTTCAGGGACTTCTCGAACGGCGACTTCGATTACGGTTAGTTTAGTTCGATATTTCGAGCGAGCTGAGGGAAACGTTGCTTTGGGGGCCTTCAAAATGAACTCATATATTTCTCTACGAAGCCTAAATCAAAGAAACGGTTCTCTCAATCTAAAACTATTCGATGTGTTCATTTTGAAGGCCCGCCGGTGGTTGAACTCGTTCAATCTGAGATCCCCTTGGTCGTCAAAAGCGGACTCGAAGATTCGCTAAGTAACGGTTCTTCCGAGGCTCCGCCGGGTCAGCTTTTCACGGCTGACGTTTCAAAACCAACCAGTTTCTCCATTTATTTGACTTCCTGATGAAATTTTCAATTCAGACGATCTCGAAGAGAAGTACGCCGAGTATTACAACGTCGCTAAAGAGAAGCTGTCGTACATTGTTCTTCTTATATTCTTTTTTCAAATAATTTTTCTTTAATTTCAATTTAATAAATTCAGTAAATTTTCAACAAGGGAAAAGAAAGTAATTTGAAATCCACATCTTTAATTAATTTTTATCGACAGTAGTATTTCACAAGATCAAATTCATGAATGACTTCCAAATGGAAAGTAAATGAGTGTCAAAAATCGAAGAAGAAAAGAAAATTATGGAAAAGGGTCGAAAATTCATATGAAAACAATGCAAATGGTAACATAGTAGTGAAACCCATACAGATATATTATTCTCGTTTTCAAATTATTATTTGCTTGGCCCTGGATTTGGTTTCTTCAAGGCAGGAGAAACGAGGAAGTCGTCTGGCGGAGGAGAGTATGCGGAGATTCCGAAGAACGCCGGGCGGTAGGCTTCCGCGGCGCCAATCTTTTGAACGTCCGAGACTTTGCCTTTCAGCCACAAAGTTGTATGCTGGAAAACACCGTCGAAGACATTTATGAAAAAAATGTCAGTCCATTTCTCATTTGCTTAAAAGGCCAATAATGGACTTACCCGCAAGCTGCGGAGTTTCGATTCAGCCAGACGTTTCTCATAGTCGATGAACGATATCTCGCGTTTGTTGCTTTTTCTCTGGAGAGCTCTCTCGGCTTCTCGTCTAGAAATCTGAAAAAAAAAACCATGCAATCCGATAGAAATGTTCTCGTCAGCGCGAAAACATCGGAAATATGGCTGTTTGATCTTCGAGAAAATAATTGAATGAATAACTCTCGTGACTTTCAAAAAATTTCTAATTTGTTTGCAAGTTTTTTTTTTACAATTCAATTATCCACTCACGCGCCTTTGTATCACTATCTCACGCCAAACCAAACAAACACAGATAATACAATTGAACATTCTCAATTCTATGACAAAGCGAAATAACGCGATTTTTTTCAGAAAAAAAAACGTACAATGATTGTCAATAGTTTTTCAGAACCATCAACTTCTTGAAAAACAGAAAAAAAGAAATTTAATATTAATTTTCTTGTGATGACTCAGGAACCGTTGATGTTTCATTTTCATTTTTTTAATTTGTAAAAAAATTGTCTGGTTGTAAAAAAATTGTCAGCAAGTTCCTTCACAATAAAAATAAAAAAATATCTCAGCAGGAGAGATGAAAAGAGCACTTTTTTAAAACTCAAAAAATCCTTATGAACTTTCAGGAAATCATAGAAAAACTGCGTTCAGACTTATTATAGCCGTGTACAAAGTTATTTGGCGAAATTTAAAATGGCCGTTAGACGAAGAAAAAGACAACTGAATTTTGGAGAGTTAGAGATAATTTCGCTTTTCACGGAAGTACTTCGACCACGGCATATAAGGTGAAAGATATCGAGTTGGATTCTCCAAAAAATTCAATGGGAAAGTCATTTTTCGAGTTTTGAACAGTCGTTTCACGGAAAACTTACACTCTTACTCTTTTCCATCTCCAATAATCCCAACTTCTTGAGTTTCGGGGCGGCAAGGGCCGGTTCAGCAAGTCTTTTCATTTTGCTCCAGAGCTCTTTTGGTATAGGCGCAGTTTTCTTGGCCACTGAAAACGAGTTTTGAAATAAAATAATCTGTGAAGAAAACCTCGTCTTTTTTCGTAAAATTCCGGAAACTGAGCTCTGATAGCGAGATGAATGGGCAACGGAGGAGCAGCCGACGGAGCCGCGGAAGATTTCGACGTTTCCTGAGATTTATATTTTCACGATCAGTTATCGTTATATGATAACCATTTCCGAATTCAGCATCTCCTTATTCGAAAAAGTCGATTTCGTAACAGAAATCGATTGTCTTCAAAAAAAAATTATCATTAAGAGAATAAATTGGAGAAAGAAACTTCGAACAAGGTTTCGCGTTGCTTTTCTCCGATGCTGAGCTGTTCATCTCGTTCTTAGAAGTAGAGCTGCCTTTCTAAAATTCAAGCTCTCCTGATGGAAAAATAGACAGAAATCCACCTGACGATTGCTCCTACTTTTCGTGTTCTCAGGTATTGACCTCAAAAAAAAAATAATAGAAATATTTAAAATTTTCTGACGAACCTCAAAGGTTCTTTATGAGTCACAGGCGGAGGTGGCTGCAACTCCTAAAAAGTGATTTTTTCTAAAATATTCCCAAAAAAGCCTTTTTACTCGGAAGTTTGATATTTTCTAAAAGGAGCACATTTTTGGTACTGAATGAAGAAGCTAAAAAATCAAGAAAAGTCCTGGTTGGACGTCTTGAATTCTCAGTAAAAAAGAGATGGTAAAAACTTGAGAATTTTTTCCTCGAAATTCAGAATTGTGTACAGATTGATACTATCAGGAGATCGTTCAACAGAGAGTTTTTCGGCATGAAAAATAAATAAAGTTCGGATTAAATAGTGGGAACATTTTGTACAGGAACACTCAGAAAAGAAAGGTATTTCTGTGCGAGAAGCGGGAAAAATGATAAGATCTTGCAATTTCTCCGTGTCGCTGCAAACAAAACAGATTCGATGGAAAATTCTGGGAGTATGGGAAAAAAACTGACAACCGGAGGAGGAGGAGGGGCGATTGCGAAAGGAAACGTAGAATTCCCGACATTTTCGTTGGAACGGACAGGATCATGTCGTGGAAACCGAGAACCGCTAAAATCAAGATTGGAATTCAAATATCAGGTCCAAATTCGGAAAACTGACGAGTTTCTGAAGGGTCGGTGAGTAGGCGTTGGGCAATAGTTTCCGAAATATGGTGGTCCTGCAAAAATAACTTTTTTTAAAGAAAGTCTTTGAAGTGAAACAAGTAATGAATGGAAAAACCGCAGACCGGGAGGCGGTGGATAATTAGGAGGGGGCGGTCCAAACGAGTTTTGATAATAAGGAGGCGGTATTGGCCAAAACGGCATATTCATCATAGGACTGCCGAAGTTCTAGGATTAAAAGTGGGAAAAATCAGACTTGAAAGGGAAAATTCTCTCAAATTCACTATATTGAAGAATTTCAAGTAACCTGAGACTTGCGGAACTGTTCAGCTAGGCGTTGCTCGTGTTCCTTCCACTCTTTGGGCTTAATCCATTGCGAGACCTCAAATCGCTAAATTTTTTATTTCAAAATAAAAAAAAGCTTAAGACATAAATGAAAAAGAAAACCCCAGTGTCATTGTTGTAGTAGTACTTTTTGTTGCCAGAGCTGATCTGTTCGGACCACGGGCCGAACTGTTTGAGTGGTGATCTTTCCTGTCGCATATGTGGCGGCGGCATTGATAAGTTCCATGGTGTGCAGAATCTTGGTGGTGGCGGTTGCCACATTTATTCCTATATTCCTTTTCTGAATTGATTCTGATAAGTCCTTTCCATGTGCGACCACTTCTATCAAGTCGATAAAGTATTGAATAAAAAGAGAGAATAACGGAAAGTATGGGGAACACTAATACAACCAATCTAATTTTCTAAAATTTTTAGCCAGAAATTGTGAAATTTACGACAAAAATAGATAATTCTCTACACAGTTTCAAAAAGCTTGCGATATTGGGTTAACAAAAAATGTGGATTCATATCTTTAGAGCATGCAAAAAGCAAGTAAAAAAATATAAAAATAGGATTAAAAAAATCAAAAAAATTTTTTTGCAATCATGATTTTTTTGAAAAATAAACCAAAAAGTGAAGAAAAATGCGCTCTCCGCGATTCCCTAAGAGGCGCCTCAAGAGATTACCTTGGAGCACAACGTAAATTTTTTTATTGCAAATGTTTTATTTTTATATTTTCTTTTTCTTCACGGCGTACTTTTGACGACGCCCCTCCCACAATTTCCGTAATATTTGACGTCTTTGGTGCATACACAGAACGACGCTAACTCGCATACTAATTAAATTCGAAAAAAGTTTTTTCTTCGAAAAACAGCGTTTTTTCAAAACTATAGACGTGAAAAAAAAAATTGATCCTTTCACAATCCCTTTTCTATTTGACAAAAAAACATTTGGGTGAAAGTTTTTCTTATTTTTCGAACACTTTTATTCCTTTTCACCCTCAAAATTAGTTTAAGTACTTTTTTTCAGTGAACAACGTGGAATTTTGAGCCGAAAATGACTTATTTTGGTTCTATGTGTCTTTCCGCACTCATTAAAAAAATTTAAAAAAATTTTTCTTTACAAGTTTGGTTTAGTTCAACCACCTAGTGGTATTTTTTCTCCTCTGCAACATCGTCATACCATTCTGATGTTGCGAAAATGAAGAAATCGATTTATTTAATTAAAAAATTTAATTTGACACAGAAAATGTTGCTGAAAAGATTTCTTTTTGCTTTAAAAGGGAAATTTTGTCAAAACAGAGCAGTTTATTTCGAAAATTGAAAAACAAAAAATCCTTCGCATTTTTCTGTCGCAATGAAAAATAATTACCGTAAATCAGAACCGAAAAGATAAAGATACAACTCAAATAAACATGAAAAATCACCTGAAGCACTTGAGCAACAAGAAATTCAAATGTTCGCGCGCATAGCTGTCTACCGTAATCTAGGTGGAGCAACCTTTCAAAGCCGCTCCGCATTTTCAAAACTTTTGCATTTTCTTCCACTACGCAGAACGCCGTGCTTTTTTCGCGGTTAAAAGCTAGAAATGCACGGCAAATAAAGTTGAAAAAAAGAAACTTGAAGGATTGCGAAGCATTCAGGGAACTCTTGAAATTGATTCGCCGCGCATCTCAAATCACATTCGATCGCTGAAATATTCTCTTCGTATGTTTTTTTTTGTCCTTCGACCGTTTAAATCTTTTTTGTGTCTTGCTTTTTTTATCATGCGTGTCAATAATGTTGGAATACTGTCTGATTTTTCCCAGAAAACATTCGAAAACTACATTTTAAAAAAATGCTTTCTTGGCGTATTTTCACTTGTACCTCTTACAGTCTTGCTTCATTCACAAGGAGCATGCAAAATAATGGTTTCCAATACTCCGAGTCCAGACTTTGTCGATCTTTGGAAAAGATCTGAAAAAAGCGGTCTCGACGAGAAAAGCAGAGTGGCCGATGAAACTTCTCTATCAAGATCGAGGTAAGCTGAAAACTATCATTTTGAGTCTCATCTTTAGTTTTTCAGTTTGACCGAAAGGTTTTCCGGGAAACGTTCGGCGATATGGGCGAACATGTCGATGTTGTCGAGGTCGGACCAGGCCCAACTCATGAGCCGACTCTCCACTGAATGGCCTTACGCGACCGAGAGAAGGACCGTTTCTTGGCCTCTTCACGTCGGTCTCTTCGCCAACTGCGTGACCGCTTCGCTGATATGTTAGTTTCTCTATTGAAAAGGATAGATAATGATGGTAGGAAGCTTATAACGAGCTATTTTTAAAGTGAATTTTTCTTATCTTTCCGACTCGTCCGACTTTTTTTCTTCTCGATCGCATTTTTCTTGAAAAATTGATAGTTTATAGTTTTTTTTTGCGTATTAGTTGCCTTAAGAACGTTTGTAAAGGAAAGTAAAAAGTTTTCATTTCGAGCGTATATAATTTTAGAACATGCTCTTTATTTAGAAAAAAATTAGAAAGGATTTCAAGAATTTAGAAGATTGGATCCGAACATACCGTGCTTACATTTGAACAAAACAAGAGAAGAGATTTAAAAAGAAATTATCTGTAAATTTTTTTTTCAACTTATTAATGATTTCGATTCAAGCGACCCGAATCAACGCGGAGACTTTTTCTGTATGACGCGAAAACGAGGTTTTTCGACGCGATCAGGACGTGTCCCAAGTCGCCGTTCGTTTTCGCCGTTTACTCTTCTGGTTTGACATATTATGTCATGTACCAGGTATCATCGAATAATCAGATAATCGAAGAATAATTCTCCTGTTTCAGATGATGGTGACGCCGCAGGTCTTCAACGAAACGCGGCCGTGCGCCTCGTGTCTTCTGACCAATTCCGTGGCGATCGGACTTTTGACCGGCGTCGCTCTGCCGATGCTCTCAACCCCATATCTTGCTCATTATGTCGTCAGTTTTTCTTAGTTTGAAAATTCTCACCTGACAATGAAAGTATAAAAACCATAGGGTCGTTGAACTATTTTAGTTTGGAAAAAGAGCTTTTTGGATTATATCAGTTCTGTGAAATCAGATTTTGAATTTTGATAGTTCAAGGTAACTTCTTTTTCTAGAACCTTCTGATTTGAGATTGTTTGTTTGTTTTTTCAAAAACTTGTTTCTTTTTGAAAATATAGCGCTTCAAAGTTTCCTGGAGTAATATCATGTGTATTTTTTTGTGTTTTTCCGAAAAGAAGCTAGGGGTACTAAAAAAAGATCCGCCCCTGAACAAATAGTTATTTATTAGAAAAAAAGGCTAATTCAAAGTTTCGATCAAGATTTTTGTAATTTTTCATAGTTGGGTAGTGAAAATCGGGGGCTCGAACTTTTCCTTTTAAAAAAAGACTGTCATTGGAATCTTATTATTATAGTTCACAAGAGGAATGACGTACGTACTAGAAAAAAATCGCTATTTTTCAAGCACACAAGCACAAAACTTTTTTTCTTCACAGGTGGGATTAGTTAATCCACCTAGTGGTCTTTTTCCCCTCCCTGCAACATCACCATACCATCCCGATGTTGCGAAAATAAATTGATTGATTGATTTAAATTTGAAAAGAAATGCTCTCAATTCTGAAAAGTATACCTTCAATTATTAAGTTTTTATCGAATCACCTCTCAAGGCTTCAAAATTTGGTCAATTTTCATCTTTTCTCTTCTCTCAAATCATTTTTATTCCACATATGGGTTTTTCATTCCAAGCCGATTGATTTTTTTTAGGAAATATTTAGGAAGTTCCTGCTACTAATTTTCTAGTGCCGTGTTCAAAGTGATTCCGCGAAATGCAAAATGCCCGTTAGAGAAAGGAAAAGATAACTAAATTTTGGAGAGTCAGAGATCATTTTGCATTTCGCGGAAATTACTTTGAACACGGCATAGATGTGCGGGAATCTGTCGGAGATTCTTTGAAATTATCGGTTTATTTAATCTAAAACTCTTTCAGCAAATGCAAAGAGAAGGAGCGGGGAGCCGGCTTCCCGAAGTGAAAAACGCTTTGGAATTTTTGACTCTCGGCTGGGAAGGTCTTATTTTTCGTCATATTTTATATTTCCACCTTGACTTCTTCAGGAACAAGAAGTACTCGAGGACTGCTGCTGAAAGTCGTGCCTCTGCAGGTTCTCATCGCTTCGGCCTCTGCTTATTCCTTACTATGGGGCCGAGAAAGGTTAACTTTTTTCTTCATTTATTTTCAGTGTAATTTAGAAGTTTCACAACGTTTTGTAAAAATTTAATAAAATCAAAAACCTTTTTAAGCTTCTCAAATAAAAAGTTAATAAGGATCATTTTTTTAAATTTGTAGCTTCAAATAAATATTTTGGACCATTTTCGATTGTTCCTTTAGGCAAAAAAATCAGCGGCAACTCCTCTTTTACTTCTAAATATTAATTCAAGAAACTTCTCTATTTGAATAAAGTTCAAAAGTTTGCAGGATATTCCAAACGATCGATTCCGACCCCGAAATGGCCAAAGAAATCTTCCTAAAGGCTCAGTTGCAAACAAGTTTCAAGCATAAAGTCGTCGAATACCTTCGAAAATTGCCAATTTTCGGAGGATTGGTCGAAGATTCGCCCGAGAAGCAGCCACACTAGATTAGTTTTCTTGTTTTGAATAATGAAACATACTAGATAGCTACTTTTTTTTGTTAACAATTTCAATTTTTTACTTTTTAGATAGTTTATTCTTGTATGTTTTTTGCGGGTGCTTTAATTAATTCTTCTAATAGAGTCAATAAATATTTATGAAGCTATGAATGTGACAAATTGGGGTACAAGGAAAATATTCGAGAGGTCGCGTCACTGAGTTTGTGTTCGCCGCCAGAACAAGAGCGTTCGTAGAAAGAAATGGAAGATTCAGGAACCTCAGGCATCTCGATCTGCAAATTGAAAATAAATACATCGACTTGTAAAAAAACCTAGAAAAATATTACTTAATTCATACCTCTCCTATTTTTTTAACTGCAAGATATTCAAGAATTCATTTCTTTTTTTCTTTTCTAAAAATTAAAAAAAGCACAAGCCTCACCCGATTTCTGAACTGAAAATATTAGTTTTTTCCTATCATCGCTCCGAAAATGTCAAATTTTACCAGACAAAATAGTTTTTGAAGTATATTATTTATTATTTTTCAAAATGGCTCCCAATTCAAAAAACTGTAGTTTTGGATAACAGATAATCTGAGCCCAACGCAAAGTTTTGCTTCAGAAATCTCAGATTTCTACAGATCAATGACAGAAAGAGATCTGAAAAGTTCAAATTTCACGTGGAATTTCGCGTTTTTGATACTTCCACGATGAAGGGGTTGTAAAGAGCTTTAAAATAGGACTAATATATGAAAGAACAAAAAAAAGTTAATTGAAAAAAAAAAACTAACGCGAAAAATGTCGTCGGCGGGGAAGAAGGGCTGCCGCCGCGGAGGCTCCGGTTCGTTCAGATTCCATTTTAGTTCGCTGAGCAAAGTTGGCTTGAATTTTTCCCAATCCTGCAAGCTTTTTCTGCCTATTTCCGTTGTATTTCGTGGTATGAGCGAAGGTTTTGAATGTGCTATAAGCTTCTTAAAATTGTTTAATGAAGGGAATCGAGTCCGGAGAATGGCAATTTGAGCAAAATTCAATTTTTGCTTCAGCTATAGGCTTTTTTTTGTAGGCGAACTTCCAAAATTCAAACTTCTAATTTTAAAAATTTTCACAAATAGCAGTCTCAATTCCCAGCCTATCAGAGGGCTTTTCAGCAGACTGGTAAGAAAACCCAATTTCTATGAAAAAGTATGAGAAGAGGAAATAAGTAGACCTCGCGGTCGCAGATGAAGCCCGATCCAACGTACTGTTCATACAGCTGTCGCTGGCCGGGCGTCGTCTGGCTGTTGCTCAAGTTGTACAGATCCTTGGCGAACTGCAGTCCGACGCCTAGCGCTGTTCCCGGTCCTGTCATGTTCTTTTTAGAAGTTTATACTCGCTTTTGATTTATCTGCAGTCAGGAGATATTTAACTATCGCTCTCACCTTTCTTCAAAGACGACGCCGTCAACTTTGGCGATTTTTCTCTTCTAGCTGGAGTCATATTAACGTTCCCGTGTCCATTTGTAAGAGCAATCCACGTCTTTTCAATCTTGAAGAAAATTGCTGATAAATCGAAAAACGAGAAGAGGATACCCCCAGAACATCGGTCCAGGCGGTGGATGATCCCAAGAACTCTTCGTCGTCTTCTTCGTCCGATTCCTTCTCCTCTTTTCGCGTCTTCTTACCGTGCACTTCTTTCTCCTTGGTTTCCTGTAACCTTCGAAGTTCTTGGACAAGGAGGGAAAGACTCGCCGGCGTCTTCCACAGTTTGAGGAACTGCGCTTGAGCCGAAGCTTCCTGGTTGATGCCGTCGACCTGAATCGCGCGCTGTTCCACCGCCTGCAGTTTTCGGATTTTGGGGTCCATGGCCGTGAATTCGTAGGTGCGGTAGTAGTCGCGGAAGTCTTCGAGGGAGGTGCATCGAAGGCTCATGTAGGCTTCTCGGGAGTCTTGTTCTGAACTTTTGTTTCAGAATTATTCGCGTTTGCGATCGGTTTTCAGGCTTGAGATAGTCTGTTCAGATTTTGAATGTCAAGTACAATGACGTCATTGGAAAAAGCTCTATGGATGGCTCGTTATGATTGGTTTATCGCGTCATTAGGGGCGGAGCTTGAACGGCTACTTGAGATCCAAAATACGAACAGATCATTTTGCAAAAATGAATAGTTTGTAAAAATTACATTTCGAGCCTTTAAAAGTTTCATTTTTCTGTGATTAATATTTTCCTTCAAAGTCCCGATCAAAGATATATCTTCTTATGGAGTAGTGAACAATTAGCTACGAAATGATCTCACCAGCTCGAAAAATATTTTTCCAAGATTTTCGATTTCAAACTTTGCTCCGTAAAGCAACGAATTCTGTTGACGAAAACCTACTTTCTTCTTTGGAGACTTCATCCATCCCAACGAATTCGAAGCCCTCCTCCAAAAAAGTGATGGCTTCGAGTTGCCCCTCACTCAAGGTCCAAGCACAATAATCGGTTTTTATCTGCAAGTCGAGGTTGCAGATCAATCTGACGAGATCGAAGCGACTTTCAGAGTCGGAGGGAAGTGGAGGAAATAGTCGTTGAAGAGCTCCCAAAGATGCTTCTCGCAGCTGACCCGAGGTCTGAAGACGCCCAGGAAAAGGTTGATGGCTGAGTTGAATCTTTCATTCCTTGGGTCTTTCCTGAGGTATTACCGGCCTGTTTGTCGTAGTCGGCGAAGGTGTTGCTGTAGTACCGCGACAAGGTCTGGATGACGTCTCGACGGCGTTCCTGACGAATAATGAGCGAATTTTGATACCAGGAGATTTAGTACTTTCCGGAAAAAGTTACGAAAAACAAATCAGCGAAACGAAAGATAATTTCGATGTGTTAGAAAAAAAGCCAGAGCAATCCTAGTTAAGTGAGATCAAGGTTATAAAATTTCGAAAATCTCTATTTTTCTAGAGCCAAGGTTCCAAAGTCTGGAAACAACTGAATTTTACGAATTAAACTTTTTCTTCCTTGACTTTGAGGTGTCCTTCCTTGAAAAACTGACTTCCAGGGCCTTTATGTGCTACGTCAGGTACTCTAGACAATTTTAAATTAAAATAAATCCCAACCAAATAATTAAACGACTATAAAAACCAGAAAAATCAGTGAAAAAGCAAGTTTTCTGGCATTTGTTGCAGAGGCGAAAATGTCATACACTTCTTGCGCTCTATGGACACGCTCAAAAAAATTATTAATTTCAACTTAGTTTTTTTTTCTCATTGTTTTTTTGATTCAAGCTCTGGTTTCTCTATTGGGCAGAAGGATGTGATTTTAGCATTCACTATTTTTTTGAAAAATTAAAAAGAAATATATACGCAAAGACTTTCGGCCTATTTTAAAAAAATAAATTTTAGCTGGTTCCTTTTTAGAAGATTTTTTTCCTGTAGATTTTTCGAAAATTACTTGAAAAACGGCGGTTTTTTTGTAGGTTTTGATGGAATGGACGAGTTGGCTGCCGGCGTACTGCAGGGCCATCGTGTCGCCGTGTTCATCGAAGAGGTCTTCGAGAAGGCGACAAACCTGGAAGAACCGTTCGAAATGAGGAGAATCTCGATGGAAACCTCGCTCTGAAGGGAAAGAACTGGCTCTTCGAGCAGTCCCATCGCGCACAACTGGGCGGCTAGGGCTACTTTTGCTGAAAATTATCTTAATATTTTCTTTTCCTGGCCTTGCTTAAGGAGGATGTCAGCCAAAAAGGAAATTTCTACACTTTTATATACTCATGTTTGAACAAAGCTCCGTAGTTTCTCAATGAAAATTAACATTTGAGATTTTTTGATAAAACGTCGATTCCTTTCTGTGAATCCATACCTATGCCGAACTGAACAACGTTAGTCCGATCCAAGCAGTCGACGCAGTTGACTCGACAAATTCCTCTTTGAAGCAGAAAACGGCCGTCGGGGCTTTCGGAGACGGAAAGCGAGTCGAAGGCCGGACGGGGCAGCACACGGTTCGAGTTGGGCATGGGGAAAGTCTGAAAATGTTTTTAGAGGGAGATTTTTTTTTTTGGAAAGAAAGCGGTTCATCTTCTGTAGCGTGGTTGAGAGGAAAAATTGTTTGAAACATCAGGAATATAATAAATACATAAAGGGGAAAAATATGGAATTTATCAGCCTAAATGAACAAAAAAAAAAAGTCAAAAGAAGAGAAGAAAAAGACAATTTTTTTGGAACCCAGAAGCTTCGATGAATAAGGAATTAACTCTTGCCTGAAACCAGCCCTGCTTGAAGACGGCCTTGGCGGCGATCTCGTCCAAGACTGTGAGGACGTTGGGCGACTCCGACTTGCTCGCGGCCTTGTTGCATCGAGCCACGTCAAACGACAAATAAACGAGTTTTTCTTCGTTTGGTACGAACTGATTTAAGTAATTGACAGCCTCAAAACCAATGTTTTTTATTCAAAGGACAAATCGAAAGAAAGACCTTGAGAAGTTGATCATGGAGAATCGCCTCGTGACGACGTTTCTCCTTGAGTTTCACCAAGTTCATGACAACGATCGGGTTACCGTATTTGTTCCGCAGACTCCTACAATTTAACTTTCTTCTATGCACTCAATGTTCTTTGAGCGTCTCAAAAACTTCATAGCCATTCATTCCAGAATCGAAAGACGAAATTGGGAGGGTTTCAAGGATTTTGCGTGTTGCGTAAGAGGGAATCGCGAGATTCTTTGGACCCGACCCGGTATTAACGGGGCCTGAAGCAAAAAAAGGCCAGGCCAGCCCGTAAAGTGCGATTTTTCTCCAAGTCAAAAATCAGACTTAAATACGAAAAAAATTACGCTTCCGGTTTTTTTTTCACTTGAAAAACTTGATATGAGAACATTTAAATTACTTCGAAGACTTTCCATTCTAGATCAGAAATGCAAGGAGTAACATTTTCAAAATTGAAAAGCTCCAACTTCACACGTAAATGACTTTTGATGGGAGCTCAAACTCAATGAAGTCGTGATATTCTTATACTGAGGATGATCAACCTGAAATGAGAAGCCGCCGTCTGAGCGTGAGGCTCATGGATGTCGATGAGAATGAGAGGCTTTCCGACGACTCCGCGCGTCGACGGATCCTGAGACCATCTGAAGCGGTTTTTTTAATTGAGAAAAAGTTTTGTTTTTAAAGGTACAATGACTCATGGGAACCTGAAAAAGCTCACTCCGATCTGACTTTTCAGTAAAGACATCATAATAATAAAATTCAGTCATGGGGGAGATGGGAACATTATTCGTTCAAAGTTAATTTGAGCCGTTGTGCCTAATTTACCAGTTTCTCTAGTCATTCCTTCATAAATCGGAGGTCCGATCTACAGAAAAATATATCTTTTCGTGTTGTGTTGAAATCGGAGCCTGACGGAAAGAAAAAAAAAATTAAAAATATTACACTCAAGGAAACAAAAAAACTACGAAGAAAAATCACAAAATTTTCTCTAAAGGTGAAATTTAGACCTCAACGGCGCTGAGCCACGTATCTGCACAAAGGATGAGAACCGGCCTCGCAAAAAGTTTGGCGATGACGTCATATCCCATACGATCTGCTCAGTTTCGACAAAGTTGGCGACTTGGCCTGAGAAAAACAAAGTTTTGAAAGAATTCTGGAAAAAGTTGTACCGTGGAGATTGGCTCCTCGTTTGAGGAACCTGGTTCCGGCAAATTGAGCCGAACGGCGGCCGACGACCATGAGGGAAAGGCGCGCCACGGGCAACGAAATGAACTCCTGCCCTGTTCAGAAATAAGACTTTCTTTGCAGGAAAATGAGGAAAGATCTTTCGAAGGAAATTATTTTGGTCATACAAGTTCCATCTTTTCGAATTTTAGTTGCTAGACTTTGTGAAAAATCGCAAAATAGTCAATATTCATACGTCTTTAAGCCAAGACTATGTTCAAATTTTAAATATCAAGTCATCTCTCAAGCTCCGCCTCTAGATCCACGATAAGCCAATCAGCGAGCGAGCACACCAGGGAGGGGTGACGTCTTGGCTTTTGATATTCAAAATATGAATTGAAGCTACAAAAAAAGATCAGGAAAAGACGCAGGAAAGTTGAAAAAAGTACAGATCTTTCGGTGCCTTTTCACGAAAATTCTTAAGCTCCCATTCAAGAAGCCTTCACAAGTCCGCATCACGGACAAAGTCCAAACGGCCTTAAAAATAAGAGCCTAGAGTCTCTTTTTGAGTTCCTAAAAATGTGTCAAAAGTTTCTCGGATTCTCCTTTTTTGCGCTTTCTTCTTGTTTCACTTAGAAAAAGGTCGAGAAACCTTTTTACGAAGGTTTTCTATAGGCCTTTCTAGACTTTGCCCGTGATTTTTGAAATATCTTCCTCCTCGTCTTTCTATTTTTCATCCCAACTCACTGACGTAGCCGTGAACGATTTCGATGAACCAACGCTCGCTGACCAAATTCTTCCTCAGAGGATCGAGCAGATACGTGTTCCAAACAAATCTGCCCTCCAGATAACATTAGAACGCTGAAAATACAAACTTGGAGTCGGCTTCGAACTTCCTGTCCCCGTTCTTCTCCCAATTCGACCGCACAACGTTTTCCTAAACTATTTGTGTTACAACAATTCAATCAAATACATCTTTTAAAAGAAGAGTCTCTTTTACATTTACAGACTATGGTCTCTTCAAAGTATCGTACTAGGATTTGAAAAGGTCCCGAAACAATTGATAGTCCCAACTTCATTATGGCTTTCTTCACCTCCTTCAAAAAAGGCAGAAAATAATTTTCAAAAGACTACACTGAAATGAAAATTTTCAAAATCAAACTTTACCTGTAGAGAACGACTAAGGTCGTAGGTATATGAGAAGTAGAAATCTGTAGATAAATCGACAGACTGAAAATTTAGAAAATAAGTATTTTTCCAGCCGTCTTTCTCACTTGAAACAGTCGAACGTAGCGTTGTTCCTCCGAAGAAGTCGAAACGCCGTCCATCGAAAGGGCGATCATGGCGACTTCGGCGATTTTGTAGATGGTATGGTATCCGAGATTGGCGATCGGATTCGCTTTGTTTATCACCTTAAACTCATTAATAAGCTTAGAAAGTGTGTATCAAAAAATAACCCGCAAAAATGATCCTAGAAAAAAAGTTGGCATATATAGCATGCTTTCCTGCTCTCCGCATCTAACTAGGAACCTTTTTTCAATTTTTAACAGTTTGTAAAAAGTGTGAAGTCAGTGAACAAAGAAGAATTTTAGTGCTGGTTCAATTGAAAACCCAAATGAAAAGAAAAATTGAGTTTATTTGCGAATTTTTTATTGTTCTATTGTTCCTTTTTCTCACAACTTTTCTAGGTTTTCAAAATTCTAAAAAGTCTGTTTTCTATTCATTTCTCATCTGAAACGTTGGAACCCACCAGCAGGTAGAAGCCTTCGAGAAATCGGACCACGCCGAGAATTCCGTAGGCATTGCTGACCCTCTCGACCAGTCCTCCCTTTGTTCCTTTTTTCGATATTGAAGATCTGTAGACTACTGAAAAAGATCTTTCAAGAGAAGTGACCTTGAAGATGAACCAAAAAACCTGAACTTCCTTCTGAAATCGTGGCTAACAACTCCAGAATTTCTTCGCGCGTGTAATCCGTTTCAGGTTCACCGGTTAACAAACTCTTTGCATCCACTCGATCTATCTTCAGGACATTATACTTAGTTCCTGAGACGAATAATTTTCATAAGATCCTTTAAATTCAGTAGCACCTGTCGTGTCACAGCCAACAATATAAAAACGACCGGTCGTTTCGTAGACAGTTATACGACGTAAACGACATGGCATCTTCAAGCTAACCCCTTATGAAATTTTATTTTCATCGTTAACCAGATTAAGAATTCATCTTCCGTTCTGAACAATTCAAGAAAAAAGAAAATTAAAAATGGTCGTAAATAAAACGAGGAGCCGTTAAGCAATCGCGCTCTTTCGATAAGTTCGCCGTACGGTAGAGAAATTTCAATTTTTGCGATTCAAGCGTTTTTTGTACTGAACTATTTCTCTAGCCCTATAACGTGTTTTTAGTGATTTGATTGATTGGTTTTATTGAGCGATGTTGAGTACTTTCTAGAGGTAATTTGATCAGCTTGAATTTTTTTTTCCGAGAAAGAGACGACCTGATAATCTATAAAAGTGAAAATTTTTGTTTTTGTTTTTGTTTGAATTCTTACCTCTAACTGGTTTTGTGCAAATTTTCAACATGTTCGACATCGCTTTCCAGCTTGTAAAGCTTTGAGTACTGTTCACTAAAGCTAAAAACTTCCAGATCCCTGAGAAATGTCTTTTATCCAGTCGGGGTATCAGCATCATCCTCCCATCTCGAACACCGACTACAGCAAATTTAGCCCTCCTTTGAAGGCAGAGCATGGTACTTTTTTTTTCAATTGCATTGGCTGATATTTTTTAACCTGTACATTCTCAGGCTTGCCCTCAACTTCATCTATTGGGGATGATCACTTTAGCAATGTTTCCCCAGTTTTGGGCTCAAATTCTCCGCAGGATCCTCTGGCAGGTGCCCTTCTTGGCTTGTCAGAGTGAGTGGAATCAATAAAATGACCGAAAAAATTTTTTTTTCTTTTGGAATTTTCTGCAAATTCACGGAAACTTAGACATTTTTTGCGAGTTGATCCCTTTCAAAATGATCCAGGCTTTCAAATGATGTGTTTTTTTGTGAAATACCGTGAAATTCCTTTCCTTGTTATATGAGAAATATTAGGAAAAGGTTTCTTCTTTCAGTATAATCACGAAAACTTTGATTTCTCATCCCTGCGCAGTTGTGCGGCGACAGTGTCAGGTGCGTAAAAATATTATTATTTTATTTTTGATAAAGAAATGTAACTTTTTCAAAATTCAAGCGGTTAACAGGTTCATCAATTTGCTCGAAGTGCTCACATCACCCCAATAACTCTCGTCCCGGTGCTTTGTAATGCAGTGGCCAAAGAAGTTGATATTTAACTTGGGTTCACTTTTTCAATCCTCTTTTCAGGGTATCCAAACTTTTTGGAAAGGGGCCATTGGCTCGAGTGTAATCTGGGGATTGTCAAATGTGACCGAAATCGTTATAGGCGACCTTTTCGGTCTCCCCAGGTAGGATAATTTCCAATAAAAGAATCAAATTTCATCTTTTTAAGAAACATCGTTACCAGCGGTAGTTCGGAGAAGTACTGGAAGCACGTGATTTTGAAGGCGTATGTTGGAAATTTCATTTTATTTCTTTCAATGAGTTTTTCAGATGTACATATTTTGTGATGACGCCTTTCTACGTTTCTTCTTTCATTGAAACTGTCAGGGTAGGTTTATTTTTCACATAGAAGTTCATGAAGTTTCGTCACTATTTTTTTAGTAAAATTTATTCCTATGACAAAAAAATGTCAAATAAAACAAAGTACAATTTTTCATCGGGAGCCTTTTTGTTAAGTGAATATCCTGCCTTTTTTTCGCAATTTTTTTCAGTATTTTTTTAGGTTTTAGCACAATAATTAAAAATAACTGGATCACAAAATGCCGAATGAACTTGTTCAAAAGTGAAAAAAAAACGAAAATTTGAGGGCTCCTGCTTGCAACTGTTCCAATAATGCTCAGAATTTGCTATTTCAAATTGAAATTAATCTAATTTTCAGAGCGAATCGGGACTCGGAAGCGATGATAATAGAGTTATGGACGTTCTGGTGAAAGGAGTTGATAGATTACGGTTTACTGGATCAGATTACATTTTTTTAAAGTTTTTTTTTCCAGTTTGTTTGTATTTTCCGGTCGAGACCCGTCAAGGCGCTTTTCTATACTCCATTTGGCGGTTCCTACTGTTGGCTACAGGTTTGGTTCTTGAATTATAAGACAATAAAGACACAGAAAATTTTCAAATTTGAAAGTTGGTCATATAATGAAGTCGAGAAATGTAACAGTGATCTTTATTTTGTGAAAAAAATTTCAATGGCTGAAGTAAAAAAAAATTATTATTGGGAAATTTCAGAACGACCCATTATATCATCCAAACGGCATTGTATAATCAGTTTTTCCGTATGGCCAAGCGATACGTGGTAATTTACAATTATATTCGACTATTTTATGAATTTTTTCAAGAATCGAAAGCCAGAAGTGGAACGAACAAGGTTCCACGAATACCTGCCGCAGCTCTTTGCCCAAATGACGTCATCAGTGCTGACCGACCTGATCCTCTTCCCCGTGGAAACCATACTTCACCGCATGTATATCCAAGGTTCTTAATTTTTTTTTTCGAAAGATTAGAAATTTTTTGTTTTATCAGCTTCAACTTGAAGAATTATTGCATAGATCCTCTCAAAAATGCGATTTTTCTTTTTTTTTTTTGTGACTTCTTGTTTACAATTTACAATTTACAATTTATTCAGTCTTCAGAGTAAGATGTAGAAAAAATCTCTGCTGAATCATGGTATGATCGAAGAGTTAGTCGTTGGCGCGGATTACGGTCCACAATCGTTGTCCAATAAGTCCCGGCGTGACAGCTGGAGTTGGGAAATAATGTGATCCCGTGGGTAGTGCCAGCGAATAAACTGCTTCACCATGTTGGAACAGTACAGCGCCCAGCTTGTCCAGGGCTGACGGGCGTCGGAATATTATCCCATGAGAGAGCGGCAATGAGACCGACTAGTCGACGTGATGAAATGAGATAATAATAATAATAATAATAATAATAATAAGACTTCTTGTGATTTTTGGTTAATTAATTTCCATTTTGAAATTTCGTTTCCGTATGAAATATTGTTTCAATGAAAAAAAGAAGGAAGTATCTTTGAGTTTCCCTTTCTCTTAACTTCGTATATTCACACTTAAGTTCAAAAAAAACCCCGAACTTCCTAGTTTTCATTAGTATTTTTCGATAACAACTCTAGAAAACTCGAGTCTGAAAAAAACTTTGATTACTTCCTCTTGTCAAACAAAATCTAGGAGTGGGCTGTTGGAAAAAAATTTAGAACTGGAAAATTACAGAAATGCTGTTCTAAAAATAAATTGGTTTATTCAGTGCTTTTTTGAAAAATTCAAACTTTACACCAAAAAATAAGACGAATTTTTAAGGTACGAGAACTTTGATCGACAACATGGACACGGGGGTTTCTGCGGTCTCGATGAGCGTCAAGTACAGCGGATTTTTCAACTGCCTCAAACAAGTCGTCGAACGGGAAGGCGTTCGAGCCCTTTACGCGGTACAAAGGCTTTTTTTTGAGGAAAAAGTAGTGGTGGTTGTTTTAAAAGTTCCAAAATACAATGAACAATATCTTATTTAATTTTGTCGCTACTAAGAAGCTTTTTGGAAAAGTCTGATGAAGCTTAGTTCTCTAGAAGTTGATATTCGAAAATTCCTAATGGGGAAAAATTCGCCATTTTCGGAGTTAATTTTGTGACTTTGAGGGTGTCGGAGCACTGGCGCTGGAGTACATGCTTCATTCGGGGCTGCAGCAGCTGGTCCGAGCCTGCTTCGACCGAGGCTCCGAGATGCTGCGTCGCGCGACCAACAGCCAGGCCACCGTCCTGTCCCCTCCGCTCACTTCCAAAAACAGCTTTTCAGGTAACGAACAGGTTTTCGTTATATCGCAGCCGATCTTGACTTTCAGGTTTCGTCTCCGGTCCCCTTTCTGGTCCTTTCGCCCAGCAGCCGATGTCTCCAATCACAGTGAACAGATTGTGAGTTTCACTTATCTAGGGTTATGTCTTGCTCAAGTTGCGATTTGAAACTGGAACATATATTTCTACTTTTCGAAAAAATTTTGTTAACTTTCCGGGCTTTCATTCAAATTGAAGCGTCGTAATAATTATTAGAGAGTTTTTCAACGGTCTTGGCTTTTTTTTTAAATGAAAAACTCATCAGGATTTAGTTGCGAAGTGATAAAGCTGAAGAAAAATATAGTTTGAATAGATCAAAACCTAACCTTTTACTTCCTGAAAATTTACGGCTTAGATAACATTTGTTTTCACAATTTTTCCCGCTCAATTGTTTTTTATTTGATTGAAGTTCAAAAATACTGTGTCATTGAGTAAAGAAAAAATTTTTGGCTCTTTTGTCAATAGAATAGATAATATTGGGCAGGCCGTTGAACGTTTCGTCTCCGCCACGAGATCCGACGCAGTTCCCGACGTTCGGAGAAACCGTTTCCCAACTAAACAGTCCATATGGTCCCCCTCCTCCGTTTGGAACTTCCTCCAGATCTAACGTCTTCGGTAGCCCACCAAACAGGTAAAATTCCCATGTTTTCTTGCGGAATTTCGGTTTTTTTTTCTAGTTGATTAATGTGAAAGTAGATTTGAGGTGTGAAAAAACTTACGAAACGCTACGAACATCCAGGAAAGATTAAAAATATCTTTTGGGAAAAATCCTCTTCTTTTTCCTTCTCCTCATCGTGATATATGCCCATAATAGAATGATAACGCTTTCAGATAAGCCTCAGCCGTATAAGAATAAGCAAAAATAAAATTCTATTATCAAAATTGATAATGAGCCGGTCATAACCCTCGTGTTTTCCATTTTTTGTGTAACTTCATTATAACTCAAAAGAAATTTCCATCATTATTTTAGACTTGGCAGATTTTTGAGAAGTGTAATTATATACAAGAAAAATTATGATTGTAAATTAAAAAGGATGAGTCACTTGTTTTTTCACATTTCTTCTGTTCCATTTCTTAATCTCACCCCAGTAAACAAAATATATAATTTTTCGTTTTTTTTTTCTCATTTCCCATCCTCTGAGCTCCCTCAAACCACATATATTCTGTATACGTTTCCCATAAGAGGTGATAATTACGGATCACTTGGACGGGGTGTCAAAATTGACACTTCGAATTGGCAGTCACCCAATTTCTCCCTTTGCAGACGCGACTTTGCGGACGATTCGTCGAAAAACGCGCTGCCGCCGTTGATTCTCAAAACGGATTCTGATCCTTTCTCTGGCTGAATTCTTTCCAAAAATTCTAATCTTTTGAATCGATTGTAATTTTCTTACTTCCTTGTGCTTTGTTAGTTTTTATCCATATTCATTCTGATTTTATTATTTTCCGATAATGCCATTTTCGTTTCGCGTGTTTGTATCGGGTAGATTGTGTTATGATTATTAGGCTCTTAGTCAGAGTGATGTTTTAATTTTACAATTGTTTTAAAATAGGAAATATCTTAAGCTCAATAAAGAAATTTTTATTAATATTATTTTTTTCCGTTGGTGCTGGGCTATGATCCCATTTTTGCCGCTGATAATCATCCCTCATATTTTATTTTAATGTTCTTTTGCAGCTATCCGTTCACTCGCAACTTAGATCTTTCAATTGGAATATTCCTTCAAAATGGGTGACAATTGGGGTTTGTTGACTTTCTAAATTTTTGAAGATTTTGTGAATTCTGGTTTAAAAAATTGTTTTTTTACGCCGCGTTGGAAGTAATTTTCGCGAAATGCAAATATCTCTGACTCTCCGAAATTTAGTTATCTTTTCTAATCTCTGATGGCTATTTTAAATTTCGCTAAACACGATATTGTCGAAGTATTCCATTTTCTTTTTTTCATTTCTTTTCAAAAAAAAAAGAATTTTCGAAATATAAGTTGATGTACGGTGGAGATAGGGCTGAAATTTGAAGGTTAATTTTTTCAATTCATTGAAATTCATTCAAATTTCGATCATCATGTTTATTTGACGATATATTCCAGTTATTTTAGAATGAAATCTTTGAGATTGTCAGAGAAATCATTTACGGTGTATCTAATGCTTCCCCAAGACAAAGCTTCCTCGCAGACGACGATGATTTCGAACCCGAGGTTTCCTCTTTGGCACCGCCGCCGGCTCCAGAACCAGTAGCGCCGACGCCTCAAACGACGACGGCGGCTCCGAAAAAGAAGGCGCCGACCTTCCAAATGGAGAGCTTAGGACGCGAATTGAGCGCCGCGGAACGCGAAGAAATGCAACGTCAACAGGACCTTTCTCTCGCTCGCGAGCTTTTCGAAGGTCCTCCAGCTCTTTTCCACTTCTTGAGGTTATTTCCCTGTTTCAGGTGAAGGTGAAGACCAGCCTCGACTGTACTCGGAAATCGTTTCAAAAGAGGAGTTCGAGTTGTGGGGAGAGAAGGTTAGTAATTCAATGAAGTTTTTATTTTTCACTTTTTATCGGTGACTGAAAAAAATTCCAGAGAAAGAATTTTTCAGAAATTTAAACTTTATGAAAGTTAAGATCAGTAATTTTTTCATTTGTACTGCAATTTGAGGTTATTTTTCGCAATAACTATGAGAAACTGAAGTGTACAATACATTTGAAAGTCTAGGATTTAGGTTCGCATTTCTTTCGATTGCCCCAAATTCAAAAAAATTAAAAAAATATTTTTTTTACAAAGTCGAAGTGTCCATCGAGGTTCTCGAAAAAAAGATATCCAAATTTTCTTCCGAAAAAAAGAAAAAAACATTTATGAGGTCCTTCCTATCGTCTATCAGTTGATTTATTTCAGAAGTTTATATTTTCTTTTTTTGTTAAATTCTTTTCATTTATTCTAGACTTTTCAAATAAGAAATCGCTTAGAAAAAAATTTCATACTCATATTTTTTTCAAAAAAAGTTCTTCTAGTTTTTTTGTATTTTTTTCTTTGTCTCAGAAACTTAACCAATCATGACGTTGATAGGGATAAAAACCCGATTATGATCAATTTTTTCCTTCAATTTTTCAAAAACTGCCTTCAGGTCGGCCAGTTCCTTCACACGCGTCACAAGGCTGCCAACTACGGGTTTTTGCTCAGCAAATTGTTTGTCGAGCTCACAGACAACAGTATTCTGTGCATTCCCACTCAGTTTTGATTTTTTTAATTTTCAGTGGAAGCCGTTGATATTCGGAAAATGTCCAATCACCTGAAAGCCATCGCCGATGCCAAAAAGACGGAGGTCAAGGTGGGGCTCTTTTTTATTAGGAAACGTACGTGGAATAGTCTGAACATCCTTCGCCTTTTTTACTCAAGTAACTGGAGTATTGAAAAAGAAATGATAAATGAAATAGGTAAGGAATTGAAACAAGATATCTTGCTAGTACTTTTTTTCAACTTTTTTTTTAAGTAATAATAATTCCTCGACAGGTCAGTGTGAACCTTAACTTATGCACTTGTATCTAGAATTTGAGAAAATACATCGTACAGCTAAACATCGCATCAGTCTTAAAGGAACAGATAGAAGAATATCGCATATTGATAGATTGACCAGTAAATTTCAGAAGACGTTTGGTGACATTGAATTGAAATTTGAGAGTGATTTTGTTCCAAGTAGCAATAATTCATTTCTCATCAAAAAATGCATGAAAAATTTCTTTCCAGCAACCGAAACCCGGTACAACTGCCGCGGTCAAGTCGAAGAAAAAAGCGCCGCAACTCAAGGCCAACAAGGGCGCCAACAACTTGTACGACGACTATGGTGGCGACGACGCCGCTGGTTTTCTGAATTCCTTATTTTCCACATCTTAATCCCGAATTTTCAGCAGCCTACGACGACTACGACGACTTCATGTAACCTGGCTTCATTCCAAATCGTTCGAAAAATCAAAAAACTACTATTTTCCTCTCAATTTCATTTCGAAACAACCTTTTCTGGGCTCTCCTCTCAAAATATTCGAGCATTTCTCTTCGCAAGAACTTTCTGGCTTTTCTCTTTTTTGGTGTCGTCTTCTCTCTTGGTATTTGTTGTTGCCTTACTTTCCGTCCGCCAAACGACTTCAAAGATTTCTATTGCAAAGAAGATTCGCGTTTACTTATTGTTATTCGAGTAGAGCATGCGGCGGTCCAAAGAAGGAATAGATCAAACGTCCGAAATCGCTGCGTGCAACTTCTTTTTTGACGATTTTCCGATTCTTCTTCCTGTTTTTGTTCTTTTTCCTTCTCGCTGGTCTTTTTCGTTGGTATTATGAAATGAAGTTTTCAAATTGTTAGTGTTCGTTTTTTTTTCTTTTTCCGGGTTTCGTCCATCTTTTATCGCACTCTTTATTCCAGCCATTTTTTATGACACGAAAAAAAGTTGAAAATTATTAAAATTTCTTACTTAGACTCTTAAAGGCGCATAAGCCCAAAAAAACGTTTCATCGCTTCGAGACCTTGTTTTGGTCAATCGAAAAAATTTCAAACATAACTTGCAATTTTCAAATTTTTTTAATGTGGTTTTCTTTGTTTGATTTTGACTGATCTAAAAATTGCCACTTCTTTCAGAAATTTCTTCCTGTCAAATTAAAATACGGGTGTCATGGGGTCGTACGACGATGGCAATAGGTTGGTCATCTATTTTTAATAGATAATTATGTGATAACGGGGATTAGATCCGATTCGCCGGCGGAAGACGACGATTCCGTTCATCGAATCCTCGATCACAGCAGGATTTTCGACTGCAACGACGATGATATCGGTACTTTTTGTGAAGTGCTCTTGAAAAAATTCATCCACTCTAAGTTTGAATAGATTGGGATTTGAAGCATATCTCATCAAAATAAGCGGACGAATTTCTGAAAATAAGAGTCTCACTTGCTTCTGAAGCTGTTTTTACTCAAGTTTACTCTGCTCAATTGCTAATTTTACTGCTTTTTAAGTGGAAATATTTGAAAATGACCAGATTTGAGTAAAGAGCCGAATTTTTAAACTTTTTTGGTATAATAAACTTAAAATTTTCGTTTTTTGAATTTTCGGATGGAATATCAGATTGGCTTGTTAAAAAAAGAAGAAAAAAGTCGATTTTTTCACTCGATATATAAAAAAGAGTTTGAAATCAAATTTTGTGTTATTTTTCATGCCGAAGATCCGTAAATTTTGAATTTTGAGTTTTTTTAGCATGCTGTCATTGACAAACGAGGAGAGAAGCTACTTTTCCTTCCTTTTTTTAGGAAAAAATAGTACCAAGTACGAATCAAGTTTGTCAAAAAATTATGAAAAACATATTAAGTTTGACACAGGGTAAGAGCTCCGAAACATCTTCCGATTTCCTTCACAAAAAGAAAGTTTCAGATTGAAAAGATAACAATTGAGGTGATATGAAAATTGGTGTTTTATTGATGAAACTAGAACATTTTGAAATAATTTAACAACGATAAAAAAACTATCAATATTGAAATTTCCGTTTCCAGCGATGAGAGTTGGCGCGGAACGATCTCGTCTCCTGTTCGACCAGGTTTCCCACCACGAAATGATGGCCTTCCCAGAACTTTGGAGCTCTCGCAGCGCCATCCAAGTCTACCTCTTCATCCGCAACACGGCTGTTTGTCCCATTTCCTACGGAGTTCCCAAATTCTCTGTTGTTTCAGTTGAGACAATGGCTCGCCGACCCTCTCAACGAGTTCGGATTGGCGGATCTCCGCTCCGAAATCCCGCCTCCTTTCAATTGTAGTTTGTCTCTCAGAAAATCGATATATAGAATCTTTACAGCTGATCCCAACCTGATCGCGCGGATTCACGCTTATCTGCAACGACATGGGCTTATCAATTTCGGTCGATATGTTAGAACAACAGGTTTTTCGATCTTTAAAATTATACGAAAGTGTTTCGAGGAATCCTAGAAGGCTTTTCAGAGAGTGGAATTTTTGACCGAGTAAGGCTTGCAGATATTTTTTAAAATTCATGTGCAGAGTTTTTTGTAACTCTAAATTATTCTGTTCTTAATGAACAAGACAGAAATCCATTCTAACTACTCATTTTTCTATATTATGCAGCGGATAAACTTCTCATTGATAAAGTTAGCCAGTGAGGAATTTTAGCTCCACCTGTTCTACCGCAAGAAGAGAAGAAAAAGGTGATTGTCATCGGTGCCGGGGCGGCTGGTCTTTCAGCCGCCACACAGCTCATTTCCTTCGGGTTCGACGTTACGATCGTCGAAGGAAGGGTGGGTTTTGATAATGCATGGGCCGATACAGAGCTCAAGCTCTCCGTAACAGGGTTGGCTCACAAAATCTCTGAAAAATTAGTGATAAACTTAACTTTCAACCTATGGAAAGTAGTTTCCACAATTCATAAAAACGAATTTTAACCTCGGTAGGGATTACTGACTTCATTTTAAGAAGACTGCAGAAGGGGCTTTCGGCTTATAAATGTGCCCATGGTTTTGATAGAAGGTGTTGATACTTGATAGCCAAAATTGTCCATGAAAGATAACTCAACACTTATAATGATCATGAAAACTTTTTACTTGTTTATTAAAAATTGAAATTTTTTGGAATTTCTCTTCTTTTTTTTACTTCCTTCATTTTTTGGTTTTTCTCTTCTATACCTCCTCAATTTTGTCTTTGAAAATCCGTAAATGTTTCTCTACAGAATCGAATCGGCGGACGAGTTTCAACAATCAACGCTGACAACGATATTATGGAGACGGGCGCCGAGACGATTTATTCTTTCCGTACGTGTTTTACAGATGAATTTGTAAGATATATGAAAAAAATCCGAATTTGTGAAGCAAAAAAACATTCTGAAATCTGCAATTTAAGAGTTTTTGAAAAGTTCAAAGTTTTTTTATTTCCAAAAAAATCCTTCAAAGTCTTGTTAAAAATAAAAGAATATGAAAATTTGTTCGCGATTTTTTCGTTGAAGGAAAAAAGCTCATTTTTAACTTTGTCAGGCTCAAATCCATTGTCCGTTTTGGTGCAGCAACTGAACGTTGAGCCGATCGTGGTGAACCAGTCGTTCACCCTGTACGACAACGGCAAGCAGGTCGATGACACCAGCGACCGGATCATCGAGAAGTGCTACTGGTCGGTAGAGAGCGTCTGGAAACTGGAAGATCCGCAAGAATTTTCAGGGAACTTCGCGGGACCGTCGATCATCTCTCCCACAACAAGGCGGTCAAGGGCAAACGAATGTCGCGGCTCGAAGTTTTCGAGGTCTTACTCAGGTACTCGACTTTCTAGTTTCTTGATAAGTTTCTGTATTTACTAAAAAGTAGTTTCGACTGGTCATTTGGGTTATTTAAAATTTGAATAAACTCTGAAAAAATATACTTTGATTTAGGGGAAAAAAATTCCTTTAAATTTCGTCTTTTCAGTAAATTTATAGCCTCAGAGACTTCATAAGATGTTTAAGAACAGAATAATTTTTGAAAAATTTTTCTAAATTTAGTATCAGAAGGCCTCTATTGAAATCTCTATGAAGTTTTATAAAAATAATTGATTCGATCAAAAAAATCCTTTAGTGATACAAGAAACGAGTGCAACTTTCGTATTTTTTTGAGGTGCCTTCATTCCAAACTACAAAATTTTCCCACAGTAATTTATTTATGTGTAAGTGTGATCTATAGATTTAGTGAAGAAAAATGAGAGTTTTTTTAGTGTTTTTTTGAAGCACCTTCACTTGCCTAAAAAAAGTGAAATCTTAAAAAAATAATTATGTAAAATTTTATCCAATCTCAACCTTGTAAAAAACACGAATTTCCAGTCAAATGCAACATCAGACGCTGAAAAACCTCGAAAAGTACTGGACTGTATATAACGAACTGCTGCAAAGTCGTGTCAACATTTACAAAGAGGTTTCCCCCGCCGAAAAGTCGTGATTGACTGTTTTGCTTTTCAGTACGAAGTATATGAGAAGATCGTCCGGAACTTGGAAGCTGAGCTGGCAAGAACGGCTCCACCCGACTCCGACGTGTCGAAGGCCGACGTACGCGACGCGACACAGCGTACCGATGACGTCATGCGACGCTGCATCCGACGCGACTACTCCTTGGCCCTTCAGGTTCGTCTCGTCTTCCGAAGAACAGAAGGCGAAATTCTTGACTAGAGATGGAGGTATTAAGGGGCAGCCAAACGCCGGCCTCTGCATTTTCACTAGAGATAACTGCCTAGTTCGACGCGAGATAAAAGCGATGTCGCTGGTGGCGAATTGAAGACCTAGAAATGCTGCTTTCTAGCCGTGTCGGTCTTGCGTTTCCCTCGGCGCTGTATCGCATTTTCCTATGAGCGATCGCCAGGCTTGTGAGAGGGCCGGCCCGTCACCCTCCCGGCCCCTGACCATTTTGTAAGCCCGGCCCGGCCCGGCCTTACCGGGGCCTCAAGAAAAATGGCCCGCCCGGCCCAAAACGCGCAATTTTTTTCTAGTCGGATATCAAGTTTTTTTACGACAAAAATTACGTTTTTGCCCATGTTTTCACTTAAAGTTTAACAAAAAAACTATGATTTCAAAAAGTAAAAAGTAACATTTCGGTGAAAATATTTTAAATCAATTTTTTTAGGTTTGTTTTGAAGCCCGGGCCGCCCGGCCAGACGCACAAACCTGGCGATCGCGAATTTTGCAAACTCTAAAATTTTTTTCTTAAGTGCGTGAAAAAGCGAGAGAAACGCGATATCGTGCTGAGTAAAAGGCAAGTCTGGCTCGGCGATAAATTAATTCATTTGTGATAACCTATTAATCGCCACCGAAATCGCTTATCTCTCGCGACAGACCTGGCTGTTATTTTTAATGTGTCTTCTTGACTCCTTCGGTTAATCAATTCCTTGTTTAATGATAGTTTATTCACTGCCATTATTTACCGTCAGAAAATATAGAAGATAAAACAAAAATAAAATAAAAGTGTGTATTTTAAAGCCGATTTCAACAAGAAAGACATTTTCAGAGGCTCGAGAAGGAAGCCGCGCAAGTGGAGAACATTGAAATAACGCTCCAAAATTACAAGAAACAGACGCCGGGGTATTTTTTTGATAAATGCGAGATTTTTAATAATTTTCAAATGCAGTAACCACTACATGCTTGCTCACCACTATCGCCATCTCAATTTTTATCTCGCCCACGAGGTTTTTTCCTTTCTTTTGTTTTCTTCACTAAAAAATTATTCTAAGGAGTACGCCTATGGTGCTCCACTTCACAAGGTGCAGGTCGGGTGCAGCGACATGCGGCAAAAGTCGAGTGGCCTGAGTATTCGACGTGAGAGTTTATAACTTTTTATAATTGCGAAGAAAATAATTTTTCAACTTTTTTTTGCTTTGATTTTTTTGATCTTTTTGAGAGAAAAGCCGTAGTCGCATTTGTAATGACTCAAAGTGCCGCGATTGAAACGTCCGCCTATTTTTATAAAAAGGCGTGCAAGTAGTTTTGAGTCGGTTGCAAACGGTTTGTGCCGTTAGTGCTCTTCCATGTACCGCGACAGGCTGCTGAATTTTGGTTGATTTAGAATATCTCGAGGTTCTGAAAGAGAAGTTGGACTGTTTTGGATATTTGGTTAAAATACCGCTTAAGGGACCACTCAATATTTAAGGTCTTCGTGATAGTATCCAAAAACCCTTTAGGGATCATATAAATTTTAACCTTCTAAGGAGCAGTAATTTTTGAATAAACCGGTTTTTTTTCAACTCCTATCGCGACCACTCTGACGTTTCTAAGAAGTGAGAAGTTATATTTGGATTGAATTTTTCCAACTTTTCAGTACGAGACTCTTTGTCGTCTCTATTTACGAAGCTGATCCAGGAGCGTGGAATGGACATCAATTTGTGCCGGAAAGTCACCGACATCTCCTACGACTCGAATGGTAACAGTTAAAAATGTTTTAGTACAGTAATGAGAATGGAATCATTCCTACCCATTAACTTTCCGCTCATTTGATGAATTGAATGATCTTCTCAGGTGTCGTCGTAACCACGAAGAAAACGGACGCCGTCGAGGGAGAAGAAGACGTGGAGAAATTCGAGGCCGACTTTTGTGTCTGTACTCTTCCGCTGGGTGTTCTGAAGAAGTGAGGAAATTTTTTTTTAAAAGAAGAAGACTTATACCAGCGTCAAAACACCAAAACCCTTCTTAAAAAAAGGTCAGTGAATGAGAGATCATCACTAAAATATTCGGAGGTCGATTTTCACCTCAAAGAAATTTCGACTTGTTTTTCAACCTTAACTTTTTGCAGAAGCGTCAAGTCTGACGTAACTTCCGGAGCTCCAAATTTCACGCCTCCGATTCCAGAAAAACTAGCCTCGGTTATCAGTCGAATGGGCTATGGACTCGTCAACAAAGTAAGTTTCAATCAAACAAACAAAGAAAATGATCACAATTTCAGCTCTTGATGACTTTTGAGCGCTCTTTCTGGGATTCCAACGGCAAATTCTTCTTCGGCAACATCTCGCCAGTGCTGTTTGTTATGAAGTCGCTTCCCCACTTTCATTTTTTGTCCAGAGAGTCCCGCGGCGAGTTTTTCCTGTTCTCTTCGATCCCGGAGTCCCGCGTTCTCACCGGCTACTTCGTCGGCTCATCCGCTCATCTCAGCGTGCCTCAAGACGTGAGTCACTCGGAACATGTAGCGAATCCCGAAACAGCAGCTTCAGACCTTGGTCCGGAAGGCGATGGCGATTCTCACTGGAATCTTCGGCGGCGCCGTTCCCAAAGCGGTTCGTTTTACACTTATGTGGTCACTTTTTGATCTCGACTCTTCCAGCCCCTCTCCGTTCACGTGACAAGATGGCAAGACGATGAGTTCAGTTTCGGCGCCTTCTCCTACTACGGACTGCAGTCGAATAGTCAGTTATTTTCTAAAAGGACAGGAGTTTCACTGAGCAGTTATGATTTGTTACTAAATGAATATTCTAAAAGTATTAAGCTGCAAAAATTCCCAGCTTGGAAAAACAGTTCGAAGGACCTTTTGAATACTTTGAAGTATCCGCCATTAAAAAAATGAGAATATTGGGCTACGGTATTTCTCTCCTTTTCAAAAAAAAATTTCAAAAAAATTCAAAAAACGGAGCTGAAGAGAAAGCTTTGATGAGCAAAATAACCCCCAAATACTTCAGAATCTTTTTGGTAAATCCAGAAATTTTTTCGAAAAGTGCAAAGTTATTCTACCCGTGAAAGGCTTTTTGAAGGTGTGGGAAACATTTAATACAGTTGGGCTCTAGATAAATTAACTTTTCTTGAGAAAATTTGCTTCACGAATTGAGATCTCAAACGAAAAATGTATATCATTATCACTCGAAATTCATATTTTCATCTTCACGGCTTGCAAATTTTTCCTGACTGCCTAAATAATTTTAATTTTCTCGAACAGTTTTTTGAGACAACTATTTTCATTATAAATTTCATTCAACTCAAAAAGAGACAAATTTGCGCATTCAGAAGAAGACTATGATGAGCTGAAGGCGCCTCTGAAGGCGTTCGATGAAGACGGAAGCTCCTTTTGAACGAGTCTACTTTGCTGGCGAACACACCAGCAAAACCTACACCGGATCTTTGCAGGTTTGTTCAGAAAAAATGAGCGGAAAAAAGTTCTCCATGGATCAAAAACAAACTTTTTCCCTTTCAAAAATGGAGTATATTTGTTTGAAAACGTTGTTCAGTTATCATTCAATATTTCCAGGGTGCCTGGATTTCGGGGGCCCGTGCCGCCGCCACAATCGCCAACAAAGTTTTCGGCTGTCCGTATGCCGATATCGGCGATGACGACATGGTTTGTCACTCAGAAGTTGATTTTCAAAAATCATAGATGATAATCTGGAAATTTTTCATCACAACTCATGAAAACTCAGCGGATAAAGTTCAACTCAACATAATCTGTTTCAACTAGTCGAATATTAATATATATTTTAACCTACTGACCCGCCAAATTGCTTTCTTTAAAATTTAATGAGGGATAACAAATTAGCAAGGTTTTTGAGATTTTTTCGGGAAGAAAAAAAGGAAAAAAATAGGTGAATAAAGCTATAACTTCCTCATGAACCTCATGTCCAAAGAAGAAGACAAATTTTTGAAAAAAATTTTTTTTTGTTAAAGTCCTGGGTGATTCAAAGCCTTTGATGACACCTCAACAAAAATTTTTAGGGAAGTCTCAAAATATGGCTTCCGTACTCCTTTTGATATGGTTCAATTATCTATGACCTTGAAATTGAACGTTTATAGATACCTTATTATTCTTTTTTTCTTTTTTTTTCAATAAGTTGAGTAAACATAAACGCCTTCTCAGTTTTGAAGGATATTTTTTTAGAACGAGCATTTTGGGTTACGTAGTGGGTAGAACTTCTTCAGAAAGATTTTGAGGATATGAAGTTTAAAAAAATTTTAAATGACAAAAAAGGAGGCTTGTCTCATCGAGGTTGATTGCAGTTTGATGACGATTACGAAATGTACAGAAGAAGACAATCCCCACCCAACTTTGATGAGGAAAGAATGGCCGGAGAACACGAAGAAATGCCCCAACTCACGCGTCAAGATCGGTGAAAGTTCGAATTTTTGAGACTTGAGCGAAAAATTTGACTGTATCCTGACTCTTTTTCATGTTAATCCCATCACAAAGATCGTATAATAATCCTGATCTCAACTATTTCAAGTGCATGTTTTGTGTATAGCTTGCTGATCTCACCATGGGTCTCTTTTTTACATCCTTCTCAGTTTGTCAATAATAATGTCTTGTTTTACCATTTTTTGCATAAAAAGTTTATTGATGGCTTTTTTTGCTCGCTTGGAAAGTTGGTTCATCAGGAGGACTTTCCTCGTTTACCCGTGCAAAATTGATTAATTAATTCCGTCAGAATCCATCCGGAAGCTTATAATTGAAGAGCAGGAAATCGTGGTAGAACATGCGGACGAGTAGTTCCATCAGATAGGGGCTGGACCGTAATCTGAAGCTTCTTTTTTCGAATTTGAAGTTTTCAGGAACGGAGAAAAAATGTTATACTTAAACCTTTTTCCATTTTTCTATTCATAGACACGCCAGAGTGGTCCCTATAGGGGTTTGGGGGGTAAAGCTCCTGTAAGGGATAAAAAAGTGCCTCCTATCTATATGGCGTCCGTATAGGGGTTTAGGATTAGATCCTATATCTCAAGGGGTTCCTCTAGGGTTTCTTGAATTTTTGTTCAGATTTGTAAAGGCCAAAAAATATACCCTCTGTTGACACTTTTCATTCAAGTAACTCTAATTTATTGATTTTTTCGCAGAAAAATTATTCTTGATGAGTTCAGAACAATATTCAACCAGCATGCCCCTCTAGGGGCCACTTTTGCAACCTTTAGCGGTCCCTAGATGGAACCTTCAAGGGTTCCTAAGATTGCCCCTATAGATGCCACTCAGTTACTTACCGTTTCTCGAGAAAGTTTCTGGCTTTTGTTCCCACTGTTGTGTGTGCCGTCTTCCCGCTACTAAGGCTTTTTTCGATGTAGTTTAGAGATTCTTCCGTCACCTATAATTTTTCGATTTTTAAAGTTTATATAAAGAAGCTTAATCGGCTAAGCGTTTTGACATCAATAGAAATGTAGTCTGTTCAAGTTTTGAGTCTCAAGTCCAAGCTCCGCCCCTAATAAACCAATAAGAGAGCGAGCCATTTACAGAGCGTTTTCCAATGACGTCATTCTACTTGACATTCAAAATCTGAACGGACCTTATCTGGACTAGTCATCAGATGCTTTTCTCCGTTTGGATTTTTAAATTTTTTGAAGGCGTAAAATAAAATTTTAAAATTGCTTTCGCGAATGCAACCACCCGTTTAGTGCAGGTTAGGGTGCATTATTAATTTATTTCTTCAAATTTCGTTTGCAAAAGTTAAAAAAAACTAACATTATGTTCGAGAAAAATCCGACGCAGTCTTGGCCACGTCTCCAGCATCGGATCAGCCCCAAACTGGATGTAGGTGAGCTTCCCGAGGAATCGTTTCAGATTGCAGCGCCAAAAAATGGATGCCGTTTTTGAGTGGAAGAAGGATCTCACCAGCTCTGCGGAAAGAAATGACGATCCTCGAAAGTGCGGTAGAACTTCCCCTGGGAGACCTGGAAGCGCATCCGAGCGAGCTCGGTCTCCAGGAAGCATGTCAGGTTTACGTGACATCCGTTGCAAGACGGCGTCACCATAGTCCGTCTGCTTTTTTTTGTATTTTTATTCCTGGCTCTCCTGATAACGGTGTTCCCTAGTGTACAGCTGGTTCAAGGCTGGTTTGAGCAATGGAAAAAAGGTCCTGACACGATTAAAAAAGAGACACAAAGTCTTGGTGGAGAGTGCAGACACTTTGCGTCCGAAGCTAGCCGTGAAAAGCTACATTTGAGGTATAGCCTGTGTGCCATGACTTGATATTTCACCGAACGACATTCCGCTGTTCCGCTGCGTGCGTTCGCGAAGCGTTTTTCCAATCTAGGTCACGCTTTCAATTGATTGTTATTGCTGTGAGAGCACATGAAAGAAGAGTACCTTAATAAAGAAATAAATTAAAAGCGCGACCAAGGTTCGCAAAGGCGCGCAGCGGAATGTCGTTTGGTGAAATTTCAAGTCGCGGTACACATAGGGGGCGCAAAGCCCCGCCCCTTCACGCCACCAAAATGACGATTTTTTTGTTGCAAAAACGGTTTTGAGGCGTTTATACTAGCTAAAATCTCACTTAAAAAATGAACTGTTTCTGTTAATCTATGTAATCGACAACGCTCTACAGGGCTGAATATTTTTTTAAACTATGTATTTTTTTCAAAAAAATAAGCGAGAAAGTAAGATTTAACACGAAAAAAACTGACAAGTTTCACAAAAATCGTCGCGTTTCAGAAAACCAAGTGAGGAACGCTTCTAAATTTTCAGTATGTTATACATTAACACCTTCCTTTTTTTTGAGTGAAAATGAAAAATCTACCGACGCGAAAAAAATATTAAAGCTTGTAAAGTGACACCAAACTTTAAAGCTGAAAGGCGAAAAAAATTTCAGCGACATGGTATACCTTTTTATTTGATTTAAAAAATTAACAGTGTGTCCAAAAAAATAAAAAAATTCAAAATGAAAAATAATTATTGGGACAGCGAATCAAATTATATTTGAGTTTTACCAAAACCTCCTTTTTTTCGTCTGCCTCGTTGACGCATGAGAGAATAGGATCGCGTCTATACTTTTTGATTATGTTATTAAGCGTTCAAAAACTCTATCAATGAAAAAAATTATGAAAAAAATCGATCGACGCGAAAAAAATAACGGCTTTGAAAAACCTCGAAAAAAATGGCAATTTTTTTGAAATTTCGGAAGATTTCGTGCAAGTGTCCGTAGCAGTGTTTGCGTCAAACACACCGATGCGCCCTTTTTAAATGTCTCAGGAGCCGTTTTTTTCGGAGTCAAATTGCACTTTTTTTCCTGTTTTTATTTCGAAATAACATTATTTTTTTCATTTTTTTCTTTTTTTCCAAACCAAATGATAATAAATTTTCTGATTAGAAAAAAAGAAAAAAATAAGCTGAAAAAAACCCCTTTGACCTTTTTTTCTAGGTAGTTTTTTTTGATATTTTATCAAAAAAATTCTTATGAGGATTGTACAAAAAGATTCATACCAAAACATGAGGCTCAGTTTGGACAACCTCTCAGAGCAGAAAACCGATTTAAAACGGTCCAGAAACGCGCAAAAACATTTAAAAAGAAAGCGTGCGGCAGCGGGTAAACCGTGAGATTTTGCCTCCAGTTGTACGCCGCGCGCGCTAGTTTTTTGGCCATAACTTTTTTCTTAGTGGAGCTTTTTTCGAAAACTAAACGGATTATGAAAATGGACAGTCTTCTCTATCGAAAATGTGAAAAACATATTTTTTGAATCGTTCTGAAGAAATGGCTTGCGGTCCCTAGGTACACAGGCTATAACAGTGAAATTCCTTGTGAACCTCAATTTTTTCAACATTTCAATCACCTGACGCATTTGTCAATGAAGCCGGAGAGAAATCGGTCGACGGGGTCCCGGGTGATCATGATGTGTGTCCATTTCTTGTCGTTCACGGCCTGAATTCCCAAATAGACTTCAATAATCAAATCTGAAGGCCCACGTTGTACTTGTGCAGCATGGTGTTCATCGACGAATGCTCGTTTTTTCCCATGCACAGTCTGTAACTCGGCAATTTTATTCAAAGTAACTATAACATTGGTGACAATTTGTACAGTCTGACCTAACTGCGCTCTCTCATCTCTAAAAAAAACTAGTGTGAAGAAGAGGACGCAGAAAAATTACGCTGTTTCAAGTGTGACTAATGGAATGAAAAGTCAATTTTTCTTGACGCAACGCGGATTTCGGCGGGACAGGAAATATTCAAACACGATTTGCAACTTTAATTGACTATACCAATATTACCTAACGTATTTCCAGTCTTTGAGAATATCGCGATTCTCCCCAATGAAGCTGGCTTCGTCGAACAAGAAGCAGAAAAGTGACGTCATCACAGTCGACATGCTCTTCTGGACGACGCACGTCGACATTTTGTACTTTGGAAGAATCTGGAAAGCTTCCTTCTTGAGGAAAATCGAACAACGGTCAACTGCCCTCAGCTCCGTTTCGAATGGCTCGAAGGCGGGTAGACAATTTGTTCCATTTTGGCACATTTCTTCGGCCGTTTCGTTGGAATTTCTTTCTGGCAACTTCTGCAAAAATTTTTATGCGTAGTTTAAACTTTAAACTTTTAAACTTTTAAACTTTCTAGGGAAGTTTCTAACGTATACATAACAGATTTGGTACAAATTTACTCACCAGAAACTCACCTGGTCAGAAAAAAATAATGACGTAAATTTAAAAAGCGTGTCTTATAGGAAAACGGACGAAAAGTTTCTTTCCGGAGTTTTCGATGGAAATTTTTTTTTATCTCGTGTTGCTCATGAGGCTTTCATCCGGAAGAGTTCTTTTTGGCTTCGATAAATTCGATTAAAATCAATTCTTGAGCTTCTTTTTTACATTTTGAAATGCTTTTATGAAAATTAGCGTTTTTTTTTTTCGAGTAATAGCTCTAGACTACCTGCCACAAAATTTTCAATCACATTGGTGATGCCTCAGAAATTTTCCCTGTCATAACGAACATCAGAGTTCCAGGTGAGAAGAAGGGAGATGTCGTCCAGCTTTTTCAGCGAGTAGCGTCTTTCAGCGTCGAGAGTCGCGTAGAACTTCTCGGCAAGGCGATTTTTACGCGTCGCTGGCCGTAGACGACTCATCGCCGTGTCGTAGAGCAGCACTATGGAGAGGGCTGTCGTGGCCAGCGGCAACGCTATTTTCGCGTACTTCATGACGCTGGTACCTTTTCTAATCTTTGAAGAATTGGGATTTCACGGGCGGGTGACTTTTTAAGGAGCCTACGTTTGAATCTTCCAAAGCTACAGTGTACTGGTAAACAAAAGAGAGAAAAAAGGTCCGTACTTTATAGTCTGTTCAGATTTTTAATGCCGTGTTCAATTTGATTCCGCGAAATGCAAAATGCCCGTTAGAGAAGGGAAAAGATCACTAAATTTTGGAGAGTCAGAGATCATTTTGCATTTCGCGGAAATTACTTTGAACACGGCATAATGTCAAGTGCAATGACGTCATTCAAAAACACTCTGTGGATGGCTCGCTCTCTGATTGGTTTATCGCACCATTATGGGCGGAGCTTGAGCGACGACTTGACATTCAAAATCTGAACAGACTATAACTTTAAGTCAGAGGAAGATTTTCTAAAGAATTAAAATGAAAATATGCATTTACAAAAAAGCATAGGAAAAGTTGTCCTAGCCGAAAAAAAAATGCAACGGTTCTTGTTTTTATGAATCAAAGGTTTGCGTTGGAAAAGATTACCGCGCCAAATCCCCGTGAAATTTGAATCGAATCCCTATTTCTTTTCACACTCAAACTCAGTCCATCAGATCTGCGGACCATGGCGATTTTGAAATATCCATGACTTCTGTCATAAATAGTCAAATTTTTTGAAAAATTGGCTGAAAGATTCAGTTTTGTACCAGAAAATAGATCCTGAAGTTCTGAACCTGCACAACTTCCTAATTTTCGAAAACGAGGGCTCACGGAACCTAAATGACTTATTTTAATATCGAAGAGTGTTCTGGCCAATTTTCAGAAAATTCCCAACCACAAAGTAAAATCATCTTATTGTTAAGAGCCTTCATCTTTCCAAAACGAAAAGCTTTTTTTTAGCCTTTGTTTCGAATTTTTCAAAAATTTGCTTGAATAAGAAAAAGTATCAATAATTTATTCATTGCAATGTACATTTGAAGGTGATAAATAGAACTTTTGAGATGGGTTAATGATGAGGCAAGGGCTGCTGGCACATCCAATGGTGCAGAGGCAGGGAAACGGCCGCGGCAAAATTCACGCCCATGCTGTCGCCCATCGACGCAGCCGACAACGAGTATTCTCGCACGTCCGGCGCCACCTTTTCATTATCTCATTGCTTTTTGATTAAGCTTCTCAGTACTTTTTCAGTTTTCTGCTTTTTAGTACCTTTTTCTGGACTCATGATTTCCTACAAACAGTCTAGCATGATCAAAATGACGTCATATGAACGGCAGAGATTTCGGCTCTAAGAGCGTAAATAACAGGGCATATTAAAGACGCAGGCCGCCGTATTGCCAGAGGTCTTTAAGAAAAATCGAAATTTCTCTACATAAACGCAATTTTCTGCGCGAAAGCGGCGCAGTGCATGCACACGACACACTACACTTTACGGAGAAAAAGTGGGCGTGGCGTCATCAAAAAAACGCCGTGTTATGTCCCTGCTCGTGAAATCCTCTCAGCCAACAATATCGATCCAACACACATTGCCGAAGTCTTCCGTCATGGCACAAAAAGAGCCGGTTCTACGCGAATCATCAAAGTGAAATTGACCTCAAGGAAAAGCTATTTCCCGATCAAGAAAGCCCTCGGACAGTCGACGTTTGGAACATTCGCCCGCGACGACCTCAGCATAGAAGAACTGAAAGAAGACCGCCGCCTCCGTCAACAGTGCCACATCATGAACCAAGAAGTCGGTCGGAAGTGCTACGTCGTTCGGGACCTTGCCATCGCCGCCACCAACAACCAGTCTCTCTATGCCCCAGCATCTCTTCACGTACCTTCAAAGACAGGTGGGGTGGAGGAAAGATCTGAACCCGTAGATAATAATAACAGCCAGTCTTCGCAATGAGTTCTACTAAAAAAGCAAACTTTATATGTCGAATCTAAGAGGGTTAAAAAGTAAGAAATCGTTAATAGAGTTAGAAACAGAATGTGGAATTAGCAGCTCAACCTTTTTACATTTTTACAGAGACATGGTTAAATTCAAACGATGATTTAGATCTTCTTACGAATTTCAATCATTATAATTCTGTTTACATATGTCGTCCCAATCATAAAAAAGGTGGTGGTCTACTCATTCTTTATCCAAAAAACTATATACATTTCGAAGTCCATCAGAACATTTCCGAACCATTGGAATCCATTACCATCAAAATTACAAACATCAATAGCAAAAATTCCTGGTATTTGTCAGTTGTATACAGGCCTCCCGGTTGGAATCCGCATTTCATATCAGAATTTTCATCATATATGTTTCATATTTACGAATCAATTGGAGACGGACGCCACATAATTGCCGGAGATTTCAATTTTCCGAACATAAACTGGAACAATTTGAGTGCAACCGACTCAATCTCAAAAAGTTTTCTTAGAATAGTTTGTGATTATGGTCTTACACAGAAGGTTAGAGAATGTACAAGAGGTGACAATATTTTGGACTTGGTTTTCGTATCGGACAAAAGCCTTATCAGTACTGTTGATATAGGAAAGCCCCTGTCAGACCATAACACGGTTGAATGCACTTTGAACATCGAAAAATCTAGTTTTAACAAAAATTCTTCAAAATTGGTTTATGACTATGCAAAAGCAAATTTCGAAGCTCTTGAACTAAAGTTGTCATACATAGATTGGAATTATCGGTTTAGTACTTGTTGTTCTCCGGAGGCTATGTACCAACTTTTTTTAGACATACTCAACCCACTTATAGCGGAATTTGTTCCACAAAAAATCATAAAACCTTTTAAATTCCCTCCGTACCTCATTAGGCTCAAAAAGAAAAAAACTGAGAAGAATTATATAAAAATATAAAAAAAGTCTTGTACCGAGAAAAAAATTTAAAAAAATTTACAAAGCCAGCATGAGATCTTATCGGAATTCCATAAAAAGAATATAAAATAAATCAAGAAAAAAACATTCTTGAAAAAAATCGAATTCGAGAAAAACAATTCTGGAATTACGTCAAATCAAAAAAACACGTGTAATCAAAGAGCCTTCTGCATTACTTTTTGAACGATGAACTGATCACAAAATGACAGGGCCAAAGCAAATGTATTTAATGATTACTTCAGCAGCGTTTATACAGTTGATGATGAAAAATCTTTCGATCCAGTTTTCAAACCTCAATTCACTATAGACAACGTGAGCGTAGAACCTCATGTTGTATATGAAGCATTGAAAAAATTAAAACCTCTTTACTCATCCGGACCAGATAACTTATCATCAATTTTATGTAAAAAACTTGCCCTTCCCCTAGCGTTGCCTTTATCATTAATATTCCAGAAGTCATTGGATACCTCAATATTGCCTTCTCTTTGGAAGAAATCAATAGTTAGACCAATTTTCAAAAAAAATAGCCCTCAAAAAGCGGAAAACTACCGACCTGTGAGCCTAACATGCGTTCCATGTCGTGTCTTCGAATCTACTACTGTCCGAGCTTTAAGAAATCACTTATGGAGCAACAATATACTCTCTGATTCACAGTACGGCTTTCTCAACAATAGAAATACAACGACGCAACTTCTTCAAAAACAGAAGTTTTTAATCGAGTGCGCCAGTAGAAATCAGAATGTGGACGTTGTTTATTTAGATATTAGTAAAGCTTTCGATTCAGTCACGCATAGGAGGCTCATTAAAAATGTTAAAAAGCTTATGGGTGTGTAGGTCGCTTACACAAATGGTTTTCACAGTACTTAACAAATAGAACTCAATTTGTCCGCCTTAATGATGAGGTATCCAACGAAACCGAGGTGTTGTCTGGGGTTCCACAAGGAAGCTGCTTAGGACCGTTGTTTTTTTCTTGATATACATAAATGATATAACTAGTGTCGTAAAACATAGCAAAAAATGCTCATTTATGCAGATGATGTAAAATTATTCATAAGCTCAGAAACTGATAATTATAACCTCAAGCTGCAATCAGATATTAACTCAATAAGATACTGGCTTTTTAGAAAGGCAACTATCTATTTCTAGCTCTAAAAGCGTCTATGTGCGGTATGGTAAAAGAAGGGGAATCTGGAACGACTATAGAATAGGAGAGGAATCCATCCCCAAACAAGAGGTGATTAGAGATTTAGGAGTTAATTTCAGTTCCGATCTGAAAATGCATCATCATATCGACATAATAGTCAAAAAAAGCATTCGTATAATCAATAATCTTTTCCGTTGCTTCACTTTTTCCGTTAAAAACTTTATGAACTGTTATAAAGCCAAAATTCTACCAATTTTAGAGTATGGATCGGAGCTATTCTCTCCACTAACCCAATCTGACATAAACAGGCTAGAATCGGTTCAAAAGAAAAATTCACCAAACGGCTTCTCCCAAAAAGAAACCTATGCTGTAAGACTAAAAATCCCTTTCTCTAGACACTCTATGGACAAGGCGTCTGCGAAAAAGATATCATAATTACACATCAGTTCATATATGGCTATTATTGGTGTCCATCTCCATTCAAATTACAAACGATATCAAATAGAGAAACCAACTGAGAGGCAACGGCCTTAAACTCGAACCACCACCAATCCATCATGTTCACTATAACTTTATTACGCAACGCGTGTATAAATACTGGAACGGCTTAAACAGAGTTATGGTTTTTGAGGATGACCAAAGAAGATTTAAAAGTTGTTTGAAAAATTGGTTTTTGATAAGGAAGCTGCAAATTTCACAAAATGATTCAACTCGTTTATAGATTACTTTTCTTTTTGATTCTCTTCGATTTCGACCTAAAATTTTTTTAGATTAAAGTGGAACTTTATCGAAGTGGAGGCAAATATAACTTTCATGGTTCTCTTCCTCCACGCCACAGATCTGTCTGTGAGCGAAATAAACATTCATCAAAAGATTTTTATCCCAATTATATTGATTTAGATGCCGGGATGCAGAAGAAAAGCAATTTTTGAATGGAAAAACCTGAAAAATATTAAATAGAAAAAATTGAAAGCTAGAAATCTTTGAAGGGATACAACTTTACGATACCACAACTTTTTCTTCCAAAAACTTGCGGTCAGCTCGTACTGATTTAAACGTACCATTCGATGGATCTTGTGGAAGGTGTTGACATAAGATGCGCCGCCGAAAAGTCCCTCGAAGACGATCAAAACGAAGATGATGGCGATGTGTGGGACGAACCAGTAGAGAGCTTCGAAAAAGAAGAAGACCATGTTGGACAACTGAACTCAGCTATTTTCGATTTTTCGATGAATATTATGAGAACCTGCAGAATTGGCAATATATAGAGAACAGCCATTGGCAACTCGAAAAGTCTGATTGAAGATCTCGAAGTGAAAACTCCGAATTGATACAAAACCTGAAACAATTCAGAAGATAGGTTTTTCTACTATTCTTTGATATAAATCTTCAAAAAAATCTGAAAAATGTTGGTTATCACGTTTATTAACTGTCGAGGCTAGTAGACCAAGAGAAAATTTCCATTCCATGGCTCTAGTTTTATAAAAAAAAAAGTCACCTGATACCACCGATATTGACTTTTCCGCGAGAGACTGAAGCCGTGAGAGCAGTCAAAAAATATCATTTGAGTCTGAAGTTCCTCTCTCAAATATATAAATTCAATTATTTCTGACCATTCCCTGATTGATGAGGTACTCTCCGATGTAGACCACGGCCAAAGGTATCATCAAGTGAAGCATAGGCTGAATTAATAGCCGGAACTGTCTATTGAGCCCAAGAGACTCACCGGAATCAGCTTGAGTCGATCTGTTATGCCCAGCTCTCGCTGTGGGACTCGATGAGAATCCTAAAAATTTTGTCGCCTCCTACTAAAACCCTATTTTACGACATCATTACCTTTATAAATTTGTCATAGCCCTTCGGAACGATCCAAGTCCGCGGATTGAGACCTGGTGAGTAGACCGAGTTCGGCTTTGCTAGCATTATGTAGTATCTGGAAAGAAATAGGCTACTGATCTCTATTGAAAAAATAGTCAATTCATTTTTTACACACTGGTAGCTCTGAAAAAAGGGGTGAAAATCTCAGAATATGTCAAAAATGATATTAATTGATAGATTAGATCAAGACGAGAAATAAGTATCAGGTCTCGAAGTTCATAGGCTCTTAAGAATCAAGTTATGATAACCAACATAGAGGAGTTCTTAAATTTTCTTTCTTGAAAAGCTAGGAACTTTTTTCAATCTAAATAATTGGATTTAGGCCGTCATTAAGGTAGAAGTTTTCAAAATTCATTATTAAAAAAACGGCAGATAGATAAGTGTGAAAAATTTCTTCCTAAGCACCTTTAAGCACAAAAATATCATCTTCGAGGTTTTCAGACTGGACGAAGATGTCTTTGACAAAGGACCTACGCAATGACGAAGAGAACCGGAATGAAAAGCTGAATGAGAAGAGCCGTCTTTGGCGTGAGATTGGCCATGTGCGGCTCGGTGAGGAAGGCGTAGGAAAAGGAGCCGATGAGTCCTGCGGCGCCGGTCCCCGAAGACCAGCCGGCTATTGCCACTCTTAAAATGGTAGGTTTTTGAATACATTTACGGGTCTATAAAAAAAATAGAGGGCAATGAATCATCTCACTAGAGCGAACTTTGAAGTGGTCTCCAAAATTGAAATCACAGAAACACTCAGAGGAACTCAGAAACGTCCGGAGCGCGTGTAGTTTAGGTCGCCGAGGTCCGAGTATTCTGCCATATATCCAACTAATGGAAGGCCTACTTCGGATAGTGAGCAGAAAGAGCGAGGAAGGTGATTTCGCCAAGACCGCCGCCCAAGCTGACGAAGACGACGCCTGCCAGCGACATGGCGACCGAAGAAGAATAGGCGACGACGAAGTAGGAAGTCGCCTGGAGGGCGCAGACCACCGCCACGCGAGCACTGCAAGTTTTTCCTTTTGGTAAAGTCAGAAGTCCCAAAAAAGTAAGAAAAAAAGAAAGCGAATTCATTTTAGCAACCGACTCAAGTATAAATCGAAGCAAAATTCTACCATAACGCTCTTTTTTTTCCAACTCAGCCTAAACCCAAACGACGCAGAACAAGTCCGCGCCTAACAATCTTGAACAAAAGTTACAGATTTTTATGTGATTTTAAATGGAGCGATACGCTTACCCGAATGGAAAGCGATCCATAAAAAATGGAAAAGTGAGCTTGACGATCAAACTCGGCAAATTATCCGAAAGCAGAACTTCTCCCGTGGGCGGCTTGCAATGCCTGGAGTCAATGAAAGTCTGAAATTTGGTTTTCCCCATGGAAAATGAAAAAAAGAAAACATCGCAAGTGTCAGTGGCCGTCTGATTGGTGACTTTGTGTTTCTGAGTGCTGAGAATGTCTTCGGCTGCACTCAACATTATCACGTAACCATAGTTGTTGCACAGGCCCAGGAACCTTAAGAAAAAAAATATTCTTCTTCTGAAAAGGTCATAGGTAAGATGGAAAAACCTTGAGGGTTCTCAGAACTAGCTGAAAAAGGTTTGCTGAAAGTTCCTAAAGTGGTGGAAAAAAAAGCTTCACAGCCTCTTTTTATAGCCTCAGAGTTTCTTTTTTGGATCCCCTGGTTGCGCATCTTTTTTCATGAAGGATGTGAAAAATTTCAAAAGGGAAAAAGAAGGAAGATCTGTTGGGGACCCTAGAAGGTTTTTTTTGAAAGAAGCTTTGTCGTTTTCAACTAACCAAAAAGCCACGGCCGTCCTCACGATCGCATAATCGACTTTTTTGTTCCTGAAAGTCCTTGGATCAACTCGAGGCCAAACGTTTCAACGAACCATAACATCTATTACACTGGAAGCTCCTTACAAAGTGCCCAAATCAAGAAAAAACGTTCTCTTGCTGCGTGTAGCACTATCTGGGAGGTTTTATAGGCGGCGTGGCAATATCAACGTCCGGAGACGGGAAAGAGTGCGAGAAATTAGGTAAATAGGAAATCAGAGAATGGAGTTTTTTGTAAAACCACGGTGGTGTACTAGTAATCTGGAGATCAGGAGAAGTTCGCCTTGGTCTGTTCTACTGTCTTCTTCCTTCAAAACAGTGTCAGAACAAAGGCAAACAAAAAGAGCATTTTTTATTGTTTCAAATTTGATTTTATGTTCTCCGAATCAGCTAAAATATAGCAAATTTATATTTACTATCCTTTTTCATCTTCATTTTCTACAGATATTCAATTAATCATCAAAAATAGCCTTCTTTTACCTAATTTTTTGAAGTCTGATGTCTGAATTTTTTTTTGATACCGCCACGGTTGTTTATTTGTTCAGTAACAATGCTTTGAATATTTGCGAATGATATCAGCGACATAATCAAATAAATACGACTCAGGTGGCATCGAAACTGAAATGAGGAGCTCCAGAAAAAGAGCAAAAAGGTTGAAATCGAAATATTTCTACAGGAGAACAAGAATTCTTGTCCTGCACGTGGTGATAAGGAGCAAATGTTTCGGTTGCTCGATTATCGCTATCTCTAAATACGCTTTAAAAACTTTATGGAGCTTTTTAATGGTCTCGTCAGTCCGTTCCGAGTCATCTCACTGTTTTTCCAAGATGTGACAGAACAAATGATCAAATGCTAATCTTTTTTTTTGCTGAAAAGTCCGCTTTTGAGAGGGGAAACGTGAAAATCTACGGAGGGCGGTCATTTCAATAGAATTGGTCGACGGCAAATCGATATCAACCTTCCTAAAATGGATCCTGATGACAAGGAGGGGGATGAAGTCAAGAGCGCACAGGTGAAAAAAAACCAGCATTCCAAGATAAGCAAAGCTTGACTTTTTGATTTTTTTTTTTAAATTCCCTTTCTTACCGGTTCGGCTAATTATCAATTCAAATCTTCTAACCCAATCAAAACCTTCCTAATATCATTTCGAAGCGCTTATCAGGTTTTTCCTTCGATTCCTTTGGTCAATAAGAGGCTGTGTTGAAAATTGCTGAAATTTTAAGGAGTCTACAGAGTTTCGATTTCCTGAGATTTCTAAATGAACCGCTACCTGCACAAAATTTTAGCTTTGGCGAAAATTCGCAAAAAGTATCTTTTATGAAGCTAAAGATTCGAAATCAGAAGACGATCATATTGAAATTCACACGTTATGAGCCGTAGCCGCTTTGGCTTCTATAGCTGATTCACGGCCCGCTTGGTACGCTAAGGCCTTTAGCCTGAGGGGGCGTTTCCTGTCTGCGCTCTCCACGAGCCAGACGCTATCTTGTGCATTATCGTGTCAGGACCCATTTTTCAATGGCTCAAGCCCGCCGTGAACTAGCTATACATACATTGCAATTTTCGAACTGTTCAATATCCTGAAATTTTCTAGGTCTCGGTGTCGATGATTGTGAGGCCGCTGACCTCAAACTGGCGACTCGTCAAAACCATCTCAGCAGAGGAAAGGAACTCGGGCAAAAGTGCTTCTCAGGGGAATCTCGACGGGTTTTCTATCCTATTTTCAAGATTTTACCATGAAAAAATTCAGAAATGTGTGGAAAAGCTCTAATCGGAGAACCGTTTACTTTTTCGACAAAAATGGGAAAGAGAATGAAGGAAAGGTAAGATTTTCTTGGGAGTCGATCGATTTATCAGTGCGATTTTAATACTACTGTAAAAAATGCTCCAAGAGTTGTTCATTTCAAAAAAGAGGAAAAATTGAAAAAATTGTGAACCAGGGTTTGAAATAAGCCAATCAGTTCTGATTACTCAGGAACGCCAGAGTGATCCTAAAAAGGGGTCAGGGAAAAAAGCCGAGGAGAAACTAGTGCTCCCTAGAGGGCTGAAATTTAAGGTCCCTCATATGGGTTCAGAGTCTGGCTTCTATGATCATAAAGCACAAGTTTCCCCTACAGGCAAATGCTCCTCTAGAAAGGCTACTAACTAAAACCCCTAGAGTGGTCAAATTTGTTATCTTTAGTCAAGGCGCTCCCTAGAGGGGGTCTTGAGTGCCCCAAGGGTGCATGTCTAGGGCCAACTCTTGCGTTCCTAAACGTATTACTGTAGAAATCGACTTGAAATCCCCAATTCAGACAGCTTGCCAACAAACCTGTCCGAATGAGGCGGAGAAAAGCGTCGGATGCTTCGCTCCATGCGAATGTTGCTGTGTCGAAGTGACTTCCTAGCCGAAAGTATTATGTATTCCGTTTCCACTCTTTACAGAGAAGTACGGCGTGCGAGGACAACCGCTCAATGATCACGAAAACATTTTACGAGACGGAACAACTTCCACGTCCCGAATTTCCGACAAAGAAACGGTGAGTAACACTGTTGATATGAAAAAAAAAACCTTTTTATCATCTGCCAGAAGAATTTGATTTCTTGATCGGCATTTTCAGTTGTCAGGAAAAGTCCGTTCGAAAAGAGAAGAGAAGACCGAAAAAGGAGCCCTTGCCTCCGCCGCCACAGCCGCCGCCACCGGTCATCGATAATCCGAAAAATGTATTTTTTAAAGTTTTTTGCGGGGAAAAAAAAATTCATTTCCTTTCTTTATTTGAGAAAAGAAAATTATTTTTTTTAGGAAAAAAGCGAAAAACTTGAAAATTGAGGAAATCAAGTTTTCAGGGTGACGAAGACTCCTTTTTTGCTACCTTTTTGCGCCTTTTCTCAGCTCTTATGCACCATTTTTGCTGCCTCTATCCTTATCCGCTATTTCTCGAGTCTTTAAAGTCCCAGAAAAATGGAAGGCTCGATAAAGGGACCCTTTTTGCTGCCTTTCTGCGGCCTTTTTTGAGCCTCTCCTTTTTAGCGGCCATTATCCACCATTCCGACTTTGCCCGAGTAGCATAACTTCTTTTTTCTGAAAATAGTAAATAATTTTAACTATATCAACTTTAAGAATTGAAAAAAATTTTTTTACACAGTGCTCAAAAAAATCGTTCACAGCATGTGGGCAGAGCTACGCGGTCCCTACTCTACTACAAAATTTTATTTTTAATCAGTCTGGAATTTTTCCTGGAGTATTAAAATAAACCTTCCAGACCCTCCCAGCAGCCGCACTTTCGCCTATCAAGCCGGTCCCTCTTCCAACAAAAATCGTTCCGGAAACTGGTACTTCATTTTTTTTTTCACAATCATTTCCTGAAATTTCGAAACACTCTATAGTCAATGTTTCCCGACTTGAAAGGGGAGGGAGGCGGGCAAAGGGGCGGGACGCGAAGCGTGTACGTACGCGGTTCTTGGCACGAGTTCAATTCAACCGCGAGCGAATATTCAGAGAGCTTATTTATTGCTCTTTTCCCTCCTTTTTCAATTATTTATTGATATGTTCATGTGTGCATCAAAAAACAGTAGAAAATACAGAAAAAGAACGGTTGCCGAGCTTTCAAATAGTCGGCGGCGATTGAATTGAACTGGCGCCAAGAACCGCGTACGCACACGCTACGCGTCCCGCCCCTTGCCCCGCCTACCTCGCCTTTCAATTCGGGAAACATTGACTATACAAGAGTATTATTTTAATAATTTGAAAATATTTTTCTTTTCCATCCTCTCAAGGTATTAGTTCACTGACGAAAAAGGTCATTTCACTTTGTAGTTGGGAGTTTTCCGTAAATTGGTTAGGGTACTCCTTGATCTGCCAAGTGAAGTTCTTGAGAGTCCCATCCTGCAAAAATTCTTATTTTGCGAGAAAAAAAGGAAAAAAACCATCTAAAAGCTGAATCTGGCTTGAGCCATCAAAAAAGGTCGATAAAAAAAAAAGAGACAGTGTCTGACTGTTGGAGAGCGCAGACAGGCCACGGCCCTACTCAAGCTAGCGGTGGATCGACCGTTTTCAAAGCCAATTTCTCGAAAACTAAAAATTTTTGCAATTTGAGACTTTTTGAATATTCATATAGTACATCAAGGACTAGTCTAGCCAATTTTCAAAAAGTTCCCAATCATAAAGAAAAGAACCTTCCTTGTGAGAAGTAATAGGCTCTCCTACCTTTCACCTTCAAAAAATTTTCTACTATTCTTGCAACTTCACATTTTAGCTCCCATTGTTCCACGGCCTGCGGCACCAGTTCCATCAGCTCCTAAGATTGCGGAATTTGATCCGAAAAGTGGGCTGAATGACAGAAATTTTGAAGCTGTGAATAGAAATTCAGAAAAACTGAATCCCGAACTGGTCCCGCAACAAAGGTCCCCGAACCCCTGCTCTCAACCGCCTCGTTCCCCCAGGTCGCTCAGCGAATTTACGGTCTGCAATCAACATCCTCCAGTAAAATCGATATCATTTCAGAACGGTCGATCTTTCGCCTCTCTATTAGCTCAACCAGAAGTTTACTCGCACCATGAGGTAATCATTGAAATGAAACGCTACTTTTCAGATTAAAAAAAAATTTAAAGCGGTCTCTTTTTTGATTTCGTAAAGTGTTCCCAGGATCGTGCAAAAAGTGAATTTATACGTTTTTGAAGGCAAAAACTGCGCCGAGGCTCCTCCAAAAAATAGAAAATCAGAAAATTCAAGCTGTGAAAAACTTTTGACTAACTTAGGAGCCCCCGAGTGGTCACTATAGGGGCAACCTTGGAGGCCTTTGAAGGTTTCCCTCTAGGGACCACTTCATCAACCCCTATTTAGGCCAAAAGCTTGCAAAAGTGGTCGCTTCAGGGGACGTTATAGTGGCCCCTAGGGGTTCAAGTAAGTGGTCCCTTTAGGGGATACTTTAGAGTTTTATATAGGAACTTCATCCACGGAAACTAGATTTTCTGAACCTGAAATTTATGAACTTTTCATAAATAATTTTGAACGCCGGCTAGTTCATTTTGAGTTGAACTTAAAAAAAAACGCCAAAAATTGACGACATTAAAAGAATTCTTACCTTTTCTGAGAAAAAACCTCGAACTATCTGCTCTCCAAAATGAATCATATAATATTAATTTCTATGATTCTCGAGCTATTTTACTTCAATCTTAATTTTGCTCTTCCAGTGGTTCTACTCGTCGGAAGGCCGTGCGTGGCTGGCGCTTTTCGCTTTCGTCGTCGTCCTTTTCTGCTACCGTTCCTCGCTGCCCGACCACATGTGTCACTATTCGTGAACCGTTTCCTTCGCATTTTCCACTGACTTTTTCCTTTGCAGAACGAGTAAAACACATCGAATTGGTTTCCCAAAATGTTCATTTTTACGGTATTACTGGGAAAAGCTGGAGTGGGCCCTATAGGGTGAAAAGGCCTACCACGGAGGTATACTAAAGGGCCCCCTTGATAGTCATTTAGGACCCACTATAGGGTGTTTGCAAAAAGAAGCTAGTAAGGATTCGGGAAAAGAGATTCGTTTTTTCAGGATTTCAACTTTTTGAATACAATTTTCAAAAAGAAAATTAGCATTTTTCAAAAAATTGAACAATTCTAATGAAAATCAAATGGAAATAAATATAGGGAAGATTACATAGTGATATGAGGTATACAAGGACCTCGGATATGGCTCAGATAGAGCTAAAGTGTATGCTGGAGGTCTCACGATGGACATATAGTATGTGTGTCACGCTTGAAATTTCCCCTAACGACATTCCGCTGTTCCGTTGCGTGCGTTCGCGAAGCGTCTTTCGAATCTAGGTCACGCTTTCAATTGATTGTTATTGCTGTGGGAGCACATGAAAATAGAGTACCTTAATAAAAGAAAAAAAAAGTTGAAAGCGCGACCAAGGTTCGCAAAAGCGCGCAGCGGCACAGCGGAATGTCGTTCGGTGAATTCCAAGTCGTGGTACACAGGCTATATTATGGGATATTCACGATCCATTTTGAGAGGTATGTTTGTGGACACATTATGGTAAACTCCCGATTCGCCTGTTTAAAAAAAATGAAACAAATGAAACAAAAATAAACTCAATAGAATTTACAATTTACAAATAATTATATAATGCGTTCCACGTGAAACGTTCTTCAATTATATTGTATTTTTCTATTTTTTCTATTAAAAAAATAGTAGACAAGATACAAAAAGAGCGGTGAACGAGCTTTTTAAGTAGTTGGTAGCGCTTGAATTGAACTCGTGCCAAGAACCGCGTACGCACACGCCACGCGTCGCGCCCACTGCTCCGCCTCCCTCACCTTTCAAGTCGGGAAACATTGACTATAGTCATGAAAAGAACAGCTAAAATTGAGAAACTAGGAAAAAGGAACAAGACAAATATATGGAATTCTAATAGTTGCTTTATACAGCTCGCGCCGTTTGGACGATCTCCGGTCAGTAGTCGTGGATCGCTGAAAGTTCTTTTCCCATTATTTTTCGTGGACAATGCGCCCCACCGAGACGGAGTTTGTACATGAAGGTGAGGATCATCTCGTAGACTCGATTCGAGTTGCGTTTGTGAAGGCCGGCCGCCAGACATTTCACTAAAAACCGTTTTTTGAACTTTTGGAATTTTTGAGGAGGTCAATTGTGAACAAAAAAGAACCAAGAAAAAAAAAATTATAAAAAAATGGCGCGTTTCAATTTAACACGCGTTCTCTGAGAAAGTCGATGAATCTGAAGCAAAACAAAAATAAAATTTTTTTGATATGCCTCAAAAATGTGATCACGGCTCACACACGTGCTTCTGATTATTAAGCACCAGGTTCCAGGTGGCTCCGCCCCTTTTTAAAAAGATACTGTAGACAGTAAGCTGAAAAAAATTAATTTTTTTCCTGTTGAGAATTTTTCATTCAAAAAAATGCTTGGAAATGTAAGAAAAACACTATTTTGAGTATTTGTTCAGTTGCAACTTTTTTTCTAACTCGACTTCTTCGGGGAGAAAAAAATCGAAATTTCCTCAAAAAAACAGCGATTTTTTTCAGTTTTTTTGAGCCATAACTAGAGTAAGAACCCCCTATGGTACGACTTTTATTTCTGATTATGAAACTAGGGGTCTTCTTGTTTAAGAAAAAGTAGTTCTACAACAAATCCCTGGGGTGGGATAGTTGACCTCCATTCGACCGAAGGTGATCAACTTGAATCGGCTCAAAATTCGAAAAATCATTTTTCTTCTAATTTGACAGCTTCTTCCTCTTTTTTGTTTTGAAACAAAAGACAACACTCACGTTCATGTTCTCCACCATTTTGGTGCTCAAAGAAAATTTTATTCCGAATTTCTCGAGACTTTTCGAATTTCAGGACTTTCGTCGATTTTCGATTTTTTCCATTTTCAAGTAGTTTTTTCTGTAGGAACCCCCGAATGTGGTCATTATCTTTTGGTATATGGAAGAGTAGGTCTTTCTGGATAGGGAAAAGTTAGTCCGGTAAAAATCTCTGGGGTGGCCCAGTTGACCTCCGACCGCCTGAAGGTGACGACCCCAAAAATGGAATTTTCACAAAGGCTCGGAAAACAACTTTTTTTGTTTCCATTCTAACAAAAAACTTTCTCAGGAAGACCTGCATCACTTTTCGACATGAATCGGAGTCTTTTTCGGCAAGAAATATGTAGTTTTATTCAAATTTGAGGCTTGGCACGCTTATCTTCGTTTTCACCGTTCTTACCTGCTCTAAATTGCTGAAGTAATCTGGAAACCCGTTCAAAAAGATTTTAGGGAAACCCAGCAAATGTTTGAATTTTTTTGAACACCTAAGCAAGTGAGATCGGAGTGAAGAAATGGCGAAAAAAGCTTTTTTATCAACTTTTTCGAGAAATAAAAACACCTTATGACATTCAATAATGTCAATTACTCTTTAAAAAACAACTATTGATGAAACTTAATAGAAAGAAAAAAGAGAGACTTGATAAACCTAACTTTAATCCGGAAAATGCATTAAAACGCTTCTAAGGTCAAAAAAATGCATTTTTTAAAAACCTTTTTCCATTTAAGTTGTTCTGTAAATTAATGAAAAACATGAATAAGTGTCTGTATAAACGTTGCAACACAAAAAAAGCCAGAATTGTATTACAAGAACTTCTAAAAGCTTCAGAAACCTCAATTTCAGGGGAAAAGTGTATGGATAGAGTTGATTGAAAAAGTAAAAAACTGTCAGTTACTGTATTTTGGCGAAAAAATAATTTTTGAGAATCATCGACATTTCTGAATGTCATAAGGTGTTTTTATTTCTCGAAAAAGTTGATAAAAAAGCTTTTTTCGCCATTTCTTCACTCCGATCTCACTTGCTTAGGTGTTCAAAAAAATTCAAACATTTGCTGGGTTTCCCTAAAATCTTTTTGAACGGGTTTCCAGATTACTTCAGCAATTTAGAGCAGGTAAGAACGGTGAAAACGAAGATAAGCGTGCCAAGCCTCAAATTTGAATAAAACTACATATTTCTTGCCGAAAAAGACTCCGATTCATGTCGAAAAGTGATGCAGGTCTTCCTGAGAAAGTTTTTTGTTAGAATGGAAACAAAAAAAGTTGTTTTCCGAGCCTTTGTGAAAATTCCATTTTTGGGGTCGTCACCTTCAGGCGGTCGGAGGTCAACTGGGCCACCCCAGAGATTTTTACCGGACTAACTTTTCCCTATCCAGAAAGACCTACTCTTCCATATACCAAAAGATAATGACCACATTCGGGGGTTCCTACAGAAAAAACTACTTGAAAATGGAAAAAATCGAAAATCGACGAAAGTCCTGAAATTCGAAAAGTCTCGAGAAATTCGGAATAAAATTTTCTTTGAGCACCAAAATGGTGGAGAACATGAACGTGAGTGTTGTCTTTTGTTTCAAAACAAAAAAGAGGAAGAAGCTGTCAAATTAGAAGAAAAATGATTTTTCGAATTTTGAGCCGATTCAAGTTGATCACCTTCGGTCGAATGGAGGTCAACTATCCCACCCCAGGGATTTGTTGTAGAACTACTTTTTCTTAAACAAGAAGACCCCTAGTTTCATAATCAGAAATAAAAGTCGTACCATAGGGGGGTTCTTACTCTAGTTATGGCTCAAAAACTGAAAAAATCGCTGTTTTTGAGGAAATTTCGATTTTTTTCTCCCCGAAGAAATCGAGTTAGAAAAAAAGTTGCAACTGAACAAATACTCAAAATAGTGTTTTCTTACATTTCCAAGCATTTTTGAATGAAAATTCTCAACAGGAAAAAAATTAATTTTTTTCAGCTTACTGTCTACAGTATCTTTTAAAAGGGGCGGAGCCACCTGGAACCTGGTGCTTAATAATCAGAAGCACGTGTGTGAGCCGTGATCACATTTTGAGGCATATCAAAAAAAAATTTTATTTTGTTTTGCTTTATATTACTGAAAAGTCATCGATTTTCTCAGAGAACGTGTGTTAAGTTTTTGAAAGTGACAACTGAATTTCAGAAGGCTTCTCAAAAAATGTATTTTATATTAAGATTTTATGCTCGGGCAAAGTCGAATGGTGGATAATGGCCTCTAAAAGGGAGAGGCTCAAAAAGGCCGCAGAAAGGCAGCAAAAAGGTAGCAAAGAGACGCCAAAGAGAGTCCCTTTATAGAGCCTTCCAATTTTTCTGGGATTTTAAAGACTCGAGAAATGATGGAGAAAGGTAGAGGTAGCAAAAATGGGAAGCTCAAAATTTACTGTAGCTCGAGGAAAAAGTCTTCACCTACTGTTTTTTAATAGAAAAGTAACTATAGTCAAAGCTTTCTGATTAGTTGAACGAACTGACGAGCGGTCTCGAGTTCGGCGCGTTCTTCTTCGGTCTGGATAGAGCGCGTTCCAGTGAAGCGCTTGACGGACTTCTTCGGCAGTTGGCCCTTGCAAACAACTGAAAAACGGAGAGTTGTTGCTCCAATGGACGGCTGACCTCGGAAATACAGATCCGCCACCTCGTTGATCACCTGTCTGTAGATGTTGCGATTGCTCATACGTCCCAGAGCCATCAGAATGGCTTTTCCTGAAGAAAGTATGGGATTGTGCTAGAAATTCTAGAAACTTCTTTCAAATATTCTTCCTGTCCATGGAAAACATGTGATATTTCAACTTTTTCCAAATTTTCTGAAGATTAGAGAGAACCCGTCGTGAGAGTATTTTGATTTATTATTTTTTCCAAAGTTTTGTGAAAGAGTTATCATTATTAGGAAAGGTCTTTTTAGGAGAATTCCAGAATTTTCTAAAATTTTGCTCAAAAAATCTTCAAAGGTCTAGGCGAAGACTCTTACAGGTCTCAAATTGCGCAAAACATCATTTTTCGAGATATGAGTTTTCAAAGCTAGTTTTTACGACAGACACCCTCTCGAAACCCATATTTTGCGATTTCAAAACGTCATAACCGCAAAATAGGAAGGTTGTGAAAGTAGCTATTATCGTCTAGATTTTTTTTTCTTGCCTGGAATCTTAATTTTCGAAAAAGTGTGTTGAACTCTGATCGAGAAAGTTATAATACCTCGTCTTGGTATTTCGATCTTCTTTTTTTGATACTTCTAGTTTCCGAATCTTCTTTTTCTGGTCAGAAAATGCCCAAAATTTACACTGATCCATTAAAAATCAAGAAAAACTACCACATCCTTCCAACTCGCTCTCGAGAGTCGGATCTATCTGAGAGCCTTCCGGCTGCGGTCCGACTGGAACTTCGTCGAAATTGTGAAAAGTTGGGAAGTTGGGCGTCGAGTGCTGATGCAGAAGAGGTCTGAACGATTTCAATACTTCATAAAGAACTTTAGGAGTTTGAACGCTTTTTGAGCTTGACAATCAATTACCTTTTTTATCTTTTTTGTTTTTTGTGGTGTTAAGTTTCATTTGAACTTATTTTTATTTCTAATTTCGCACGCTTGATTTCAAAATTCACGCCAGAAGCCTCGACGCGACAGTAAGAAGAAATTATTACGGTAGTTTTATGCAACTAAAAGAAATCAACTTGTGATCTGCAAATCAGCCCTTTATTGCATTATGAACAGGCGTATCTTGCTTTCCGCGTACTTTTCGAGTGTTTTGTTTTTTACAAGCAGAAAAAACAGTGCAGAGTTTTCCAGCGCCAATTTCCAGTAAGCAGTAGTTTTTTTCAGGATGCTGTTATAGGTACTACTCCTTGCAAAAAATTTAGTGGAGAAGCCATTTTGGTAGTTGGACATGCTTGGGCTGGATCCCACATGGACGAATAGCGGCCTTCCAACCGCAAAGGGCGGCTTAACATTCAAAAAGGGCGGCCAATTTCAGTATATTTTCAAATTTTCCATTCGCACGTAAGAGAATGAAGTAGGCCTCTATGCAGATGGGCACCCACCATCTTCCAGGAAGTTTTGAGCTCAGAAGGTTCAAAACTGACCTGTAAAAGTGGTTGCTCTGCTGCGGGAGGTACGACGTGGAGCCGCACTGTTCGGACGACTGTCGCTTCAGAGCTGGACGAAGTCTGGCCGAGTCCTCACGCGGGGATCCGAGCGACGATCCAGGAGAGAACTCCGAGAAATGTCTGAGCGGCGGCGGCGGACCGTACATGTCCGCCTGCAAGGGCTGGGCCCAGAAGTAGGAGCCGTCGCCGTTGTGCGACATCAGCTCCTCCGACCTCAATACAGTTCGTCAGAAAATGAAAGGCTGGGAGCTAGAAATCGACTTGGCTGATCACTTTTCATTAAAACGAGAAGTTTTTGAAAAAGTTAAGTTGTAAATGAAACTTTGCGTGGGGATACGACAAGGGGGAGTTTTCATTTTTCAAGGAGTACTGTATGCAAAAGTCCGCATTTGGCGTGTGCACTCTGCGTTTTTGCACATTCTGACTCATTCCCGTGTTTTTTTTACTTTGTTTTTAATTTCGTTGGAAGTAATCGAGACTATAGGAAACAGTTTAATTACAACAATTATTGATTCTAACTTAATAAAAAACCAAAAATAAACATATTTTGAATTAAAAATGGAAAAACCGCGGAAATGAGATCACTAGAACGTGCATACACGCAAGCGCACACCCCGAGTGCGGAATATCGTATACCGTGCTCTTCTGAAAAAGAAAACTCGTTCGTGTCGTAGCACAGAATGGTGAGATGCACTTTTTGAATGCACTTTTTGCGTAACTTCTGAAACTGGACTAGAAGGTTGCCGCAGTTGTCTATGAAATGAGTTTTTTGTTGTTTCGTCATGTCTGTATGTCCCAAAGTGCATCTACGCAAAAGTCTATCAATTTTTCAATCCCACTTCTTTGCCCTTTCCCCGATAGTACAGATTCGAAATCAGCTTCAAAAATAAAAATGACACCAAAGACCCTAGCGTGACTCAGCAGACTCATCGGAACCATGCGCCGATGTGTCTGATATTAGTCACTTTTCCTAAAACTCGCTTTTCCAATAACTGTGGGTGTTTTACATTAATAACGGTTGGAAGAGCTTCTTAATAATAACAAACGGAAGATGTTTGATGAAAAAAACATGTTTTTGCAGACTTCTTTTCTTCAAAAAGTGACTCACCTCTTCTGCTCTTCTTCGAGCTCAAGAACTTCCGATTTGATCTCGTTGAGAATGGCCCCAATCGCCTGGTCTTCCATGTTGTCTGCTGGAGGACTGAAATAATCAAAAATTCATCAGAATAAAAAAGTGACGGAACTTGTTTGGGACATGGCCGTTGAAACCGTTCAAATTCCTCTGATCGATACCATTCATCCAGAAAGAGAAAAATGTTAAAACAAAAAAAAAAACTGAAGAATCATTTCGAAAAAACGCAGAGTCGGGATGAGGTGATGGATACCACAAAGGAAATTCGGAGAATTTTTTTTGGTACTGAAGCAAAAGGGTAAATCTTAAATTAAGAACCATTCATGAACCAAAACGGGCACGAAATATAATTAGAGCTCTTTTTTTCTATCCAGCTCTTTACTTCCATTCAGCTTTTTTATTGATACCAAGTTCTTTTTTGATCCGATGCATACTTAATTCAAATTCAAAAGTAGGTGAGGTGAGAGGAACGGGGAAACGGAGCATAACACATGGGCTACGGTAGTTTTTTGAAGCCTTGTCCTTTGTTGTGGCGTGTCCAAGTTGCAATAGAGTCGGCAATACGCGCGAAAAAAAGGGAAATGTTTGGAGAACGGGCTACAAAATCAGTTTTTGTCTTTCAGCTGGGAAGGCGCGCCGTCGGTGGGAGATAACAAACTTATCTGGCGCTTCCTTCGACTTCCCTAGCAACCGTCGACCTTTCTTCCATGTTACACGCCTAGGTTCACTAATTGTCGGTTGAATATGAACTCGAGAGCAACGGAAAACGAGCAGATCCCAAAAAATGAAAAACATGAGGTCGGACGAACAAAGTGGCGGTTACCTAGGATAAAGTGCGAGCGAGTGAGAGGTTTCTATGCAAAAAACATCCCCTGCGCACATCTGTGTTATCCGTTTCGGGCGTTATCTTTTTTGATATACTCTTCCTTTCTTTGGAAGGCTTTTGGCCCTTCCTTCGCTTCTGCCGAATCGATTTTCGACTGAAAGCTTCCAAGTTGAACTCGGAATGAGCTCCGAAATCCTCAAAGTCCACTGGCTCAAATGCTCTTCTAAATACTTGTCAACTGGTTATTTTTCTGAAAATGGAAAAACTTCCAGATGACCAATATGAAATTTTAATTTCTTTCAAATGATGAATAAACTTTTCTTTTTTGAGGATTTCGTGAAGTATGAGTTTTCAACTGATTTTTTTAAGAAGAGGTTGACGATTTTAAGGGTTTCAAAGCAAAACCAAGTCTACTCTCACTTCAAAAATGGGTTTTTCTGAATAACTTTATCACTAGAAGCAGTTTTTAACATGATTTTGAATCTCGAAAAATTAAAAGAAAGACTGTAAAAAAAAAGTTTATGATCGCTCAAAGTAAGAAAAAATGTCTTCGATTTTGCTACAAAAATGTTTTTTTCGGTCTCACTACTATCAAAAAATCAGCTCAAACTTGACCTTTTTCTAAAACTTCATAAATTTTCTCTACGATCCCCGCAACAATAAGAGTACAAAATCGGAATACACTTTCCAAAATACTTTACTACCTCCAGCTTGGAACTTGAGAGAATTTGTTTTTCTCAGAACTTTTCTCCACAATATTTCCAACTTTTTGATTTATTCCGATTTTTATTATTCAAGAGATCAGGTAGCTGAAAGTGGGAAATTTGAAAAAAATACAGAATTTGCTCAATAATCGTCGTCGGCGGGATCGAAAGAGTCGGCGCCGACTTCTTCGTAGTCTTTTTCGAGGGCGGCCATGTCCTCGCGAGCCTCCGAGAACTCTCCTTCTTCCATTCCTTCGCCGACGTACCTGAGGAAGATTCTGATCTGAAATCGTTTCCGAATGGTCATACCAATGGACGAAGGCTCTTTTGGCGTACATGAGGTCGAACTTGTGATCGAGTCGGGCCCAGGCTTCTTGGATGGCCGTCGTGTTGGAAAGCATGCAGACGGCGCGTTGCAGTTTGGCGAGGTCGGAGCCTGGGACGACCGTCGGCGGCTGGTAGTTGATGCCGACTTTGAAGCCCGTCGGGCACCTATTTATTTTGCCTGTTACAGGGTCGACTTGAATTCTTCAGTTTTTTTTTCGATACTGATAATAACGACTGAATTAGAATCGTGACTTGGATTTTTCTGGACGCAACCTCGCATTTCGGAAATTTTCAAATAATTTTTTCGTGCGTGAGATGCGAGAGAGATGCGATGTCGCGACCAGAAAAGCGCTAGTCTGGCGCGTCAATAAAGCGATTCTTTTGCGATATCGCCAATGCACGGCCACCGACATCGCTTTTTTATGGCTTTAAACTCGCGAGTTAATTTCAATGAAGAGTTTTAGCTTACTTTCGTTGTTAGCAGCTCTAGTTTAGAAAAATGCTCATTAGAGATCCGAAGAGTATTTGAGTAGATTTCGAATAAATTTAGACTCCAAAATGCAAGTACTTTGTCTGTGTAAAGAAACAAGCTTCAGAGGCCAAAAAAAAAGTCAGAAAAGCTTAAAACCGGTTATAAGATGCATTAAAATAGCTCTCCTAATAACCAGAGAAGTTTCATTCTTTAAAAGTCAAGAAGTAAAAAAGCTTGAGTCAGAACGTGTACGTAAATTTGAACTCTCCAGCGAATTTAACATAAAAAACGAACCAATCAACAAACTGGATAGCCCTCTTCGTCTTGATCACCGATATAGCAGAGTTGATGTCCTGCAAAACGTTGAAATAACGATTTCGGCTAGAGAAAATAAAATAATTGGTGTAAAAAGAAACGAACTTGCTTCAGAAGTACAGATTATTGAGCGGATTTAATGATGTTTGAAGTCAAAAAATCAAAAAAAAAAAGAAGTCTATCTGGTTTTTTAGTCTATCTTCGGTAGGATGTACCGTTCTTTCTCGGTGAAAAATACCGTATATCACATCGGATCAAATTTGATCACCATTCGCTTCAAGACCTCTTTACAGTTATGTAGAGCAAGAACTGCATTTACGCTATATTTTTTCGGTTGTTCTTTCAAAACGAAGCCGACTCGCGGGGAACACACTATACCGCCCCAGTGCCGCATTCAAAGTAGTTTTGATAAAATAAAAATGAAAGTGGAAAAGATACGGTAATTTTGTTTTTTTTTACTTGCAGCATAAGTTTTCGAGAAAAAAAAAACAAGAAGAACCTTCGGAACGACATCGCCGCGATAAAGTAGACAACAGGCCATGTATTTGCCGTTGCGGGGGTCACATTTTACCATTTGACTGCCGGGCTCAAAACAAGCGTTCGTGATCTCAGATACGGTCAGCTGCTCGTGGTAAGCCTTCTCACTGAAAAATCAACGAGTCTCTTTGGTTTTTAAATGTCATGCTGCTTAAACCAAAGTATCTTTCGCGTTGATTTTTCTTCGGTTTTCGAGCTTTTTCGTCAAGAAAAGCTCATAAAAGGTTCGTTATTAAAGAATCACCGTCGGGATAATGAATTGACGTGAAAAGTTACTGTGTCAGCAGGGGCAGAGTAAACTAGTTGACACTCAAAATATTAACACTACAACCTTTTTTTATAATCGTCCAACTAGGGAACTACTCGGACTGGGATACGAGTTTCTTTTTTTTTCAACTTTAGTTTCAACTCGAAACCCTAGGTGTGATAACTTTTTAATCAAATGAAAAATTGAGTTTCAGATCTTAAACATGGCCTTCCGAACTAAGCAGTTTATCGAAGACGAAAGATTTGGGAAAAATTTTTTTCGAAAGAAATGTGATTTCTGGAAAAGAAAAACCTACGCCGATATGATGGGCGCATAAGTGACCAGAGGGAAATGGATTCGCGGATACGGTACGAGATTTGTCTGCAAACTATCAGAATTCACTTAGAAGCTTGACAAACGAATAAGAGCTTCAGAAAAAAGCTTGGTGCACCGGTTAAAGCGGAAATGAATACCTGGAATTCGGTGAGGTCGACGTTGAGGGCGCCGTCGAATCGAAGCGAAGCCGTGATCGAAGAGACGACCTGCGCCAGCATCCGATTCAGATGCGTGTAGGTCGGACTGGAACAAGAATTTTTAAAGTGAGTAAAAGTAGATGTTAAAAGGTGCGCCGTAGCTCAACAGGCTGCGGGCCCGGCTACAATCCAGAGGGTCATAAGTTCGATAATCCCCAGACGTCAGACACCTAGACGGTCACTTAAGCCAGTCGACTGATCATCACTGATATAAGGTTAGGACCTTGGCTCATCGACTTGGAGCGCCAACGACGTTCAAGCGATAAAAAACGCAAAAAAAAGCTGTTGAAATTTAAAAAAAAAACGTTCAAAGTGTGGTTGATCAACTACTGTTGGAAATATATTAAACGACATAGTCAGAGAATTTTAAGAGGAAGGTCTAATTTCGCGGAGTTTCATCCGAATATGAGAGAATTTGCTTACTTTTTGAGAATATTGATCTCAAAAAAAGAGCGCGAAAATGCGGAGCATGAACAAAATGAGTCATCTTCATAGTCCTTCTCAGAAAAATAAGCCAAAATTAAGGTTCAGGCTTAATCTTTCAGGCTGAAGAAAAAGACCTGCGAATGCCGAGGTTGACTTTGGCGATCTCATAGATGGCCTCGTTGTCCATGATGAAAGAACAGTCGGAGTGTTCAAGGGTCGTGTGTGTGGTCAGCAATGAGTTATAGGGCTCGACCATGGCTGAAAAAAAGTCGAATTTTTCCGAAAAAAATCCGTGCTTCGGGAGCTTCCATCAGACTTCCAAGGTTCAAAGAAAAATCTTTATCAACCGGGGGGTTCAAAGAGAAGCCCTGAATTTCCTACAAATTTGTCCAAAAAAACTTTATCACTTAATACGGAAGGAGGGGTTGAGTTTCAGAAGTCACTATTCGAAAGAAAAATTCATTTTCAAAGAGATTATTTTTTTAAAAAATTTCGAGCATCGATTACGGTTCTATTTTTACGTTAATCTTGAACTTTTAGGCATCAAAACTTCAAAAATATTAATTTACACAGGTGCTACATAAAAGGGATCTTCATCTGAATCTTCTAGAAGAGTTTACGAAAAAAATAATCCTAAAAGAAGGCCCATCGAAGATTCTATCCAAGATAATACCGTACATGTGCTGATCTGCGGTGCCGGGTAGATGGAGAACTCGAGTTTGGCTTTTTTGCCGTAGTCGACGGACAGCCGCTCCATGACCAAGGAAGTGAAGCCGCTGCCGGTTCCGCCGCCGAAGGAGTGGAAGATGAGGAAGCCTTGCAGGGACTGGCATCGCTCCGTCAGTCCTGAGAAGATTCCGTGTTATTTCGAAGTGTTCGCTCTCATTTCGAGGCTCCAACCGATACATGGTCAAGTGATAAATTCAATTAGTCCGGGAGGAGGGGTTTACTAACGAATAAAATTAAAAACAAGGTGTTAGAGTAAGTTTCATTTTCCAACCCAGCCTAAACCCAAATGGCGCAGAACAAGCTTGCGCCTAACCCCAGGAGGTAGTAATCACCAGAATAGGGTTAGGTTCATCTTTAGGAGGTAGTACTGACTTAAATTTAGTGACACTTGGGAGGACAAGCTGGTGGCCTTCAAATATGGTCTGCCCATGTATGCTTCTACTTTGAGCCTGTGCTCCACCTACAAAATACTCTACATTCTGAGCACTTCAAGGCGCAACTTGATGGACTACGAGCAGAGAAACGAGGCGAAGGACCTAAGACCATGCTTTCATCTTGATCAACTACACGTTTGGACTTCTATCTTGCCAGAAACGTTTTTTCAATATGGCTTTAAAAGTTCTTGTCCCCCTTTTAGCCAATGACGACTACTACTAAAACAAAGACATTGATTGATTGATTAATAAAGAGTCCCACAAAGTCGAATTAATACTGACTTCTGACGCGATCCATGCAGACGTCGATCAGCTCCTTGCCGATTGTATAATGGCCACGAGCATAGTTGTTCGCAGCGTCTTCCTGAAAAAATTCACAAATTTTGAAGAGCGTTTCTTGGAATGAAATCGCAAGGGGTACAGGAAAAGCTCAAAGAAAAATAGACCTGTAAGTAAGAAAAAAATAACTTTATTTTTTTGCACAGTTCATGATAAAAATATTCTTTTTTTCGCTTTTCACGTGGTTGAAGTGATTCCGCGAAACTCAAAAGACGAGAAAAAGTGAAAAATGTAACTAAATTCTGGAAAGTCAGAGTTTTCAATTTAGCGGAAAATACTTTGAAAAAGATATTATAACTTCGCCTTTATTACTACCCTCAGTTTCGAAACTGGAAATATTAGAAGGCAAGGAGAGAAGGTCATTAAAACTGGGAAAAACTTTGAAAACTAGAAAAAAAAGCTGGAAGAATTCTCTCAGAAATTTGAACGACATGCTGATATATTGATTGCCGACCTTTCCGGTTATCAACTGCTCCGGATGGAAAAGCTTGGCGTAGGTCCCCGTGCGGACCTCGTCGACGACCGTCGGCTCAAGGTCGATGAAAATCGCTCTCGGAACGTGCTTTCCTGGAACCTTTTTTTTTTTGAAAGTGAGAATTATCTCCTGAATAGCAGTTTCCTGAAGCTTTCAAGGCTTCTCCGCCTATTTCCAACAGAAACTTTTTGGTAAAAGTGACCTGCTTGGGTCTCGGAAAAAAAGGTGTTGTAGGACTGGTCCTCGACGCCGACGGTCTGGTCCGAAGGCATGACGCCGTCGGGCCGGATCCCATGCTCCAGGCAGTAGAGTTCCCAGCAGGCGTTGCCGATCTGCACGCCGGCCTGGCCGATGTGGATCGAAACGATCTCTCGCTTAAAAAAAATTCATTCGAAACAAATCTTTATTGAACTATTTACTATTTTAGTCTCAATTTGGTAGTACTGGCCTTTCAGAGATCTGCTCATAAGAACCTCAAGAAGCTTTTATTTAGGAAAAACTGATTTTGTGCTGGAAACCCGATAAATCACCCTGTCTGAGGTCGATCCTGACTTCTGGCATTAATTTTTTAAATTTTGAATGAGACTATTATTTATGCAGCTTCACAGCTTTTCGAAGCGTTAGCGAAAGCGCAAAAACGGCTGTTTTATGATATTTTTTCCTCTCTATTTTTCAAAGACGAGATTCATTTGTTCAGAATAGAACATTAATTATAAAGAAAATCGGATAAATATTAGGTCGTTTACTAAGTTTCTTTCTTTTTTCGGTTGAAAGTTATTTGGTGTATAACTTTTCAATTTTGGATTCAAACAGCAAACAATTTCTTCCCCGTCATCCTCAGCTATCTGTTAACATGTCTGTTAATTTTGAAGTTCTTGACTTTAAAACGAGCAATGATATACTCAAAAAAGGGCAACTAACTCGATTTCAACCCCTCTTAGAAAAATTTTTTTTGTTTCTTCTAAAAAAATTTATGATTCAATATTTTGTAGTTGTTGAAAACGAGGGAGGATGGAAGTACAGATAGAGTAGGCAAGCAGACTTTTTAAACAAAAAACCAGCCTGAAAATCTTTTTTCTTTAAAAGTTTTGGTCAGTGATCAATGACAATGACATGGTCGCTGAACATTTAGACGCTTTTCTCATCAACGGCTTTGAGGATGATTTTGATTTTTTTTTTTGTGGTTATTTAGTACAGACACGGTCTGTATCAGTCACGTTTTCTTCAGAAGGTCTAAACGTTTGACGCCGTCAGAGAGCCTCCAGAAGTTAATCAAGCTGTCATTTCAGTTGATTACCGTTTCTCAAAATTTTAGGCCGGAAAAACTCAGTAGAAACACTTCTGCATTGACACATGGCTGCAGTGACCTTTGTTGTACTTGTTTTTTTATTAACTTGAGAGATAGCAAAAGAACAGAAAATTTGAGAGTGGATAGAAACCACTGCCCCCGTGCTATAAACATTTTTTGATGAAAAAAGCCTGTAAAATTAAATCCTCGAGTTTCACGGTAGCTGCCGGTTGCTAACGTTATGCCTATATTTTTTTTCAAAACCCCAAACCTGATAGATAATTACGAATGTACTTCGGGGGAAATCAAACGAAAACAGGACGCGCATTATTTCAACAATGTTGGCCAATCATAAATTTGTATGGTCTGGCTTTTGAATAAATAACTCATTTCTCAAATTTTTTGGAAGCTAACGAAAACTTTCACGAGCAACCACACGACCTCAGTTTACGTTTTATGTAACTCGTTCGAATGATAAAATTGAAAAAGTAAGATAAAAAATAAGTTCGCAAAACTTTCCAAAAATCGAGATTTTTTTCGAGTTCGGACAGTTCTGTATCTTTTTTCTGCATAGCGTTATAGAAATACAGTTAGTTTTAATCTGAACTTCAGATTGTGTAGTAGTAAATACTATATGAAGCAAAATTGTGAGAAGTGCTTTTCTGGTTGAAAACTTTTTAAAAAAAAGTCCTTTAAAAAAGAAAGAAACTTAGTAAACAACCTAATACTTGAGCTTTGTTTTTTTTTTTGGTGTAACCGGCCTACTACCTGTAACTCTTGTCGAGAAATTTTCGAGTCTTTTTTCACCTAGGTTGTCCGAACTTATTGATTTTTCTGGATTTATTTGAATATTTTCTTCTTCTTGCTCATTTTCCAAGTGAAAAGAAGAGATTTAGCTGTCAAAAAAATTAAGATATCGGAACTTTTAGAGAAACTTTCACAAAGATCCCGAATCCTAAACTGCGGCTTCAATGACTTTTGGAAAAAAAATCTAGTTTTAGACCAAGTTCCCCGTCTTATCTAAGCTTCTTGTGTGAGTTCTGAGATTCATACTTTCTAGTATTATAAATTTCGGAGCATAACCCATCAAGCTGATTCTAGAATGTTCTCTAAAACTCTTCCATAAAAACTGAACAAGTCCCAAAACCGGCACTCACCATTTTCCCGTTGGGAGCCATTGTTCGGAAAAGTTGTTGAGAAAGGTCCGAAAACAAGGAAAATGAGGGCAGGCGCCTGATGGGAGCCGACGCGTTGCCATACCGACAATCGCGTTTCCCGCCCCTATCAAACTCGGCTATCGTTTTCAGGCTTCATCAACGACCGCCGGAGTCCCGTCAAGCCAGAATCAATGCTTTAATTGGAGCAAGGCGACGGGAAACTCACTTTTTTTGCAAGAGTTCCATTGGCAAAGTCGGATGAACATTACGCACCAAGGTTTCCGTTAACTGCTCTAAAAAAATTCTAATAAGCTTTCTTTTTAGGCCCATTTTTCACTCATTTCCATCTTTTCTGAAGCTTTTTTGAGATAAAGGCCTTTATTTGGGCATAAAACGGAACTCGTTTTTTTCTATTCCGCGCCGGATTTTCACGATTTTCGTTTTCCGTCGAGCTACAGAACCCTTCCAAAATGCTTCCCTTCGAAGTGCGCGACCTGGCTCAGTATATGCGCCTTTAATATACAGGAAATTTTCAGGCTAAAGCACACCGAAAGGAAGATTTGCGGGAGGGTTCTGTAGCTCGGCGGAGAGTCAAAATCGGAACAATTTAACGCAAAATGGGCCATGACGCCTTTTTTGCATCTTTGGAATTTTCGGGAAAATTTAAAATAATTCTTTTTGATGCACGAAAGGAAGTCTCTGAACCTTTAAAATTGAACATCAACCTAATTTTCGAGTCAAAAGAACTTTTAAATTAGGTTTATTCAAAAACAGGCGTGATAGCTTTTTTAAGAGGCTTTGAACCCTACTTTTTTAAAAAACTAGGGAACGGAGCAGCTTTGAAACATCAAAAATTGCTTTTGCCGGATTTTTAAAAACTACTGATTTTAAAGTAAACCGCGCTTCCTTGTGAGAAAAATACAATAATCCAAAACTCTGCAAGAAAACAGACGACGCCTTTTAGGATCTGGAGAAATTCGTATAAAATTTATAGAAATAACAAGGGTAACAAACAACAAAAGAACAACAAAAAGTACATAACAAAAGTTGGCAGAAACGTGAAAAGGCTCATCCTACACATCCTTCGAATATTCCAAGACAAATAAAACAAATAACAGTGTTGGAAAATGAACAAAGCGAGAGCCAAATTATCGTTTCAATTTCTTCTTCTTCTTCTTCTCTCCTGATTTTTCGTCGGGGATTTCCACTTGATTGTGCGGTCTGAAGTAAAGATCAGACTTGAGAATTGGAAAAAGAAAGTCGACCTTTTGTTTTTGACAGCGATGGTTCCGGCGAACTTCATGCCTCCGTTGTCAAAAGCCTAGAACTTCCACTTATACTCTCCGGAGGAGAAGCGACCCTACTTCTTCCAGATCTTTCTGCTCCGCTGAGATCTCGTACTTCTTCAAGTCCCTTCCGAGCTCAGCTAGGAGCGTTTTCCGATCGCGTTCTTGTCGTTTTCGGATTTCCGTCGCTGCAGACTCCAACTCATCCTAAAACACCCCTTTTTTCAAAATAATGAAAATCTCATTTTTTTTTCTTTCTAAATGCATGCACAAAGCATGTCTCTGAAACAAGGTAACTGTCCCGTAAAAAAATGTTCCAACTTTCTAACTTTTTTTTGAAAAAAATGTCCACCATCCAGCTTCTTTCAAAAGCACGATGTTTGATCTATTCTTATTTCGTCCCAAAAAATATTTTAAAAAAACGCGGTTTGCGTTGGAATTTTATTTTAAGACGTCACGTGAGCCGCTTTATTTCCTTAATCCTAAATTTTTGACCTTTTCCTTTAGTTTCGTGGACAGTAATTTAAGTTGCAAGAATATTGAAAACTAGGTTTTTTTCACGTTTTTAAAAATTTTTCTCAATGTTTTTTTTCAGAGCCAATGTCTTTTTCAATATGCTGTCATCACCTCCTTTCGAGTATAAGTAAATAAAATCAGTACAACCGCACAGGCAAAAATTAATTTAATTTTTCTTTCAAATCTACCTAGATAGATGAGGATGAAAGTTAATAATATTTCTTATTTTTCAAATTTTTCGTAAGTTATCCTCTAACCAGTAAAAGGACTTATTGATTTTTTCCCTTGTTACGCATGTTCAAAGATCGATTTTCAGACCTACCTCGAGGCTCACAGAAAGTGGCTTCAAGTCTGAGCCGCCATTTTCGGCCTTCGTCGCCGCGATGGCCGCTTCCTTCTCCTCGAGATCTTTCCTGAAAGACTTCTCATCAGAATTTCGAGGGGTCCGCAAACGTACCGGATGGAAACTTGACAGATTTCATCAAAAGTGTCGGCCAATTTACGAATCGCTTTCGTATGAAGCGCGAAAATCTGATCAAAAAAGTATTTTTTTTAATTCGAATTCCTAAATCACCTGGTTCAAAGGAATATCCAACTCTGATGCGACGCTTTCAAAAGATTTCTTTTGAAGGCCGACCGCAAGGAGAATCGCTGATTGTGCAACGGCAAGTTTTTGCTGAACAATACAAATAACCAAAAAAGGTGATAGTCAGGGTAAAACTCTCAAAATCATCAGTTTGAAAAAAAAAAAACTCCCCAGATTTTACCTGGAATTTGGATTGAAATTTTTTAACTGAAAGTATACCATGAAAAAAACTCTATTTATAAATAATGGATTCGCGCTCTAAATAAATAATTATACTATTGAAATAACTTTTGCAAATAAAATTTTTGTCAAAACTATAATTACAAAAGCGACGCGGTCTTTTCAAAGGTACCAATTTTTTTGAAATTCAACATCGCGTGCCCGTGTTTTTTTATCCATAGGTGAGCTCAACTCAACTCACCCAATAATTAAATTATGAAAATCGGTAATTATTATTTCTCTCATCCTCAATGTCCACTTTCTGTCACGTTCAAAAAAAGAAAAAGGTTCAATGTTTTTTTGAAGTCAAAAAGTCGAAGAGGGAGAAAAAAAGTTGAAAAAAATAATTATTACAGAAAAAAACTTATACTTGCCCACTATCTTGTCAAGAATAAACTTTTTTTGAATATATATTGATAAAAGAAGAAAAATATGGAATAATTATGATTTTGATTAACATCAATTCATAGCTGGCAAAAAAGGGGTTTGATTGAGACTAAGTTTCTCTGAAGGCGCCACAGGCCAGAATAAAATTTGGCGATATCAATATTTGCAGTTTCATTATTTTATTTAAAATCAAGTTTTCTTTTCAAGACAGTTACTATGTTGTCCGATTCGGGAAATTTCAGTTTCGTGAACTTATTAAGTTCCACTCAAATTTGGCCTTTTGATACCATGCTGACAGGAATCGCTGTTATGAACATTTTTCGTGAGCTTGAACGATTGGTTTTAAATTTTTTGGGTCAGATACCGTGGCGGGAAGTCGTTGCTCAAAGTAGAGGCTGGCGACGCGCGGCAGAAGGTCCATGGTGATCTGGACGTCGAGCATGTTGCGGCCGAACATGGCCAGACGGCGCAGATCCGTGTTGCTCAGCCACAGGGAGAGCTCCTCTCTGCTCACTTCTGAAACTTCTTCATAACTCGGGCAAAGTCAAGGGTGGATAATGGACGCTAAAAGGGAAAGGGCTCAGAAAAGGCACCAAAAGAAGTCCCTTTGTCGAGCCTTTCATTTTTCTAGAATTTTAGGCCGCACTCAGTTTCTAATTTTGGGGCTTTTGATTTTAAAGTTAAACTTTCATAATTTCTGGTGATACGAAGCTTTTGGTCACTTGATCGATGTTTCAAATAAAACATAAGTTGTCATAAAATTAAAAAAACTAAAACTTTACAGGTTTAGCATAACTTTATATTGAATCAAAGGGGTTTTCTTGTTCTTAGAGGGCAAAAACTTCCTGTACTGTTTTTTTTAGCCGCGGCAGCATTTTTTATAAAACTTAACTGAATTTTAAGTAACATTATCTTAATTTTGGAGCGAGAAACTTCCTGAAAACGTGTTTTTAGTAGGTCCTAAAGTACACTCCTCTCAAGTTCAATCAAAACTTGGGCTTGAAATTCCCTTCTAAGCATTTCAAATGCCCTGTTCAAAAAAACTCAAGTAACTCTAATTTAATTTAAAAATAATTAGAAAAAGAACCATTTGGGAGTGACGATCCGCTAACACGTTTGCTTTTCAACTGGAGCAAAGAAAGGGCGAGTTGGGCTGAGAAAGACCGAAACTCGAAGGAGAGAAGCTGGACGAGCCTTCGTCGGAACTCGCTCCAGTAAGATCCCAACCAAGTCGCTACTTCTGAAACTTTAGAACTTTAATTTTTTTCATTTTTCTCTTACCTGGACTTTCCTCTCCTTGATCCACTCCTTTCAGCATTATGCAGGTGTATTCGCCGGTAAGTTCATTCGGGTTCTGGCGCAGGTAAACCGGCACAAACTCAGCTCGTTTCCAGAATTTCAGCAGGGGCAGGGTGAGACCAAAAGAAACGCCTGCAAAAGACTTGAAATGAAAGAGAACGCAGGTGAGTTCTACCCAAATAGTCCAGCTTTTCGGGACATCTCTCTTGGAGTCTGAGCAGAAGCGGAGGCAAGCCGGACCTTGGTTCGATCCGCTCCTCCAGAAGCTCAACTGTTTGACCATCCTGAATAAGTTCATTTTTTTGGGGACAAGTTCAAAAAAAAAAAATTTCCGGTGTGTTCTAAAAGTTGAAATTGGCTATGAACAGTTATCTATCCGGGAAGTTTTAATATATTTTTTTCTGATTAAGGGATGAAATTTAAGTGAAACTTTGCAAACATTAGGGTCACCGGATTTCAAAAAAAAATATTATTCATCATTTTTGTAATTTAATCAAGTTACGGCGAAACTTTTGTGATAGGATTTCACAACAACTGAAAGAAGGTTCACGCAAAAATTCATGTATTTCCTAAATTGACGCTAGAAAATTCTCTCCTTGTAAAGTCTGACTGCTACGACTTGCAATTTCACCGAACGACATTCCGATATTCCGATGCGCGCAGTAGCGAAGCGCGTTTGCATTTAAAAAAATTCCGGCCACGTTTTTCAATTTTTTTTCTTTTAAATTATTTTCTCCTAAGTTTCTTTGAGAAATTTACTATTTCCTTTCGTTTTTTTTTAACTAAAATCTCGACAAAGACATTCACCCCACCTTAATAGATTCAGCCGTTTCACGTCGTGCCGCCGTTTTCGTCGTCGTCGGATCATCTTCGTCCAAACTTCTCACTCGTCCCAAATAGTACATTTCCAGCAGTTCCAGAGCCTTGCTTCCATAGCCCATGTTCTGCACGATTTCTTTTTTAGTTTTTGTTCCGTTTTCTCTAATTTTTCAACAATTCGATACACAGTCAGCCTATAATAAACGACTTTTAACTATTTTTTCCTTTTTAGAAACTGCTGTGACTAATTTTTTTTGGGGATTATACTGATGACTTCATAAACTAGGCTCAACTTTCTGCGATTGAAAGAATAAAATTAAATATTCGAAAACTCCAAAACTCCTTTCAACAACTCAATTACCTGATAATCTGGATGAACCGCAATGCGGACGATTCTGCCTCCACACATTGTCGAAAAATCAGAGTCCTGAAAAGACAGTTTTTCGAGATGGAATCGAAGACTAAGATAACCAAAAACTGCTGAGAAATGGTCCACGGAAGAAGGTCGCCGGCCGCTCTTTTTCCCTTCGCCAAACCATCGGAGACTGTTTCGCTGCTCAGTTCGCCTTCGATGCAAACTTGCACAATAGCCAAAACCTTAAATTGGTCACAAAATTACATATAGTAGTCAGGAGCATATATCGCAAGTTTTATTGTTTTCTAATCACCGCTAGCTAGGAAAAATGATAGAAAGATGTTGAAAACTCAAATTGGGGCTCACTTTTTTGCTGATCCTTTCAAGACCTTCCACAAGTGCTATCTTCAGTCAGCGATGAAAGAAACTTGAACAAAACAGAAATTATTCAAAAAGGGTTTTTAAAAAATTATAATCTTCCACTTTTCGAAAATAACCGTGCAATCTTATTCATGATAAAAAAAAATAAGCAAATTCTCGGAATGACGTCATTGAATCTTTGAAAAATGCACAATCCTGACATGACGGAGCATTTCGAGGATTTTTAAATTTTTTATTCTAGACAAAATTCTTAAAATAGGTCATGAACTTCAGAGATGTCATTGTCATAAAGTAAGAAAGTGAGTGACAACAGAAGTTTTTTCAACCCTATTTTTTTCTCTACAATCCAAAAAAAGATTTTGACAGGTTAAGCTTGAAAAAGCGTTCCTAGAAGAGTAAAATTCCACAAATTCTTATTCTGTAGATGGAAGCAAACCTCTGGAATCGAGGAGACCTTCTTGTCCACGGGCGCCATCAAAACGAACAAATTGTGCGAGGGGGCGTCGCTGAGCATCTGAACTCCTTCTCTTTGAAAAAATCTTGGCTTCTCGAACAGACTTGCAAATCGTTGGGACTGTTTTTGTAGTGGGCCGAGACGTAGATCGCCATGAGCTGTTGTAGGAAGTTTTCGGAGGCCGTGTGGAACGAGAACAGCGTGTCGCGGTTGACAAAGTAGCTGATGTTAGAAAAAAAAGTTAAGTCGCAGGACGGAAATTGTTTTTTACTGCAGTCGTCAAAATCGAATTTTCAAATAAGCGCTTGTTCATTATTTTGAATTATTTTGAGTTATTTGAAAACTTTGAAGAAGCCTGAATAGTTCAAAGTCCGATAATTTCACCGCACGGTCGAGAATTTTCAGAAAATTTACTAGAAAAATTTTTGATGTACCTTCTGAAAATCATCCTAACCTGCACAATTTCCTAATTTTCGAGAAAACAGGTCTAGAAGTTAGAAAAACCCCGACGAAATCCGTTATAATAGGCAATTTTCAGACATCGAGTACAAGATAAAATGTTGGAAATTGAACATGTTTAATTTTAGAATTGGTAGTTCGGTTGAATGTTCGTGTCTAGAGACTAGAATTCTAAAATTCTTACAGTTCGCAGTCGTTGGGAGGCGGAGCGCCACACGTCAGCTTGAGGGAAGTTCCGGTGGCGTCGAGGCACAAAACCCGGTTCAGCCATTTCTCCACCTGAGCATTTCCCAATTTCCAATTGAATTAATAAGCTTGGATCGGTAATATTCTGATTACGCATCTACGAACTTTCAGTTTTTGCAAAAACGAAGACTTCTCGAGCAGAGCTTCCGGATAATAAAAAAAAACAGTTCAAGGAGCCTAGATCATATGCGCTCTACAGATAACGACTTATTTCTTGTTTCCTCCTACGCGGACCTCGGTATCGAAAACCGGACGGTTTTGAAAAGTTCTAGGGATCCCTTAAGAGTGCCAATGCCACTGAAGTGGTCACTATAAATGCCCGGACACGTCCGGACCGCATTACCGGGTAGTAATTTGTTTGAAAGAAACGGAATGAAAAATGAAAAAAGGCCTAATATTCTAGTCCTAACAACAGGAAAAGGAAAACTATCGAGGTGACCTGTAAAAATGTTATTTCCAAGTGAAAAAATAAAGAGAAAAACATGATTCAAATTTTTTCAAACTCTAATTTTTTTTCAAACTATCGTTAAAGCAATTTCTTTTCACGGTAAGATGGGAAAAACTTGAAATATAACAATATTGAAATATATTCAAGTTTTTTGCTGAAAAATAGAGAAAGACTTTCAGTACATACAGCCGCACGATTCGCACGATTACAACTTTTTTTTTAATAACCCAAATACCTCGTCTTCAGGCTTGTAACGAATACTCTCTTCCATGGTTATCTCGTGTAAGACGCGGCCTGTAATCGAGAAATGAAAAAAGAGTGCCGAAGAGCAAATTCGCACCTTTGCTGGCGGCTGACTTTTCTCCTTTTTTGGAACCAATCGATTGCTGTCGGAGCTGGCTGAGCAATTTGAGCGACAAACTGCGACCGGTACCTTCATATCCGTTGATCGTCGAGGCAAGGAAGACCAAGTAGGGACCTGAATCGAGATTTTGTTTTCCATCAAAATTCTATGTTTTATTTTTTTTTTTAACTAACGAAGCAAAAACCGAAAAGAAATCTATCAAGGGAAAAAAATAATAAAATTTTCAACCAAGCTCCAAACAATGTCGAAACAAAATGGAAACCTGAGATGAGGTCTTTGACGAGGGGCAAGGGAATCGCCGCGGCTTCATCGACGACGACCAGCTCGGCTTGGCTCAATCTGGCAGAATCGTGCGGCTGTATGTACTGAAAGTCTTTCTCTATTTTTCAAAGTAAACATTTTTCTCGATTGATGAGCCTTTCAAACTAAAGAAAAACACATTTCAAAAAAAAATTTCCCTTTGAAATTTATTTAAAAAATCTCCAGAAATTGAAGCATCTGAAACAATATTCCGCCAAAAATAGCTAGGTTCTAAAAATTTTTTTCCTTTGTTGCCGTTGATTTATTTTTTTGTATTTTCAGGAATCAGGAACAAGTACAAAAAAATCGCGACAGAAAAATAAACTTTAATTTCGATAAAAACTTTGCTCAAAATGATAGTCCATTATGGTATATGCGGACACAACTTTTTTGAACCGTTACTTCTTCTCGATTTAAGAGATGGCTATTGTATGTGATCACAGTTCGTGAAAATCAAATGTTTTCACGAATTTGAGCAAAAAGACTGTTGTGACCCTGAGGTCAAAGGATTGTGTTTAGAAACATAAAAAGATTCTTTCAATTAAAGAAATCATAAAAACTGGATGAACTCTCGGAAACTTGCCTGAATGCACTGTCGATGCTCGCGGAAGACGTTGACACGAACCAAGGCCTTGCGAAAATCCGGGTTCAACGACTGAACCAGGTCGTAGTCGGTGTGCTCCTGCAAGGAGAAGTTTTTGGCAAAAGAAAACAGAAAAGCCTTTTTTATCAGATTCCCTTTCTCTTAAAGTATTTCTCACAGAATTTACATATTAAAAAAAGTATTAATTCAAAATTTCAGCTTTAAACGTGAAAAAAAAACCTGATAATCGAGCGCTTCAAGACCTTTGACGACAAATTCGAAAAGGGTCCTCAAATTTTCAGGCGTCGGCGAAGTCACAAAAATGTTCGTGTAGCCGAAAGCGATCGCTCCAGCGAGCGCAAGGCCTTAGAAAGCTATGTTTTAGGATCATTTAGAAGTGCAATCATTTCAAATACATCTATTTGCTACACAAGAACTCAAATATTATCGTTTAATCTTGTTTGAAATGTATTGCCTTGCTGAAAATGGTCCCGAGAAAATCGAAATAGCCGTCAGAGAATGAAAAATATAACTAAATCTTGGAGAATCAGAAGTTTCCGCGGTAAGACTTTGATTTTCAAGCTTTTCAAGGGATTCTTAAGTTCAAAACTGCAGAGCTATTATACACCTGACAACAGGAAATGCAAAAACCAAAAAAAAACTGCAGAAATAAAAGAGAAAAAAAGAAAAATTGGAAGAAATAAGGAGCTTGAAACTATTAGAAAATCAACCTTTTTTTCGAATTTGGTGACTGATATTTCTTGCTGCGACAAGTTTTCTATCATATCAAACGATATTCTCCTGATTTCAAACAAAAAAAAATTCATTGAACTTCAAAAAATAAATAAATAAAATAAAATCACAATGAAGTCTTCAGCAACGCTTGGCCTACCTATTTTATCTAATTTACTACCAAAAAAAAAAAAATTTCTGATTTTTTTTTTCAAACTGACATGATAAGAAGACGAAGAGAAATGATCAATTTCAAACCTAAAGAAGCAGATTTTCCTCGACCACGAGCTGCGGTCAGAGAACACGTCACGTTATTGTTCTTCTCCGTGATTGCGTCCATATACCTGAAAGTGATGATGAAAATGACAGGTAGGTACAAGAAGAGAACATAGAAAAAAAGAAGACAACAAAAAGGACAATATTTTAACCTGAGGAGAGCTTTTGCCTGGCAGGCCGTCCGGCACTTGTTGAGGAGCTGCCCGATGGGCTTCGTATCCTTCATCGCCTCTTTCAGACCGAGCAGTTCGCTCTCCGACGCCGTCACTTTGTTCTGGAACCGTTCTTTTCATTTTTCCGCAATTCAAAGAGCTTTTTCAAGATCTCTTGCTGGTGAAATCGAAAACAGGAATTTATGATAGGAACGTTCAGGCGATTAGAAATAAAAAAAATGAGCAAAAATTTTCAGCAAAGAATATTTTTATGAGGGTTTCCCTTGTGCCATTTTCCAGGGCAAGCTGGATCTAGCAAAAAGTATACCCTTAAAAACTCCCATACCAGTAGCAGAGTTACACAAATCAAAAAGCGCTTTTTTTTCAGAAATGTGGTTTTCCTATTCTTAAATCTAGATCGCTGAAATTTTATCCATTAAAACTTTACATAATATCGATCTCTATTATAACTATTTTTTTTTTCTCAAAAAAATTTTCAAATCCAACCTTCAGGTTAGATGCGATTGGCTGGACGCGAGAAATGTTGGAGGAGATGGGCAGAACACGAAGCTGGTCGTCGAGGACGGCGATCGCAGGACTGCTCGCCAGCGACAAGATGAATCGCTCGTTGAATCGCGCCGCGACGTCTTGTCGCGCTTCCGTCCGGTAGCGACTGTGAACGTCCTAGAACCCCCCATGTTGAAAATGATCATATAAGTTGCAGTTTTGAAAATTTCGTCCTTTAATGGTAAAAAACGGATGCAAATCGACAAAAACAGTATTTTAGAAACTCTGAAAATGGCTTACAAATAAGTTAATGAAGGCTTCGAAACTTTTACTTGTTTTTTTTTTAAGAATTATAACAAAACTTAAAAATAAAGCTTCCAACATGACTTCTCTGTAAATATAAATACAAAGAAAAGTTTTGGAACTTTCTGACCGACTTATTGCTGCCATTATAACAACATTTCCATATCAAAAGTTTTTTCCTACTATGAAAAAAAGGTTTCTACGGACCATGGTCATTGTGAAGAGTTGACGAAGCGAGTTGACCGACTGGAGCAAAAGGACGACTATCCCACCGCCTTCCACTGTCTCGATAGTCCTCGCCAGAAGATTCGGTGTGAGCGCCTCGAAGTCCTGTCAAAATTATTAATGTACATAAGTTCAAAATCTTCATTTCTATTTTTTTTTTGAGTTTCAAGAAGAAATTCCACGCTGATTTCAATACCTTTTTCCGACTTCCAAAAGCGATTACTCACCTGAAGAACGAGCATTCCAAATGTATTTCCAAGGATCGTGTGCGTTTCGTTGTAATAACAATAACGAATTCTAGTTGTAGAGACGAAAACTTCGAACGGATCAGCGTCCTCAAAAAAGGATGACTTGAGATATGATATTTCGCAAAAAACCAACATTCATCGAGTTGGAGACGGCGGATTTCCTTTTGAATTCGCGCATTCTCTTTTTCCGATGCGAAGAAAACCCCAGTTCTTTTTTGTAACACCATAGCACCGAGGGTCTCGCTGCGACAGAAGACTTTGAAACGATGTGGTGAAGGATGGGAACCTGGAAATATGATGGTATTTTGATACTAGCTAAAGAAATCTATCATAACTTTTGAAATCAAAGAAAAATATAAACCTGGTCGCGTCCTTTGTCTCCAACTATCGCGAAAAGTGTTCGGTGACCACTCGCTACACCATTTTCGATCAAAGCTCTTATTCTATTGTCCAATTTAGTACGCATAACCTGTAAAAATACTTTTAAATGAAATTACTCTCGTTTTTTAATCAGAAAGGCCGATAAAAAAGCTTCTTCGTTGATTTTTTGGCTTTTAAACCTGAAACATCTGATGGAAAGGCCAGAAAATAGTGGGAATAGGTGAACTTTCTTTAGAACTTTCGAAATTAAAAAAAGAAATTTTTAAAACTTTCTAGAAAAAATACACTTTTGTCTGCAATAAATCGCTGAATATCTTGAAAACGACATATGCAACAAAAGTATTGAAACGTTTTTCTATTTGAAAAAATAAAATTGAAATTAAGATTTTTGGAGTCCATAGTTTTAGCAATGGAGCGTACTTTTCTACGTTTTTAGTGAACTTTGGCGGAGCCCGCCTGTATTTGTACAGCTTGCCTCACTTAATTTGACAAGAGATTTATCATACTCTGGATCGGGCTTTGGGCTTCATTTTCAAGAAAAAGCCTGCGCCGGCTTGGGCCAGGCCAGGATTCGACAGAAATTTGAATTTCATTGATAACATTTTTCACCAAAAATATATTTTTACTTTTTGAATCATAGCTTTTTGTTGAATTCAAGTGTACAAACAAGAAAAACGCTACTTTTGTAGTGAAAAAAGCTTGATATTTGACTTGAAAAAAATTGGCTTGGGCCGAGGCGGCCATTTTTGCTTGAAAAAATGCATTAGCAAATTCAATTTGTCTCGACAGAAAAGATACACAACCGCGGAAAAAAAAATTCATATGACGCAGAGTTTTATTCAGAGTAAAAATTTCATTTCTGCAAAAAAAAAAAAACGTGAACCCCGTGGCAAAGTTTCATTTTCCTGATATCGAACAAATTAACACTCACAAAACAAAAAATACACAAAAACCACGTGAAAACGTGTCATTTCATTTTGTTTGATGTGGGTTCAATTATCATTTCCGCTTTCCTCGCGAGTCGTCTTGCGTCTGCATTCAACGTCAAGATGAGTTTTGAACCTTCATAAAATAATTTGTTTCTGAGTTTCTGAGTTGTAAGCGCTAGTAGACTAGGCCCGCGGGACTCCCGGAGTGCCGATCCTCTTTGCTTGCAAATTGGATACGCAAAGTCACGCTGAAGCCCATTCCGGTGGCCGAAGCACAAACTGTTGGCAGCGCGATGCTGACAAAGCGATGATGGGACCCCCGCGGAAAATGCCGTCACGGCTTTCGGCGTCTAGGATACTTAGTTCTGACAAGGCCGAGCGGAGCTCTAGCGCACCGCCTAGTTAGTTCTTATGACTGTATAAAGCTTCCCTAACTTACTATAACTAATATAGCTAGTCATTCAAAAAATTGCGATTCGAATAATGCAATCGACTTGCTTTTTTTAGATTTTGAATATATTGCAGGAAGCTTTCAAAGAACTTGTCGTGATCAGTCCATAGAAACTCGACGACACTAGATCCATGGCGGACGGCGTTCGATCAACTGCGGGGCCGGCTCAACGAAATGAGGTACCAGCCCAATGCTCTAAAAAGCAGCTGAGGGTTTTTTTTTCTGTGTTACATTTCGAAGGAGAAAAAAAATAAGAATGAATTCACAATGACTGAAATCGCTCCTCACTAAAACGAAAAATGAAATTATTGTTGATTCAAAACTGATTGACACCAGTTCAAAGCAGACTAGTCAGGCTTGTGCGAGGTCCAGATTGTCAACCTATCGGCCTTCGTTCATTTCCATAATTTTTGACAGCACCAAGTGAAAAGTAATTTTTTGGCAACTCTGTTTGGATGAAAATTTTTTTGATGAAGTTTGAAAATTTTTTCGAAGCCTGGCTTGGTCCGATGCCGCGCAAGCTTCAAGCTTTCTTTGGGCTTCAATAGGTCGGACCTCAATAACGCAAATCGGCGTCTGGCTGGACTATTTTTTGCGAAGACTTGGGCCAGGCCAATTTTAAAATTTGTAGTTTCTGTTGAACTTTAATCATAAAAAAAAACAAGGAACATGATTTTTGTTGTTTAAAAAAAGCTGTTTTCCGACTTGAACATTACTTTCTTTTTGGGCCTGGTCTTGCTTGAGGCTTCGCTCAGCCTGACCCGGGCCTGGCTCAGAGAATGGCTGAGACCGTTAGGCTGACAAGCCGGCCCTCGCACAGCCCTGTCTCGGACCTCGGTAACGGAAACCAAACGCGCTCCGGACGTTTCTGAGCATTCTAGAGAAGCTCCAACACGTCCGGACATGTTTTTCACATCGTATTTTTTTTGAAATACTGGGAACATTTTAAGTGGCCACTGTAGGGTTTTGACGTTTTAGTTGCCACTATAGTAGTCAAATTAGTAACCACTTAAGGGCTTAAAATTGAGTGGCCACTATAAAGGTCTAAGTGCAACTATATACTAGACCACTTACAATTTTAGTGGCCGCTTTAGGGGTCAATAATTCAACATAACTGGTCCAATATTTTTGTTTTGAAATTATCAGAGTTACTGGAAGGAATACCGGATGAAAGCAATACTGGAAGAAAAACTACTGAAGTGGCCACTAAATAGAGAGCCTTTATAGCGGTCACTATAGAGGTGGGTTTAGTGGCCACTTTAGGGTCCTCTCCAAGTAGTCCTTGCATGGCGTTTTTTTGGCGACGGCCCGCCAATATTTTTTTTCGTAAAGTGTAGTATGTCGTGTGCATACACTGCGGCGCCCTGGCACAGAAGGGTCCGATTTGCCTTACCGAGGTCCGAGCGCCTTTGATATTGACTCAAGAAGGCGCAAAGATTGTTTTCAAACAAGGCTCGACTTTTTGATCCTTCTCACAACGGAGAATGCTAGGCTATAAATGTTGAATTTCAACAGAACTTTTTCATTTTTACAGTGTTAATAGGAGCGTCGAGAATACTGCTTTAAAAACCGTGTTCAAAAAATTTATTGAGTAAATGGGAAGTGTTAATAGCGAGGAATGGCGCGAAGTTTGAACGGCGTCGGAGCTCTTAGTGATGACGTAATGACTTCGACGGGCGGCGCTTTATCTCCCTCAGGCTTCCATTCGAACTTTTGGAGCAATGTACAGAAATACAAGAAGACCTTTGGAATATTTATAAGAAGAAACATTTAATCGGTATCCAACCTCCATTCTCGCAAGATATTCCCCGAGGCAGGATCTTTTGCCTATCGAGAACGGCATGATCCGTTCATCGCGAACGAATTGACCGTTCTGAACCAAAGTTGGGAGCTTGTTGATATTATATATAGTGGATTGATATTACCTAACACGGAGGAAATTTTCGCATTGGTGTCATTCCTTGTTACGTTTGTGGGAGAAGAAAACTCACTTGCAAAAATCTTTCGGCTGAGAAAACTTCTGGGTCTTCGAAATGCTTGGCGTCGATGTGAGCCGACTGGAACTGGGCGATTATTCGGGTTCCAGCCCTCAGATTGTACCCTCAATTCGGCTTTTTAACATTTGATGCGCTATTAGAAACTTCATTCAAATAAAAAAAAATAGAATTTATTGAGAGTACCTTCGCATTTAGTATCCTCCAGCGTGCAGCGGAGGAAATTGACAGGCAGAACGTATCCAAGGCGATAGACTTCTTGGAGAAAGGCGCAAGTGTACGGCAGCAACTTCTGGTCGTCCATCACTACGCCCTGAATAGCTTCATGATGAAATCTTGGGAAACATGCTTTTTTAAAGAATTAGAAGGTATAGGTAGCTATTTTGTAAGTACTGGACTGTATTTGTAAAGCATAAGTAAAAAGGTGTGAGAGAAGAAGAGTGTTCAGACTTCAAAGTTCCGAAATTATAGGATCGTCAAGTTTCAAACGGTTAGGACCTTTAAGTACTGAGAAAAACAGCCGGACAATGATCCTTCTTTCACTCCTAAAAATTCAAACGATACTTTCGAAGAAAAAACTTTTTAAACATGTTTCTTTTTGCTAATTGCAATTTTTTTCAAAAAAAGGTAAGAGAAAAAGACTTACTTTTTTTTCTGTGCTTCTTAAAAAAATACTTAAAAAAATATTGAAGGATATAAAAAATAAAGCGGGCTTTCCGACTTAAAATGGGGTTTGAATAATCGCGCATTTCTTCGCAAACACTTTTGGATAAATGAAAAAATACAGATTCCATCAAACGACCAAAAGAGACATCTCTCCTTGGAAATGAGACCGACCCTCTCGCGACCGACGACGTTGTCCAGCTCTTCGTGGATCCGACTTTGAGCTTCCGGATTGTTGAGCATGTAGAGGAATGCGAAACGGATAACTATGATTATAGTCTCCATTCCAGCGCTGAAGTTTAAAGGTCAAAGAGCAGTTTTTTTTTCCGACAAAGCTAACCTGTACAAGTCGTAAATGGCGACGACGAGCTGTTTCTCTGTGAATCCCTCTGAAATCTTTCTCATAACATTGGGGAGTCCAGATTCAGCATCAAGTGACTTTCGGAGTCTCTGTCATGATATTCGCATCTTCTATAGACCATTTGACGGGACTTGACAATTTTCGAGTGTCTGCGTCTCTCTGTTCCCTAACCGACGAAGTTAGAGAAAAATGAAAAAAACTCGGCAACATGAGAGGGTCGCCGAGAGACGAGGTATGCGTAGGGACCGCAAAGCCACGCCCCTTTTCGCGATAGAAAAAGTGGCTTTTTTTTGGTTTTCAACTTTCATTTTGTTGTAGTTGTAAAATATGTGGAACTGGCGAATAAAATTTGACACACATGTACAGGAAAAGCTTCCTCTTTCGTTTAAAAAAATATTTCACGCTTTTTTTGATGCGTTCTCGCGGAATGTCGTACAAAAAAACGTGAATGGAACTAAAAAAATTTTTGTCGTTTTTTTGCTTTTTTTCATGTGTTTTTTTAGGTCGAACGCACTCTTTCTTTTTTTAAATAATGATTTTGATTCAAGTAACGGTAATTTTAAAACAATAAAATAAAAAATTCGTCTTTGCCAAAAATTTTAGGGAGCGCCGAAAGTCATAATTCAAAATATCGTTAATAAGCGAATATAATCGAGTTTTTGTTTTTTCAAAATTTAGACCATGGTCTTACTTAAATTTTTCTCCACAGCACCTGTGCTTGAAAAAGTTGTTTAATACGCAAAAATGCTCTTGAAACTAGAGAAAAAAATTAGCGGCGTTTATCACACAGAAAGCGGTCGAACGCAGGTTTTTCAAACGATTATATACATTTATTAGTAAAAAAATCTTTCAATTAAAAAGAATAAAAATAAAAAAATTCGTCTTTGCCAAAAAAATTTACGGGGCCGTTTTAATGCAGCGATCGTTAAACGAGGCAAAAAGCACTAAAAAAACAGTTTTTTCGAAGTGAATTTCCACGAAACGTTTGAGTAAAGATTTGCGAACATATTCTGATAAAAATAGCTAAATTACTTCAAGTTTTTATTTTTGAAATAGGCAATCTGTGCTATTCAAACGGCTCAAGGGTATGGGGGATGGAAGCTCCCCGCGTTGGACCTAACAGCTTGGCGCAACGCGTGCGCTCCGATTTTACATTTTGAGGTCGCGAGTTCGATGCCCGCAAGCGCCAGTTTTTTGTTTTCTGGAAAATACCGACTTTTTCGGCAAACTAGCTGATTAGCATCATTTCAGCACTCTATTATGATTTGTTACATCATAATAGACCAGTATCAAAACTTGTTCTAGAAGAAAAATCGAGAAAAATGTCAAAAATGGAAATACCAAATTTTCAGTACTAAAAAAACATGGTGCGCGGCGCGCCACCTTTTCCGTCATAACTTTTTTCATCCTCAATCTTTTTTGAAAAACTAAACGGTTCTGAGTTTTGAATCGAAACAGCTATCGAACCATACAAAGCTCAATGCTGAAAAAATTTTTTTGAAAATTCGTCTGCGGTCCCTAGGTATGCGCAGAGAAAAACAACAATTTCAAGTCGCGAAAAACGGAGGGATAATAAAAAATAGAACTTACAAAACCTCTTCAAACAATTTTTAAGATACAAAACCATTTTTTTTAAAAGAAACCCGGTAAATTTGGTCAAGGAGTTTCTTCTCTTCGAGGGATTATTTGCTAGCCAAGCATGCCTTATTGCGTTTAACTTGAGACGAAAAATTCAATTATTTACGATACTTACCGATGTCGGCGTCAGCCATCCTCAATTTAATCTCCTTGAGATAGGCGTCGATGTAGTTGGTCGGTTCCTCATCGTAGTTGATCGCCTTCTTATGCGTTTCGAGAGTCTAATATCAATAAATTTCGTTTCCAAACAACCTAAATCGTCTGCAACTCTTTCAAGCCTGTCGAGAATCTTGTTGTTGGCCTTCATGGTCGTCGGGATGCCCAGCTGGAGAGGTTTGTCCAGATAAGCAAGGCAGGGCCACGCGTCGAGAAGCTGAGTCTTCGGCGCCGTGAAATGCTCCAGAACCTGCATTTCTATTTTTAACGGATAAGTTAAGTTGGTCTACAGCGGTGCTGCGTAGCTCAACAGGTTGTGTACCTGTCTACGGTCAGTCACAAGCCGCGAGCCAACTAAGGGATTTCAGGAATGTTGGTAGTGGGGAACCACGGCTCCGAAACCCCCAACCGACACACACAAGGACGGATATTTCACAAGGGCCAGTCCACTGATATCAGGATAGAACTTTTCCTCGCCGACGTGGGGCTCTGGCGCCGTTCAACGGTACAAAGATGTAAAATGATGAAGAAAGTTTTAGTTTGTTCTATTAGAGAAACGTTCATATTTTAGTCTCAAACTAGGAATCGAAAAGGATATTTATTCTCCACTAGGACATTGGTGAAACAACGTATTTGCAGTTTGAAAACACCTTTTCGATCTTTTGATTTTACCATGTTTTTGTATTGAACCCGAAATTTTTTGATATCTGGGGGAAGACTCATCGACGTCAAACCTCATTGATTTCGACGTGGAAGTCGAAAATCTCCTTCTCATCCCACTCTCGAGTGAATCCGAACAAGTGCTTGTGGATCACATTACCGACCGCGTGCTGAAGTAATAGATTTTCGTGAAAAATTACCAAAAGCATAATGAAAAACCTACCACAAGGTATTTGCGGAGCTCCATGGGCTCTCCCTTTTCTTTCTCGATCAAAGGAACAAGTCCGCTTGCCAGGTTGGCAATCGTTTCCTGAACTAATAAGGAAAGGCTCTTGAAATTTCTAATCCGAGGATATAAAATAGAGAAAACAGACCTGTGTGCCAGCCTGGCCAACGCCGAGAGATCGGAAAATATGCGAAGTGAACTTTCGCTGGGCCTTATACCAATAGTTCTCCATGAAGAAAAGACCGTAGTTTCCCTGAAACTCACAAGTTTGGCAGAAAGAATGGTTGAAACTGGTACCTGAACAAGCATGTCCATGACAAATGTGTCCGGGCGACCGGCGAAAGCTTCTCCGTTCCGAATCACATTCCTTTTGAGCATCTGTATCTTTTTTGTCATCAAAAGGTTAATCTCAAAGAAAATTCTCGATTCAAACAAATCAAACAGACCACAAAATGTCACAGATCCGTGTGACCAATAATTTTGATTGAAAAGGGCAGAATTATCCAAAAAATAAAATTTTGCCGGTGAGACAACAACGACTGAATAACTTCAATTGACAGTTTTTTGACCTTTAGTAAAATTGCCAAAGTAAAAAAAATAAAAAATCGTGATTGTGAAAATTCATTTCTTGATACAACAGTCTATTCAAAATCACGAACGGAGGAGGTTAAAACTAAAATCACTAAAAAATCTTCAAGATCGAGTAAAACCAACATCATAGTCGCAGATGATGACGGTGGGAAAAGGCAGCCAGAGGGTGAAGATTCCGCCGTACTCCTTCTTGTACTCGTTGATTTGCGTGTCGAACCGTTCCATCGATATTTGGAAGACATTTCCTGGAAACCCTTCGTCTTCCGTCGACCGCCGCCGCCTTACCGACGATCGGGAAAGGCGTCGGTCCTGGAGGAAGACCTCGGAGACGGTTGACGTTTTTGCAAAGAACGAAGACCACTATAAGAAGTAGGACGAGAAGCTCGATTATCATCTACTGTAACTTTATTGGTTTTTCTTTTTCGAATCACCGGTTTCAGGTTGACATGAAAATAATGAAAGCATGCTTACTTTAGGTTTAATTAGGTTTAATTTGTAATTGTCGAGTGGCAAAAAATTTTTTTTTCAAAAAGCGAAAAATCAACTTACATCTGTCTAGAGGACAGATGTAAGTTGATTTTTCTCTAAACTTCTCCAATTTTCTTCTTCTATTACTATAGCACTTTAAGCTCTGTCATTGGTTGAAAAGTGAAGCAAGGATGTGAAGAAAGATATTCAAGCAAAAATAAATTTTCGAACAGATTTTGATGTGATCAGCAGAGTAAAATGGGGCTTTTTTATTTGAAAACTTGTTCAAATACTGTCTGATGCATATAGGCCCTCAAAGTCTCATCCAGCGATAAATAATAAAAGAGAAGAGGAAATGAAAAAAAAAATCATTGACCGTCTTAATGGGTCATGCGAAACTTTCAAAGCAATCGCCTCGAAAAATAAATTTTTGCAGTTTGAGACAGGACTTCATTCGGAACATAAAATAGTTTCTGACAAGGTCTTTTTCGGTATGAATTTTTTAATTTGTTATAAAATCGCTCAGACACTTTTTGAAGGTCTATGTCAAGATCCTGAAATGTTTTTTTTTTGTTTTGAATACATGAGCTTTCAAGGACAGGATACAAACCTGGAAAAAAATTTTCTCAACTTTGAAAAGTCGTATTTTAATTCTAGTGATTTGCGACGGCAGATATAACCAGAAAGCTTCATCTAGACACGTAAACTTTTGAGCAAGTTTATGAACAATTCAAAAAACACACTAAAATAAACTCCCTTAGGGAAACTTCCCAAAATTCAAGAATTCGAAGTAACATGGCCTTTTTGTAATAAAGCTAGAGGAATTCAGAGAATTTCAAACCAAGGAGGTCAACTGCGCTACCCAAAGTTTCAAAATTTCCAATTGTTTGACGAGTCGGAGGAAACTTGAGAGCGAACTCCTCATATCCGGGTTCAAAGTGAGCAAGTCAGACCGATGGTGACGGTAATCTGCGAACCGTGCCAATTAAATAGGTTGGTGAGCAGGCGTAACTCGGTCCGTCGTCGGAATTATCGTCGGCTCTGCGCTATTTCACATCCGCTTTTTTTTCGTCCGTTCAAGAGATCTTCTCCTCGTGCAACTTTGGTCAACGCCCCCGCTTGACACTTTTAATGACATCCATTCAAAATTTTGCAAGCGTCATATTTTGGAATGATCCGGCGGTAAAGGGAAAAATACGGTGCAAAGGACACACATTTTTTTTTTGAATACTTTTCTCGTTGATTATTTGAGACAGTTTCTCGATAGAAAGTTCAAGATTACTCTATTATTCTCCTGATTATAGCGTTTCCGTCTTCAAAGTATAAGATAAGTTTAAAAAACTTTCAAGTATACTGCAAGAAAAAAACCTAACCAAAATATCCTACCATGACCGCTTTGAGCAGGGGTGAGCCCTTCAGGGAACTCTTGCGAAGCCGCATCTTGCCCAATCACTGAAAAAAAAGTAATTTTATTTTATTCCAAACATGTATCCTTCATCATGCAGCTCCGGCTTTGAAAAAAGTTTACTATAAATAATAAATCAACTTTTTTTCGTATGAAGTAAACGTTAAAAACTTTTAACTAAAAAAATTTTATAAGTTGTGAGCCAAAAATTTTAACTTTTTGAAAGGTTTCTCCAAATTAAAAAACTCATTAGAGGTCATTTCTATCGAAAATCATAAAAAACCAACAAAAAAAGATACAGTTTACTACAAAAAAAGAGGTGGCAGTCCTGAATTTTTTCAAAAAATGCAAGCTTATTCGAAGCTCAGAGACCTTAACTTTTTTCGATCTAAAATTTCCAAATTTCCGGAAACAAAAATTTCAAAACGAGCTCCGCAACGAAGTCAAACTGTAAAAAAAGCTACATAAATTTTTTTAGACTGGATTCTAAATCCAAAAAAATCGTTTATGAATAATTCACAATAATGAACCGTCTGTAACTGTTTATTTAATTTTTGACGTCTAACGGTCTAATTTTTATTTTTCTTTCAAAATCATTTTTATCAGTAAAACGTTCGACAAAAGGGGAACACAAACAGCAAAAAAGGTACGTGTGAAAGCGTTATCACCAGAGATCGCCTTTTGAATTGGCAATGTATCATAATTGTTGCGGTGAGCAAGAGATGCAAAAATATGTTTTCGGTTGATGTAAGACGCCATTGACGGCTCTACAGGTCGAGGTATAAAAGCGGGAGAAACTCCGGAAAAGGCAGCTCCTGAGCTTCTGCTTTCAAATCCCTTCAAGATGCGATTCTCCTTCGTCCTCTGCGCCGTCCTCGCCATTCTGGCCGTCGCCATTCTTCCCAACAACGGAGCTTCGGCCGCTCAATGCCGAAGAACCAAATGTCACACTCACAGCAGCCAGAACGAGTGCAATGGTCAGTCCGTCATTTTTCAGTTCAAATTGTTTCTTTGTACAACGGCGAACTGTCCCTAAAAGCTCCTAAATCTTGGTAACTAACAGTTTTTTTAGGCCTCAAAAATTTTACATTCTCGGACATCGGTAACGCGAAACGAACGTGCTCCGGACGTTTCTGGGCAATACTAGGGGTCACTTAAGAGTGCTGAGGCTACTAAAGTGGTCACTAGAAATGTCCCGTCCGATTAACGTCCCTTTCGCGTTAACAAGGTCCGAGTTGAGGATTCCAATCCCGAAAATCAACAGTAGAGCAAACTATTCCTCAAAAAAAAAAAGCCGAAAGCTAAAGCTTAAAACTTTCTGAATTTTAAAAATTGAAGAACTTAATTAAGATCCTTCTTACAGCCTTATTATAATTCAAGCCAAAAATTAGAATTTCTGATTCACAAATCTCATTTAGGCCTTTCAGCTTTGAAAAAAACTAACTTTTGAATTTTCTCCAAAACATGATTTTCCAGGTGACGAGTACGTGGCCAAGTGGGGCTACTGCTGGGGCGTCGCCGGCAAATGGGAGAGCTGCTGCAAAAAATAAACCGCTCGACCGACTTTTTCTCTGTAAATTCTTGTAAAAATCATGGGCTTTTCTCGAAAATAAATTTGATTTCAATCTGAGCGAAGATTTTTATAAGACAAGAATGATGATAATCAAGCTTGGAGCTAACTCGAGCATATGAAAAACTTATGAGAAAAGATCTTCAATCCACGCTAAAAAGCTTCTTCTTAGTCTTTTAACTCGCCCAAGCTCTGTACTATTAAAATAATAGTTACCCTAGTCTAGCTTTAAAAAATGGTACAATCTCTTATTAGGGGTTTTTTCTCAGCTCACAACGGAGCTTTTGAATGAGACTAGATTTACTAGATGCGGTCTTTGATTTTTTTTTTTTTCAATTCCAAATCTGGTCCTTAACATACGCGGAGATTCGAAAGCTCGTATCTAAATTGGAAAGTCGTTCCCGAAAAAAAAAACATGGTTTTTCTTGACGAACGACCAGAACTATCACACCCTCAAAAAATTAGCTCCATCGGAACCATCGAATTTTTCGACTTTGACAGACCCTAACTTTTTTCGCAGGGTTGGAGGTCATCTGAGACCAGCTTTGAAATCAGCGTTAAAAACTGCGTCTAGTGAGTCTGATCTCAAGAAGAAGTCCCAACTGTGAGCCGAGAACATTCCCTATATCAAAAAGCTTTTTTTTTTAAAGATCTCGACAAAACGCTTTGGGAATAGTCTCAATAGATCGACGCTACTGATACTTTTCCGATTGATCTTCCTGACAAAAGTTTTATAACTTAACCAATGATTTTGACATAATTGTAAAAACTCTAAATCTGTTCATTTTTCCCTTCAATAATAAATTAAAATTGCACTTTTGAGAACTCCTTTTTGCATAATCAGCTCCATTAACATGAAACCTCTTTTTTTCAAAAATTTTATTTTTTTCAAAGAACCAGTTTCAAAAAAACCCAGAAGTTGTTTTCTAAATTCAAAAATAGACTAGGATGTACAAAGTGAACAACTTGAAACAAAACCTGAAAAAATACTACAAAAACTGAAAAATGAGAGAAAAAACGGGAATGCTCTTGTTCAAAGTTCATGTTCATTCTCCTCTTGCGTAGAATTGTAGATCATGTACGATTTTTCGTTCACATGTAACTGAAATTCAGGAATAAGCTGGTTCTCCTTGAAAACTATCTCACCAGGATATGCTCGATGCCATTCTTCTCGACGAATTCTTTCGCCTCCAAAGGCTGAACAGCGGTCTTTTTCTCCACTATGTTGTTACATTCGACAACCTGAAAACCAAAATGATACAAAAAAAAGAATCAAAGGCATCCAGGTAAAATTCGACATGCAAAGATTGATCGTTCAAAAAATAGCCTGGATAGGAGAGCCAGACTTGTGCATCAGGCGGTACAGCCTAGCCCGGGCTTCAAGCCTCATTTTTGCAAAGAAGCCTTTGCGGGCTTGGGGCTCTTCAAAAATACGTTCTTTTAAACTCGAAACTTCCACCGAAAAATTCTTTTTATTGTTTGAATCGTAGTTTTTGTGGAACTGTAAATGAAAAAATAATGAAAAACCTGATTTTTATCGTAGAACAGTCTGATATTTTACTTGAAGAAAGTTGCGCCTTTTCCGCCGGACCCCGTAATTTTGCTTAAGGGGTCAGTAAGACCGGACTGCGTCAGTTTTTAAAGATGGCCGGGATCCCAATAAGCTAATGGTCCGACCCTCGCACAAGTCTGTTTTAGTGCCGCCTATAGGGGGAGGTAAGGTGATTTCTAGAGGAAAACCTACAAGGACCTCTAAGGTTTCTTCTCAAGGGACCACTCTGGCGTTCCTAAGCAATAGCCTGAAATTAGAGCCGAAACAAGCGTTCGAGCAATGTGAAAGTCTGCTCCATGGCAATTTCAAATTTAGGTTTATCCAACTTTTACAATTTTTTCGAATTTTATTTTTTCGTTTTTTTCAAATTCCAATATATCCGGGGACACTACCAAGTTTGAATTTAATGAAAAGAGATCAAAATTTTCATTTAGTTGGCGCGAAATGGAAATCCGGGTTTCTTTTCTGGACGACCAATAATCAAAAGCCTTTCTACCATATATATACTCAAGATCAAACCACGTTGTCCATATGCTCCAGAGTGGTGAAAGTGCAGGAGGAAAAGTAGATCTTCAACTTTTCGCGCAGCTAAAAAGGCTTCGTTTTGAGATTTGAGGAAATCTATCCGACCTGGACCACTTCTGTACTAGTCTCAAGACCACTCCCAGCAAGAACGTTCATAGCAATCACACCTGGAAAACGATTCAAAGTGGATTGACAGGGTTTATCTTTAAAAGACCCTTGTTTCCAATGACTTTTTTGATGTTGCTCAGGGTAGAGTCTTGAAGGAAACCGACGATCGGACAGGTCCATTCATCGCGGAAGTCGTTGTTGCACGCGTCCAGAATTAGCGCATTTACCGTATCTCCTTAAATTTTTTTTTTAGAAAGATTTCATTCCGATGTTCATGAAAAACAGACCTGCCTCAGCCATGTCCTGCAGAACTTTGAGCCCGTCGGCTTCGAGAACTCGCGCCTTTTCGCTCTGCCGAACTCCGAAATAATCCCGCGAAATGTCGATCATAAGGGGATCGATTTCAACGCCGGTCACATTGAACTGAAGAAAAAGAATCTATTTTTTTAACTATCAAGAAAATTCACATTGGGAAAGTTGGCTGACAAATAATTCATGATGGCTCCGCCGCCAGTTCCTATAGCTAGTACATCAGCTTTCGCTTGTAGGTTCATCGGCACGGCCCCGCTCGTGAAAATAAACTCTGAAGTTAGTGCCTACAGAAGGTGATAATGAAAAAAATTATCATTTGTGAGACTAAAGATCCAATAAAAAAATGATGAGAAAAATTCTATATTTTTTTGAATAAAGAGTAGAAATCGGTAACCTCAAAAATAAAAATTCAAGTTTCGCACCAAAAATAAAAAGGAAGTCGTACCTTTGATGTATTTTGATACCCGCTTCGAAACCCCGTACCAACTCAAAAATGGAACAGAGCAATTTTAAGATAAGTAAAGTTTAAAAAGCGTTTCTAACAGGCTACCAAAGGGTGAAATTTATCAAAAATAAGAAATAAATTATCTTCCCAAAAATATCACTTGTTTTGCTCCCCATGAAACTATAAACAATCTACCTATCAACCTGCCGTTGTAGCCCATTCGGTCAATAACTCGCTTGTCGATCTCCCAATCCCTCGTGTTCAGAGAGCGCATAGTAGGCCGTACTGAAAAAAAAACTATCTTCGTAATATTGGTGGCTAAGTGGTAGTGTGCTCGCTTACCGTAGGGAAGGGCCAGGTTCAACTCCCGGCCCATTTTCTTTTTTGTTTACCTGGCTGTTTCAGCTTGATCATGGAGATGCATCCTTCTGGAAGACCAACTTGATGAATGACACGCGTCGCAAAATGAACTCTTGAGGTAGAAAAGTCAGATAAAGACGAAAAATCAAATCAAACCCTTTCTCATCCTTTCCAAAGACGTCTCTCACATGGAAACACTCGGTTTTCCCACAAATGTGACCTCTCAAAGATTTTCAATGAAAATTTCAAAAAATCTTGTGAGCTTACACCACACGACTGCCTCCATACTTGTGCTCGAGTTCCTCAAATAACTCCTTGTTTGAGAGAATTCTCCGCGACTTCTCGAGGTCCTCGTCATGAGTGTGAAACATCACAAACAGAAGAAACTGCAACGAAAAACTCCCGATGGAAATTTTGGAAAAAGCTTACAAGGGAGGTCATTTTAGTGTGAATTTTCGAATCATCTATAAAATTTCCAAAGCGATATCTGAAGGTATAGATGCGAATCTTCCATAGTAGTAACCTAGAAAAATTTCCGTTTTGAGGATATAGCTTTCTTTAGGCAAATTGGCAGCTTCAAGATATAAAAAAGTATTGGCAACTTCAAAATCTTCAGAAGACTTCAAAAAAGGAAGTTGCAATTATGATGAACTCCAGACCTTCACATAGCGTTCGGACAAAATTACACGTAGTTCGAAACCCCACATTAAAATGACCTCTCTTATTAAACTCAAAGTTTTTGAGACACAAAACCGACCACAAAAGTCAAAGAGAAGGCGAAGCCGGCACGAAAATGCTTCGAGGAGAAAATATCAAAGCTCGAAGCTTCCGAGCTTGTTTTCGACGTTTCATCATCTGATCCCTTCGCCATTTTTGTTTTGTTCAGTACTTATAAAGCAGTGAATGTAATGGTCGATGGAGGGTAGAAAAAATATCGAGACACACGTTTCAAACGATTTTCCCAGCGGTCCATTACGATCCCATTTGCGTGAGAAGAGCAATCACGCACTGTTGAAAACTTTCATCCAATCGGCACATTTTATGAGAACGTTGAAACTGAAATACGAATACTTGAGAAGATCTGCTCTTAAAATAAATAATTGATATGTAAAAAAAAAAGAAAGAACACGGCGAAAGAGTTGAAGATAGTTTTAGAGAAAAAAAACTCCTAATAAAAAAAAAATGGAAAAACCATGGTCAAATGAGCTTTTTATCGTGTCTTTTCAAGTTTCTTGCCTAGAAGTTTCTTTCAAAAGAGAACAGACAGACGGCAGGAAAAATTGAAAAGAAGGTTCACACAAATTCACACTCTACAAAAAGTGGAAAAACTATTTTTCTATACCGATTCTCAATAATATATTAAAAGTTCGTTCCTACGTTCCTGTGAACGAAACAAGAAAGGCAAACAAGAGCGCTTGTGTAATTTTTAATGAGGGGAAATTTCCATCAATGGCAAAAGTGTAAACTGCGAGAAAAAAAATATCGTCTTTTTTCGAGGAACTTGTTCGAAATTTACTAAAAGTTAAAACTCAATTGTAAAATTGATATCTTTTGACAATAATCGCCTGTCGAAAATGATGTCTCGGTGTTATCAAGAAAGTTTCTCGACAGCTGCCCTTTTGAATGAAGCTTTGCTTCCCCATCATCAAATGTCACTCTGGAGCAGCCGGAGCCAGCGTCCGTTGTGGTCTAGTGGTTAGGATTTACGGCTCTCACCCGTAAGGCCCGGGTTCGATTCCCGGCAACGGAAGATACGTTTTTGCTTTTTGTCTACGAATAGACAAAACGAAACTATAAACTACAAAAGACAGCAGCCCTTTTGAATGAAGCTTTGCTTCCCCATCATCAAATGTCACTCTGGAGCAGCTGGAGCCAGCGTCCGTTGTGGTCTAGTGGTTAGGATTTACGGCTCTCACCCGTAAGGCCCGGGTTCGATTCCCGGCAACGGAAGATACATTTTTGCTTTTTGTCTACGAATAGACAAAACGAAACTATAAACTACAAAAGACAGCAGCCCTTTTGAATGAAGCTTTGCTTCCCCATCATCAAATGTCACTCTGGAGCAACTGGAACCAGCGTCTGTTGTGGTCTAGTGGTTAGGATTTACGGCTCTCACCCGTAAGGCCCGGGTTCGATTCCCGGCAACGGAAGATACATTTTTGCTTTTTGTCTACGAATAGACAAAACGAAACTATAAACTACAAAAGACAGCAGCCCTTTTGAATGAAGCTTTGCTTCCCCATCATCAAATGTCACTCTGGAGCAACTGGAACCAGCGTCTGTTGTGGTCTAGTGGTTAGGGTTTACGGCTCTCACCCGTAAGGCCCGGGTTCGATTCCCGGCAACGGAAGATACATTTTTGCTTTTTGTCTACGAATAGACAAAACGAAACTATAAACTACAAAAGACAGCAGCCCTTTTGAATGAAGCTTTGCTTCCCCATCATCAAATGTCACTCTGGAGCAACTGGAACCAGCGTCCGTTGTGGTCTAGTGGTTAGGATTTACGGCTCTCACCCGTAAGGCCCGGGTTCGATTCCCGGCAACGGAAGATACATTTTTGCTTTTCTTTCCTACAAAAAAGACAAAGGATTGGGAAGAAAAATTGGATAAATTGGCGCGAGAATGCAGGAGGCCCTTCTACCTTTCACAAACTTTCCATCCATTTTCCATTCTCTTATACGAAAAATCCTATTTCTGTTCTTTTTTTAATGTAACTTTTTCTTCGAGATTGGATGTATATTGAAAGCTTAAAGTTTAAAGTAATTTTATTCAGTTTTTTTTTGAGTATACCGATCGAAATAAAGCTCTGAAAAGCAAAAAAAAAAGAAAAAGAAAAGTTTTAGCAGTAGTAATAAATAGTGGCAGACTCCTAGTGAAACACAAAAATGAGATTGTTTGCCCTTCAGGTTGGTGTTTACCGTGCTGTTTTTCAGGACACGTTGTCTTGTTTCCCCCCTTTTTTATTGCGAAGTTCGAAAGAAGGGTGGGAAACTAGTATTTCTCAACGTTTACACATTTTTTTGAAAGTAAAATATCAAATAGACAAGATGCCTGAAGCTAAAGTAAGCGTGAAGCTTTTCTTTCAATTCACAGAATAATAACGAGATAGAGTCAAAAAATATTCCTTCTCAGTAGTTACTGATAAGATACAGTAGCCTATCAAGTCCAAAAAACACTCACTTTAAAAAAAGTATATATCCCATGACCGTAGTCGCACATGGAATGGCTCAGAGCGTCGCGGCTGAAATATAGTCCAAAGCTTGCTTGAATTCCAGTAGGGAACTCGCAAAAGTCGTGTTTATCCGGATAGCTCCAAAAAAAACCGCTTCACAACCGTTACACCTAGTTAGGATTAATTGAAAAAAACAATATCGCTCAACTTTACTCTTATAAAAAAAACCTGTGAAACAGTATTAAGGTTCCGAAAACTACCCGGCCTCGATTATGTTGAGAGGAATATCAGGTTGAAAAGAAGTCCTTGAAAAGGATACATTATCTTCTTCTAGACTGGATCAAGCTTTGGCTGCAGAGACGATTCAACTGTCTGATACCTTATCTATTGGTAAATCATTTATCAATGAACTTATTCATTCAAAATAATTGAAGTTTCTGGGGTGCATTTACTTCATGTACCTTCTCGCGGACCTCAGATACTCTTCAATATCCAAACCTGCAGCCGAGAACTTTTTGAACAAAAAAGAATTTTTCGAGGAGCTCAACGAAAAATATTTTGGTGGGAAGTTTGCGAGTCGGACTGTGTGAGTTGGAGAAATCCTTCCAATAAAATTCTAAATATTCAGAGGCAAGGAATGTGTCAACCAAGTGGACACTGAATGTTATTACGCGCTTGATCAGTTGGTGCAAAATCCAGAAGGGTTTCTTTTTTCGATCTTTTTTCTGATTTTTTATTGGTAAGTTGAGATTAATGAATAACTTTCAACTACAGGGAGTACTATGTAATACGCCTTCTCACTTGGAACTCCGTCGTAGTCGAAGGCGGCGTGATTTCTCTGAGAAAATTGATCACACCAGGTGAGACAGTCCCTAGAGGCCGTTATTGAGGAAAACGGTTCTTCATTCAAAAAAAAAACTCCATTATCTAGGATTTTAAAATGTTTGCTCCTGTTTTTGGGATTTTTTCTAAAATCGAGTAACGTCAGAAATAGACCAAAACATTCATAAAAAACCAAACTTCAAAAATTGTTTTCTTTCTGTTAAATAATTTTGCAAACCAATCTCAATAAGAACTTCAAGTTTTTTTTTATAAAAAAGACTCGAATTCAATTCACTGTTCAGCCGTTAAAAACCGACAGAACATGGACACGACCTATTGGGAAGTCAATCCAAAAGTCATCGACAACATCATGACAGTCCGCTACATGTTGGGTGCGTTAAACCATTGAAATATCCTACTTAAGTCAATATAACCTTGAGCTTCTGCGACGCAATAAGTGAGTCAATGACAAAAAAATTTTAAAAAAATAAAAATTTTTCTTGACGCAACTTTTGCTTTTTAACTTTGAAATACTGTGTGGGTACGAAATGACAGCAAAAAAATCTTTTGAAATGTGAAATTTTGAAGAAAAATAATTTTGAGAAAAATCAAAAAAAGAGGAGAAAAAAATTTTGAACATGAGAGCTCCTTGGCAACTCGGTCGCTTCACAATGAATCTTTCAGAAGGGATGTTTGTTAGCGGCGCCGTCGAGATGTCGTCCGAAGCGACGGGCGACGTCCTGGTGATTGGAATCGGCGGCGGAGATCTCGTCAACCATTTCGCTTCCGTCTATCCCAATGTTAGTACTTTCTCCAAATCGCTAATATTTCAAAAAGCTCCACAGATCAAAGTCACTGCCGTTGACATCAGTTCAGTCGTCGTGGAGTTTGGCCGGAAATACTTTGGGTTGAGAGACCATCCAAACACAAAAATACAGATCCGATATGGAGAGGAGATTCTGCGAGAGTACGCTCAACAAGGTTCTTCTGAGCGAAATCAGGAACGTTGAACTTTCTCTGATCAGGAAAAGTTGTGAACGCTATTCACGTAGACGCCTGTTTCAATGAACTGATCCAAGGCGGATGGGCCTGTCCAGTGCCGACGTTCGCGACAGAAGAAGTTATGAAGGACATGGCGGCGGTCATTGGGAGCAAAGGTCTCTTTTTTATCCCCTCCAACTTCTAGTGGAAAAACTCCTTTTTTCAGGAATAGTCACGTTCAATATGCTTTATGGCATCACGGCAAAGCAGAAGGAAATGGTTGGAGAGGTAAAGTTTTTGAGAGGAATGGAACAAAACGGAACATTTCCAGTTCCTTCAAATATTGTCTCCTTTCTTCAGAAACTGCTATGTATATAGCCTTCCGTTGCTGCCAAACAATGTGAGCTATTAAACTTTCTACTCGAGAATGTTTATCTTTAGGTGATCGCTTGTCACAACTTTCCATCAGGTGGTAACTTGGAATTAACAAAGGAATCCAAAAAGTTCATGAAAGACCACGGTACTGAGCTTTTACTGGTAAGAAGCCTTTTTTTCTGGTTCTTATAAAAAGGAAAATTCAGCAAGACGTCGGCTTTACCTTCAATAAGTACCAAAAAAGAAGGATTCCGGACGAGTCTTTGTAGACTTTACACAACTACTATTTATTTTTTTTAATAAAATTTGTTGGTTTCCCTCCTCGGAAAATAGAGATAAAATTTGGAACGAAATAAAAAACGAAAGCTGCCCGCAAACAAGAAGATTAGCATATAGAGTTGTCGCGCTTCACTGAAACCCCGGAAGGCCGGTTTTGAACTAAAATTGCGTAAGTTAAAAAAAAAAAAGCGTTTTTTGTTTTTGTTTATTAAAGATCTTTTTGGCGGAAAAAATGTATTCGGATCACGCGAGTTACTCCAAGGCACTTTGAAGACAAATGAAATTAACAGCTAATTGAACGCATCTGTTCTCTTCCACCCACTATTCATCAGACGAGAAGCCGTCTTGGAGAAGCTTCAAAGAGCCCTTTTTGGGAATAAGCGGCCGCCACTGTAGGTCCGTCGTTTTGAGGCTTTTCGACTGATCGAACCGGTTCCTACCAAAGCCGACAAGACATCGCTATTGTAGTTTTCCCCCTCCCATACTCTGCTCATGTCTTTTTTCTCAGTTATCCTCTTCCCTCTTGAGGCAGGCCTGTTTTTATTACCGAACATTTTTCATACGAGTATGAGACCAGGGTAAAACACAATCTTGCATTCATCAAAATATTTTGTCGCTGAACAAATCAAAAAACCGAAAAATTAATTCAATTTTTAAAAAGCAGACGTGACTTTGAGACCATTTTTGGTGATGAAAAGTAAACTTCACCAGCCAAATTTTAAAAAAAGACTTTCATTCATTCCCCGTCTTTTTTCGACTCACGTTTTTAGTGCTTCCTTCGTGGCTTTTTGACTGTTTCAAGATTCCTTCGACAGCGAACTTTCTATCGGTAGGCCTCAGGTTTACTACAGCTTTGACTCTGATCCAACCAAATCGAACTCATTACGACCTGAAAATTGAAGAATTATGAATTAACATAAGCTATCTAGTTAACCTTTGAAACGCGTCCAAAGTGATTTCACAAATTCGAAAAATATTAGAGAGCTCACTGAAGGAATTCTAAATACATCTAGTAACAACTTGAAAATGTTTTTTTTTTCTTATTTCAGAGAATTACTTTGAACAAGTCATAAGAAATTATTGCGCCGGTGTCTTTTTTTATCTTATTTTGAATGTTTATTTTTTTATTTTTTTTATTTTTTTAAAAATCTCATTATCAAGATTAAAAAAAGAAAAACAATAGAAAAATGAGATTGTCGGTGTCTTAATGAAAAACTCCGATGTGGGTCAACGCAGAAGAATCGGCCCCGTACACGCCAATTTGTTCTTTTTTTCCGCCTGATCGCTTGTTTTCTTGCCAAAAGATTTGAGTGTTCCCAGTTACTCTCGAAAATCCCCTTCAACTTCAGTTTTAATTTCAAAAATAAAAAAACTATGTGAAATATCAATGCTTTTTCTTTTTAGGCTCATAACGATCTACTTGAAACTGCTAATAATTCTTCACTTTTTGACGTATTAAAAGTTCTTGTAAGGAAAAATCGCGCCTCTATTTTTTTCTGTAGGTTATTAACGTTTTAATTGGATTGCATTGTTCGTAACTAATCCCGAACTTAACGGTCGCATAAAGATATTTCGACTTTTATGAATCTCACTTGAAAAACCTCTTTCCAAATATTCTCGATTCATCGAGACAATCATTCTCAAATAGAAAACTAACATGGCAAAAAAACGACGCATTAGTTTTAGGTTTTTATAAGTGAAAATTAAATTGAACATATGAAAAAATTAATTGAAGGAATAACAATCAAGAAAACTTTTTTAAAGAGGGAAAGCTTTTAAAAGTTGAAAATTTTTAAACGACGTTCCGTTTTGTCCATAGAGCAGCTTCGAAGTGGGGACATATTTTTCGAAGCAAGTGGAATTTTTTGTTCACGGAAAATTTTTTTTGGACTTGAAACGCGTCCAACACAAATTTTCCGTTGCTAACATGCTCAGTTCTAATCCCGTGTTCAAAGTGATTCCGCGAAATTCAAAATAGCCGTCAGGGGATGAAAAAAGGCAACTAAATTTTGGAGTGCCAGAGATAATTTCGCATTTCGAAAGATTTTCGTTGCACACGGCATTGGGATAGCGTAAAAATCGTATAAAAAACCGTAGATGGATGAGTTTTTTTTTAAAAACTAAACTACGTATCGATTAAACTTTAATAGATGTGACTTTTGGCCTAGGGACCACTAGTGCGAGGTGTTAACCTGAGGGCCAACATTCGATGGCGACAGTCCAGTTCCAATCCATTTTCTCGCGCCGCGAAGACGTCTTCTTTTCCCGACCGCCCATCCGACTGCGCCGGAGTTTCTTTTCATGTCATCGGCCGATCTTACACTTCCCGTCCGTTCATCTTCCTTCTTTTTTATCGATTTATCAACTCTCTCCTGATACCTCAGGTTGTTCAAATGGTGTTTAAATGTTTTTGAACAGAATTAGAGTTTGAAAAAATATTGCAATTTGTGTTTTCACGTTCCTATAAAGTCTGTTGAAAAAACCCGTGGTAAAGTTTATTTTCTAACTCCAGGGAGATTTTACAAACAAACTTTTTAAGAAAATCCCGTTAGCTTTTTTAGAAAAGTATCTCAATTCTTTTTGCTTTTTGGTATTTTCAGCAACCTAACCGTTTTATTGAAAGTTCACTTATTTGGATTTTGACAAGCTCATAATGAATCGAATATGCTGTAATGCAACGTTACGTATTAAACTTATAAGAAGTTGAAGTCATGGTACCGCGTTCAAGGTTCAAAAATATTTATTCGTATTGCCCACAACTTTCCTGAAATTGTTTGATGGGGTGGAAAGTATTTAAAGTTCGGTTTCAACTTCTCATTAAAAAGCTCTTAAAATCCAATATGAGAATAAAAGATTGTTTTTCTCATTTTTTTTCCGTTTTTATCACCGCCACTTTGCTTTTTTTGCAAAACTTTGGATCAGAAAGCGATTCAGAATCGAACCATTTCTCTAACCTGTTTGCGTTTGCCCCGTTCATTTCATCAAAGATCGAAATAGGTTTCTTTATCACTGCTTGACCTTTCCTCTAAGTACTTTCCAAAATTTTCAATTCCATTTCAATATTTATGCTGTTTTTGAACGATGACTAATACGGAACTGCGTTGCTAATTATTCTCGCTGCTCCAGATTTGTTCTGCTCCGATGATTCGCTTGAACTTTCAATTCTCATCAGTGCATGAAATCAATTTGCTTCTGAAAGAAGAATTTCCTCCATCAAACCATTCTCAAAAAATTTTTTAATACTTATAATCACTCATTTTTTACAGATTTGAACTTTTAAAAAGTTTAAATTAAGAAAACACGGGTAACATCAAACCGAAGGTCCTGCGAAAAAGAAAAGGACATAAGTGACGTCACTTAAAACATGGCGATGACGTGGGTTTCGATGCCTGACGTGCAGCACGTCAAGAAATTCTTCCGGAAGATCATCTACGAGGAAGACGTTGACTACGACCAATTCGAGTCAAAGTTGGTCTGATTTCAAAGTATTAAGTTGGGTCCTCAAACTTTTAGCAGTGAACTATTTTTTTTTCTCCCATGGGAAAAGAAAATAGTAGATGAAGATGACTAGTATCGCTTACTCTTCTAATTCTTGTTCAATGAAGAATAAAATGCTTTATAAAGATACTTTGTAGGATCGATGGATCAGACATTGTTACTTTCCGAGAAAACGACAAGGCTTTCCGCTTATTTGGGACCAATGTTCATGTCAAGGTTGCCTTGATCTTTCAGAACCTTATCATATTTCGAATCTCCAGATTGGCTCCTACATTGCCTGTGGAATCGGTTTCATTATCACCTTGCTTTTTTGCATATCCTACACATTTTTCCACACCCGAGGCCTTGGCCGCAACCCCTTTATTGACCACTTGGAATTAGGTAAGTCCTCAGAAAGGAAAATAATCAATGTATTTTTATATTCCAGTTGATTTGGTTTACGCTTTTGTTATTGGACTTCCCTGCCACGTTTTACTCTTTCTCGGGTTGAAACAAGAAAAAAAGATGTATTTCAGGTTAGATTCCGTACCATTTTCGAAAAAAAGCAAAAAATTGTGAATTTCAGTCCATTTTTGGTTTTTTACGTGACCAACTTCATTTTGAACTGTGTTTTCACGGCGCTGACGTTGATCGCTTTCGCCATGGACATTCATCAGAAAATATTCGGAAACGTTCGGTTTGACCTGGGCTGGACTGTTTTCCAGGTATTAGAATTTTTGAAAATTTTGAAAGGGAAATTTTTTTTCAGATTGTTTTCACGGCTGCCCAAGGACTGGCGATTTATGTGGTGATGCGCGGCCGGAAATACGTAGCCGCCAAGGATCACTGGAAAAGGAAAAGCAACGAGGTGAATCTTCACTGTAGTTGTTCATGGAACCCATTCTGCGCCAGCTTGTCTCTATTTATAAGAAACTGTTAATTTGACTAAATTTCGCTTCGGGACCTTTTTTGCATTCTTCAAGAGCAGAAATTTTAAGTATGTGGCGAACGAGTTGCGTAAATTGAACCGCCTCACTGAAATCCTTTTTTGAAAATGTTTTGACCAGCATGATTTTTTTCAATATTTTTTAATTAGTCTCGGAAAAGGTCTCTAATTGTGAATTTTTCTTCATTTTTATAAAAAAAAGTTTTTCTCTATGTATCGAGAATTTCTTTAATAGCGCACCTGGAGGCTGGCTCATTTGTCATCAACAAAACAATTTTTTTTGAAATCAACTTGACTTCAACGGGCTTTCAAGTATATCACTTATACATTTTTCGGAACAAGTGGAAAGAGTCTGACCTTTTTTTTTTCCTTTTTCTCTCGTCCGCCAGGTACTAGGAACATAGATAATAGGACTTACATGAGAAAAAAAAGAGGGCGCAGGGAAAACGGAAAGTTTTCATTTGGGACGAATGGTGTATTTTATTGATTATTTTGATCAAAAAAATTAATTTAAAAAAACATTTTCAATAAATAAGTTCTTGTAATGACTGAAGAATCGACTTGGGTCGCAACTTCTTGTGGAATGTAATTTAAATCAAAAAATTCAAAATTCACTTGATTTCAATGTTACCAGAAAAAATTTTCCCGTTGTATCTATCATCTCATTTAGGCTTTAATAATCAGTTCAAACCTTTTTTCCGAAGCCCAATATTTCATTCTTCTCTTTCAGCGCCACGGTTCGGTCGTTGCCGACGGCGTAACATTTGACGGTCAGACCCACGAGAACGTCGTTTAAATTCATCACTGGTTTTTTCCGCTCTTCCAAAGATGTTGTTCGTGTTTGTTGAGACTTTTCCCATGTATTAAGATTTTCCTTTCAATCGATAATAATTTTTATTTTTCCTGACGATCTTTAGAGAGATTATTCTTGTTAGAGACAAATTTTCCCATGTTTCATCGCTATACTCATTCCAGAAGACAACCCAATCATTTTGAGCCCCTTTGACAAATTGATATCTTTTCAATGAGAAAAAATGTAAATAAAAGACTATTTTTTTGGGTCTGAATGAGAAATAACTGAAGTAATCACAGTATATCTAAAACAACAGAAGCGGGTGTCCAGTAATGCATTTTTCGTCCGGAAAGCCGCCGACGCCAATCAAAACGGCCATGGCGCAACTAAGATCCCGCTGGACGAACCACCGAATCTGATTTCCAACGACTCAAATCCCTGCAATCTTCACTTTTTTCCGTCTCGTTGAAAAATGGCCATTTTTTCGAGGTTTTTTTTCTCATTTTCCAGTTTAATTTGTGTTCTCTTGTAGCTCAGTGAACAGATACAGGAAAATTTTCAATTTTTCTTTAAATTTGAAATTCCTTGACCGCATTTGGAATGGCTCAACACTAGGCGGTTGAAAGACGACTTTTTCGGAGCCAGGTCGAAAAATATTATAAAGTTTCTAATTGTAAAATCGACTACAGTTCGCAACGTAGCCTCACTGTTCGAAGCCAATTTCCAAATGCGACTATGGATTTTTGAGACTTTTTTCGCTTCAAATAAAAAATTTTAGTTCTTATTTTTTCACTCTTATTTTTTCAATGAATAATAAAACATATAAAAGTTATAATTCACTCTCTCTAAAAATTATCCAAAAATTGAGTGTTTATAACATTTTAATATTACAAATCCCTAACTTCCTTCGAGTCAAAAAAAAAACCAAAAAACAGCTGATTTTTGATTAGTTCTCTCACCAAAGAACGGCTCCTGAAAAATTGAAGTCGAATGAAGCCGAAATTGAAACCTTAAAAGCTTTGAAGTGTGCTTGAAACCGGATCGGGCGGTTCCTGTTTGTGTGCCATTCCTTTTTTGCAGATTCATTTTTTGGAGGAAAAAATTGAGAATGAGCTGATAAAAACCCGAGCTTGCTATCAAATGAGTTAGGAATGAAAAATTGCACGGGGAAATGAAAAACGACTGAGAAAGCCTCATATCTTATTTACGTGACGAAAGGCCTACTCGTGAGATTGGCCCAATTAACCACGACCTCCCCAGAGCTATTCCTTTGGCCCGAGAAAAAAAAGAAGGTTCGCCTTTTTATTTCCGTTCCTTCATCCCTTCAGCCAAATTTCCGTTTCTTCATATTTCGGTTATTGCCCTTGTTTTGGATCTCAAATTGGCACAATTCGCGCGAGGTTAGCTTTGTGTTGCTTCATTCAACTGAGTTGCTCTTTCTTTCTTTCAAAACCTTAGTTCGGTCATTTGAGACACAATTTCGATCTTTGTACAAAGAAAATAACTTGACTTCCATTAATTTTCAGCTTCAAAAAAATATAATACTTGCTTCTAACATTGTGCGCTTTTAGATCTGCGTCAGCACTCTTTTTTTTTTCTTGCAGTTTTTAAAATTTTTCTGAGAAAAATTCAAGTGGTCACTTTAAGGATTTGACGTTCCAGAGGCCGCTATAGTAGTCGAATTAGAGGACACTTTAGTGGCCACTTTAGAGGTCTAAGTGGTACTACTACTACACTAAAAACTACAAGTGGCCACTAAGATACAAAATAATGGCTTCTACAAAGATAATTTAGTGGCGACCTTAGTGTCCTCTCCAAGTAGTCCTTGAAGAGCCTATGAAGTGGCCATTAGAGTGTTTTCATAGTAGAGCTTTTCAAAACGCTTATTTATCGCCTATTTTCGAACTCCGAAATCCAAAAAAACTATATTTCTATCACTTCGAACCATTCATCACGTTCACGAAATGCTGAAAAAGTTTTTTTCCCGAGAAAATTTTCATTTAAAATGCACGAAAAAGTAAAAAATGTTAAAATTCACAACCAAACCCATCAAGAAAGCCAATTTTTCTTCTTCGAATCATATTTTCTCACATTTGTTTCCGCCAAAAGCGAAAAAGATACAAATTGACACAATCAAACACAATGGCTATGTAAACTGTGAATAAGCGACCATTTGTTTTGACAGCATGAATAATTTCCGATTTCGCGCAGTTCCCTTGCTCAATTATGGCCTTCTTTTTGTTCTCTCTTCCATTTTTGGCTTCTCGGTTGCTTCTCAACTTTTCTTTTGTGTTCTCAAGTAAAGGTTATTCTCGGAAACCTAGCTTTAAGGTGCTCGGAACGCATCACTTCGTTCTACGACCTTAAATCTTGTCTCAAGACCCAAAATTCGAAGTGCCTAAAAAGGAAGATGATTTTTCTTTGCAGTTACTCCTTGATGAATCAGATGTGAGTCTAAATCTGTAAAAACGTCTATTTTTTTGAGAAAGACACTTGAAAGTCAAAGAAAACGCTCGAAATCTGTTAAAATAGGCTATTTCGAGGCGTTCAGCCCTCATTTCTCAAAAACTAGGAAACTGGGCAGCTTTAGACTTTCAGAATCTTTTTTTCTGGTACAAAATGAGTGTTTTGGCCAAGTTTTAACAAATTACAGACCGCTAAGTAAATTGACCTCCCTTGTGGGAAATTCCGCAACAAAAATGTCTGTTTCTCTCCAATCAGAGTGAATTTCAGCACATTTTCTCTAATTTTCCAATCTCAGCACGTTGAAACCCAAAACGGCTTCGGCTCTTGAAGCTTCATCCTTGAAATTTCATTGAAACACTATAACTTTATTCTCACGATTCTTCTGGTTTTATATTTTCTAGCTGTTCGCTATATCGTAGTTTCTCTCCCAACTTCGAAACTTCAGGAAAATAGTTTGGTTGGTAGTGAAGTCTTGTTTCTTGTGAGGAGTTATCGCCTAGAAATATCGATAGTTTGAAATGAATGTTTTTTTCTTCCCTTCCTCTTGAACTTCCTAAACATTCTGATGAAAACTTCAGCAGGACTTAGAATATGTGCAACTAATTGCTGCCTCATTAAAAAGGCGTCAAGAAAAGTCTGCGTGACGACAGAAACGGAAGCAAATTTTGAGTTTTTTGAGAGAAAATCTTTAAATTGTGAACTTATCGCACCTTTGTGGATCTCAAAAGTGAGACGCGAGAAAATGAAAAAATAAGTGATTGATTTTTCTTTGAAAATCGACCGACAAAATGAGGATTTTGATATCTTCCCTGTTCTTTTTGAAGCAATGTGATTCTAGAAAAGGGCTTTCAAATTAATTTTGCGATTTTCACAGCTCTTTTGCCATTTTCATGTACTCAAAAAGACATTAGGAATGATTTCAAGGTCATTTTTCTATATATTCTTAGCTTCTTCATAACTCCTTCTGAAGATCCTCAGTTTTATCGAACGATTCTACATCTCCGAACCCAGCCAACTGGTTCAAGAACCACTCGAGCTTTTGCTGAGCGATGTAGAAAAGCGTTGACTTGTTGGTTCACGGTGGAGCGAACCTCTTGTTCCATCGGCGGTCAATCTAAACGCTTTTTATGGAACGTCGAGGCTTTTAAGCTCGGCCTGGATTACAAAGGCGTTTACTCTATGTTTGCAGTCGACCGTTAATCTTTTATGTTCGACGATTTTGGACCTTTTCGTCTTTTTTTTTCCTCCTTGGAGCAATTTTTGACGGCAATTTGTGACGCAAAACTCTTTTTTCACTTCCTTTCTACCTTCGATCCCGGAAAACGTTTTCTAAATAGAAAAGAAAATCTCTAGGAGAAACTAACAAGTCTTATGTTACATAGAAAAAGGACACCGCTTAATTATCCACACTAGAAGAGAAAAAAACCCGCGCTGTTTGAATCTTTTTTCTTTACAGCCGAGGCATCCTGAGGCTTTTAAGGAGAAATTTAAATTCAGGTCAAATAATTGGTCAATATGTTCATTTTTACTCCACTAACAAGTCCTAAATAGTTTAAAATAAGTTCTATTTTCACTTTAGAATCATTTCAAGTAAGATGAGCTCGTTATTTTCTATCCATGTAAAAAAAATAGAATGAGCCCAAAGTTTTTGAATATTCACCCTAATTTGAAGTTAACTATGTATTTTTTTTCACCTTTTTTTTCGGTTAAGCCGCGCAAGTACAAAATTCAATTAGTCCAGAGGGAGAGGTTGACTTGCAAAAAATCTAATGATACGAAATTTGAAAAAAAACAGTAAGCCCCAAGGAGGTAGTGTTGACAAAATAAAAAGTAAGTTCTCCAACGCTCTTAAAAAATTGAAATGTGAGCTTTACTCTATAAAATTGTCCTTTTTAACCTTATTTTTTTTTTCAAATAATAACAGCTCTGATATGGGAGTCGTAGTCCTGGTGGCGTTGCAGCGGAGCATTGTAGCCACTCGAAAAACCGCCTTTCTTTTCATTTTCCAGCTCTCGATTTCGCGTTCCCACGGCTCCAACTTTTCCACACCACAGCTGTCCGCACTTTTATTGACACAGGCTGGCTCGTTTAATAATTTTGAGTGCTTCGCAATTTTTTCCCAATTTTTTATGAGTTATGTTTTTTTCCACAATATCCAAATACTATAATAATTAAGTAATCATAGGTTTGAACTTTGAAATTTCATTTGGTTTAAAATTTAACGCCTGAAAGTTGTTCAGTAAGGTGTTTTTCAAGAAGAAATTTTTGTTAGTTGTGGGTACCACTCAAGAAATCAAGAGAAACACGAAAATTCTTCAAAAAAAAAAAATAGAAAAAGTTGCAAAAAAACTGTTCATACTGTCTTGATCAAAGACGGCTATCTCTTTTTTTCCGAAAGTGATTTGTAATTTCTAAACTTCATATAAATATTTCTTCTTAAAGCATATTATGTGTTCCATCTGGATTAGAGAAGCCAAGATTATACACAAAAACCTAGTTATTCTTAGCAACTCAAAAAAAAATCCAAGTCTCGACTCAACGTCTTCTCTTTTTAGATCGCTTATCAGGAATATTTGAATAGCAGTGAAGAACCTATGAAGCCGATATCCGCAAATACATCGCCTTTTTCGAGGCACTTCTCAAAAAAAGGCTGCTTCATCGCCACATTTTCAATCTGAAAAAAAAGCGGACAAGCCCATTTTTTTCTGCTTCGAGGCACTGAAACGTTGTATCCGGCTAAAGTTTCCTTCCAATTTTTTCCCCTCAAAAAAGGCTTTCCACCTGCCTTTTTCATTGACTCGAAATCTATACTATAATTTTTATTAGATTTTTTGGAGATTTTTAGAGATTTCTGAACTTTGAAACTTACTCCTTTGCAAATAGTTTCACGAAATGGTCCAATTAAATATTTACTGCAGCCGTGGAATCGACTGGCTGTCAATCATTTCGGACTGATCTCCTGATCATTATTTCTATACAATATTAAAAAAACATTATTTCTTAATTAAAAAAATATTTTTTTAATTGAACTTGAAAGTTTAAAAAAATTTCGGGGTAGATATGCATATTACAGAGATAAATGAATAAAAAAGAGAGAAATTTTCAAAAGTGAAAATATTTTAAACTTTCTCACACGCAAATAAAAAGTCTGTCCAAAATGTGCATAGAAGGCTCAAAAACTTGTCCGCAATGGGAAAACTTTAGTGCCAACCTAAGAGGTTCCTCAAGGAGTATTTCGAGAAGACATTAAAGTGGCCACTAAACCACTTCTATAGAAGCCACTATTTTGCGTCTTATTGGGCACTGTAGTATTTTTAGTGGTCTAGTAGTACCACTTAGACTTCTAAAGAGGCCACTAATTCGACAACAATAATGAGCAGGCCTTAAAATGGCCCTAAAATGACCACTAAAATTTTTTTTATTTTCTAAATTTTCTGAAAATTTCTTAGCAGTGCTTGTAGACTTCTTGAAAGCATGAAATGGCTGTTATTCTATGTCTTCTCCGTTTTTTTTTTTTCGATGAAACATGAGTGCTATATTTGTTGGCAGTTCACGAAATGAATAATTCTCCGCTCGGACATGAGCTATTCGTGAAAAAGAGCGCAATCCGCCACGGGAAAATGTCGTGTTTTCGTGGGTTTAGCCGCGCTTTTTTTTCCTACCGACCAACATAATTTTTGTAAAATCGTCATTACATGAATTTGAAGCTAGCCCAAAGGTTTTTCAGAAGTGGAACTTCCGTTTTTTTTTTGCAGATTTTCAAGCTTCCTGGTAGTATTACTGAGATTCAAAAACTTCTTCCTGTTTTCAAACAAGGAAAAATTAATTGAAAGATGAACATTTTCATTGTTTCTTCCTAATTCCAACGTAAAGCGCAATTGCGGCCGGAATCTGCTGAAATATTCATATCAACTATTTGAGTAACTTCGTCCTTTTGCTCTCCTCTTCTACTATTTTTCATCCAAAGTTTTTTTATTTTCTAAAAATTAAATTCCTTTCTTTTTCCCAGACTACTAATTTTTTTTATATTTGTCTGAAAAATGAAGTAGTGAAAATTTTTAGAAAAATTCAATGGCTCTCAGTGATTTACGAAGTTCGACCAAAATTTTTTTAGAAACTGTCTGACCTGTCTGCGGTCTCTTTTCTCTCACAGGCGAGGTCATAGAAAAATGAAAATAACACCTAAATATTAGGGCGTCAGTGAAAGAAAAGAAGACGCAGAGTCATCAGACTGCTCCAATTGTTTATGAATAAAAAAATTTTTTTATTCTGATTTTATTTTTTTCTTACTGAAATGCTGGAAAAATTTTTTTGATCCGTTTTTCCTTTTCGTAAAATAAGAACTACAAACGCCATCAAAATAATAACCTAAATTGAATAGGAAAAATCATTTTTTACATCCGTATTCTTTGACAGTTCGAAGACTATTTCAGTATTATTCCGCTGATCTTTCAAATTAGGCCTAAGTCCAGCGGTCGTACTCCATCCGAAGTAACCCGAAAAAGTCCACCTAACCGCCCTGCACGTGAAATATTCACGACGGAACGCGGCCATTGTTCGAGTCTTGGCCCCGCCCCTTTTTTCAGCTTATTCCTTTTGATCTACCTCTCGTCCATAATCGCCCACGCGATTCTTGCAAACTCTGCAACTTTTCTTGTTTCTTAGCGAGATTTCAAAATTTTCATTTGTGTAAAAAAAAAAAGGAGTTTCCTTCTCGCGAAACAGACTTTCAACAAAAGACTTTTTTGGTTTGAATTTTCATGTATTCCAGTATCGCTTGGGCTGTTTTTTAAAACTTATTATCCTAAATCTCAGACAACCAACAAGTTTTCTGTAGCTCGAGCCCAGAGACCTGATGAATTCATGAAAAAAGATACAAAAATGATAGGAAATTCTCGTCATGCTATGGGATAAAAAACCTGTTTGAAAGAATACAGCAAAAAAATCCATTAAAAAGCGGAAGTTTTCAAAAATAGACCTCAACAGTAGGCTTTCAGACGCACCCCAACCCTTTTTTGGTTGAGAATCCGCCTTATTGTTGCCTTTCGGCGACTTCCACGTGCCTCTTTGTTCTTGCCTCTCACAAGTCGCACAGCCGTGCTCATTTGCACAGCTTGTTTTCCACAATATCTTCTGTTCAGGCTAGTTTTCCTTTTGGAGTCTCTTTTTTCCATTCCAATACAGATAATACCAAAAAAATTTCCTCTTTTTTATTTTGCTTATGAAAATGAGTTCTAAGAAAGCTTTTTTTTATACGCCCCATTGTTCTCTCGCCATTTACTCATGATTCCTGGTCTGCTGAGCAAAAGCAAAAGAAAAGTGAGGACCTAAGCCATCAGTGTTGAATATGAACACCAGAAAAAGCCTACCACAAAAGTGCATCTCAGCTTTCACATGAACGCCGTTGTTCTCGTCTTTTTGTCTTTTTTCGCCTGAGTGGCTTCAGAAGTCGCAAATTTCGCGCATCCAAAGAGCGCCGTTCGTTTTTTTTACACTTTGTCGGATTGCCTCAGGGGCAATCGCGTCATTCTGCAAGCTTTATTTGGTGTATTTTTCCTCAAAAAAGAAACATCGTTTGCATCTCGTCTTTTAAGATCACTTATTTTGGCAATTATTTACAGAGAAAAATGATGAAAAAGAGCTGAAGACTCCGAGCAAAATGACAAATATGGACTTGCCGACGACGCCAATCGGCAAGCAACAAGTGATTGATCTTCGTGCGGGAGCCATTCTTCGGGAAAACTCCAGGTTTTCAAATTCGCTTTCTAGAAAAAGGCTTGCGAGTCGAGCGTAAGTCATGTTCCTCTGAAGAATAGCTCGTTCAAAAATCGTTCTAGAACGTTTCAAAAAGCATGAACCTATTTTGAAGGTAGTACAGAAAATATTTCGAAAAAAAAATTGATGCCGTGTTCAAAGTAATTTCCGCGAAATGCAAAATGATCTCTGACTCTCCAAAATTTAGTGATCTTTTCCTTTCTCTAACGGGTATTTTGCATTTCGCAGAAATTACTTTGAACACGGCCTGAAAACGACAGTATCTGCGCGGCGTTTGTAGCGCTTTTACTGCGTACATCCCACAGTCAAAACATGGATTATTACGAGCAAAAAGGATTTTTATTATTTTTTTATTGTTTTAGCCCCTTGAATGTTTCATGACGAGTTAGAAGTTGTTTCTGAGTATTGAAAGTAGACAAGACCAATGTGGTTACAATGACTTTAATTTAATTTGATGCAATCTGAAATTCCATTGAAAGCCGAAATACTTTGAACGCTTGAAAACGTTAGAAGACGTGATTCCATTGGGAGAAATCCGCAATGAATCTTTTTTTGTTTTGAGGCGAAGTTTTTTTCATTTTTTCGCGACCTCGAGGCCATCGCTCAAATTCTTTTTTCGCTTCTCGAATTTGGACTGCCATATTTCATGAAAAATCCGGAATTTTTTCTATCTGAGAGTTCTAGTCGATTGAAGAATGGGGAAGTTTTTTTGTCTAATGTGAGCGATCTCAGAAAGAGCAACCAGTATTTGGGATGTCCCGTCGGCGTTCTTCTGATTCTCGTGGTGATGCTCAAGTCGGCCATCATTGGCGCCTGGATCATCAGAGGCAAGAATTCCAATAGCTAATATTTGAATAAAATCGAAAATTGCAGAATACAGTCACTTCGATTTTGTTTGCAACTCTTTGGACCAGAACTCGTTGATCAGAGTAAAAAGATGGACCCCCTTGTAAGCTTCTTTATTTCTGATCAGACTGGCTCAATCATAATTTTATAAGTAAAAAATACCTTATTATGAAATTGGCTTTTCTGGTAGCATCATGGAAAAACATATTGTTAAAGCAACAGCAATTCGGAAGCTCTCGACCCACGGACCTTTGCCAAAGATGATAACGAACTGGAAAATGAGCTTCGGACGGGCGAAGAAATCATCAAAAAAGCGAAGAAACGGCCCGTTTTAGGTGAGTTGGTCTTTTTTTTTAATATATGCTGTATGATTATAAGTTTTTTTTAAGTTGCGTATAGAATTTCTCAGAAAGCTGCGGTTCAAAATAGGTTTCTTACATTTTGACCGAAAGGTCGACAAAAATTTGATGGATCTTAGCTGAAGCAGCTTCAGAACTTTCCAGTAAAATGGTTCGACCATTTCAAAAGAGAGCTGATAATGAGATATTTCAAAAAAATATAGTCGAAAGAGCATAAAAGATTAAACTTCCATTAAAAAACATGGTTTGTCTTCTAGTTGCAATAAACTGAATTAGAAATCGGAAGCTTTGTAATTGGGAAGGGCTGATGCACCTTTTCAAGAAGATTATGAAGCTTTCAGTAAATTCCCCGCGTAATTTTTTTCTATTTTGAACATGGAAAAATCAGGTGGCAGCCGACGCGGAGCTTCGTCTTCCAATACATACGAGCTGGGCCCAATCGGAGCAAATTTGCGCGTCTCCCCAGAAGCCGTCGAAGAAGACGACGACATGACGCCTTCGACGGTCGTCACGTTGACCAACACCCAGCTGATTCCTCTGAAAGGCAACGACCACGGCACCGTCAAGTAATTCCTTCCTACAAACTCTGAAAGCTGATTAGTGCTCTCAGGATGAAGACGATTCGCAACCGAGTCGAAAAGATTGGGTCCGACGAAGAGCAGTTCATCGAGATCAACATCGCAGACGCGCCTCGGATCTACGTCTCGAAGATCAAGTCGAGAAATGGAGGCGATGACCAAGAAGACGAGTTCGACCTTCTCAAAGACTTGATAACGGATCAAGATGATAAAAAGGTTTTCTCATTTGAGAATTTCGATCGACTCTCAAAGGTATTTCCAGAAGAAGCGGAAGAAAGGTAAAGGGTTGAAAAAAGCGAAAAAGTTGGAGGAGGAGAAGCAGAAAAGCCTCAACAACACAGAAAACCTGGAGAACGCCAAGAAAGAGAAAAAGCTGAAGGGAAAGGGCAAAAAGAGCAAGAAGAACAACTCCACAGGAGGTTTGAAAAATGATGAGCGCAGAAGATGAAAAAATGCTTCAGATGACGTCACGGAAATGACAAAAGCGCCGCGACATCTCTTCACGGGCGCCGGATACAACGCTCCGACGACGTCTCGACCTCATCAGAGCAGCTGGATCAACGGCGTCGTCGATCCAGACGATCCTCTTTTCTCCAATCAAGGTTTCTTATTTTTTCAATCGATCGCTTTGCTTGATGGGTTGGGTCAGATTTTGCGTCAGAAATAAATTCCGTTCAAAATTTAAAAAAAAAAACGTTTATTGGAAAAATCAGGCTCCATCCGCGGCTATCCGATGAAAACGGCATCGCAAAAGCCGGCCGTGCCTTCTTCGGTCGAACTCAAAATCTCGAACACGACGCGGATCATGTGGGAAATGGACGAACTCAACTTCACCACTTTCATGTCTCCAGTGACCACGGAAACCACGAGGACCGTCGTCGAGGAAGTCGAAATCAAAAAAGTAACAAGTTCCGGACCAACTGAATTCATTCAAAGTTTCAGATTCCCTCGAGACCGACCATGGGATCTGTTTTTGCAGATCCGAATCCGCAGGCAACCCAATTGGCTCCCAAAAATGAGCCCAAGCCTCCGGTTCCCATTTTCGGCAACCCTGAATCGAATCCAGAATCTGTTAGAACGGAAATCGTCCAGAAGGAAACGGAGCCTCGGAAAATGCTTCCTGTAGAGGCCGCAAAAGCTGCCACAACAACTGGTGAGTTTTTTCGATTTTCAGTTTTATCTGAAAACTCGTAGAAATGCGTCGAATTTCAGCGCGAGTCTGGCTTCCGCCCAAGAACCCCGATCATCATTTTGAAGAAACTGACGAGCTCAACGAGCAGCGAACTCGATACGAGGTTCGTTTTGAAAAATCGTTATAATTGAAAACTCCTAAAAAATTAACGATAAAATATCCAATTTTCTATAGATCTAGCCTAGTTTTTTGAAGTAAACTAATTCTTCAAAATGGTTTCATTGCTTCAAAATTTTTTTATTTTATTTTTTTTTTCATATTTTCTGATACCTGGATTTTTCACAGAATTTCGTGTCTTGTTCAAGGTAGTTTCCGCGAAAAAAAATTATCTCTGACTCTCCAAAATTTAGTCATTTTGTTTTACTGTCTGGTGGCTAGTTTGAATCTCTCAGAATCACTTTCAACACGGCATTATCCAGAAAATATTGGCAATTAATGAAAAAAAGTAGCAGAAAAGAATGGGTTTTTATTTTTTCTTTTTTTAAAGGTTTTTCTTCATAAGATGGGGCTTTTTTTGCGCTAGAAAGTGGCTTTTGTTCAATTTTCTTAAAAATTCACACTACCAAGAAAAAAATATATCAAAAAAATAAGACAGGTTCTTAAGAATATAATTTCGAACTGAAAAAAAAAATCTGAAAATCTGAAAATGGACAGGAATAATGAAATTTTGACTTTTTCCTTTTTTTTTTATGCCCAACTAAACCATTTTGAGCATGGAATCGGCCCAAATCTTTTCCCTCAATAACTTGCCTCCAATCAACCTCTACTAGTTTCCCACCTGTAATGGCAGAAGGCTCAAACAACTGACGATTGATTGAGTGCTTGGGCCAAGGCCCAACTGCCGATCAATCGCTGGTTCGCGCCTCCCGCAGGAAGTGCGACCAGCAAGGGTCAACCAGGTACTGATCTCCCGAACGGGAAGGTCAGCTGCCCTCTTTTTTTCTTTTCCAACGTGCTTCTGGCACCTTTTCGAAAAGTTCACACTTTGCTTGGTGATCGTAATTAAACTTTTTATGAGTCCTAGTTTTTTTGATATCTACTTTAAATGGATGGTGAACATTAAAAAACATCTATTTGTCTTTCAAGTTGTTTTTAATAAGAAAGATTTTTGTAAAAAGTTAAGAAGAATGGAATTGTTGAGTCAAAAATCAAAATGGAAACCAGAAAAATTAGTTGATTCGAGATAAGAAAAATCAACGCGCGAGTCATTTTAAGTAAGAGACGCTTTGAACAAGCCGCTCTTCGGAAAATATTCGTTGAGCCATTTTTCGGTGGTATGAAAAAAGACCAGCGAAAGTTCAAACGGCGACTTTTCCGATTTTTTCTTTTCGCTAGAGAACTTTCCGACGGACACCTTTCCGACGAATTTTTTTCCGTCTTTTTTCTCGATGAACTTTTTTTGTTTTGAATCTTCCTATATAAAGTAGGTAGTTGGTTCATGATTAAAAACACAAAGAAATAGGAAAAAAATGTTAACAGATGTTTTATAAACCGAAAAAAATATGAGGGAAAAAAAGTCGGAAAGGGATTCGGAAAGTTCCCTAGCGATATGAAACAATCGGAAAAGTTGTCTTCTGAAATTTCGCTGAATTGTTTTTATTATACAATCCATTTTTCATGCTACCAAAGAATAGAAATCCCCGGAATTTTCGTTACAAAAATGAAAGTTTTTAAGTCCGAAGAGCAAGTTTTGGAGCCGGTGAACCCGGCGTTCCTCGGAAACCGTTTCGGGTCGGCCACCGAGTCTTCGCCGTTCTTCGTCGACGACGCGGACACCGTCAAGGTCTCCGTCAAAGATTTGCCGGTCATCGCGAATGTTCCGCAGCAGCCGCCGGCTCACGACCCGGAACACTTCGAGGTGAGGTCAGAAATGGTTCTACTCAGTGATTTCTCCTAGGCTGAGCTCTCTCGCTTCACGTCTTCTGCTGCCTGCTTTTCCAGGATAGCTTTCGACGTCTGGTGCTGCGTCACGGTGAGATTGGTTCTTTTTTCTACCTGGGGTTTATCCAGAGGGTTTTGAAAGTTGTGGAGAGTTATTTTCTATAAATCTAGATCAGTCTCTTTTTTTTTAGCTACTCGCCACCGTCCCTACAATCCTTGGAGTTTGTCGACCTGTCTGGAGTCTTTTCATCGTCCAAATCGTCTGCGACGTCGCCTGCCTCGTCGTCGGTTTCGTCATCAGGTTTTCCGAGAACCTTTTTCGTCAATTACATTAAATTCGTTTCCAGCTTCACACTTGCACTTTTGTCGATAATCGTGTACTTCATGGTTGATGAAATGACCTCCGATGCACTTTTCCAGCTGCTTTTCATTTCGTTTTCGATCGGTCGGTTTTTTTTTCTGATTTTATTAGACCATGCTAAAATTGTTTTCAAACTCTTTTCCTCTTTGAAAATTTGAATAAAAAAATATTACAGTAGTTAAATTTGCCAATTTCTGGTTTTTTTATTTTGGAGATATTAAGTTTCGAAATTTCAATGTAGTTGATTGCCTTATCTCCGTGAACGCGAATATTGAAAAATTAATATCCTCAAAAAAATTAAAAATTTTCACAAGGAAACTTAAACATTCGGGGAGCTTGAGTGAACTTTCCAAAAAAATTACAAATTTCAAAAATAACAATGTAAGTTTTTTTTTTAGTGACCATATCAAATTTTGGTTAAACTGGGCTAGAAGGTATTTTTGGACCTTTTGAACACGAGAGAACTTTTCTCAATAGATTCAATCTCCGAGTTTTGACGTTCTTCTTTATATTTAGAACATGAGAATCGAGAAAAAAGAATTTATTACCAAACATTTTTGTGTTCTGGAACCGAGCCAGCTTAATTTTATCCAAAAATTGAACGGTCTCCTAAAAAGTTTCCCTTGTAAAATATTTTGCCTTGCCAGTTGAATATCTTCAGCCGTGGCGTTGTTCCTGTACTCAACAATAGTCGTCGTCGGCTTCCGATGTTGCAACCGACTTGTCAGGAACTACCGGAAAGACGGCAACGACAATTTCGCCCCGCAGAGTGCCGACGAAGTTTGACTGAGTCAATGTTTCACTTCGAAACAAAGAGATCTCCGTTCACTTTCCTCCCCAAACAACTTCTGCCATGTCATTTTCACTTTTGCACCCTCGATTCGATATACTTCATCTCATATCCCTTAATAGACCACTTCGGAATTTCGGTATTGTTCATAAATACGGGCCTTTGCATTTCTCATAAACATTATTAAAATTTCTTTGATTTTGCATAAAAAGTTGAAAAAGATGGTCTTTCTAAAAAAACGTGTGTAATTTGAACAGAAAGTTCGAGGCTGCCAGTTTAAAACAACTCTCAAAACAAAAAAAAAATATTTTTCAAACTTCACAGAATCAGCTTTTTTTTGAAACCCGCAAGATTGTGTTGGAAATTTTGTATCTTTTTTAATTTTTTTGAAATTCGTTAAAATGAACTTTTACAGTTTCTTTTCAGAAACGTACGTCGAAAATGTCCTTGAGAGTTAGCGGATCACCAAGATTTTAATTTCACGATTGCCAACTAGTTTTTTTTTGAACTCTATGCACTGTTAATTAACATTAGTTTGAGCTAATTATAAGTGTTCCGGGAAAACCCTCGGGGAGAGCTATTTGAACATTGTCCGAGGTGTGAACTGCGACTTCAAAAGATTCTCTCTCGGGAGTGTGAACCACGACGACCGTCATTGACCGGCATCGAAGCGCCAAGAGCACGGTGCTCGGAGCGTCGTCGACCCCGTGGTGACCTGGCGCGAACTTGGGACGCCGCCCAAGCTCCGCCCACCTTCTTGCGCAACAATTCCATCTCCGCACAGTTACCTCATTCTGTACAGCCACAAAATGCAGCAGCCACCGCCTCAACCTCCCACTGAACTGCCTGGTCTCGCGCTCCAACGCCAAATTCCTCCACCGACAGCCATCAATTCGCAACAGCAGTTCCCCGGCATGTTCCAGCCCTTCAACAACGGCTTCTTCCCACCGCCCGAGGTCGCCTTCCCTTCACCTTCGCCGATTCTTATGGCTCAAGCCTTGCTCAATGCGGCTGCAATCATCCAACAACAGCAGCAACAAGCACAGCATCAACAGCAACAACAGCAGATTTTTAACGGTTTCCAGCAGTTAGCAGTGCCTCCGCCAGTTCAACACCTTCCACCGCACGATGACAGGTTTATCTTTGAAATCTTAAAAACGAAAAACCGTCATCTCGAAATTTGAATTTTTGTAACGATCAATACGCCTTTATTCCTTGATTGGCGCAAAATGATTACCATGTAAAAACATTTATTTTCGAATTTCTTTTTTAACTTTTTTTTTCGAAAGGTCGCTTTGGAGTAATAAAGAAGTTTTCGCCAAATATATAGTTCTGAAATAACATCCTAATTTTTTTTCTTTTTGTTTCATTTTTTAGGCAAAATGTTTTTGTAGTTTCCCCATTTAGCTCCCATCTTATTATTTTCCAATCTTTTTTAGTTTCAGAGACTCGGGAACAGAGTCAAGATGCGCTTCCATGACCCCCAGCAACGCCTCGCCTGCTCTTTCACGTTCACCTTCGCATTCATCCAGGTATATTTTGATTTATGTCTTCTTGCTTTATTTTATTTTTATATCACTTTTTTCTCGCTCAAGTGTCAAAAGGTTCTTGGCCATTTTCCTAACCTTCAGAAATTGATTTAAAAAAACGTTTTTGGGCGTCTTATAACATTTTTTTGAACATACCTCGCATATAATGGTGTCTTCACTAATTTGATTTGTTTTTCGAGTAAGACTTCTAGAAAGAGAACATTGGAATCGACTATTCGGAAATGAGAGGATTATAGCTTAATTTATAGGCAGTTTAGAGAAGTCATTCGGGAATAAAATAAAAGGTCCTGTATTTATCGAAACGTTACTAGTTTAGCTATTTCGAGATATAGATTCCTAAAAATTACAAAAGAGGAGAAAGTCAGAAAGTTTCCTGGCTCCGGAACAGGCGGCGCAGTATTGAGCTGCCGCCATCGCACTGTCTAAAAAAAAGCGTTTTTTTATTAGCAGTAGGAAAATGGATGACCTCGGATGACTTCTAAGCGCGAGTTGATGCGAAATCTTATCTCCGCGCTCACCTCATCATCAAACAGAGCACCAGGTGTACAGAGGTTGGCCTGATGACGTGAGGTGCGCGGGTGGCCACCGGTCAAAGTTGTTTTTCACGTTTGCCACGGTGCCACGGCGTCTGGGATCTCGCAAATCGCTCCGCTATCCTCCCCGGCTCGTGTGACCTCATGCTCCGACCATCGGGGTTGCGTCACCAGGCGGAGGTCGTCGGCCCAAGCACTCTGGCGCCTTTCACCTCGAGAGCGGCTCCTTTCTTGGGAGGCGGTGGCTAGTTTACGGTGTGATCGACTGCTCGGGACATCACCTGCCCGACGCTCTTTTTATTGGCCATTTTCCAAGATTGGTAGTGTGCTCAGAATAGTGCGTTAAAAAAATACAATATTGTACAGTTAGAACAGCTGAGGTGCTTGAAGGTTGATAGGTGAACTTGAGGAAGGTCTTTTGACTACGTTGTGTTTTTTTAATGATCAAAGTTCGCCTTTGAAACCAAAGAACGTCTTCCACTACCCTATGGTCCATTAAGAAAATCAAAGTCCTTTTTTTAAGCTATAACTGTGTTCAAAAAAATCGCTTCATCGTAAATTTTTTCACAAAAAAACTGTCAAAAAGATGATTCTTTAATATGTTATGAAAGTTCACTACACTATGAAAAAAATTCTATAAATTTTAAAATGTTCCAAAAGTTCTAAATTTGAGAAAAAGCAAAATTTAACGGTGTAATGATAACATTTTTTCGAATTCTAGAAAGAAATCATTCTTTTCAATTTTCGAGAAAATTTTTTTCACATAAGTGACCTTCATAAGTAAGCGAATAACTTTTAGCAAAAGTCAATATTTTTTCTCTTTTTCTTTTATAAATTAGCTTTTCTTAAACTTCTTGAAAATTCTCCCAACTCAAGTAAGTCGATTTTTTCTGTTTAGCCTGTGACAAAACGGCAAACGATTTTGGTAAATCCTCTGCTATTAGGCGATCAGCCACACTTATTAGGGAAGCAGACGTTGACGGGCAAGATGATATCTACTATTGCGCGAATGAACTAGCGCTGTTGCACCTGCCCACGATTCCTGTGCTCTTTTTTGGGTGAGAGCACATGGCACCCTGCTGTTTACCCTATTACGACGGTGCACGTCATAAAGGACAGGAAGACTTTCTCGCAGTGTCTTCAGTTTGCGCAAATAATGAGGTCCCAGCAACAGTCGCTCGAAAGTTATGCCGTTCTTAGCTGGAAACATGGAAGAGTTCTAAAAAAAACATTTTTTTTTTCATCTTCCAATCCCCTATGAATCGAGCCTTGAATGAGACAGGGGTTTTAATTGATTTGATTTTAAAAAAAGTGTTGTAATAGACCAAAAATTCTTTCAACTTTTTGAAATCTTTCATGCTAGACCGTCACTTTTATGCTCCTAACAAGGAAGCTCATTTAATTTAAGAGTAGGACTTCATTTCAGCTTCTCCAAAAAGGCTTCAAAGGAATACAAAAATTGAAATTTAAAGTTTAAAAATTTGGAATCTTGGACCTAAACCCCCAAGGTTTTCCAAAGAGTGTTTCAAAAAACCTGAATACCTTTTGAAACTTTAAAACGTCCACCCTTGTGAGAGCTAGGTTCTAATATAAGATTATAAATCCTAAAAGCTCAGAATCGGAATTATGATCTACTTTATGAAGTTCAAGAGAATACATTCGTTTTTCAAGATCTCTCCTCAGTTTTCTGTTTTAACCGGTTGGAAAATAAAAGCCTTCCTGTTTCAAAGCATAAAAAAGTAGGAAATATTTTTGCTTCAAAGCTGAAGCGCTAATATATTGAAGGTATTACGTCAACCGTCACGTCAATTTTCCGATTTCCAGATCGAGCTCCTTCTCGCATCAACTGAAGCCCTACAACATCACGCAGTTGCTGCAGCAAAGACAGCTGGCGCAACAAGGATCTCCACAGCTCAGTCGTCAAGATTTCCCTCCGCCACCGTCCCTCGGCTTCCCGAAAAATGATCCAGCGCCTCATCTACCTGAAGTCGCTCAGCATCCACCTGTCGAGCCGATGCAAGTCGACGTGGACCCGGCTTCTCGAGGCACGGCGACGCCGATGATTGACGTCACCACGGACGCTCAGACGCCACAGAAGGAGACGACCTCGTCGGCCTTCGTCCCGATCCCGCAAACGCCACAAACTTTCAACTCTTACCCCCATTCGATCCCCCAAACACCGACGACGCTACAGTCAAAGCCTCCGGGCTTTTTCACTCCGACGATGGGTCAGCAGTTCCAACATCAGATGATGATGAACAACGCGATGACGCCGCAAGGCAGATACAACACGATTGCGCCGCCCGTCCCGATGCCCAATCAGAGCGCCGAACAGTTCCATCAACAGATCAAGGTTTTATTTTGACGCCGCTTCTTTTTTATCATCCTAGCGTTTTGAGAAAAAATGACAAAAGCTGGACATATAATTGATAAAGACAAAAAAAAAACGTTTAACGTCGTTTGCCTCTACATATATTTATAGCGCGAAATAGTTTTTTACTCTCAATGAGAAAATAGGGTTCTTGGCGTCTTTGAGGCACATATAAAAGTTTCTTTGCTGGTTGTTGAAAAGAGCACGGAAAGGTCTCAAGGCGAGAGATGCGAAATAACACGGAAGACCACTCACCTCTTCGACCTTTCTCTTACAACTCATCGAGGAATTTTGAATAGACCGTACCTCGATAAAAAAAAACGCAAAGAAAGTTAAAAATTGGAATCAGGACCCTACGGTTTTCACTCGGGCAAGTTCAAACGAAGCCTTAAAATTATTCACTCAAAAAAAACATTTTGCAGGGTAAAATGAATGAAAAAATCAACTTTTAGACTCAGGATTTAGTACTGACTTTAGTTTAGGAAGAATTGAGAGGGGGGTATTTTTAAAAGGGCTGCCTTTTCGGTAGAAAATGTGGAGAATCTCAAAGTCGACCTTGTCAAATTTAGGAAAACTTCAGAAATATCACACTAGGAAGACCGGATTCGTCAGAAAGTCACATTTTGCAGGACTACTACGCGCAGTTCACGATGCCCGTCAACCCGGACCCGAGCCTTCGTCTCGGCGGCCGCGACGTCTGCACCGTCTGCAACGACAACGCCAGCGGCTATCACTACGGAGTGATGAGCTGCGAAGGCTGCAAGGTAATCATCCGTTCGTCCGACCAGTCGTAAATCTCCCGATCCACAGGGCTTTTTCCGACGCTCCGTCCAGAAGAACATGACATATCAGTGTCACAAGTCGAGCGCCTGCAAAGTCGACCGGATCTCGAGAAACCGGTGTCAGGCGTGTCGGTACGAGAAGTGCGTCAAGGCCGGCATGAACAAGGTTCGTTTTCACGCTTTAAATCATTAAAAAATAAAGAAAGTCGGAGTTTTTATGTAACTTTGAACCAAAATTATTTTTTATAGAAATTGACATGACTTCCAAAAAAGTACCTTTTTTGCTAATTATTTTTTTTTTGCCGTATTTTTTATGGACATGTGGTCAGAAATAATTCTATTTCTTCTTACAGGATCAGGTTCGCCTTCAAGACAAGAAGAACCGTCGGAAAGGCGTCGACGAAAAAGAAAACGAGCTCGATGAGACGAAAAAAGACGTGTCCCGAATCCAAGAAGTCGCCACTGCCTATCGAGAGGCCTTCCCAGACGGATATATCGTAGAATCACTTAAGGTGTCCCTTTTTGCGTTTTCATAACTCTATCTTCCTTTCTCAGGCTGCTCTGTCCCGGGTACACTACTTCATCACAAAAGTTCCCGAGTTCGAAAGTTTCGACTCAGTTGAAATGGCCAGACGCGCGGAGGCTGCTCTCAGAGGCGTTATGGTTCGTTATGAGTTTAATGTTTGATAAAGTCCTTTTTGTTGAAAAAAAAGAATTGGTTTTGGGGAGAACTTATAGTCAGACTTCTAGGTGAGACTTGATAAATGTATATATTTTTTGTAAGTCGTACTCTAAAAATTGACTCGGAAGTTTGTAAGGAATTATCAGTTGCTTCAATTTCACTTCAAAGTGGTTTTTTTCATGAAAGGAATTCCAGCTGCTTCGAGTTGAAAAATTTATCTTGCTGTTTGAGAAAAATTGGTTCAATGTAAAAATATATTTTGATAATCCTCGGTTTTTCTTGAAAATATTTTGAGCCAATCTATGATTTTACTGATGATGATTTCACAAAGTCTATCAAATTCTTGAGACATGATCAACTTTGAGCGTTTCAAAGCGGTTTATTTCACGAAAGAAGTTTCAGCTCCTCCGTTCGGCCTTCTCCGCCGACCCTTGTGAGTGCATCAAGCCCCTCGAGCCACGTTTCGACGAAGTGGTCCGTTTTCATCCCCACAGAACATTTCCAAAGTTTCATTCAGGTCATGAAGCTCCGTTCGAACGTCAAGGAACTCAAGCTGGAGGAGCTCTCGCTTCTGTCTGCGATCTACATTTCTCAAGCCAATTCGAACGGAGAGGATGATGAAGTGAGTTTTAGAGCGAAAAAAAAGAAAGAAGTTCTTTCATTTACATCTTGTCCGACTCAATCGAAAAAAATTTTTTTTTCAGAATAGTCAGTTTTTTTATAGTACACAAGACGAAAAAAACTCAAAAACGAATAGAGGTTGACAAAAAAATTTATTTTGATAAATCAGAATTTTTTTACAGTTTCAGTTTGATTTGCAGTCTGATTATTGTAAATCAAGATTCGATAAAAATTGAAAAAGAGACATTTTGAAAATTTTTTCTCAAATTTGCCTCTTGCAGACTTTCCACCAAATGTCGAGAAGCTTGCGCGCCTGCGTCGCCACTCATCCTCTCGACCAGAATTCTTACGAAAAGCTCGTTTTCAAACTCGGACTCATCCACTGAAATGCACGTTTATCAACCGCACTGGGTCTAAATTACTGGTCTAATCGCCTTTTTCACTTTGATGTTGCCCCCGGTGTACAACATCACATCGCTATCTCCCTCTTTTTCCCCTTTCCTAATACGGTTACTATCTCCTACTTCGCTCACTTTCCTTGTTTCCATTTTTAATGTATTTAATGAATTTTATTCTTTAACGGCCTGGAAAAACATTTCAATAAATAAAAGCTGCCGAGAAAAACAAGAACTAGAGTTGAAAAACCCATGAATAACGCGTCAAGGTAGTAGTACTGAACGAAGGAAATTTTTCTTCCGTAAGGGTCCAAATTCGGCAATTTTCCAAACCTAAAGTTGATTATTTCAAAATGAAATCAAGAAGAAACAGACTTGGCGGCAAACTCGGTGTATCGAAGGACGAGTTCTTTTGGCTTCAGCGGCGCGGATTCCAGAACTTCCGACAACTTTTTAGCGCTTTGAGAGTACCTAATGAAGATTTTTTTGATGGAATAGTAAAAAAAGTCCTACTTTTCTTCATAAAGGACTGAGCGGATAGCCTTCTCAACGATTTCGCTGTTGTCCATGTCAAATTTGTTGATCAAAATTGAGCCGCCGTGTTTTTTCAGCATCTGCGCGTTTCTTGGCTGGTCGCCAAAGATCGGAATCTGACAAGGAAGTTCGTTTTCGTGTCAAGTTTGGAATTTATTATCAAACGGATTCTAGAGGAAGCGTCTCCTTAGTGTCTATGTGCACGAAACTTTTTGGAATGTGAATTTTTAAAAGAAGCTTTTGGGAAGAAGACCTAACAGGCTTCTTTATTCTTGACCTTATTAGGAGAAAAAAGAAGAAGCGGAAAAAAAGTTTTAGAGAATTTTAGAAAGGAGCTTTCGACATATGTTTAGGAACTCAAAAAGGAGCTCCAGGTTTTATTTTTGAGATCGTTTGTACTTTGCCCGTGTTCTCAGAAAAATACGAACTTAACACTTGAATAAACTCTCTTGGAAAAGAAAATTTACGATTATTTTATGTTATAATAAGAAAAAACCTGACAGTGACGGCAGGTTTTCCACTGTATGCGACTTCAGTTATGCTGCCAAGTCCGCCGTGACTCACGAAAGCGGACAAGCGAGGGTCAGCTGAAAAATTTCAGAACAAATCCTCGATTTGACAAAAAAGGGAACCTAAAAGAGCCGTTTGCGGTACCCAGGCCATGAAATGGACGTTCTCGACGTTTCCGGCCCATTTCGTATCCTCGTCTTCGTACTTCCAAATAAAAGTCACTTCGGGCATCGATTTGAATATTGACAGAAGATTGCTCCTGGGTTTCAACTCAAACGTCAAAAATAAAAAATGGAGTAAGAACTTTGATTTGAGCGGCATTTCGCTGGACGCGATCATGGATCCGAAAGAGACGAGAACCGACTTTTTGCGAAGGTTCAATAAGTTGTCGAGCTCCTGGTTTTTAAAATGGCCGATTTGAATGGAAGGAGGCATTTTCTGGCTTGGATTTTTCTGATTGACCGCTGAAGGACGTCCTGAGGTCCCAAACTTTAGGGGCTTTTTTACCAATCTGCTCAAGAAATTTTTTCCGAAATCTAAAGGTACAGACCCGAAATAACACAAAAAAGGCCCTTCGTTTCCATAATTTCATAATTTCATAGTTGAATCTTCTTCAACCCGATCAAGCTATAATTTTCCAATCTTTTGACCCAATTAATTTTGGAAAATCTTCCAAACCTGAGAAACTTTTTCTGAACGAATTCTGGCCATGTCGAGTGTAATCCCTCCGATTTGGATGGTCTTGTGAAGAGTCGGACGCGGAAAGTCGAGATAAGGGTTCGAGTTGGTGAACAGGAAAGTCGCCTGAGGGAGCAGCTCCTGTGAAAATCAAGCTTGTTTCAATATTAAACTGATGTTGAAGCAACTGTGCCGGTAGGAACGTCTTCTCCGAGGAAGTGTCTGTAGATCAAAGTCTCGTTGGCCATGAGTTCCTCGTTGATCGAATGCGACCACCACAGCGTCCGCAGATTCAGAAGCCGTTCCAGCAACGTCATCTCATCCGAAACTTCAGAAAACAAAGCTAAAGATCACTCAGTCAAGAAATTGAGAGGATGAAGAGTACAAGGCAAGCAACTGGGCATCAGAGGCTCGCCGACCAGGTGCGGAACCATGTCGAAGTAGACTGTCGACGTCGTCAGAATCACGGCTTCTATTTTCAAGTAGTGGAACAGAGCTGGAAAATAGGAAACGAGCATGGTTTCTTCTGAAGCTGTGAACCACGAGATTTGGCTTTTAGCATTAAAGAAATGTCGAAGACCAACCAACGCCGCAGAGAACTACCGGTTCTGCGTAGGCGACGTCAAACTTCTCGGCCTTAAGTCGCTCCAGAAGTTCCGAATCGCTCAGAGTATTCTGACAAGACTTCTGCATAACTCTTCCGAACCATTTGAAGCCCTCAATTAGATTTAAAAACAGAGTGGCTCTCATTTGAATTACGTCGCTGGTGACGGAAGGATCGTGGGAATCAGTCCAAAAATGAGAGTGATCTGCCTTTTTTATCGAAACATCGCTTTCAAAGTCTTCCGGCTGAGATTTTTTTGATATCATGAGTTAGAAAAGGGTGCTTACTTTAACAAGAATGACATTTTTCGTCAGTTTTACGCCGGTTCGGTTCACCAAACTCATATCGGCTACAGGAGCCAAATATGTCTGAAAAGTTACTTATTTCAAAAGACTTTCATTTTAGTCTGAATTATAGCCAATGCAAGGCTAGCTTGGGACGCTAAGAGACCGGGAACTGTCTGCGCTCTCCAGCAATCAAATACTATTTCGTTTTTTTTAAGCGTTCAGGAAACTTTTTCGATGGCTCAAGCCAGTCTGATGTAAATGGGAATGGGCTAAAAAATCTACCCGAAAGAAAAATTGATACAAAAATGAATCTGGCAGAAGATTCTTGAATTTTTGCTCAGAGACAGTCGGAGATAGAGAACAATTTTTCTAAAAGCCAATTTTTAGAAAAATTGTTAAAAAATCGACACCTTTCCCTGAAACTGGAGCTTTTCGAAGTTAAAATCGAACAGGCAATGTTCAGCAGGCAGGACTTTAAAAGAATACTTGGGAAAAGGCTCCTTTCTCTTGACTTTGTCTAAAAAAGAACTTTATAGAAGAAAAAAGGCGTAAAAGAGTTAGAAAGGAGATTCAGAGAAACTTTTAAAATTAGGAACTCAAAAATGAGCCCTAGTTTTTTTAAAGGCATTTTCGAAGCCGTTTGGACTCTGTCCGTCTACGCTACCTTTTCCGTTTCCCTTATCAAAATTAATATTTTTCTTATTTACAAACATCTCCTCCTTCAAAAACAAGGAACCGAAATATACCGGAGTTTCTTATCATTAGAAAAACACAAAGTTTATCAGTGAAGGTTTAGAACACCCCACCTTTCAAAAACTGATCTTCTGATTTTTCTATACGTTTCATTCAAGATCATTGGCGCTTTCAGAACGTACCACACTATGTTTGGCTTCAGTTAGAGTGTCGGCCAGTTTTCCCATGAAATTGGAATGGCTCGTCCCGAAAATCGGGGCGTACACCAGAACTTTCAGCGCATTTGAACATGTAAAAAGGAAGAAAGAAATGAGTAGCATCTGAAATCGCAAATTGAAAAAAGTTTAAACGAAATTCTAAAATTGCTACTGTAAAGAAGCAGAAAGACGTTTTCTAGACCTTTATTGATAAATCAAGCAACGTTTGACCTCTGAGATTGCGTAATGTTGTGTTTGGTCGTTTCTCAAGTTATCAATGGCATTTAATCGATACAAGAATCTTGAAATTCTCAAGTACTTTTTTTTCATATTTATCTATTTTATCTCTTAAAATCGCACACCTGAAAAAATATTTTGTTCAATCCAACTTCCTTTAAGAAGGTGGTACTTCTTCTGGACAAAACGTCCTTTTTTCATCGTTCTTGGATCTTTTGACTCAGCTAGCCAATGAACATAATACTCTTTTCGAAATTAATTGCAAACAAATGGATATTGAAAATTTAATTTTTCATTTAATAATTAGTTCCAAAAAGAAAAAAAACACCCGTATTGCTACCAGTAACGATGTGGTCGAAACACTATTCACACTTTTTCTTGATCACGATTCGGGCGTTGAACAAACTAGAAGCTTTTGAAAATACATAAAAGGCTAGGGAAAATAATATGGCAATTGAAAAAACAACAAGGAAAGCGACGTCAAGGAAGTAGAATTGCATAAAGTTGAGATTGACAGAGTGCGGACTCATCTCGGGAACGCGTCCAAATCTGAAAATTGAAAGAAAGGTGGTATGAGGGAGTATCAGTCGCTACCTGGCGGCGAATTCGGTGTACTTGAGGACGAGGTCCTTCGGCTTCACCGGAGCGCTGTTCAGCATCTCCGCAAGTTTCCGCGCATTTCTTGCGTACCTGAAATTACGTTCAAACTGAATCATGAAGTGGCGAACTCACTTGGGATTGTTGAGCACCTCTTTCAGAGCCCTTTCGATGACGTCACGCTTAAGGATGTCAAACTTTCCGATGAAAACCGATCCGCCGTGTCTCTCGAGCATGAAGGCGTTGCGCGGCTGATCGCCAAACATTGGGATCTGCACAAAATATTTTTTTCTTTTTCTTGCTGGTTCTTTTTATTTCAGGTACATGAAATAGTCTTCTTTTCACTGAAATCTGTTCCTCCCTTTTAGAATCTTCTTATAAAACCTTTTTACATCAGAAATAATGAGAATTCATTAAGTAAAAGCTATTTTCAGGAATCGCGGAGAATCCTCTTCCCCTTCATTGTATACGGCATCAGGTCTACTGCGCTTTTGAATATCAAAGTCTCTCCAACTCTTCGCGCTGCGACTTCGGTGAGAAATAAGAGGGCGCAGGTAAGTCAGACTATTTTATAACAACTTGAAGAAGTTGGAAACTGGAAACTTATTCAATAGAAAAAGAAGATACAAATAGCTTAATGAACGGTTACATAATAAATTAACGAATCACACATTTTTTTCATTGTCCTTCATCCCTAGCATGTTTATTAGTTGCAGTGAGGATGCATTTTTTTTTTCCTTTTTCCTTTTTTTGGAACTCACTGTCAGAGCAGGCTTTCCCATGTAGGCCAGTTCATTCGTGCTTCCCAAACCTCCGTGAGTAACGAAGGCGGTGAGTCGCGAGTCAGCTTAATGAAACTATTCGGAAAGAAAACGAATCGGAGTGTACCCAAAAGGGCGGTCTGAGGAACCCACGGCGAGAAATAAATGTTGGAGGCGCTGCTGGCCCAGGCGGTGTCGTTGCTCTCGTACTTCCAGATGAAGGTCACTTCTGGCATCGATTTGATTATCTCCAGGAAGTTTTGCCTGAAGCTATTTCTTGAAAAATGTCTTTCGAAGAATCTGACTTTGCTTTCGGAGGCATGTCTCTCGAGAAAAGTAGAGACCCAAAAGAGATCAGGACGGTCTTTTTGCGACGGTTCAGAACCTCGTCCCATTCCTAGCAAAAAGAATTTTTTGATCATCAGCAAAAAACTTACTTCTGAAACTTTCTCTGCTCGGATTTTTTCTACGTCAACGGCGATTCCACCGATAAGAACAGTTTTTGAGAGCATGAGCCTCGGAAAGTCAAGAAACGGATTGGCGTTGGTGAAGTGGAAAGATGCACGTCTGATCATCTCCTGAACCCTTACTCTTTTTAAACAGCTCCATTGGTTCGAAAGCACCTTCCAGTGCGGCATTTCGCTTCCGAAGATTCGACGGTAAACTTCCATTTCTTTCTCCATCACATCTTGAGCAAATTTAAAGCTGTAGGAGAGAGCCCGAACGTTCATCACTCGCTGGATCAACGACATTTCTGACGGAGTATCAGAAAAAACGGCTGAAATTCTTAAATTTCAAAAAGAAAAGATTCGGCTGAAACCTGGAACAGAGCTTGGTTCGTTTGGCTCCCCAAGGACATTTGGAATAAGGTCGTAATAAACAGTCGACGAAGTGAGAATCACTGACTCGATTCCAAGATGTTCGAACAATGCTGAAAAACATTCCTTATTCAGGAAGTCCAATGGACTCACACCCAATCCACAGATCGCCAGAGGCTCAATATAGGCGACGTCGAAACTGCGATTTCTCAAATCTTCGATGAGTTCTCGGCGTGATAAAGTATTCTCACACGCTTCTTTCATTGCATCTCTAAACCAGGCAAAACCCTGAAATTTGGAAAAAAAATGGGAAAAAAAAATAGTTAAAAAATACCTTCAATATGTGCGATGGATCTGTGGTTTCGGTCCAGAAATGACTGTGATCCGGTTCTTCAAATATCTCCGAAGTAGTGTCATTTGGCTGAAGATTTTAGTTGATGATTTTTTTTTTTTGAAATGGCTACCATAACGAATATCTTCTCTTTGGCCAACCTGACGCCGTGTTGATGGATGCGGCTGACATCGGCTACTGGTATGAGAACTGTCTAAAACGAGTTAAATGAAATAATTAGTTTTTACACGAATTTGGGAGAGAAATAATTATAAAAAAATGAAAAAAATTCGAAAAAAAGAAAAGCTGTCGTCGATTATTAAGCCGGATACGCAAACCACAGACTTACCGCGCAAATTTTTTTTTGATTTTTTAAAAAAAAAATCGCGCATAAAACTAACAACTTCATGTCCTGCTTCGGTCAAAGTGTCAGACAATCTGCCCATGAAGTTTGAATGACTGGCAGCAAATACCGGTGAATATATGAGCGCCTTGAGACCTTCTGAAGACTCCGCCAACGATAAAAAGACGAATATGAAGACTTTGCTCCACATTTGGTTGATTCCTTTCTTAAAACCTTCTGAAATTAAATTATTTGTCTGACTTGACGAGTATGTACGATAAATGAAATTTAATTAGGTTGTGCTGCACTTAGGAACAAAAAATTGGGCGGGAGACAGGTAGAACGGACTTTTGTTATGAGAAAAACATATCGGAATGGGGTGTTCTGCCTTTTTAAAACAAACTTTAGCAAAAAGGAGGGGGCGTTCCTTATGACAAGACTGTTGTTAAGGCTCAAATTAATGCCAAAACAATTTCTGTTTTCCTCACAACCATAACCAAATATTGACAAACTAATTGGAACACTTCCGCGTTACTTAAAATTTGAAAGAATTGCTTAATTTTGAATGTCTAGGTTAAATGATTTTCGGAATAACGAAGCAAGCAAAAAAAAAATTTTTTTTTTTTGAAGTACTGATACGGTTTTTCCAGAATTCCTTGCTAGAGTTGTCAAAGGCATTGACGGTTTTTATTAAAAAAATTCTATTAACGCCGATCTCCTTAATTTTTTGACGAGAAAAGAAAGATTTAAACACTAATAAAAACTTGTTATATATGGAGGCCAATTCGGCCAATGGGTCACTTTTATACGCCAACTTCAAGGCGTATGTAGTTTACGTAGTCTGTAGCCTTCGGAAAGCCAGAATTTCTTGGTGTTGTAATAATACGTGGTATCAATGCGTTTTTCAAATCGCCAGTCGTTCTGGATACCAATAAAAAAAAAAAAAGTCATCATCATTATTCATTTCATACGAGAACCAATACAGTTCAAGGGCGGAAACCTCTCAGGAAACTAGTTTGGGAAAATGATAATTTGGTGATGAAAAGAGAATAATAGATTACCAAAGAAGAGAGTTCGTTTTCAAACTCCTGACCGACCGGATTACTGCAAAATAATTTATTTGAGCGAAATCGGAAGTGGAAGCGAAAATTTAAACTTTTTCAGATGCTGTCGAATGAAGCAATATTTTCTGAAAGCTGGATTAAAACTTGAATGGCTATTCGATTTATGAATCTGAAAAATTGATTAGAACAAAGAACATTAAATTCGATACTCTATTCGCATTTCATTTTTTTTTTCTCGTAAAAAGTGTTCTGCCAAAAAATGAGTTGGACTTCAGAAACGTTTTTGATCTTTTCGATTTCTTCACTGTTTTGACATTCAGTTGTTTTTCATCGTGATATGACGCCGAAAAATATGTAGTTACTGTACTGAGGCCAGACGAATATTCGGTCCAATTAATCTTTTCATCCATCAAAAAAACGCCGTTCAGTATTGCTCATGTTAGAGCGGCACCTCTCATGATTTTCACATGCGAGTTTTTTTCATGATAAAAACGTTTTTCGCTCTTTCAGCGTTCAAATTAGTTTTTAAAAGTAATTTTACAAAAAATGTACTGTACACCTTATATGGTCAGAAGAGGTTTTAGCGAGGAAAAATTTTTCAAAAATTGAAAATTTCAAATTATGAATTTTTTTTTTTGATTTCAGTGGACTTTAAACAGCGAATTTCTGTTAGTTTATTTCTTGGTAGCTTGAAACTTTTAGGCGTCGCGGTTGGGAGCGATTCCGACTTTTGTCATTTCGATTCAGGAAATTAAAGAAGAAGAGTTCGTAAGTAATTGATTTTCTCCACCACAGATCATTAGAAAACATTATTTGTGATTGGAGGTTATCATGAAAAACCCTAGTTTTTTAATGTCTTGCCGAACTGATGTCAGCGATAGGCTTTTTATCTTTGGCAACAACTTTTATTGAAAAGCTTCATTTTTTGTTCCGAACATCAAGTCGTCAGACTGAGAAGATAACGAAATCGTTGTTTTCATAAAATTCGGTGTTCAGTAATAGTCACGCTCTTAGAGGATTGAAGTTTGAGAAAAAAAGGGAAAAGCACCTGCGAAGAAAATACCTGAATTTCACCTGTCTCGGCTATGAAGGGCTAGAAATTTCTGAAACGAAAGTTAGTCGAAAATGGGAAAAACGGTTTCGGCAGCGGTTAGCGTCTATTCGTTGGTGGTGCACTATGGGGGCTACATTTTCGGCCTCGGATGCCTCGTTTCGATTCCGACTTCCATCGTCGCCTTGCAGAGGGCTCTCAACTCGGACTACGATGAGAAGGACGTTGGTTTCTTTGAAAATATCGAATTCCAACCGGTCGCATCAACAGAGACCTCTACTCATCGCAAGAACTTACTTGACGATGACTGGAATTGCGTCAGCATTCTTCGAAGGCTACAACGTGGCCAGCAGCATTTTGAAGAGGTCCGTTAAAAAAAATTCAAAGAGTCCGTTTCACGAAAAAATATATTGGATATTCTGACCTCTAAAACGATAAAAATGGTTTTCAATCTTTTCCAAGTCTCTCGAGCCAGATATGAGCGAACTAAATATATTTTTCTAGTAAAAACAAACTCACAAGAAGGTTATTTTGCCATTCAATCAATTTTCACTCAAAAAAAAAACCTTGTCAGATAGTGAAATCAAAAAATTTTGCAGCAATGGAGCCGTTTTTCCTGCTTTCCACCGTTGTTTTCCGTTCATTTCCTTCGGAGTCCTTCTCCACCAGTTTGTACCGCCCGTTACAGATTTTTGTAACCGACTTTTTGGGTTTTCACTATTTTTCTAACCCTTCTCAATCAAAATTTCAAGGCTCCCCACTCACATCTATTGCATCGTCTCCGTCGCTTTCTGCTCTATCTACTCGACTTTTGTCGATTATAATGAGCCGAAAGAGATTGTCGTCTATCTCGGACCGTTTCCGATGCCAAAAACGAAGCTTTTCTATTCGGTCAGCTCTCATTAACTAATAAAAAAACGGTTTTTGCAGTAAAAACTGATTCAATCGGTTCACAATGAACCATTGGCGGGTTTTTTCTTTTCAAACAGCTTGGGAAAACTTTTTAAACGCCTCTAAAATTTCAGAAAGCTTTTGGGATTATCTTTCAACTATTTTCAGCCGAGTTACGTTTTCGAGGTGGCGATTCCCATTTTAGTTGCGATTTGCTACATCCTATCTATATTGAAGCTGATTAAGCCCTCAAAAACCAAGACGCCCCTCTTCTTTTATGGAATGTTCATATTGTCAGTTGTCCAAGGAGTTCGTCTCTGCTCTCAAATATTTCCTAAAACTTGAAAGCAGATGGTCGCGACCTGCACGGGCGTCGCGATGGTCGTCGCCGCTGGCGACTTCGACGACGAGCATTTCTTGCGTTATTTCATTGAAAACAGCACGCCGTTTCTGACCTTCCTGGCCCTGGCGGTTGTGACGCTGGTCGAGCTCCTTGACACTTCTCGACGACACATCGTTCAGCCTCTTGAGTTCAGCAAGGAGATCGGAAATGCTCCCGGCGCTCAAAGATCCGTCGCACTCAGCTACCTGCCTGTTTCTACTACCGCAACACCAAGAAACTGAAAATCGACCATAATAAATTCTCAAATGTTGAAAATTTACAGCAAACTAATGACTGGAATAAACTGCTTCACCATCCGCTGGTACCACCAACGGGCCAACATTATTTCCCAACGCTGTCCCTCCGGGACGTATTGGACAACGATTGTGGACCGTCACCCGTGCCGACGACCAACTCTTCGATTATACCATGATTCAGCAGAGATTTTCTTCATCTTACTCTGAAGACTGAATAAATTGAATTGAATTGAATGACCGGAAAGATGCCTTTGCGCGGGGGCTGGCGCATAAGGTGTGATGTTTTTTACGCCATAGACGATTTTTTTTTGGAAATTCATTTAATTTTTTTTTTTCAAAAGATTTCTTAAGCCGTTTTCAAAGTAATTTTCCCGAAGTGCGAAATGTTCTCTGTCTCTCTGAAGTTTAGTTATATTTTTCTTTCTCTAACGGCTCTTTTGCATTTCGCGGATTCACTGTGAACACAACATTAGTTTTCTCAGGGAGGTTCACGAGGAGTGAGTTATATTTATCAAAATCCAGCTTCTTCCATGTTTTTTTTTCGTGAAGAATGCCAAAAAACGCGGTTTTTCTCGATATATTGTTCATTTTTATGAAGATGTTCTCTTTGTCACGGAGTAGTACGAAGCAGACAATCAAAAACGTGTACAAATACGGGGAGAAAACGCCGATTGATGAAGATACTCACAACGAATTTCGCATGCATTCGAGGCTTCTTCTAAGCGAAGTTTGTTTTGATATTCCTATGAGAAAAACTTTTTTGTTGAGGTCTCGCAGCGGAAACAAAAGCAAGACAAGGATGGATCTATCCGCCGGACTCTGCAACCAATCAGCAAGTTTCTCGATCTTACTGTTTAGTAGCTGATTATTCATTTTCCAGAACAATCTGCGCTTTTCTGAACTCGGAAGGCGGTCGAATTTATGTTGGAGTGGACGGAGAAGGAACCATCAAAGGTGTCACGATGTCCGACAACATGGTTTTTAAGCGATTTATTTTACTTTTTTTTTTATATTTTGCCATGGATTCTTTACAATTTTCACGATTTTCCTTCTCAAGGATTCAAAGACTTGTGGGTTGATTTAAAGTATCAAAATGATTATCTGTTCTCCAGAAAAACATTTCACCCAGTTTTATCAGCTTTTACATCTTTAGAAAAATAATTTCAACCAGAAGAAGGTAGAAAATCAGATAAAATATTCCCATCATCAATGTTAGACTTATATTTTTTTATTTTTTTAAGATAAAAAAAGGAAAAACAATATTAAATTTTTTTCAGGTGGATCATTTCTTTGGCAGCCTGCGTATCATGTGTGAGAAATTTCGACCTATCAGTCCTATCAATTTTATTAAAGGTATCGAATTAATAGTAAAATTCCTCACCCGGCGTACTTTAAGTGTACTTTCCACCGAAATACAGTAGTGTCAAAAATTAGTCCGGAGTTTTAAGCGCTTTACAGATCCAAAAGAAGACGTCAAAATTTTGATAAAAACCCCCTTCGTTGAAAAAATTGTTTTTTGTCGCCTTTTCTAAAAGTCAAACACATTTCTGCAAACTCATTTTCACAAGTATTATTCAGTGAGCGTTTTTGACGTAGTGGACGAAACCCGAGATGGAATTCCCAAGGGCTATAGAAACAGCAGCGACGACGAAGAAGATTTCGCACCTGTTCGTGTTTTTTTTTTCTCAATATGACACGAGGGAAGTTGAAAAGATCACTTTAGCTGATTCACGACGAGCTTGGGTCACTAAGGGGGCGTGGCCTGTCTCTCTCTCTCTCTCTACCTCGTGCACTATAGACCCTTTTCGTGTCAAGACCCCTTTTTTGATAGCTAAAAAAGAAACAGGTTTCCCCACGAAAATTTATCTGAGCTTTCACGATTTACATAAAATCCGTGCAATATTTCTTAAAAAATTATGAAAGTTGCTAATTGTGAATTTGATCACATGATTTTCCTCAAATAAAATGTTAAGGAATTCCGAGCAGAAGCGGAGGAAAATCTCGAAAAATGTCATGATCATTCAATTGGTGGAGTTTTTGTGAGTAAAAATTTCGGTTCAGTTTTCAAAGAAAAATGTTTTAGTGTCACTGTGAAAGAGACATTTTCCGAGGCACGCATCTGCGTCTCTTAGTTGTCGAGGTTCTTTTTTTTAAAATACTTTTTCGAAATAATTGAATAGAGCTTTCAGGTGAAGAAGCCGAACTCCCGCAAACCAATCATTTTTCAAAACGAAGAAGGCCTTGCTTATAGGTTTCCTTTTCCCTTTTTTTTCAAACTTGTCGGGAAAGATATCGCCAATTACATTTCAGAACTTTTTTTCTTTCAGAAGAAGATTGGCGTCGAACAAGTGCCTCTACTTTGACGACGTTCGGCGTATGATGCAAGAGCGCGAGAAAATTTTCCCCCTCGAGGAGGTTTTCCATCCTTTCATTAACGAAAGTATTGAAAAGTTACTTCTCCAGGAAGAGAAGGAAAAGCTCGACAGTTTCCTCGATTTGAACAATTTCGCCGTTTAAACAGTTTTGTTTATTGCTTTGAATGCATTTGTACACATAGCAAGATAAATTCTTATGACAAAGAATTCGATTTGGCACTTTAAAGTGAACTGTTACCCGAAGGCAAGTCAGACCTATAGTTCCTAAAAAAAAAATCCGTGTTACATTAACGAGTTCATAACTGCTCACACTAATAGGAATATCATATATTCGATGATAATCGATTATAAATAAAATTATACATGTTAAAGTTAATTTGAAAAAAAAGAGGGAAGGTAAGGTATTGACTTTATGAAAGAGTTCTAATTGTCACGACTAGAAAGTTTCCGGGGGTCAAACTATGGAGTAATTCTCATGAAGAACGGGTTAGACACACTTCCGAAGGTGCAACCAGGCGATGAGCAGCGGCGAGCTGGCGATAGTGTAGATGTAGAGCTGTTTGACCCTGGAAAAGTAGAAAGGAGCCGCGAGGGCGGCGCAGAAAAGGGCCGTCGGCGGCAGAGTTCGCCAGATCGACACCGCCGCCGGCGACTCTGATGCTTCTGGAAACTCGCCTTTCTCGAGGAACGTCGCCATCATTCTGCAAAGAATCCAGCATTCAGTTTAGTGTAGTCCGCGAAATAAGATCGCATTTTTAAACACAGCTGAAAAAAAGCTACAGTAGCACAAAAATATACCAAGACCTCAAAGAGTTTGGAACACTTCCAAGATCAGTTTCAGGCAAAATGGGCGAAAACTTCAATAGAAAAATATATTAGAGTGAGTTCTCAATTCTTTAGACCCGTAACTGAAAAATAAGAAAAAAATAATACAACAATTTCCTCTATTGTGATTCATTTCGTTACTCGATGAAAGCCCTCTGGACAGGAATTATGATTTTTCGCCTTTTCGAGAAATTTTTTCAATGAGGGACTTACTTATCTTTCTGCTCGTATCGTTCAAACATCCAATTTCGCAAGCCTTCCTTGTCCTTGGGAACCTCGAAAAGGTCAGATATCCGTTTTCGATCAGAATTTTGACAAACTTCTTTCACATCAAACCGTTTGACGTGGACGTGAAGGCTGCGTCCAGCCAAGGGGCCACAAACGAATTCGAACATTCCTGGCGCCAAACCTCGTCTTCCCGTGAACCTACACGAATAATTATGAAGTTCTTCAAAAAATTTTTTTTTGGTTTTCAAAGCCGCATAAATATTGCATGGCCTTGACTTCGCAATTTTCATTTTTCTTGTTTTTTTATTTTGCCTTTTTTTCTGGTTTTTTTCTTTCGAGAGGCCTTTAGGTGAGACTTAATTTATTGCGAAACGGCTCTTCTCATCAAAAATTCTTTCTAAATTAATTCAAATTATCTAGGGTATGTTTGATCATCAGTTTTTAAACACTGTAACAATGTGTTCGAAATCTTTTATCGTTCTTCGAAGATTTGACTCACCTCGAAAAAAAAGATATTTTTCAGAACAGAAAAGCGATTGCAAAAATGTGAAATATTTTTCTCGTAAGTGGTTAAATTGGAGGTCAAGTGTGTTATTTTTCTTTCAAAGCGTATTTTACAAACTCAGCTGCCAAGAAATCAACTCAAATCTCATCTCACCGGGTCTGTCCATAAGCGACGGTGACGTCATAAACCGCGTCGAGAGTTCCGAGTCTTTCGAGGGCCATTTGGATGCCGCCGGAACGTGGACACAGCACGTCTTCCAGTTCTTTCCTGCCCTCAAACTCCCTTTTTCGGACGTCTTTTCAACTTTGCGGACCTGCCGACGGCAGAATTCCTGACTACTTGCGATCAACTGGGGCTTCTTCCTGGTGAACCTGGTGCCTTCAGGAAAAACCAACAGCCAATAGGGGTCCTCCAGCTCATTGAGCCAACGGAGCTGTCGGAGAACCGGCTCACCGACAAAATCGCCGAATCTTCGGACGTAGATGTAGCCGTGCTGTAAACAAAAACAAAATGTATTTTGAACATTTTCAAAATTTTCATAAATCCTTGAGTCGTTTTTCGATCGTTTCGATTCGATTTTCAATATATTTTCGTCAGGATCCCTTGTAAAAATCCTCAACATGATTGTCCGATCCCAGTGCAGATTTTAAGCTCCAAGCTCTCGTACCTGGAAAATGTACCATCCGAAGAGGGGGACAAAGTGAATGGCCTGCTTGACCATGACGCGGAATCCAGCCTCGTTGCCGTCGACGCCTTGGCGCGCCGCCAACATCACCAGAACCGCCCAATCCACTGCAACCAACGGATTCCGAAGTATCCCCACTTCAAACCGTTAGTTTGGTGGTTGGAAAGAACGAGCGCTTTTTCGGGTTTCTCCTTCAGACCCTGCACGTCGCCGTAAAGTTTGAGCTGAAAATTCTTTCGATAACTTTCAGAAAATTACAAAAAACCTGCACTCCCGATAAATTTTCGAAAACGAAAAGACAAAGGCGCATGTAGCCACGGTAGAGCGTGTTGTCTAGCTTCTGGAAATTACTAAATTTGGTGATATAAATCATTCGGAATGACTGTTTGACTGGGTTTGAAGAGGGTTTGAAGAGGTGTTTTTCAGGGTTATTTGAAGCAATCTGGGCCTTTAAACGCCGCAGCTGGATTTTTTAAAACAGTTCCTAACTTCTCAAAAAAGCCTTTTCCTCTTTTTGACGAGAAAAAAGGATGCAACATGCAAATAGTGAGGATGAAATGACGATTCTACAGAAAAATTCACAAAAACCATCAAGTTTCGCATGGAAACCAGTGGTATAGCTTATTCACGGTTGACTTGATCCACTAAAAAAAAAGGGTCCTGACACGATAATAAAAGAGACAGTGCCTGGCTGGTAGAGAGCGCAGACAGGCCACGCCCCATAGCTTCTCAATCTAGTCATGAATCGGCTATACTGTGAAAAAAAAAAGCAAACCTGAGCCAGCCTGTCCGGGAGTACTGTAGAAACGGCGCCAGCTGCTAGGGCCGCCGACGCGTACGGTACCATGGACAGCGAAAGAAGGGAGCAAGGGACCCAGGCCTTCAAGCCGTCTACCGTAACCGCCAGTGTCAGCAGCATTTCGGGTCTCAACGCGAAATCATTGAATTTTATGTTAAAAGCCTAGTGAGAAACAATTATGAGTCCAATTTTGGTGTTAATTTGATTCATAGCCGACTCGTTCCAATTTTTAAAAAGTCGACTTTCGGAAAAAAGTCTTGAAAAGATAAAAGAAAGAGCGTGAGACTTGTGGAGATTTAGACATCGCTACTTTTTTTTTTCCTAAGCCAGGTTTGCAAATAATATATATATATCAGCTGCTGCTAAAAAAAATTGCGTAAAGTTTTTTCTTCACTTCTCGTCGATTATACAGAAAAATATGAAAAAAATAATGAATTCAGGAGCACACTTTTCCGAGAAATTCATCGAGAACTCAACTATCTTCAACTCAAGACATTTTCACTTGAAAAACTTTTATTAATATCTAAGCCATCCAAACTAATAACCCGTGAAAAAAAATTATACATCGAAGTAAATACAATGAACGAGTAAAGCCAGAAAAATATCATTAGTCCATATGCACTACGGAAAAAGTGTTAGTATTATTAATCCCGTTAAAAAAGATAACAAAAGATATGAAGAAAGAAATATTACACATGAAGGTATATTTACAACGAGTTAAACATCTTCCATCTCTAATTTTGTTTTTACATGGAAATTTCCAAGCGAATAAGGCTTGAAAATTAAATACTGCAATCCGCCGACGAAAAAGGGCGTCGCGAAAAGGACGACCGTCATGGCGTTTTGCAGAGAGTTCGAGGCGATTTTCGAGGTGAGATAATCCTGAAATCAGCGAGCAATTTAATATATGGATGAGATGGAGTCTGCGCCGTTAAGGACTCCAGTAAAGTGTTTTTTGAACAGATTATATAAAAATGATGGATTCTTTTTTTCACTAACAAAAAAATGCAAAAAATTTTTTTTGATTGCCTCTTCAACAGATTTCAAAGAAAAATTTATATCATTTCAGAAGTTTGGAAATTTCTTCCCAATATAATTTTTGGGCCTCATTACTTATCAATCTACCTGCAAATGTTCTTGGAACTGTCTCAAGATATTTGAGAACTCAATGAAATTTTCGAAATAAAAAGGAAAGAGATCAACCTGGTAGCCATAGAAGTTGAGAACGTATACGATGACAATCGGCGCCAGACTCTGCGCGGGTTTCACGAACAGCGCGTTCAAACTGAACACTACCGAGGAAACTCCAGTCCTAAAACTTATTTGGGTTTCATCACTTCAAATTTCGCTACTGTTTCTACTAACGTTTCACGAAGCGCCTTTCCCCAAGAATGGAATATAATGAACGGTTAAAACTTTTAGGTCTTCAACCTCTTTGGTTTAGGCGTTTAGTTAAGGATCTGGTATTATCACATCAGTTTTTGCTGGTCAGACTCTCCCATCCAGGTACATAACATCTTTGACAGTCCCAGTCAGCTCAGAGGAAATGGTTTTAAATTAATAAAAACGAAACCTTCACTGGTTTTCTTCAATTTCTTATCACATCGCATTACTAATGTTTGGAATGACATTGAACATGAATTATTGGCAGAGGAAGACAAAAAAAATTTAAGGACATGTTTTTAGTGTATGCAGAAGATGTTGGCGTCGAGCATATTCTTTCAAGTGCTCACAGATTTGTGCCATGATCAACTTGGTTTTAAATATCTACTTATTATGGTTCTATGTTTCTTTTCTTACACAAAAAACTTTTTTTTTTTTTCTTCACAGGTGGGGTTAGTTAATCCACCTAGTGGTCTTTTTCCCTTACTGCAACATCACCATACCATCCCGATGTTGCGAAAAAATAAACAAATTGAACTATAGTGAAATTCTTGCCCTTTTTTTGGCGCCTATCTCGTTTCTGGTGTGAAATGTATACAGGAAAATCGAAAAAGAACTTTTCAAATAGCTTTCCACGAAATTTTGAAAACTTTCTCAATAAGAACTAACGTAAAAGTTTACTTGCGATCATTTTCAACACATCAGCCAATTTTGACACAACTGTGAAAAAAAACCTACTTTCGACTGTGTCTCGAGGCGTCATCATCGATGAAATCGGACAAAACGATGTTGAAAAGGGGGGCGATTGAGTGGACAGTTACACTGAAATCCAAATATTGGAGTTTTATCAAAAAAAAATTTCAGCAATAACTCTCTAATTGAATATAATAATAGTTGATCACCAAAAGCAAAATCGTTCCCTTCTTTCTGAAGATTAAATTTTCGTTTTCACCGCTTTTTTATTTTAAAACTCGTTTGAGCTTTTCGCGTCACTATACATCCACATTTTTCTTCAGAAAATCTGAAATTAGGGTCTTGAAGCGATTAGGAAAGTAGAGTAGGAAAAGCTTTTCGTAGTTATTTTCATCCTAAGATGCTGGTGAATGGAGAAAATTCCTTGACTTTTTCGAATAAAACCAACTCGAAAAGTTGTTTCTGTTTTTGTGGAGTATGTATAACTCACTAGAAAAGAAATGGATCACGTGGAAGATTACAACATGAAAATAGTATAGAAGAGCTCTGAAAAGGGTACTTCCGAGGGCGCCCCATCGACGACCGCCCAGGAAAAATAGCACCGCTACTTATTCTCCTTTCTCCTCAACAAGACTTTACAGTTTCAAACCCGTTCTCCGTACGCGCTATACCGAAAACAGGTTCAGAACTGTGGTCTTTGTTAATGAGAAGTAGTGGTGCTACTTTTCCTGGGCGGCCGTCGATGAGGAGCCCTCCGAAATAGGAGGCGAAGGCGGTGTCGAGGCTTTGAATGACTCTATGCAGAATCGGACCCCTTTTATACTATTTCCTGATCTAATCGTCCACGTGATCTATCCTTTATTCAGTTAGTTATACATACTAAATACTTTTTTGTTTTATACAACTTGATGTTTTAAAAAAACCTGTCGATGATCATGAAAAGGAGGACGAAATATGGGTTAGACGAAAAGAAATACATGAATCCGGAGAGAAACGTGAGAAAATAACTGAGGATCATGACGCGGTAGGCGCCTTGTCTGGACACGTAATTCTCGTTGAAAATCAGAAGAAGCTGGAAAAAAAATATTTTGTCGAGAATTTGAAAGGAACAAATTTTAAGGAAGATTGTTCATCTAAAACATGAAAGTGTTCTGTTAGACCCAAAAAATTTTGAGATCGCCAACGAAATTTTGTACCAAAAAATTAATTTACAGTAAAATAACTTTTTAAAAGAACGAACCTGAGGCCCCAGAGTGACGATTCCGTAGAAAAATGCTCAACTGAATGGAGCCTTTGGCCAAAATGCTCTGAGGAATGACGACTTCTGTGGCGATCGACGCGAAATTCAGATGAGCTACGCTTCTACAAGTTTATTTTTAGAAAGATTCCTTCAAAAAAGAAAGTCACCTAATGTTATGTAGGAAATTGGCCGCGATGATCGCCAAAAAATCTTTTTCTTTGACGATTTGCTTGGTCGTTTCCCAGGCGAAACTCAAATCGGTGCCTTTCCTGCGAAATTATCAGATCATTTTCCGATTTCTCAATTCAGAAAGTATCAGTTGTGTAAAATATAAATCTTGTTTAGTTTCTACGAAATAACTGTTCAACCAATTTTAGAATACATAAGAAGTTTAATAACATATATTTTTCCGAGCGCAGGGTTTTTATTTTGAACAGATGAACCTCAAAATCTCTACTCTTCCTTTCTCTTTGTGAATTCATACAAATCTGTAAGAAGTTTTTTCACTAGTCAAACTAACTTTTTCTCAATGATGGGTTCGTTGTCAGAATCATCGCGACTGCTCATCAGAGCCTCCGTATCGCCCGTTTTTCTCCTATTTCGGGGAAAGGAAGTCGTTCTCAAAGAACCCGCCGTGTAAAGACATCCCAGGGCCAGAAGAGCCACGACAACTGTGATTATTTGGAAAACGCCGAATCTCTGCAAAGCAAATAATAAATTTACTGAAAAGCTACTTCATGAATCAGAAATAAGAAGGAATTGAATATTTGAAACCTCCAAACTGAAGCTGAGTTTCTCAGTGATTGAGATGATGTTGACGGATAACAAGATGCTGATTTGGGAGTATTTCATGGCGGAAACTCTTAGTTGCGGATCCTTTGTTGAATCAGCAAAAAGGGCGCTCCAAGCCACGCCAATAGCGCTGAAAAATGGTTTTCAAAATATATTTCAAGCAGTAAAACCTAAAGAAAGCGTCGTAGAGAAACAGCGACAAAACTAGATGAATTCCTTCCAAAGTGGAGCCTGTGGTACGCCAGGGAATCCACATGAACACGAAAGAACTGACGAGAAAAGGAGCGAAAAATTTGATAACAGCCGTTCGAGAATTGAGCCAAAAACCAGGAGTGTCCTGAAACCCATCAATTAAGCGATTCCCAATAAAATGAAGAAACCTGGACGTATCCAAAAATCGGATCATTTATTGCGTTCCAAACCATAAAAAGCCCTTGAGCGATGTTGAACCACACATTCGGAACGTGAAATACATTCAGGTATACTTTTACATAATAAAACATGAACATCACCTGAAAGGAATTTTTAATCAATTTCACATATTTTGTAGTTTACTCACTTGCATCAAACTTAAAGCGAACTGTCCACATCCTAACGCCACCAGGGGACTGTTTATTCTCAACCGCATCTAGAAAAGAAGCTTTCAATCGGCTAGTTGTTCACAGAAAACGCACAACAACTTTCACGAAATGTCATGTTTTGTTTTATTTTTCTACTCATTCAACAGCTTTTAGTTTATTTACCGCTGGGTTAAGGAAATATTTGACTGGTAGTCAAAGCTCATCTAAAAGTGCGAAAAGGAGAAATTGAATAAAGAATAAAAATTTTTAATTTTCAAAAACTCTTTGTAAAATCATTATGAGGGAGAATAATTGTTTATTCTAACTCTGTATTCCCCTAATTTTCTAAGCTATTAAAAATACGCCGGTTTCAACTTCTAAATTATTGAAAAAAACTTTTTTTAGAACAATTGAACAATTCAAAAATTAAATTTTTTTTTTGTTTTTTAGAGCGACTTTTCATTTTTTTGAACTCAAGAGATGGTCTAAATGTGCTCTGTTGAGAATTGGCAAATATCCAATAGAAATGGTTTCGAAACGATTGGCGCCTTCTGCTTTAGGCGAGGCGGCAAATAAGCGGTCTCCACAGATTTGAATCCAAACGAACTTTTTTTTGTTACTACTTTTCTCAATTAAACTCTTGAGATTATTGTTATCATTATTTTCTAGAAGCTCCTTTTTAAAAAGGTTTGATCGATTTTGCGTGTTAAAAATTTTTTTAAAATGTTTTTTTAGCCGCATCCCCGTTCAGCATTTACGGGTTTTTTTAATTATGTATTTTTTTCGACTATATTATTACCTATATAGAAAAAAATTTTTTTCGATCAAATTAAAAAGAAAGATCACATGATAAGTGCTTCATATTTTATAGCTCTTTCGGATATAATGGTGGCTTTTGAAGACTTTCGAAAAAAAAGAGCACGTGCTGAACAGCTTTGAGAAAAAGAACCTTCGTTCACTCAATATCTTATTTCTGGCAACTAATTCCTCCTTTGGCGGATAAAAATTCTCGGGATTTGTCGTTTTACTAGTTTAATATATTCAGGCGCTGTTCCGGCACGTAGAATATCCACATAAACAGTCAAAATGACAGAACAGGCAGCAGCCAAGCTTCTGAAGGTTCTTGAGAAAACTGTTTCGAACAGTGAGTTTTTTTTTTCATTTGTTTTTCATTCCGTCGTTATTCTTCAGACCCCGAAGACCAGAAGCAAGCATTGGATTACCTTGCCGCAGCTGGTACCGAGAACTTCTCGATATTCGTTCAGTGCCTCAGTTTAATACTGCGTACTCAGCAATGCCAGTCATTTGTTCGACAAGCCGCTGGGTTGCAATTGAAAAATGCCCTTGCTGCTAAAGACATAGAGACGAAGCACATGTACTTGCAAAGGTTGCTCGAACTGATTTTGACGTCATTCTCAATTAAAAAATTCAGGTGGCTTTCTTTGCCTGTTAATGAAAGAACCGAGGTAAAAGGGAACGTTCTGGCCACACTTGGAACTGAACCGTCACGACCATCCATTGCCGCTCAATGTGTGTCGGCGATCGCATGTGCGGAACTGCCTACTGGGGTTGGCTTTTTTAAAATTTCATTATATATCTTTTTTTCTGCTTTTTCAGCTCTGGCCGGATGTCATCGGCATTCTCATGACAAACGTTACAAATGTAGCCAGTGGAGAAATGCTAAAAGAGTCTTCTTTGGAAACGCTTGGTTATGTGTGCCAGGATATCGAGGCTAAGGTTAATTATCAATCAGAATTTCTGTATTTTTTTTTTTGATTTCTAAGGTTCTTGAACAACAAGCTAACGACATTCTGACGGCCATTGTGCACGGAATGAGGAAAGAAGAAACGTCGATTCACGTCAGATTAGCAGCAACAAACGCTCTATTGAATTCTTTGGAGTTCACCAAGCGGAACTTTTCAAACGAGGTTTGTTTTCTTTTGTGGAACTAATTATGTTTGGAAACGAGTTGATTGCAGCAAGAACGCAACATAATCATGCAAGTTGCTTGTGAAACGACTCAATCGAACGATTTGAAAGTGAAGGTGAGGCTTGGGTATGTAATTTTTACATTTTCTATACTTTTTTCAGGTAGCCGCTCTTCAAGGTTTGTCCAGGATTGTATCTCTCTATTACGGATACATGGACGCTTACATGGCCAATGCCTTGTTCCCGGTACGAAACCTTGAAAGTTCTGTGCAAAAAGCAAGGTTTAGATCACAATTCAAGCGATTAAATCAGAAGAGTCTGAGGTCGCCATGCAGGGAATGGAATTCTGGTCGACGGTGGCAGAAGTCGAAATTGATCTCGCCATGGAAGCCGAAGAGGTTTTTATTCATGTTCCGTTCAACTCTTTTTTCTGCTATTTTTGAAGGCTGAAGAGAAGACTCAAGCGCCAGAAAACACTTCGCGGCACTATATGAAAGGCGCTTGCCAACATTTGTGCCCTATTCTTCTGGAGAATATGGCGAAACATGGTTAGTATCAAATATATTTTTTTAATTTCGGTTTCTTTGCGGATCTCATTTCCTGATTTATTTAAAGTCTAATTTTCAATTGTTGCAAAGTAATAATAATAAAGATTAGAAAGATAGAAAAAAAAAACCTTTTTGTTATGCCGTGTTCAAGCAATTCCACGAAATTCTGAATAGCTTTCAGAGAATGAAAAATATGACTCATTTCGCGAAAAAACTTTGAACACCGCCTTATTTCATATCTCGCTTGCTTATGTGTTTTTGAATTATTTCGAAGCGACGTGTCTTATCAACCATTTTGATCATTCAAAAAATGAATTATTTTCAATATTCTATCATTACCAACTTTTTCTCAGATGACGATGACGACGACGACGATTGGTCCACTTCGAAGGCGGCCGGCGTTTGCGTCATGCTGATGGCTCAATGCGTCGGAGACACGATCCTCGAGAATGTCATGCCTTTCTTGCACCACATCGCCAGTAACGATTGGAAGTACAAGGTTTGTCAAGAGTTTTCAATTAATTACTCGATTCTGATCTCAGGAAGCAGCTATTCTTGCCTTCGCCTCCGTTTTGGATGGACCAGACCGATCTAAACTTCTTCCCTTGATTCAACAAGCCATGCCGGCGCTTATCGATAGTATGCAACACCCCAAAGTCAGCTATTTACACATTTTTATTACTCAATTTAATGACGTTGGTTTTTACAATGGAGAATTGTAGGTTCAAGTTCGCGACACGGTTGCATTCGCACTTGGCCGCGTTATCGAATCGTGTCCAGACATTGTGAACGACGTTTCCGTTCTGGAATCTTTCCTTCCGGCTTTGTCGACCGGTCTGACTCAGGAGCCAAGGGTTGCCGCCAATGTTTGCTGGGTTCGTTTTAAAATATACTTGTATCAAAGTTTTTCCGTATCCTAACCAAAAATTTCTTTGTAGGCTCTCGTTTCTCTGGTCAAAACTGCGTATGAATCGGCCACCGCCAAAGGCACCGACGCCTCCGGCCAACCAGAAACTTTCAATCTGAGCCAGGTGTTCGGTCCAATGATCACAGAGTTGATTAAAGTCACCGACAGGTATTTCGCCCTTGAATCCCGTCATTCTAACCTTCTTCAGAACGGATGGAAATCAGTCGAATCTACGAATCGCCGCCTACGAAGCTCTCATGGAACTGATCAACAACTCGCCGAAAGATTGCTACTCGGTCGTCCAAAACACGACGCTGCTCATGTTGAAAAAACTCGAACAGATTTTGAACATGGAAGCCGCCGCCACTTCCGCCAACGACAAGGTTTTTGAATGAAACCTTCGCTCTTTAGAAACGGTCAAATTCAATTCGGTAATTAATGTAGCACCACGACAAAAACCTTTCAACTTTCATTACCTTTCTGCTTCGCTCTGATAACGGACTTCTCTAATTAATGTTCTTGGAAGTTCTAACTTCTTTATTTTCATTACGACACATTAAAGCTCAATGAGCACGGAAGAGGCGATTCAAAAAAAATTTTTTCTCGAATTTCAAACAGTCAGCTTAGTTAAAGTAAATGACAAAAAAAAAAATTAAGGCTCAACTGCTGGATCTGCAAGCGTTGCTCTGTGCTACGCTTCAGTCTGTCGTTCGGAAAATGCGAGCAGAAGATTTGCCGAGGGCCGGCGAGCACATTATGAACGGTCTTTTGCAAATAATGGCTCGTACGGCTGTTTCTGGATTGACGCGTAATGTCATGGAAGAAGCTCTTATCGCCGTGTCTACCCTCATCGAAAGTAATTTTGTCTTTTACATATTTTTCTAAAAAAAATGTTCTCTAAATAATTCAAAAAAATCTTGTGATAAGTTGAACCTTTTTTTAGGGGTATTTCGTTTGGTCGAAAAAGATTGTTTCAGATTTTTTTAGTTTTTTTATTTCTCCTACGAATTTTTTTCCGGTTTCTTATTCTAATCGGTTTTTTTTATAACAAATATTAAAATCTTTTCCAGCTCTCGGAAAAGGCTTCGCCCCTTACATGGAATCTTTGAAACCTTATTTGTTACGCGGACTCGGAAACCATGAAGAATCGCAGGTAATGAAGTCAGAAAAAGGCTTTGATATTAATTTCTTGCGTCCAGGTTTGCGGAGCAGCAGTCGGTGTTGTCACGGATTTGTGCCGCGCTTTGGAAAAAGACATTGTCCCGCATCTTGATCAGATTGTCGAGCTGTTGTTGGGAAGCCTCCAGGTTTGTTGATTACTTTATTTAGGGAGTTTTGTCGTTGGCTTGAAACTTGTGACTTTTCGCGTCGTATCAACAGAAATTATATTTAGAAAGTTTCTAGATCGAAATTTACCACGTAATAAGTTTTAAGAGAAAACACCATTATCCCTAAAGTCATTTAAATATTACCTCTGCGCTAAGTAAGAGTATGTCTAGTTGCCCTGAACTTTTAAATGCTTAAAATTCGAATATAAAATTTGCAGTCGCCACGACTCAACCGCGACGTCAAAGTGCAGATCATCAGCAGCTTCGGAGACATTGCCCTTGCCATCGAAGATCAATTCGAACGCTATGTCGAAGTTGTGATGAGAGTTCTGGGCGAAGCTCAGACAGCCGCCTACGTCAGCAACCCGGTACTTCATTCATTTCGTGCTCATAAAATATCTTTTTTTTTTCTCTCAGGACGACTTGGATCAGATCGACTATGTCGACAGTCTTCGCGACGCGATTCTGAGTACCTACACCGGCATTTTCCAAGGGTCCCGACCGGCGGATGAAACAAACGCCGAATGTGTTCGTTTTCTTTTCATTTTAATCGAAATATATCTTCACGAACATTGATCAGCGATTTCTTTAATAGTGGTACTATGGTTCTTAACACATAAGTAGTTGTATTATACTTTGAAAAAATATTTCGAACTTATTCAGTAAGTAATCATAAAAATCCATACGAATTTTCACCTGAAATATGTATTTTGTCAGGTGGCGAAGGCGCGTCAGGCCATCAGTAGATTTGCTGGACCGATGTGCGAAATGATCACCAAGTGCTGCGAAATGGAGCCTGTGCCACCTTCCGAAAGCCTCATGAGCACTGCCAGTGGCCTCATCGGCGACTTGGTCGTTCTGTACGGCTCAGAGATCCTCCCATTGCTCAACAATGATAAGGTTCAGTCTTGTCAAGGAATGCCAATAATTTCGATTTGTCCCAGGTCAACAATATGCTGAACAGAGGCCGCAAAGGAAAGACATCCAAGGCTCGCTCTGTGGCCGGATGGGCGTCGAAGGAAATTCGAAAGGTTGGTAGAACGAAATTCTCGCCAAATTATATAAAAAATAACTTCTTTTTTCAGGCCATGAACAAAGGTCAACAGGGTCAAACCGTTGACTTCAGCTTCAAGTCTTAAATTGACCGCTGCTGCCAGGCCATTTGATTTACTATTTTTGGCAGTTATTTGAATATTTTCTTTCTATTTTATCATTTATGTTTTATGTTGGACGGCAAATGTCGGTCAGTTCTCTTTTAGTATCAGTCATTTTTCTCGCCCCCTGAACTTCTCTGTACATTTATTTTACCTTGATTTTCTGTTTTGTCACCGAGTGCCCCTTTTATTCCTCTAACTTTCTTTTTTCTGAATCACTTTCCATTCTTTTGTTGCCGCGTGTTCTCATCTTCCAAAAATGCTCATTTTTATCTCTTGAATAAATTCAATTATGTATAATTCTTAACCTCTTGCAGCGCTTTATTATTAGCCTCTCAGAAATACTTGGAGCTCTCTATTTTCTTTTTTAAACCATCCATCCGAGAAACTTTTTTTCTAGAAGTAATTGATGATAGAAAAACGTTCTAGCGATCCGCAAAAAAAGATTTTCGGTGGCACTCTAAAGTTTTCGATGATCCCCCAGCCTTTGTTTTGTATTACGAGTGAGAAGTGAGTCCCCCGTTCCATTTCCCTAAGGAGTGTCTTAGTCTTGTTATCTTTTTCTATCTTTCATTCGCATTTCCAAACTCGTTATAAAATTGTAGGGTCAAAAATACGCTTTACATGGTTTTTTTTTCATTTGCTCTAATTTATTTTCTCGCGACTCTACCTTTATGATGTTTTTCATAGTTAAATTGCGTATTCGATTGTATTTTCCCTTCCAAAAGTCCCTTAATGCCAATTATCTTTTGTTTCGAATTCGTGTCCCCCATTTGATGATTTCTATACCAGGTCGCGTGTTTATTCGCATAACGGGTTCTTGTTGTTATCCATCTCATTTTCTCTAATCATTTTACTATTTTTTTTTTCAAATCACACGGATGCGATTAAATGCGAGATTTTGGGTGAGTTCCTCCAGTGAGTGTGTGTGTGACATCCCCCATCCTTTAAACTCGAGTTGTTATTTTATAGGTGATCCTTTCTCACTATTCCGTACATTTTTCGCTAGCCCCTTTTCGCTATACCTAAATAGATTGTGCTTATTCCTTCTTTTGCATGCTAAAAAAAGTTCCTCTCATCATCTTTTATTTTTACGCGATCATAAATTGGTCACAACTTTTTATTAAGTTTTGGGAGGAATGCACGTCAAGGTTCGGTTAGTTTGAAAAAGAAAAAAGAAATGTTATGGCACTCGTCGCATAACGGGTTCTTGTTGTTATCGTTTTATTCGATCACCTCGTTGCCGGTCTCATCAGTTAGCATCATTAGTAGGCGATGAGCCATCGCTGGACCAACGCGTCGATTATTCTCGGCCACGATGTTGCTTATCTCCTGTATCGCCTTGTCGATATCCATCTGAAGTTCAAAATTTTACTCTAGTTATCGACTAAAAAAAAATTGAACAGAGTACCTTTGAATATTTTTTGGATGCTGCGATTGGGTCCGGTATAAATTTGATTATAGCTCTAGAAAAATGTAAAAAATTTGAATTTTGAAGATTTTTCAACCTCCTCTGGGCGTCTGAAATTCGGTCGATCGTGTTGAGCATTTTGACCCACCAATCTTTGACCATTTCGTCGCGATCATCTGATATTAGGCCCTCAAAGTTTTTTCTCAAACACTTTCTATTATTTATTTCCAACCTTATCACCAATATATTGGAAACGCTTTTCATTCATACTTTTCTCGGTTCGCCTTTTCTCGCGTCGAGCTAAACTTCGCAGGAACTGTGCCATCATAAGGGCCACAACTCCAGGATCTGGCGCCTAAACGGATTGATTAAAATAGTTGTAATCGGGAGATAACCTCGTATAATTGTGTCTTGTGGTTTTCGAACAAATCCAGAACTGTTGGGTGTAGCTGAAAAACTAGAAGATATCTTGAAGTTGTAAGATTGTACCTTTTTCTTCTTGATGTTCAGCTTTCCATAACAAACGATGATAAGCGACGACTGCCCTTTCGAAAACTTTTCCTTTTCCTGGAAATTTATAGTTGAAAAGACGATATCATAAATTAGATCACTTTCACAACAAAATCGACGATTCCCTTCGATTCGATCAAGGTTTTGAGCGTCTCGCACGGCACAACAACTGCGAAAAGGTCCTGGGCGACCTGGAAAAGAAAATTTCAAGTTTTCAAACATTTCGCTGAAGAAAAAATCTGTTGAATCTAATTTTTCTCAGTACCTAGCAGAAAATTCTTTTTTTCTATAATTTTTTTTTGCTCAGGGTCGTCAATGAAGCTTAGACCAAATTTAAAAAAAGGTTAAAAATATTTCGCAAACGAGAACAAAAACTGAAACTTCATTGTCTTAGACGCCTAATTTTTCTATAAACCTAACGGAGAAGAAAATTTTACTTTACGAATTCCCCTAAAATTAGTCAGAACACTTTTTTGATTCACTAGTTCAAAATTCTGATAGTCTCAACCTGCAAAAATCACTAATTTTTGAGAAAGGAGACCTCAAAGAGAACCACAAAATCGGTTAAAAGAAGCCCATTTTGGGACTTTGAGTTCTCATTTTCAGAAAATCATATTGAGCTGGGTTATTTCTTCATTAGGTCATACATTACGGTCTTTCATGCGCTCAAATGTTGCAGCTGTAAACTAGATTTGAAGATTCGGATTCTTGTGGAACTAGAATATTAAAAGGGACTGAAGAGAAGACCTTGTACTCCAAACGATGACGTCTTCCGTCGTCGTCCTCACGAAGTTCCACACATTTCCGATGCCATTCGATGCGCATTCCGATCGATTCGTCGACCAGAAACTGACCCTCGATGTTGCGCTCGGAGAAAAGAAGACGTGCCTGCACTTCCAAGTCGTCTGAAACCCTTCCGTCACGCCTTCAAAGGAGATATAGCCGATTCACGGCTAACTTGGGACGCTCAGGGGCGTGGCCTGTCTGCTCTTTCCACCAACCATTCACTGTTTCTTTTGTTTTCGTGTCAGGAGCCATTTTCCCTATGTCTCGAGCCAGCCGTGAGCCAGCTATATGGTCAATCAATTTCCTTAAGGATTTCACAAATTTGAGCGGCAAAAGAACATTTTTGGCTGGTCTAGTTTCAATCTGAAGAAGATATTATGTCTACCGATAGCGTCAAGGACAGCGCGACCGACGTGGCAGTAAGTGTACTGCTCGCACTTGGAGTTCAGAGACGCCGACATTTCTCTTTCGATTTTCCGCGACTCTTTCTCGCGCTGCAAAGAACTCGTATTTCTCGAAATCTTACTATTTGGCTCAAGCTCAAGCGCGTAAGTCGTTTTACGGTCGGATACATTTTCCCCCCTTTTTTTTTAGAACAGTTCATTGATCTCTTCATGGTATGTTTTATTTTGAAAAAAACCTCCTTTTCTTCTTTTTTCCGTCGTGCCTCTTCTTGTTTCTTCTTCTTTTCGATCTACAAGAATTTTTTTCAATATTTTGAACTTCTCTTCAATTTTCAACCTCTTTTGTTGCTTTCTCCAATATTTTTCTGCCCTTATCGTTCTGAGACAAAATGATAATTATTCTAAAAAGGACCAGTAAGAGTCCAACCTTTCCCAAAACATCCTCCGTTTTTTTCTTTTTCAAAAAGGGCTGAGAGTCCAAGATCTCCAACTCGTCGTCTTCATCAGAAAGTTGCAAAGGACTCGAGCTTCTCCTGAAGAAAAAAAAAGATCTTTATATTTTTTTCAGGTTGTTTTTTTCAGGCTTTCAATGTCTTTATAATGTGAAAAAAACAGCAGAAAAAAAAAATGAAAATCTATTCAAATTTTCTGTGTCGAAGCGTTAATTTATTTTTTGGAAGCTTGGTACTCAATTTTTTTCCAAGTTTTCTAGCTTTTCTTCAAGTCAGAAACACAATAGACATCAAAAAACCGAATAAAAACTGAAATCACAAAATCCTTCCCTTCAATAATTTTTAAAATTATTTATTCTTTTGAAAATCTTTCAAGAATCAGTTTTTGAAACGCACAAATGAGACGTGGAGGCAGTTTCGGACTTTCTTTTCCTGTCGCCTTTTGCGATCAATCGGTCCAATTCATCCAGAGTCGACTTCAGATCTCCATCATCTACTTCTGTAAGCTTTCTTTTTGACATCTTTATTTTGAAAAATGAAAAAAAGAAACATTTTGGTTGATTTTTAATATAACTTATTTTGGGTAAAGTCTTAAAGCATTTTCAAAGGTTTTTACTCGCTAAAAAACTGGAACAGGGATAATTTGTCAAACTCTGTCAAAATTCTTTAGAACTTCGTGATTTCTTTAGATTTTTAATAGGACAACATTTCCCAGTTTTTTCCAGGCTTAAAAAGCCGTTGCGGCCGCAAGGCGCTTCTTCGGTGGAGCCGACTCACGGCTGGCTTGAGCCGTCAAAAAAAGGGTACTGAGACGATTTAAAAAAAAGACAGCGCCTGGTTGGTGTAGAGCGCAGACAGGCCACGCCCCCTTGGCGAGCCGTGAATCGACTATAAGTCAAAATTCTCTGTCTTGTAAACATTGAAAAAAGTTAAAAAATTTTTCCTCCATTTTTTCAAACCATGAGTCCATCGCTCTGCTAGTCGGGGAGAAATGACTTCAAAAGAATAATAAAAGATTAAAAATTGAAGCTTTACAAAAATAATTTAACTTCAAACAACTTATTAACCTCTAAAAACTCAAAAATAATTTGAAAAACTTGAAACAAGATTTTCCGGATCACCCACCATCGTCAAGATCCAAAAAGTTGTACTTGGGATCGACGGGCGATCGCTCAAGTCTTTTGCTCGCCGAAGACGTCGTCTTGGCCGCCGGAGAGATCATCGACGTTTCCTCGATGCAGACGATGTCGTCGTCGTCGTCTTTCTTCTTGCAACTCGTCGGCTCGTCTTCTTCGTCCGAAGACAACGTCAGGATTTCGTCCATCTAGGGAAACTGCGTATGACAGAGCACTGAAACATTCAGAAATTTTTTCTCTCCTCTCATATTTTTTCACGGAGAAAGCCCAGAAGGGCCTAAAAAGTACCTTGGCGTCACAGGCTTTTATTTCTTGACATTTTAAGGAGAATAAACGATAAAGGCGGAAGGTGAAAAAAAGAAGAGATTCAGGGAAATTTTTAAAACCTTTTTTTTAAAATTAACTCAAAAAGGGCTCTAGAATCTTCTTTCCTAGGAAAAGGGTCTCTCTAGGGATCGCTTCAACAACCGCAATAGAGGCCACTAAAGCATGCAAAAGTGGTCACTTTTGGGGAAATGCTAGTCTAGTTTTTTTGAACTCTGCAAAGAAGCATTTCTATGCGAAAAAACTAAATAAAAAAAGCGTTTTTTAAATAAAATTGAAAAACCCCTATAGGGGACCCCTAAAACTTGAGGGGCTAAGGGCTCATACCCCGAACCCCTATAGGTAGCACCTTGATTATACGCCTGTATAGACCATTTTCTGGGGCCGTTCTTCTTGATATACATAATCTTTAAAATTGAGATCATGTCTTTGAAAGTATCATCTTCAGAAATAAAACTCGAGAAGTATTTTTAAAAAAGGGTCGATAAGATGAATGTTTATTAAAACGAAACGTGCTGGACCCGGAATGTGAGAAGATGAGAATGAAACAGGAATGCCGAATATCACAAGAACGTGGGCGAATGATATTTCAGGGAAAGTTCAACATAACATCGGTTCTTATTTAACATGAAATGTGCACATAGGGACAAACAATAATTTTGCGATATAGTCAATGAGGAGATCATTTTCTGCCCTTGGAGAGGAGAGCAAAGGATTTGAGAAGTTCTTCGTTCATCATCATGTTGTAGGCGCCCATCTGTTGCTGCATCCAGAACTGTTGGGCCGGCGCTGGAAAGGTTTTCTTTTGTTTCAATGATCTCATTAACTTTTCATTTGTTCTTATAGGTAATTTTACATCACTTTTCCACGTTTCCCGCCAAAAAAACAAATGAACCTCGAAAAAAAAATTTTGTCGTGCACCTTTCTTAGTAAAAACCTATGCTCCTTCAATAAAATCGCCAATTTCTTTTGAACAACTTAAACAACTTACAAACAGTCTTCATAGTTTCCTCCATGAAGCGTCCCATTTCGTTGGCGGATATAGCCGAGTTTTTCACCTTGCTTTTTTTGAGCTCTTCCACCGGAGGGACAAGTTTCGGAGCTCTGAAGGATAAAAGGTATAGAAAAAAAGAAATTGTTAATTTATGAGAAGCTGGATAAGCTGTAGGAAACACTTTACGAGGCCATTAGGAGATGAATTCCTTAGAAACTGGAGAAAAGCAGCTCGCGCTGATTAATTTTTTTGCTTCCGCATGATTCGAGATCTCCGGAGAGTTTTGGTTTTGCTAGATAAAAGTTTTCAAAATCGCAAATTCCAGAAACTAATTCTTTATTTTCTCGAAATTATCCAATTGAATTTTTCATATTTTAAAGATTTTATAACAATTTAACAAAATGTAAACTTTGAAAGTTCCTTATGGACTCTCCGAAGCAAACCAATGCGAAATATTATGCCAGAGCTATTTTCATTCATAAAATGTTTTTAAAAGCATAGCCGCGCAGTTTCTATTATCATTTTAATTTTGAAAAAAACTGTGCCTTTGAAAACCTCAGTGAGAGAATGAAAAAAAAGCTTTTAAACCTTCGGACGCTTTCGAAAAGACTCAGGACCAATAAAGAATAGAAAAGTTCGAATTAATGAAAAAAAAAAAACGAACGTGACGGGCTGGAGATGATTGAAATGTTTGGTCTCGCGCATATGTCGAACAAATTGCTCCATCGATTGAAAGTTCAAGCCACACTGAAGACATTTCAGGACGGAATCCATCCCTGTTCGCCGGCTCTGTAACCAAAAATTTTTTTATTAATGAATGAGTTACAAAAAATATAAAAAAAGATGAGTACTCTGCACAAAAAAGTTTTTTTAATTTGTAAAATGTAGCAGAACTTTTTTTCAAGTTCCAAGAAAAAAAAAAACCTTAAAAATGCCCATCATGAATCCAATATGCCCTGAACTATGAGAAAAAATAACAACTTTTTTTCGGGGGAGAATTTTTTTTAAATGCGACAAATGTCGTCAAAAAGCGAACTTCGATTCAAAATTTTTAGCCGAAAAAGAACGAAAAAAAAAATGAAGAATATCAAATAAGTTTTTTCGAACAATTCTAAAATTTTTAAGTTCACGCCTTAAAACGCATGAAACTGAAGCTTGGTTAAAGCTTTGTGAAACCCGGTAGAAGTTCTTATCTTTACTAAAGGACACACGGAAAAAAATTTTCAAACATGGAGAAAAAGAGCAAGAACTCACTCGTGGCTGGATCTGGCACATTCCCGACGACTTTATACAGAGCATTGAGGCCATTACTGTTGGGAGGAAAGCCAAAAGGGAAGTTACTCAGCTGCGATGGCAGCGCGGAGCCGTTGTTGACTGAAATCACGCTTTTAGGAAATGAAAAACGAAAAAAAAACTTGATAATATATTCAAAAGGCCGTATTCCGCGCCAAAATGAGTTGGAAAAACACCGTGGCATAAACTTGCACAGAAAAGCGAGGCAAAAATTTGGTTTTCTCTAGAAGCGCTGAATGATTGGAAGTTCCAAATTGGAACTAAAAAGTCTTACATGAATGATTTAAACGCAGGGAAAATTGCATTTTGTGAAATTCATCGACTTTCCCTTCAACATAACCATTTCATTCAAAAATTCTATACACGCGTATAAAAATCAGCATATCTCCATCAAAACCTGAAATTCAAGAGTTTTGGATTTTTTTTTTTGCAATGAATAAGTAGAAATGCTGGAATTCCCTAAAAATTTCCCAAGTGGTGAATGAAACTGTTCCAGAGATGGCTTTCTGAATGCGAACAACCAGATGGAGTTTATTATTTTCTTATTTTAAAAGATTTTTTAATCCAGTAAATGTCTCTGGGCTCTCAATGAGCATTTCTAGATCTGTCCCACAATTTTAAGGACCTCACATTGGGAAAACTTTCAGCGTCCCTGTTCCATTATTCTGGTCGGAAATTGACGGGGAGAACGATGATTCGAACCGTCACGTCTCCAGGAAAAGAAGACACCGGCCGGCTCCTCCACAACAAGAGTAAGTGGCCAATAAATTTCTGCCGAGACCCTTCATTTCCTGGCCACTCAAAATGAAAGGAGCAGACGAAAAAGAGAAAAAAAAAACCGACGAATATATGGGGTGAACATGATTCGAAATGACAGCTTTTCGCATGGGAACCGAGGATGAATGAATTATTTGTTGGTCTTGAGAATTTCACACCGGTTTGAGTCGAGCTTCGTTCTCGTAGCATTGAGATGATTTCGAAGCCATAATTGAAGCTTAAAAAGCCCGAAGACAGGCTTCTTGAAACGAAAAGCGATAAAAACTGTACATGATCGCATCTTTCCTGGTCAGGAGATTTCTCAACCTATCATCCGACGGCAATAAAAATTGTTTTCGATTGCAATTGGACGCCGGCAGATCTCATTAAAAGGGATGAAAAAAGCGGCCAGTTCTTCCATTTTTATTACTCGTTTTCCAGAGCTGATCAGACTGTTATGGAAGTCATAAATGGCGCCATCTTCGGAAAGAGTCAAAAAGATTCCCATCCCACGCATAACATCGGAATCACATTAACACGATCAGATCGATCTCCCTCGAAGGCCACTATTTTGTTGGCCTGAATCTCCTCTGCGCGTATGATAGTCCCTCCAACAACAAAATCACGTTTTCGGGCGGAAAAAATATATACGAATAACAATTTCTGTTTGAAAAGTAGAGAGAGCTCGCAATTTTCGCGTTTTTGGAATCAAAATTTTTGCTCTGAGGTTTTGAAAATGGCTAAGGGAGCACCTGAGTGATAGAAAATAAAACCAAGTTGCATTTTTTGGAGCGTCTCCACGTAATTTATATGGATAAATAATAAAAAAACTTTTTTTCTCATCTGATAAAAAAATTTTTGTACTTGTAAAATTTTTTTCTGAATCACTCCTGATTACATGAGTCTCAAGTCCAAAACCCCAAAAAATCTTTTTTTTTTTTTTGAATATCCATGGAAAACTGACAAGCGGCAAAAAGTCGCGGGTCGAATTTCCTCATGGAATCTTCGAGCATCGACAAGGGATTGGCCGACGTCTTCAAGCCGTTCGACTTGTTGGACGGCGGCGGCGGTGGCGGAGTCGAACTGCTCGGCTGCTCTTCTAGTTTCTGCTGCTTCTGAAGAACGCGATGAAGGCGGTCATTTATTCTGCATTGTCGATACCTCTTCGCCTTGAAGAACTTCTTCGTCGTCATCCACCGGAAACCTCCTTTTTGGATTTGCTTGTTTCCTCCGGCTCATTGTCCTGTAAAAAAATAATAATCGATTTTGAAATAAATCGAAAATTACAGTAACGAGAGAAAATATGAAACGCTCAAATCTTCAGAAAGACACTTTCCTAATTTTTTTGAGATAAAAATCTTCAAAAACGAGCAGAAGAATTTTCAAAAATGACACGCTTGAAGGAAGAAAAAAAGTTGTCAAAAATGTTCTTTATTCACATTATTTTCAAAGAACCTGACTAATTGGTTATAAAAAAATCTTGAGATCTGAACCAAGTTCTTTGAAGCTGATTTTCACGAACTTTCAGAACTCTCAACTAGGACCCATTTTTAAACGTCTTGTTCGTAAAATTGATTAGAATCGATTGAACAATCTCGACACAAATGAGCCTTCGAAAATAAAACGGAACAGAGAAGAAAAACTATTAAAAGTTGAATTCAAACGACTTGAAAAAAGAGGGTGCTCGGAAGATTCAAAAAAGATTTTTGTGCTGCAAGTGGCGGGATTGAACGGATCGATGAAGAGGAAACAAAGCAAATGAGGTTCTGTGAAGTGGAAAAAGCAGCTCCGAACACGTCGGGACGAATCGTAAAAGCGGCCGGCCGCCGCGGTGTTGGGCAAATTAATCATCTCCAAATTGTCGTGTGCGCCGTTTTCGCCTCGCCGCCGCTCCAAGTATTTATCGGACAAGAGAAGAGTTGTCAAAAACAAACCGATAACGCCGTTTACCACTTATCTTATAAGAGATTTCCCAAGGCTTCCGCTTTTGGAACTTTTTAACAACATTGGCGAGACAGTCCTCAGTAAAGTAAATTGAAAAATGAAGCCAGAGTGAACGACGAAAAAATTTCTTACGAGGAATCTCTATTTTTCGAGTTATTTGATGTTAACAAGAGAGGTCATTTCCCTTTGTGTGTATGGGAATTTTTTGAAAATTGATCAGAGCTGTCCTCGATGCACTAGATGATAATTCTGAAAGTCTGTTTTTCTGTTTTTTTTTTTTAGAAATTACAGCTCAAATTCAAAGAAAACCCTCAAACTCCATCACAACAAGCCATTTTGAAGCTTTCACCTTTTGTTTCTCGAAAACTAACTTACTCAAGTCTTGCAGTTTGAAGCTTTTAGAATCGTTTTCTAGTATATCAAAAGAGAATCCGACTAATTTTTAAGGAATTCCCAACCGCCAATTAAAATGACCTTCCTCGTAAGTAGCTACGGAATAACTCGAGGATGCTAATTTCTAAAAGAAACTTTTCAAATACTTCCCGCGGATCTTTGAAATAGTCGAAATGTACATTTCGATATTTAAAAAACTTCCAACTCCTAAGAACCATCAAGTAGCTGAACTTCTAAAATCGATACTCAAAAAGGCCACTTTATACCCTATTTACGGCTAGTTTAGGGCGCAGGAAAAAAACTGCGATGACACCTAAATCTTTACCATCAACATGATTATTTTCTTGAAAGTTTCTAATTTTCAAAATATTGGATCAGACCAACCGTGATTCTGGGTCTACAAATCTTCCAATAAAAAACTTCTTCATTTCAAAAATGTTTCGGCTTAACTAACTTACTTTTCGATTCAATCTTTCTTGACTCTCATCTTCAATTTTATTCACCGTACTGTAGATAGGGACCGCAGACGAATTTTCAAAAATTTTTTTTCAGCATTGAGCTATGTATGGTTTGATAGCTGTTTCGATTCAGAACTCAGAACCGTTTAGTTTTTCAAAAAAGATTGAGGATGAAAAAAGTTATGACGAAAAAAATGTGGCGCGCCGCGCACCATTTTTTTAGTACTGAAATTTTGGTATTATCCATTTTTTTGACATTTTTTTCTCGATTTTTTTCTTCTAGAAAAAAAGTTTTGATACTGGTCTATTATGATGTAACAAATTATAATAGAGTGCTAAAATGATGCTAATCAGCTAGTTTGCCGAAAAAGTCGGTATTTTCCAGAAAACAAAAAACTGGCGCTTGCGGGCATCGAACTCGCGACCTCAAAATGAAAAATCGCAGCGCACGCACTGCGCCAAGCTGTCAGGTCTAGCGCGGGGAGCTTCCATCCCCCTTACCCTTGAGCCGTTTGGATAGCACAGATTGCCTATTTCAAAAAGAAAAACTTGAAGTGATTAAGCTATTTTGATCAGAATATGTTCGCAAATCTTTACTCAAACGTTTCGTGGAAATTCACTTCGAAAAAACTGTTTTTTCAGTGCTTTTTGCCTCTTTTAACGATCGCTGCATTAAAACGGCCCCGTATATTTTCGGCAAAGACGAATTTTTTATTTTATTTTTTTAATTGAAAGATTTTTTACTAATAAATGTATATAATCGTTTGAAAAACCTGCGTTCGACCGCTTTCTGTGTGATAAACGCCGCTAATTTTATTCTCTATTTTCAAGAGCATTTTTGCGTATCAAACAACTTTTTCAAGCACATATGCTGTGGAGAAAAATTTAAGTAAGCCCATGGTCTAAATTTTGAAAAAACGAAAACTCGATTATATTCGCTTATTAACGATATTTTGAATTATGACTTTCGGCACTCCCTAAAATTTTTGGCAAAGACGAATTTTTTATTTTATTGTTTTAAAATTACCTTTACTTGAATCAAAATCATTACATAAAAAAAGAAAGAGTGCGTTCGACCTGAAAACACATGAAAAAGCAAAAAATGACAAAATTTTTTAGTTCCATTCACGTTTTTGTACGACATTCCGCGAGAACGCATCAAAAAAGCGTGAAATATTTTTTAAACGAAAGAGGAAGCTTTTCTGTACATGTGTGTCAAATTTTATTAGCCAGTTCCACATATTTTGCAACTACAACTAAATTAAAGTTGTAAACCAAAAAAATGCCACTTTTTCTATCGCGAAAAGGGGCGTGGCTTTGCGGTCCCTAACTGTAGATCTGTACTCGTTGAGCTACACGTTGATATCCCGATAAATCCCTTCAGAAGACGTAAAAAAAAAGACGAAACCCGAGACTCAGCCGACTACGAAAAGAGGAGAAAATTTTTCAAATGCAGGAAATAACAAAGGAGGAATAGACGAAATAAAAAAGGCAAAAGAAAGACATTAGAAGGGAACTCGCCAGGTGTCAGGGACGCATATTCAATTGAATAGCTAAAAGACAAGAAACGCGTCACGGGACTGGTTGCTTTTCGAACAGACAAAAAAAAATCAGCGGAAAGGCAAAGAAAACAAATTGCGCGCCGTGAGCCTTATGATCGCACTTCGGATGGGCGGCACACAAAAAGACGTTGTGGTTAGGAAAACTCTCAAGTGAGGTGTGTGTGGAAATGAAGTTGAGTAAACTCTGGCACTTCATTCTGCGTGACTGAGTTTTAGTCCACTCAACCTCATCAAATCTGAACGTTTTCGAGTGAAAAGGAATATTGAAAATATCATCTTGTCATTAATGGCATTCCGATATTTTTTGTAAAAGTTTGCCCAAGAAAATTTTGAAACTCATAAGTCAAAATGGGAAATCACCAGAGAACTGTAAAATGCTGTGACTAATATCAGTAGATTTTATTTTTTCAATTGTTTTGGAAATTTTCAATTGAGTTAATCTTGAAGCGTTGAAAAAGCAAATATCCTGAGAAAATTGGATAAAAAAGCGGAACTTCATGGAATTCTGGTTGTGAAAAATGTGTACTGATCAAAAGGAAAAAATGGAAAAATCACCTAAAACCGAATCTTGAAAACCCTTTAGATTTGAACTTCAGCCTCTGCAGTTTCTTCTTCTCCATCTATGAAATTTTCACTGACTAAATCAGAAGACTCGAAAAAGATGAGAAAAAAAACCTGATACCGATCAATTTCAGAAAGGCGAAAAAAGTCGCGAGCGGGTTTTGACCCTTTTCCGGACTGGCAAATATTACGAATGTTGAATAATTTGGGCAAACGAGATGAAGAAAATGTTTGAGAGGAGCGTGTGAGAAAATGCAATATTTACACATAGGCCGTGGAGATCTGAAAATTGAGACAGAAAAAGCACCGCGGTTGGGAACAAAAATAAGACGATTGCCTAAGTGGTGGAGAGCCTGGCGCCTCTCGAGGTTCAGTCATACGGCAGAAACCAGGACATCGGGATTATCGTAGCAAGAGTTTGAAGAGAGAGAGAAAAATTTCCTAACTAGTAAGAAAGAAAAATACAGTTAATTAAGGGCTTTCTAAAAATTTCTTTCTGATTTTTCAACTATGAAATAAGGTTTTTTCAGTCCATCTTCAAGCTGAATGCAGTTGGAGCAAATCTGACTTCATCAGAGTCATGATTAGGCACAAAATTTGTTTTTTCATAATTCGATTATCCAAAATTGCCATTCGCACCTTCAAAAAACATCAAGCTTTATCTTGCAAAAAAAAAGTCTAATCAGAAAGTTTCGTGTATAATCTAAGATATTCTTCTTAATACCTACTTTTACGTGGAACAAATTCTTCTAACTTCTAAATCCCACAGTCCTACACCATCACTACGTCCAACGAAAGGAGACGAAATGCAATCTTAAAATGCAGCTCAAAAGCAATCGTACGTGAATAATAAATGAGGAGAAGCAAAGAAAAACAAATTTCAAAAGAGCCAGATGTGCTTGAAGAAAAGCGGGTCTGACGCAACAACGAAAATGAGCGCGCACGCCCGACCTTACGCGGCCAACACAAACTTTTTTCTGGTGGCCAAGAAGAAGAAGGCAAAAAAAAAACGGAAGGAAAGGAGATTGATTTAGGCCCTGGTGTGAGTCTTTTTCGGCTGTTTTTATGGGCAGACGAGCGACTTTTCCCTGCCACCAGAAGCCCACTCGCAAAACTAGTTAAGATGGCTCGGAAAATGAAGTGAAGTGAGGCCGGCTTAGGATTAGGAGCTAACATTTTTCATTTCGCCAACTTCTACGGATTGAGAGCTCTGCCGACTCGTGAGCTTCTGCTTCAGAAGTTCAAAGCCTCGCTTGATGCACTTCAGAAAAGCAATTTCCTCTCTAAAACTTCCAAATCGGAAAAAAGGTGTTGGTTTTTTGTTGGAAAAAAATAGGAAAATCAACAGTACTGTACAGTATTTACCTATTAGGATCAGCAATGATAGTTCACTGCATTTAAAAATCATGTAATGATTGTAAGAACCCATTTAAGACTTTGATACAGTCGCTTTGAGCTCGAAATAAAGTGACTTGATGCAACATGGCGGGACATGATCACTTCAAAACTGAACGGAGTGAGACAAAAGAAGCTTTGAGAAGATATTAAAAGCATCTGATCAGATCAAGAAAATCATCAGTCAAAGGTAATAAGAATCGGAAAAGAACAGCCCCCGCGGCGCGATCGCGGCGAAATCGAAATGGGATGACGCACGACGGAACGACTCTTCTTGCAGTTTACAGGCCACGCCCCGATTATGAGAAGAAGAAAAAAAAAGCCTTCGAGGTTTTCGCATTACGGCTCCTACACAAAAGATACGCTTAACGACTTTGTCGGTTGCGTAGCCCGAATTTCGAATTGTATAACTAGCGTTGTTGATTAGAAATTTTCACATATGCAAGCTAATTAGATTGAATTGGATTTTGGTTATTCTCTATCATAAAGACTTGCCAAGTTGACGAAAATCTTGATAATTACTGCGAGTGGATACTAAAAGTTAAGATCCACTTGAAAATTTCATTAAAAGCTTTTTTGGGCTTAAATTTACGTGTACAATCAGTACCGGTATCCGCACTTGTTGAAGTACTGAAAAAATCGGGTCTTTTTCTTCGATTTGTCAAGGACTACTTTTCCTTGTGAATGATATTAATATTATTACTCTTAAGCTCCTGAAAAAAACGGTTTTTATTTTTGGAAAAAAACAGTTACAAAAAAATCAACAATGTTTGAAAATTTTTTTAAATAATTTTTAAATAAGAAAAAAACGACATTTTTTTCACTGCTTTGAAATTATGTTTCTGTATTTATTTTACCAAAATAAACCCAAGCCTTTGAAAAAAAAACAGTTCAAAACTAATGAAGCAAACGACGCAAACTGAGAAGAACTCAAATTTCGTGAAAAGAAAACGGCGTCTTTCTAATAAACTAAAAATTTCGAAAATAACTTTGGAACCTTCCTTTGAGGTTATTATCGAGCCGGTAAACCAGTCATTAATTCAACTTTTTCAGATAATTATCTTGCATAGTACGAAGGATAAATAAAATTTGCATCATTAGCGTTTTCAGAAACACACAAAAAGCTCCTTTCCTTAAAATTTGTAAAACCTTTTTTTGGAATGAACGAGATTATCAAGAAGTCTGTAAATGGATTTCGTTATTTAGTTTGAATAACCACACGTAAGGAAAACTTGAAAATACGCAGACTCGCGGAAAAAAACAGAAAATTACATGAAAGTAGAGAGGTTTTCGTCCGCCCAATTACGCATCATGATTTATTGGTCAGCTCTCGAGAGAAAAACTCCAAAAAGCCAATTTCTCCGAGGTTAAAAGTGGAATTGGCAAGAAGTATTGGTTCTTTTTCTAATATTGTGAAATGAAGGAAGAAATGATTGCGAACTTCAAGCAGTAAAAATATCTCGAAATATCAATGAAAAAAAATATATTCATACCAACAAACACAAGATAATGAACAAGACGAAATAAACACGAATAGAAGTTTCAGGAACATCAGGAGGGAAAAAATTGAATGGAATGAACAAAATGGGAAAAATATTTTCAAAAGCTCAATAAAAAGGAAAAAAAAAACACGTTTCTTCAAAACGACAAGAAGAAATAAATGAGTGTAAAATAAAAAAATAAGGTTTTTCAAAACGAGAAAAAAAGTTTCCGACGAGCCAGACGAGCGTTAAAATGTAAGATTAATTTTTTTAATTTTTTTGAAAAAAATAAAAAAAGGAAAAAAATCAGTAAGTATGAGGATTATTAACGCTTTGCAATGGGTCCATGAAGAATGGAGAATCCGCTGGACTGTCTTGGAAGCAATGACCGTAGGCGTCTTGGCCCCACTCCAGGCTTTCTATCGCTTCCGAAAACTGCAAAAGATTATCTTCCTTTTAAAGTAAAAGCAGGGATCTTTATTTTTTGAGATTATATATAATTTTGACAATGAACTACGTTAACACCTGAAGGCATTGATATTCCTAACTTAAAAATTACAGTGGCACTCTGAATGGCTGGACGCGTTTACGGCCGAAAAGTTGAAATAATTCTAGAAGGCTTCTGACTTTCAAAAAAAAGTTCAAGCAAGCTGTTAATAATAAACATCAAGTTGGCTGTAAGACCAATTTCAACCACAACGCGACCGCGACGCTTCGAGCCATTCCGCGTGCGAAAGCGACTTTTCAAGTCACAGCTAAAAACTTGAAACCTTGCTGATCAAAACGTTCCGTAAACTACTAACAGTACAATCCGAAACTCACAAAACTGAGCGGCTCATTGGGGACAAAGTTGGGGGAGCAGACGCGCGTCGAATGAAGCGAGCCAGAAGATTCCGAGGAAGAACTGTAGAAGATTTCGGCCGGCGGAGGGTTGAAAGACGGCGAATTGGGCGCCATCAACGAGTTCATCGGCGTGGAGTCCGGAATAAAGACTTCCGGAGTCGGAGATGTCATTTTTGCTGGAACTGGCGAGGTTTGCACACCATGTGTGGCTTTTTTTCTCTGAAAAACAATGGTATGAAAAAAGAGATCGTACGCATTTTCAGTTCAATCGAAGCTCACTTTTCAATTCAATAACTCTTTTTTTTCATTCAGCGCTGTTGTTATCAATGTGATTGGACTTAAAAATTTGGAGAGGCAGAAAAATCAAGCCGAAAAGTCGTTGAAAGGAGCGATGTCCAAGAAATCTCAAGAATCTGCCAAACTGAGCCATTATCAGACTCTCATTTCTTAAAAAACTAGGAAGTTACAGTTTTGAGATCTTTCTTTTCAGCATTGCTCAACTTTCCGTTTCGGCAACTCTCTTTAATTCTCCGCGTTTCGTTCCAGATTAATTTTTTCCAGAATTTTATGACGGTTGAATATTCAGTCATCACCTTGAGCGCTCGAACAGACTTGTGGCCTGTATTTGGATACTTTTTCGGCAGGGCCATCCTTTCCATCGGCCGCTGCAACACGACCAAATTGCCCAGAAGTTCGTTCACGTCTTCGTGTTTGTTGATTTCAGACAGCTGTTTCGCTGTTCGGTCCTTAATGGCGAAGTTTTTTTTTTCATTGAAAATGATGATTTTGGCAGGATTCTTCCTTACCATATAATCTTCCAAATTTGGCGAGGCCCCGCTATGCAACAACAACCTGACGACTTCCAGATGACCTTCTTTCGCAGCCAACATGAGTGGAGAGTTGTTCTAAAGTCGAAACTTTGAATAATTCAGCGCTATCAAGAATTTGTTAACAAAAAAGGCTCAAAGAATGTGCCGTTTTTCAATAATAATTCACATTTTTTCGGCTTAAAAAAACTTGAGAAAGACTTTTTAAATTATATTTCTTCTCATAATTACTCAGGATATTGAATTATCTCCGTATTGAGGAACATAAAACTACATCCCGCTGCATTTTTCATTTTGCAAGCTTCAAAAAACATGAAAAGAGAAATTTTTGGAACTGATCGAACTTATGGAACAAAAAAATAGTTAAATCGAATGTTCAACTTCCATCTTAATCTAATATTTCCTGCACTTCCGTCTTTAAGAAATTATTCTCAACAAAACTTAGATCAAATTTTCATGATAAAATTATCTTGAAATTCAAGAGCAATCCAATATTTTTCCCTGATGATTCTCCTCACATAATCGTCGATCGCGTCAAAATCGGCGCCTCGGTTGACCAAAAAAGCGGCCATCGAGACGTTTCCATTGAGCGCGGCCACATGAAGAGCCGTTCTTCCGGTGTAAATCGATGACTCCTACAAAGAAGTCTCGTTTCTATCAATTTTGAGCTATTTTAGGAGAACCTTGCGATTTCTGCCATCAAAGTTCACTTCGGCGCCGTAACTAATGAGCAAGTCGGCCAATTCTGTTCCAATGAAATCCTTGCGGGCCACCTCCATCAACGGAGTCATTGCCAGGTGGCAAATCTCATTTATCTGAAAAAAAATCATGGTAACAATGAATCAATGAACAAATAAGAAAAAATAAAATTGTTGTTTGTATGAAAAATGAACTTCAAGCAAAAATGAAATAATCGCAACCGAGGATCACCGAAAACACAATTTTTTTTTTTTCGCTGTTGTTTCCGGCGACGTTGAGAATCTGAACTATTTGGAAGAGAGTACTTACAAAAAATCAATCTAAAATGACGATGCTCTTTTTTCTTTATAGATAGTTCACAACTTTCATAGAATATAATTGTATCTTAAAAATCTCAGTGTGGTTTATGATTTCTTATAGAAAACAAAACAAAAGTTTTAGACCCATGTGGATTTTTTAAATTCCTGATTAAAATATGAAAATATTCTCTCAATAGATCTTTTTTGAGTAACGACCCATTTGAGCCCCATAAACATGGAAAAGGGGTTATTTGAAAATTTTGAAGCTGCAAAACTTGGAAATAAGACCAAGAGCGACAAAAACATCCCTTGTTCAAAAATCACGAATTTGTGAACTGCACTAAAGCAACGTTTCATCAAAATTTCAATCATAGGTTGAACAAAAGTTTGCTCGCTAAAATAAAAGAAAACTGACCTCAGAATGGACCCTCCTGGACATGAGGAGGATCCTCATCATGTCGAGGTCGAGATTGGCAGCGGCCTCGTGGAGAACGCCACGTTCGCTGTCGTTGAAGATCCTGGGGTTGGCGCCGGCCTTCAGAAGCACGACGACGAGACGAAGACGGCGCGCGCGGACCGCGACGAGCAGCGGAGTGTTGCCGGCTGAACAAAACAGTGATGTTGTCCAGCAGACGGACCGCACCGGAATCCTGCGCGTTGAGGTTGGCGCCGGCGCGGATCGCCTCTTCGGCTTCCTTCACGATCCTCTCTTCCGGCTTGCCTTTCACGTTTCCGGCCAGCCAATGCAAAACACAGGCTTTCCAGCGCTCGTCCGCTTCGTTCACATTTTCTTTTGTCATCTTCAAGAAAACGTTCTTAGGAAAATTGAGAGGAAATTTCTGAATTTTTTTATATGAGTTATTTTGTGAGAAGCTTAAAGGCTCAGGAGAAAAACTGGAATTCTTTGGGACTATGATTTCCTTGTAGCGCCCGCAGGTTGCTCATTTGACCTTTCCAAAATTTGGAGGCGATTGACAATTTCATTGGCTTGAAATAATGGAATAATCAATAAAATTAGGATGACTATCCTCAAAATCTTCGGAAGGCAAAAAAATTCTCATTTTTTTTTTCTCGGATCAACCAACCTCAACAGTTATCGGACCGCTTCCTTCAGCTTCTACCAAAATTTTCGGTGGACTTTTCGGAGTTTTCATCGGCAGACTGAAAAAAACCTTGCGGTATTGAATTTATGCAATTTCGTTACTCGATATTTTCGGAGCTACTTTGTCGGTTGCTCTCTTTTGGTTTCTTCTCCTTCGTTATCAAAGAAGCCGCCTCCTTATTTTTACTACCGTTCGACTGTGACTTCCCTTTTGCTCGCTTCGAAGATCTTGGGCCTTCTGGAGCTGAAATTTCTTTGATAACCGAACTATTTTGTGATAAAACTAGCTCAAAGTACGTAGCTTCCAACAATAGCCCGAAGATAGACTTCCATTACGCATAATCCACAAAACCTAGTAAAAATTAGGCCATATCATTTTTATGAGTGATAGGATTTTTTCAACAGGTAGCTCATCGTTTTAAAACTCTACTTACTAGGGAACGTTTTTTACCCCCCGGTTGAACTTTTGACGAAACTTCGCAGAGATGTACTTTGAGGTCTCCTGAATCCAGAACAAGAAAAAATTTCTCGCAATAGACCTTGTTTTCGAGATATGCAGCCTCGAAGTTTGCACGCGAAATCTGCGGAAGCATGGAAGAGGGAATATGTTGCGCGCAGTGTCGGTGGAATGCCAGTTGATTCGTGGCAGAGTGGTATGAGGGCGCGCGCTATGTGCGAGCTGTGGTGGGTTCGATCCCATTTCGCTGCCAAATTTTGCAAAACTCTTTTGCTGCCATTTTCCTGGATGGAACGAATTGAAATAAATCAATTTTGTGGAATAAAAAAAATTTCCATTCTCAACAGTTTTGAAATGATGATTGAATATCAACTCGAGTAAAGTATAACAATATGCAAAACACAACCAATGCATTCAAATCAAACAAAATTTCAGCACTTATGACAGATTTGCGTTGGCAAAAGACGCTTCTTTCTTCTGAAGGTGTGGGCGCTTCGGAGAATTCCTCCATTACCCCCTTTTGAATATAAATAATATAGAAATATGAGAATTATTAGGCAGAAGAGAAACAGAAAAAAATCTTTCTGAAAAAATTCAAATGAATAAAGGAATACTGTTGCGAAGAGTTTGAAAAAAATTGCATCATCCTTCTTTTTAAATAACATTTGGCAAAAAGAAATTTTTGCAAAAATTTGGCAGCGAAATGGGATCGAACCCACCACAGCTCGCACATAGCGCGCGCCCTCATACCACTCTGCCACGAATCAACTGGCATTCCACCGACACTGCGCGCAACATATTCCCTCTTCCATGCTTCCGCAGATTTCGCGTGCAAACTTCGAGGCTGCATATCTCGAAAACAAGGTCTATTGCGAGAAATTTTTTCTTGTTCTGGATTCAGGAGACCTCAAAGTACATCTCTGCGAAGTTTCGTCAAAAGTTCAACCGGGGGGTAAAAAACGTTCCCTAGTTAGCAGAAGAAAGAAAATTCAAAAAAAAGCTTGGTATATCTTTTGTGGACTCCTTTTTGATGGGAAGGACGTTTGGCATGAGCTTCTTGCTTGCTTTATATTATCGGCGAAACTAACAAAAACGTTTTTACTTCCTTATTCCGCTCATTTCTGGTCCGGCTTACAAGGATTTCAAACTTGGATAGCTAAATAATGATTCCTAGATTCCTGAACTGTCACGCTGCTTCTTTTTGGAAGTTACCATGTTCTTCGAGAGGCGGCACCCAAACCGGCGCTGAGATGAGATGACGCTTGCGGTCCCTGCGGATCCAGGTTCTGGAGGCGCCGCTGACGACGACGCCAGCGAGTCCGACGGCCAGCGCGGCGAGCAGGACGAAGAAGAGCCACGAAGACGCGAACACGTTCGAAGGCTCTCTCGGCGCCACCATAACCTCATATACAGGCATCCCGAACGCTTCCACGCCTCCCTAAATTTTCGCCGAATTCTCTTTTTGCGCAAAAAGACAATTATAATCGCGCCCGGCATAAAGTGTTGTGTGAATTGTTTCCAAAAGTTTGCCTATCGAATCGAAAAATAAATTGGAAAACGATACGTCTTATAACTGTGAGAACTTCTTGCGTTATCCAACCGTACCGCAAAATTGAAAACAAGAGCTCAAAAAAAAAGCGAAGGAGTTTCCGGACGTGCAGTTAGTTTGTTAAAAGTTGAGGAAAGTAGAAGAAAATTTTTGATTATAAAAACTAAACGAAAAAATTCAAATGTAAGTGGTTAGATTCATGATGTACGAGCTATCGAATCACGTAAGTCCACAGTTCAATAATTGGATCAAAAGCGATTGCAAATAAAAGTGGTCAGTTCAGTGGAAAACCTTGTTGGCGACGTTGGCAGAAACGAAGTTGGCGACACTGCGGGCGTCGTTGAAAGGACAAGAGGAACGGTCTTTTTTGACGCATCCACTGGGCGATTCAGAAATCGCGCGACCGACGTCGACCTCGAGCCATGCAGCGACGCCGTTCTTCTGCTGCGCAACGGCCCGTCTTTTCTCACGTCTGTTGCTTTCCGGAGATTTTTCCTGGAAGTTGATCCTTTCTCTATTTTTCTTTGAACCGAAACAAAAACTTCCGAAGCGATCCTTTCCCCAAGGGTTGTCGTCCCATTTTTCGCAGACCATTCGAAGAGAAGCGGTCCTTCTTTATCTTTTTGGATTGCCACCGGGAATCGGAGGGCCGAACTCATCCGCATCAGAAAAACGCTCGAGTTTCGACGGAAGTTCTGCGGCTCGACCAAGAAGTCGACTCGAACTCCTTGCAGTTTCTCAACCACGTAATTTGCTTCTTTTTCTGTTTTACGATGGCAAACCTTTTCTTTTGGACTTGGTTCATCGCAGTCTCCACCGTCGAAGCCGCATTCGTCCAAGTTGCATTCGGAGTCACAACGGCCGTCGGCATACCTTTCGGCGCAATATAACTCGACAACGGGAGGACAGCGGTTGACTTTCGGTGAGCAGTCATTTCCGTCGTACAGACAATCCTCGTTGTTGCACCGCTTAACAATGTATAATAAAAACAGTTCTGAATCATTATAAGAAAAAAACTTGAATTTCCTTGACAAGGATTTTGGACTACTTTTTATCAATTTTATATTTTACAGAGGCCCTGTAAAAAAAAATCTGCCTTCAAAATCGAATGATTAAAAAATTGAAATTTCCTGTTTTTCTGATACATATGAAAATTGATGTCGTTAGACTTTGACTGCTGAAGAAACTGCAGATTGAAATTAGCCGTCTGTTGAATTTAAAAAAAAAATAGCATTAGTCGTTTCAAAGCCTCTAGCTTCTGTCATTTGATTCGTAATGATTTTATTACTCGAAAAATAATCCGATCGCTTATGAAATATTCAAAACAGTTTCAAACTAGTAGAAGAAAAAATTTTGACCATGAAACGGCGAAGTCGTTGTTTTTTAAGACTACAAACTGCGCTTTAAAATTTATACCTTCATCCAGATTTTTTCAAAATTGACTTTCATGAAATCATTGCCGTTCATCTCCGATAAACCCTCACTTCATCACAAATCCCATTATCGAACGCCTTGGAGCAAAAGTCGCGATCGGGACAGAGTTCGTAGGGATCTCTGCGAGCGCTGCAGTCGCCGTGGTCGAAGAAGCAGGCGGCCGAGTTGCACTCCAAGTCGCAGACGCCGTCGCTCGACCTCTTCCCGCAGCCGTTGTTCTTGCACAATTCACTGTCGTTTCTCAAATCCGAAGCGTTGCGTGAATATCACTTGACTTTTTTTCTTGTTATCACTGTTTTCTGAACATACTGTGCCAAACTAAATGGCTGTAAACTCCCTTTTTGGTGTTCAAAATACATTTTTTTACTTGAAACTCTAAAAACTCTCTATTACATTTTCGTGTTGAAGATTTAAAAAAAACCATAAATAAAAATTTCATAAAAAGTTACAATGAGAAATAAAATTAATTTACCTGTTGTCTTATCACTCATCACTAAAATACCTCTTCTAAAATCAAAATTATCTAATTTGAAATCATTAATTGGAAAAGGAGCCCCAATTTTAGAGAAAAAAGGTGATAAATTTATTTACCACCTGTTTTCCAAGCGTCTTCGATTGTATTATGTTCAAAAATCTCGATTTTTCTGAGCGGAGTCTAAATCATGGCTAACCTGTTGAAGCTTCTCCGTTTATCGATTTCGCAGAAAACTCCTTCAAAGTCCTCCGGACACACGCACCGATTGAAGCCGTCTCCGTCTTCCAAACATTTTCCGGAGTTCAAACAAGGACTGAAAATAGGAGACAGACGGTTGGAGGATCACTACAGAAGCTCACTTGACGGTGCAATTGAAAGATTCTCTCAATTCACACCGTTTGCCCGTATAGCCGGGTTTGCAAGCGCAAATCGCGCCGAAATGGCTGTTCATGCAGTTGGCCTCGTTCTGGCAGGGATTCCGGCGGCAAGGGTCCTTCTCCACTAAAAAAGGGGTTTCGATCAACTTTTTCCGGTGGAGAGAACCGATCAAGTCGCCACAAACGTGACCAGTGAAGCCTTCGGGACAGGAACAAGCGAAATTTAGGGCATTATGTTTGAAATCGATGCAAGTTCCATTGTTGAGGCACGGCTCATCGAGGCAAGTTATGTCGAAACGTCCGCGGAGCTCCCGACGGTGCAACTCGCAGAGGTTGCCGACGTGCGTCTGGAAACTTCCTTTTAATGGAATCAAATTCAAAAGGTCCACAAGAAATTTTTCTGATTCTCAAAACCTCTTGGAGCTTGTCTTTCTTGGCTATAGGAAAATTTCGAATTTTTAAGAGAAATTCATTCTTATTTCAGGGTTTTTTTTCGCGTCTTTTCGTAAGAACTAAGACATTCGTATACAAATTATTTTGATCTCCGAATATTTTCGAAACCCGTTTTTTGATAAAATGAAGGTTTCCTTCGTTTCAAGCATAAGAGAGACAGAGGACACTATTTCCAATCTGAAAAAGAAAGTGAAAAGACACCTTTGTTCCCAACGACATAAAATCTGGTAAACTATTTTTCTAACAACAAAAAGGTAGTCACTATAGGACACTCGCAGAAGCCGTCGACGCATTTGCCGCCGTTCTGACAGCTTCTCTCGCCTTTGCCTTGTCCACAGAAAGCCGTGTGCAACGGCAGCTCACAGGCGTCGCCTCCAAGGCCTTTTTCACAGGCGATGTTACATCGGGGGCCGATGAAGCCTGAAGTTCCATTGAACGATCGGAGACTTCGACAAGACTGCCTTGTTTGCAGACGCATATAGGATCGCGACTGATGCCGTCGCCGTTGTGGCAAGTGCCGTCGTGCAGACAGACGACGTTGTTTTCGCGGCAGGGGTCGCCGTCGATGTCGCAGCGCAGGCCGGTCACGCCTTCCGGACAGTCGCAGCGCCAGCCGCCTGGCAAGTCCACGCAGGTCCCGCCGCGATAGCATTCGATCCCGTCTTCCTCGCATTCGTTTATGTCGATTTCGCAGTGGACTCCCTGGATTTCAAATGATTACTATGGAACGTTTTTCATTCCCCGGTTGAACTTTTGATGAAACTTGGATAGAATCTTTTTCAGGGCCTAAAAAAAAGAAAAAATCTATGTGAAAATTCCAACATTCCAATAGCAAATCGTTTTACGCCTTCATTTTGACATGAAAAATTTTCTAGTAATATTTTTTTGAAAAACAACCTTCTAATATTTGAGCTTCAACGAGAAATTTCTCAAACCAAGCATTTTGTAAAATATTAAACGATAATCAAGGGAATAAGCCGTTCATAAAGTAATATTTTCAAAATAGGACTGTTACAAAACTTTTGAAAAATCTGAGAAGATGGAGAATCAAAAAATAGGCCATCAAAGCCCGTTTTATCGAAAACGGCATTTATTTTTGACACAATATCCCGTCTAAAAGTTTGTCAAATAGTATCCTAAGAAATATCAATCTATTAATAATTCATATGAGTTCAGTTTCTCAATTATCAGCCGTATGAAACTGGAAAAAAGGTTAAAATAAAAACTGCGTGATTCGAGTTAAATTAGCTTTTTTTCAAAGTAACGGCCCAAAAGGATCTACTCGACTCGATACAATCTCTTGAAGTGAATTTTGTTCATTTAACGACAATTTGAGACGGGACAGATTACCTTGAAACCCTTTTCGCAGGAGCAAGTGTAGCCGTGATCCGACGTCACTTCGCAACGTCCTCCGTTCACGCAGGGATTTCCGCTGCAAGCGTCCAGCTCGCAGTATTTTCCGGATGTTCCGTTCAAGCACTGGCACGAGTAGCCGTTGATGCCGTCCAAGCAAGTTGCTCCGTTGGTACACTTATTCCCGGGACATTCGTCGATATTCGTCTCGCAAAATTTGCCTTAAAACCATGGCGAGATGGATTGCTACAGTCCTAACCAGTAGAGTTCACCAAACCGATCATTCAACCATTTCAATTGATCAAACTATTGACATGTCACTGTTCAACCAAATTTTAACATGTCATTTTTTGAGAGATCGTTTATTAGATCAGTTTTTGATCTCTTACATTAATGATCAATCATTGGATTTTAACGTTTTGATATATCGACATTTCGGCCAATATATTCAATACAACACTTCGATCGATCATTTTTCGACCAATATTTTCAATACAACATTTCGATCAATCATTTTTTTGACCAATATTTTCAATACAACCTTTCGATCAATCATTTTTTCGACCAATATTTTCAATACAACATTTCGATCAATCATTTTTTCGACCAATATTTTGAGCATAAAATTTTGATCGATCGAAATTCCGAGCGATCGATTTTCAAAACAGATCGCTCACACGGGGAAAGTTTTCGGAGTACTAGTGAAAAGGTGAAAATATTTAATTTTTTTCCGACAAATTAAAGTTTTGCATTTTTCTTGAACTTATTTGTTATAGTCTATATAGCATTGTAGAAATTTTTGCTTTTAGTACCAGTGAACACGGAGAAACAGAAAAACGATGATGATATTTCGTTACGAAAAATCAAAAAAGAAATTATGATGAAGATTTGAAAGAGAAGCGGTTTTTAAACAGTAGTTTTAAACATACTTTTTAACAAAAATTCATTTCGATCAATCATTTTTTCGACCAAATTTCCAATAAAAAATTTCGATCAATCATTTTTTTGACAAAATTTTCAATACAAAACTTTGATCTATCATTTTTTCGACCAATATTTTAGGCATAAAATTTTGATCGATCATTTTTTCGACCAATAATTTCAAAACAACATTTCGATCAATCATTATTTCGACCAATATTTTCAAGACAACATTTCGATCAATCATTTTTTCGACCAATATTTTCAATACAACATTTCGATCAATCGAAAACTGAACGATCGATTCGAAATGATCTCTCATTTAAATGAAATGTTGACATGTCGAAAAAACGAGAGATCATAATCATGAGACATGTTAATCGTTCGGTAGCAAGAAATGTTAATCAATCATATTTTTGGTAACATGTCATGAAAATATTGGTTGAACGTTTGGTCGAACGATCGGTTTGGTGAACTCTACTAACCAGTGTAGGTTATTTGATTTTGTATAGTCTGTTTCTTTTTAAAGAATTGTTTTGAAAAATAGCTGTCTCAGAAAGAAAAAAATTCAAAAAAATGATTAAGACTTTCATAATTGTTTTTTTGGCACATTAGAGTAAAATTTTGGAATTTTTTTGGGAGAATCGAGTTTTTTTATCTCTTCAAAAAAATGTTCGAAACTATCTAATTAATCGAGTTGGGCAACCCAGTAAATGCTACGAATACTTTTTATTTAGAATGAAAAAAATATTTTTTTCAAAACTGTTCGAAGTTTTCGGCCTTTCAAACATGGATAAGTTCGAAGCGAAAAAAAAAACTGTTTCAATAAAGTTTGTAAAATATGAAATTTTTGAAATACAGTTTGAATAAAGAAAATATTCTCACAAATTGAAAAAAAAATCTGAGAAAAATGAATTATTTTAATGCGAGTTCTTCAATGTTAAATTGGAAGAAAAAGCTTAAAACAATGGAAAATAACTAAAAAATCCAAACAACACTGCTTCACCTTAAAAACAGGTTGTGCTTGCCATTTTTTACTTTTGATAGGGCTCAAAGAATAAACTTTTTCCGGAGAATCCATACCACGAAACCCAGGGAGGCATTCACAGTTGAAGGAGCCGAAAGTGTTGTGGCAAGTGGAGAAGGGCGAGCACGGCGAGTCCAGGCATTCGTCGACGTCTTTCTCGCAGATGTCTCCTATCGAATTCAGGAAATATTTCACTTCAATTTTTGAGATACAAAGAGTTTCGAGACAACCAGGTTTTTGCGTAAGGCTGGGCAAAACTGGCCTCATTTTTGACGAAGAAGCAAGCTTAGGTCAGGCTTCGAATTAAATTTTCCATCAAAATTCTTCATCCTAACTCAAATTTTCACCAGAAAACTCTTTAACTTGTTAGAACATAGTTTCGGTGGAATTTTGAGTTAAAAAGAATCAAAAAGCGGATTATTGTCGTAGAAAAGTCTGATCTTAGACTTGAAGAAATTTTTCTTGAGGACTCAGAAAATGACCAAAGGATCCAAGCTGACTACCCTCGCACAACCCTGGGGACAAAACAGCGTTGAAAAAACCTTGGAATCCCGGAGGACAGACGCAAGACGAAACTTTGTTTCGCCGCCTACAGTACCCTCCATTCTGACAGGGCAACCTTGTTCGATTTCCGTCTTTTTTGACACAAGCGATATTATGAAACGCCTTCAAAGGAGATGCCTTCTTCAAAACTTCGCCGCGCTGAATACAGTGGGGTCCAGTGAAACCGTCGTTGCACATGCACTCGTAAGATCCGAACTGCAAGTTCAAAAAGATAATCGCAAGAAAAAGAAAACTGAGCTGTTAAAAGTAGGAAACCAATCTGTATTTTTCCATTCAGAAAGAAAAGCTGTAAACTCGCAGTAGAGAAAAATAAAAAAAAAGTTCAAAAAAAGATTGAAAGCGCATTTCTTTTGAGCCGTGCTTCCGAAAATTCTAACGATACTGCTTTACAGCAAGTCCATCAAGGAGAAAAATTGCATAAAGAAAAAATAAATTGAGCTTCTGAAGCAGGATATATAGGAGATAACGGAGATTATACGAAACAGTTGAGCTTTTAAATCTGGAAACATAGAGGATATCAGTTAAGCTTTCTGTGAGAAAAGATTAGACGCACGAGACAAAAAGATTTTCAATTTTATTTGAAAGCTATCGAAATTCAGATATGAAAGTGCCTTATTCTAAGGATCATCGAGCGCAAAAACATTTTGGCTCAAAAATCTGAAAGATCACCTTGTTCAAGCAAGTGCCGTTGTTACAGTTCATGTAGAGACATTCGTTGACGTCAAATTGGCACTGGTCGCCAGAAAATCCGCCCGGACAAAAGCAACCGGAAGATTTCCAGCCGCGCTGACAAATCCCGCCGTTGAAACACTGCTTCGGAAGACATGACGTCGCTTTTTCACAAGAAACCTCTTGAAATCATCAAAATATCTAACTAAATAAAATCATAGTCTTGATCACCTCGGAACTCATTCGGACATCCTGGTATAGCGGGTGAATTTTCGTCTGGGCAGCCTATATTCAAAAATATCGAGTTAAACAAAGTTCTAAAGATGAAATTTGATGAACTTTAACTGACCAGGACAGCAAAGCTGATGGCCGAAAGCATCGAAAACACATTTTTGTCCAGCGGCGCAGTTTTTGTCGCAAACTTCCTCGCACCTTTCCCCGTAGGTTTCTTTGCTACATCTAAGATGAACTGACGTCAAAGTGGACTTGAAAAAGAAGAACTCACTCGCACCAAAAAGTTGGATGCGATGTATTCGTAGACGGTCCAGGATGACATTTCCCATTGACACAAGAGTAATCTTGACAAAACCCTGAATAAAAAAACTCACTTTAGCTGATAAAGTATTATGAATATTTGAGTAAAAATTATTCATGAAAAATATAAAATTTGAAAATTTGAAATACCTGAATTTTTAGAAAACTAAGAGAAGCTTCGAAAGAGGAAACGATAAAAACAATAATGAGTTTCCACAAATTGAATTGGCAAATCGAAGTAAACTCTTCCAACCTTCCAAAAAACGGACCGCACCGACAGAAGTAGTTAATAGTGCAAGTAGAAAATAGCGTTGCATTTATCGGTTAGTAATTTACATCAGCAACTCTAAAAATAGCATCAAAGCCAGGCGGAGATGGCAGAATAAGACAATTTTCTTTTTTCGTTTCTTTTTTTTCAATTCGCAATAAACGTAACGACTAATAAAACTCCTGAAATAGTCGAATCCAGTTTTGCAAAAAAGTGTTCTAAATTTGAAGCGTGAGTAAAATAATGAATTAACGTGAAAAACTGTCGTGGATTAAAATGTTTTTGGTGGCGAAAATTTTTAAGGCTCAATTATCAGCTACAGTACCCACAAAAATGTGATGAATCTTCTTTCAATTGATGGATGTTCTAATTGATTTTGTGATAATTTCAACCTTTTTTTTTTACCATGAATTAAGATTTATTCTGACTAAAAAGATTCAAAAAAAAAGCTATCAAACTCTAGTTTTCGCTCTCTTCTTCTGAAAAACTACGTGCAAATAAAAAAATTTTAAAAAAATTTTTATTCGGATACAAAAAAATGAAAGAATAATGGTACATAAGCTCTAGGGTGACCCGTAAGTGAATGAATGAATGGAGACATATTCAGATGGAAAGGCATTCAAACAGTGGTTTCAGGTGTAGCTGTGAGGCGATATCGTCGAAACCGGAGAGTTATCGCGTTCTGGTCGTCGAGGACAGGCGCATCACGAAGGTTTTCGTGAAAGGAACGGCTCATCGGCTCGATTAAGGACTCTGGAGGCATCTTCAATCAAATGGTTGATTTCGGACGAGAAAGGAGTACAACTTTTGTCAGGTTTTCGACAGATTTGGAGTTGGTGACGTAGGTGTGATGGGCCATTCGACGGCCCTTGACGTCCTTCGGCGACTGCGGGACCTGCATCATCCTCTCGGAGCCAGTTGAGACATTCTGTTTCCTCAGAAGGTCGGGACTCCTTCCGGGATGTCGACAACAGACCATCCGTTTCGGCGAGATAGTCGGCTCCTCGGCCCAACTGAAGAAGACGTGGAGAGGGTCGTGGAAGTTTTCAAACCTCTTCTCGCGACCTTTTATCACCTGATGACTGATTTTCCTCCACAGAATCTCGGGCGACGTCTCCGACTGTTCACGTCGGTCCGTTCCGCAAATTCTAACCAGCGGTTCTTCTTCAGTTAACGACGTCGTCTCCTGAAAAATGAATATAAATGCCATCTTGCAGAGATTTCATAAGTCGTGCAGGTCTGAGGAAATAGTCATTCACCGTCTTGGGACATTGTTTCAAGGATAGTAGTATTGAGTTTCTTCTACCAACCTAGCCGTGAAAGGCATAATGATTTGATTTTCAATTAATTTTTTTTGGATCTGCAATAACAAGGTCATTTACCTTATTAGTTTTACGAAAATTATGACTATAACTTCATGAAACAGAAAAAAATAGTCTCAACCAGAAAAAGAGTTCTTAATCAAGATCAGAAGTATTTCGAAAAAAATTATTAAAACTTAATAATGCGGAGAAAACAGTAAATATACTTACTTTTGAGATTAACAATAACCTCTGATAACTTCTTTTCAAGTTACGAACGTTTCTTTGAAAACCAAATTCCTTCTTTCAAAAGTAACAAAATTTCTGTCATATTCTTCTAAAGCTCTGAAAAACTCTTTCAAGGCCCATTTTTTCGAACAAAACGTGAAATTCACCTTCCAACTTTTGCTGCGACTGAAGAACCATCCCTTGCGCTTCTCTTTCGCGTTTTTCGGTGTCTTCTTCGACGGCGAAGAAGACGTCGCGGCTACAAACGGAGAATTTGAAGGCGGCGGTGGCAGAGGAAGCGACTCTGTCCTTCGATCTTCTGGTCGGAAACCTAAAGAAGAGCTTTTTGTGAGAAAAGAGGTGAGCAAAATGAAAACCATTCAGTTTTCCGACTTCTTTGCTCATATATTCCGCCCAGGATGTGCTGGCTTCGAGCAAATCGTCTGAAAAAGTATATTTCAGCTCAGGAAGAGAGAAACTGTTCCTAACCCAAGGTGACATTGTCGTAGTTGGGGCTTTCCAGCGGTTTCGGAAGCTTTTCAGGCAATTTCAGGGGTGGGACATGCAGTTTTCCTGGAGATTCCAACGGAGAAAGCGGCTAGAAATATTTTTCGTTTCAGTAGAAAGATGGAAGAAAGCTTTATGGATTTCATTTTAAAGAAAAACCGACCTCACTGAGAATATTCTTTCCAATGGAAACTTTTTTTCTCGGCGCTTCAACTTCTGGTTCGCTTGACTTTTTTCTGGAATCAAAAAAAGAGGTAAAATTATTCGATTAAGAGTAAATTTCTTTGCGAAATTCGCAAATTTGAAAGTCGAAAATTATTCCACAGAAAAAAAGCATTGTCGAAAAAAGTTTTTTTTCCGAAAAATAATCCCAATTTAATTCTTTAAAAAAAGCTATATTTAAAAAAAGTGGGGAAGTTCCTCAAAATGCAATCTACCAACGGTCCATTCGCCTCTATTTTAAACCGTCTGATCTCTCTGCGTCTCTTTTCTTTTCCCGGCGATGTCACAGAAATATGAAAAAAGGCGTAAAAACGAGAGCGTTTCCAAGAAAAAAGAGGAGGCAGAGAAATCAGAGTGTTCCAAGTTTTGAAGAGTGATCTGTTCTGGTTTTTTGATAATTAAAATTAGTTGGAAACAATGAAGTTCGAAAAATTCCTAAGATTTTGAGCTTCAGCAACCATCAAAAACTCACTCAGAAGTGGGAGTTTTGTTGTTGGGGAGCTGGACGAGCTTCGTGCTTTTTCTGATGACGGCGTAGCCGACGCCGCCCTTGTTTCTGGGGCTCCTGAGGTGGGGAATCTCTTCTGAAGTCTCTCTGCCGCTACTGTCCTGTGTTGAAGAGACCGACGAGGGCGGCGTCACGACGCCTTCTTGCCCCAACAACGCGTTTATAGTCTGCAAAGTAATGAGAGTTACTTCAGGTCTCTGAAAAGTACAGATAACGAAAATCGACAGTGTTCCTCACAAAGAAGGTAGGTTTAATTTAATTCAAGGTCATGAAATTCTGAACTTGAAAAACAAGCCAGTTTCTGATAATTGAAGTCTAAAAACTTGAGTTTCTTGCATTGAGGGTTAAATTACTTCCACAAGTCGATCTTATCATCTAGAATTTTAGAAATTTTTTAAGTTCAAACTAAACATCTTGGTGAGGACAGATTTCTCACAAAAAAATGAAGTTTTCTTCAAATGTCAACTTTTCGACCTTACTAGTCGCGAGATTCTGGACGTCGATGATCAGATCCGTTCTTCCTTCAGAGCTGCTTCTCGTGGGCGGCTGAGGTTGGAAGAAATTCGGATTCATGTTCTCAGGTTTCAAACTCCTGTAAAACTATATCTTTAAAACTTTAAAATTGTTCGAGAAAAGTTTTATTTTTGATCATTTTTCCTATTGTGTTGCAAATACTCTGAATTGTCCGAGTTTCAGAAAAAATTGAACCAAAAAATTCGGAATCATCTGCTTGTTTCTTTGATTACAAACTTTATCTATGAACGTTCATCGTTCCTTTTCTAACTTCGAAGAGAAGAAAATGTTTTCAAAGAATGCATTTCTTCAAAAACGCAAAAAAAAAATATTTATACCCCACCTCGATTCTCATTTTTAGCCCCTTGACCTCTAGAAAAATCGGAAAAAAGTAGCTTTCGAATTTCTAATTTTTTACAATGATAAGTTCAATTTGAATGGAAACGAAGACGAACCGACTCATCGATTCTTCTGGAGCCGCCTTTTTTTCTTCTATCACCGTGCTTGTCGACTGAGTAGACGAGGAATACGTCGTTGGCGTCGTCGAATAGTTCTCTCTATTTTCATCGACGCTCACCTTGCAACGACGGCTTCTACTGGAAAATCTTCTATTTTGAATTGAGAGATTGGGTATTTTTTTTTGAAAATGTGATGGTACAAACTTAAGTTTACAGAATTTCGCAACTGCAACTTCTTTTAACATAATGCTAAAATACTTTCCGACGTTTATAACTTTCTCGTTTTGATAACTCTCACAAAAATTAGATAGTGAAAACATGATGAAAAGACGAAAAAAAAAACAGTAAAACAATGAGGAAAAAAACACTTTTAAAAAAATGATAAAGTATCTGTCAATATGAACAAAGCAGAAAAGTTACCGGTTGAAAAGTGACTAAATTCGCTCATCGAGAATAAATCAGACTTGGATCTTATAGTCTGTTCAGATTTTGAATGTCAAGTGCAATGCCGTCATTCAAAAACACTCTGTGGATGGCTCGCTCTCTGATTGGTTTATTGCACCATTATGGGCGGAGCTTCAGCGGCGACTTGACATTCAAAATCTGAACAGACTATAGTAACAAAGCTCTGGACGCTTATGAGCATTTCTAGGGTTGACTTAAGACTGCATACGCTACTAAAGTGGACACTAGAAAGGCTCCAAGAAGTCCGCGGCGCGTCTGATTTACGCTAGCAAGGTGCAAAGACGTACAAAATGGGTTGGTAGAGGTCGTGCTCACTGACGTAGTCGATGACGTTGTCGTCAAGGCAATACTTTACCGACTCCCCACGTCGAATCGCAGTTCTGAACAAATCGAAAAAGAATTTTTGTTCGACTTTACTTAAACTTTTTCATTCCGATTTGAAAAAAAATCTAAAATTTCTTTCAAACCACTGCTCCATGAGCCATTTAAATTAAAATTTTCGCTCCCATTTTCTTAAAAATCGAGTAAATAAAAGACAAGCGCTTAGAAATCTTCACTCTTTTATCCGCGTCCTTCGTAAAACTTTTTAGGAGCCCCTCTTCCTTTTGATTTTTGCTCTTTTTCAAGTTTTCTTAATCACTTTCAGGATAAAAATACTTTTTTAGTGTGCCGAATGATGCAATTTAACATCCTCAACTTGATGAGTAAAAACTTATTCAAATATGCCAAGAACTCTTCAAAACTGATTTAGTTAGGAAATGAGTCAAACCTGATTCTTGTGGAACTGACGTCGTTGGGAAAGGTCTCGTCCTCGATGACGTAGATGCCTTTCTGTAGAAGTCGTTGCAAATCAGAAATCTTCACTCGGGAAAAGAACCTGGTTGATGCGCAGGACGTCGGTTCGATAAATCTCGTGAGCGGCGTGATATTTCCGGCGTCGCAACACCACGAGTCCGTTGTTTTTGAGCAGATACTCGACCTGCCAAAACGAAACATGACAGGTGCATCTGGAAGGATGGATGAGCGGCTACTTTCGTTTCTACGGGCTCTTTTGTCCGTACCCGCCCGGAAACTCTTTATCTTCTTACTGAATAACTTTTATCAGGAGCCTACAAGTAAGAACTCCGTTTTCGACCGGGACTTGTAATCTGGCAAACTTTTTGGGGTACCAAAATTTGAATTTTTTTTATTTCAATCACTCCTTTCTCTAATTGAAACTGATTCGCAAAAATTTTGTGTGATGCCAATATATTATCAAAACTTGATAAAGGAGGTTAACTTTTTTCAAAATTCTAGAAAGTTTCCCCATATAAAGCCCAAACATTTTATCTGTGCCAGAACATGAAACTTTCGTTGATTCTCTTTGGGAAGTTAGCTCTTTTGTCCGAAGTTATTCTTTTTTCAGAGTTTATAGTTCATCCTCTCCCTTTCATTATGAGTTCGAAGCAGTGCAAGAAACAAAATCTCCATTTTTTTTTTGTTTAAAATTACGATATTCAGTCAACAAAAGCCTCATGAGCTTATGAAAAATCAATCGATTACAGAAATAATGAAACTTAATAGAAATCGAAAAGTTAAATGAAAACGTGAAAGTATAATTTTAGTTCACCAGTTCAATCGCACTAATTTGAAAGGAATAAAACATTAACTTTGAAATTTTTCGAAAAATCGCTGCGAAGAAATTCTTCATATCAGTGAGGCTTTATAACAAGTCCAGAATATACAATATAATAATTTTTTTTTAAATAAATAAGTTCAATAAGTTGATTCAAAAGCGAATCGTATGAAAGAAAAATGGAAAAATAGCTCACATCGGTGTCGGACCAAGAGCCGTTTGTTGTCTTTGCGTTGCGGGAAAGCTGTTCGAAAATATCGCTGCCGCAAAGCAACAGAACACGGACACAGAACCCGTACTTCAGTTCAAGTTCCTTAAAATGATTTTTCTTTTCATAGAAAAAAGAATAAATCAACAAAAAATTAACAAGAGAGGCAGTTTTAGTATGAGTCTTTATCCGCGTAAAACTTTAGTTTTTTTGAGGAAATATTTTTAAAAAAGTTTTCTAAAGGAAAAAAACATTGGTTTCAGAATTGTCCTAGCCTTAAAAAAACGAATTTCAAAGAATTAATATCTCAAAAAAATAAAAAAAGCTATTGCGATAAGATGTCATATGGAATCCTTATCCAGTCCTTCAAAGTATATTTGATAAAATTTATTTTTAAAAATCCAAAGTTCACAAATACAAAAAAATTTTTCTTCGCTGAAGAAACCCCCCCAAAAATTGACGAAAAAAACCTTCTGATAGTGCTGGAGGACGGCCAAAGGAGATGTGGTTGTTTTCTGGGAGCATTGCCAATCGCCGGCCCTGAAAAGTGGAATTTCATTCTTTTAAAGTTTTCTTACTTCAAAAAAAAAAATCGACTCCACAGTTTAGATAAAATCAAAATATTCTGGTTAAAATTTGAACTGAAAAAGCTCGGCGAAGACAGGTGTAGTCTAAACATTACACGTCGGATGTTAGAACAGAAAAAGTGATGGATGGCTTTTTTCGCCGTGTTTTTCCAAGCGCTCGTAAATTGAAAGGGAATAGCCTCGGCGGGCTTTCAACTCGTTTGTAACAAATTCGTTAGGACAGTCGTAATCACTAAAATTGTTCTAAACGATACGTAGCCCAAAAAGAAGAAACCAGGCGGCCAAATATTTTTTTTTATAAATTTTTATTCCTGGAAACAACCAGAATACTCTTTCATGTAGCCCGTGAGTCTCAGCCTGCCCGAATTCCTAGTTTCCGAGACATAAAGGCCTAAAGTCCGAATACGGCTTATTTCAACAGATTTCAATAGTTTCGTTTGGCTTTGACTACTTGTTTCTCGAAAAATAGAAATCTTCGCAAGTTGGGACTTTGGGGCGTTATATGGGGTACATTAAGGTTCTGTTTTTTGTCGGTTCTCGGGGATTTCTCGACAGTAAAGTGAAATCGTCTTTCTCATGAGATTTGAAAACTGAAGTTATTTTTAAGGATATTCAGCCATGTCAAATAAAACAGTTCTTTCTTTCATAGCTATTTCCAGAATCCTTGGCCGTCCCAAAGCGCCGAAATCTTGAAAGACTGTTACACGAAATACGGCTCTCCGTCGGGACCCTTATATAGAAGTAGTCCATGCTCCTTTAAAAATCCCAGCAAGGAAAAAAATTCAGGCTTCGCAAGTTAAACGAAAATTTTCTTTTAAGGAACCTAAAAATAAGCTGAAGATGTTCATCTGGAGCTCCTAAAATGACGGAAAAATGCTTTTGATTTTTTTTTTATCATAGCCTCAGTTGATCCTTTTTGAATCCGCTTTAAATTTTTTTTAGTGCTTGCCAGAATCTTTTCGATAAAGGATGTCAAAACTATCCGTAGAGGGCCCACAGCAGATCTTTTTTTAAAAAAAGCTTCTGAAAAGCTTTCCCCTTGCCCGAGTTTGTAAGAATCAACAAAAAAGTACCTTATCCAGTAACTGCGCCGGACCGCCGTTTCGGCCATCCTCAGCCGATGTCTGGCCGCCGTCCTTTTCTCCTCGCCATCGGACTGAAGCTCCGAATCGCCGCAGGGGCTGATGATTCCTTCCACGACGCGAAAACTCATCGTCCGTTCCAGAAAGTCTCTTGCGCGTTCTGTAATCGTTTCCTTGTCGTTCTACTCAGTCTGGTCTTCTGATTCTCACCGAACATTCGCATGTGAGCGTAGGTGGGAGGATCAAAAGCGCCACAGGCGAGCAGGGCGACTGGCGTTTTTGCGCCCTGCCGTACTTCCATTACGCAAAATCACCGACTTAATTATATTCAAATAACTTCATCCTGAAAAAAAAGAACTTTATAAACAAAAAAGTTCAGTTTAGAGCATTCCGTTGTGTTCCAAAAACGACCCGAAAACACGAAATATGGCCGTTTCTTACAAGAGAAGTCAATTAAGTTGAAGTTTAGAAAGCTTAGAGAATTAGCCTATAAAACTTCTGAAAAAAGGTCAAGTTTTTTCCTTTAAAAGGAGCAAATTAAAAAAGAAAAGGAACTCTAGAAATATCCAAAATACACTAAAAAGTGAAATTCCAGCAATTGCAGATGGCTCAAACCGCCATGAACATCTGATTAGGAGCTGGTCCCAAGGGGAACGCCGCCAAATAACGTGACAAGGAAACCAATAGGCACGGACCCCACTAAAAAGAGGCGGCGACTGGTTGATTAGTTGGAGGAAAAACGTGGAAAAGTGAATGAAGTGAGTGGACGGACAATACAGAATTAATACAGAATATTTTTTGGTCAAAAAAGATTCAAAAATTTTTTCAAACAGGTCTCTAGGGGTGCAAAGGGAAAAAATACTTTGATTAGGATCGGACTTTAAAAGATTAACAAAAAAAAGCAGAAATCAATCTAAGCAAAATCTACTGAATTTCAGTCTAATCTCTTTTAAAAAAACTGCCAAAGTTCACAAGACTAGGAAGAAAGAAAGAATGAGGTTCAATTAGCAGGTGTGTGAAGGTAAACCAGGTAAAGTTGTGTTGTTATGCGGTGGGTGATGGGTCGGACTCGGACGGATGAGTGACACAGGTATCACGTAGAGCTGACATATTGTCGATCGTTTCACCTGTTTGTAGGCGACCAGCTTCAAAATAGCAACCGCTCTAAAAATAAACACTTCCACCAAACTTTAATGGAATCAAGTTTGCTCGCCCGATTAATTAGTTTAAGACTAAATAGGTTTAGATTTTCCACATTAAACTTTAAAAAAATCGAAGGAATTATCGTACGGTCAATTTACAGGCAGCCGAATTGTCGCGAAAACTATTTTGGAATGGCTCAACAGGTGACGGCTGTCAAGTCGTTACTTTGAAGGCGCACCCGACCACAAACGACTTGTGTGTTCCTAGAGTTTGAATTTTTCTTAACTAAAACCGCAGAACCTGAGCGACCTTCAAATACTGGTTCAAAAAGTGAGATTTTGATAATATTTTAAGATAAATTAAAAATTGGCCAAAGCTGACGGAAACTATTCAATACCGCAAGAACAGCAGTTTTCTTTTTTTCCTGTAAATAAAGAAAGCAAGAGAAAAAATAAATAAATAAAAAGTGGCGACCGCAAAGCCACAATTTGTCAGTCGATTCGTCAAAATCGAGGAGCAATTGGCTCGAGAATATCACACACAATCTATGCACTCTACAAAACATGTGTCTTCAAAATTATCAACAATAATTGGAAGAGATCGAAAAGAGTTGGAAAACGAATTCTTCAATGTTTCAACTTCAACCGATAAAAAAAGAAAGTCTCAAGGTTAAAAATAAAGAGAAAACTTATTTATGAATACAAACATTAAAAATAATTAACTAATTTTTTTCCTTTAAAAATTTTTCCATGAACCCTTTTTTAAGGCGAATGAAATGAAGAGTTCTGCAACATTTTTCTCCCACAGAACGAAAAATTAGGTAAAGCTTAGAGGGATCATAAACGAAAACATAAGAATGCAACGAGATCCAGATGTGAGGAGTCGACCTGATGGATTTATTGCTCCAACGTGAAGCTCTAGCCCCTCCCACTTTTAAAATCAGCCAGCGCCTCGAAAGAAAGACTCAAATCAATCATTTTTCAATCAATCATTTATTTTTTGTTGTTTTAGTCTGATGTAATCGACTAGGCGGTGAACAAGAACTTTAAAAGCTATAACGAACAACCGCCTTTGGCGAACTAGAAGTCCAAACGTGTAGTCGAAAGAGTTGAAAGCATGGTCTTACGGTCCTTCGCCTCGTCCTTCTGCGCGTAGTTCATCCAGTTGCGCCTTGACGAGCTCAGAATGTAGTGGATGGTGTAGCTGGAGCCCGGAGACCGTGCTCTAGGTGGAAGCCTCGGAATGAGAGCTACCACTTCGAGTGAAGATTTTACACGGAATGAAGATTTTACACGGAATGGATGAACTTTTTTGGAAAATCCTTTTCTCTTTGATTAATTTTTAGGTGGTCCATAATGGATTAATTTCTCTAAACTTTTGCTGGTATTTTCAAAAAGTTCGAAGAAAAGTGAGCCCAAAAAAGTGAGGAAAATATGAAATTTTTTCAATTATATTCTGGCCTGACTTTTTCGCCTTAAAGTTGAAATATGTATGAACTGAACAATTTTTCTTGTTTTTCAAACCAAAAGAAAAATACTCCAGATAGGCTCGGTAGTTGAAAATTTGTTCAGTTATTTATTTGAAACTTCATCTCGATATTGGGTCTGCTCTCCGAAAATATTCAATCGAAGGACTCTAAGGTTCATTTGTTTCAAAAAAGTGAAAAGTAAGTAATTGGAGTATTTTTGGTCAAAAAAAAGCGCGTCAGTTAGCTGAAGCGACACTCGATCTGCGGAGAAAGTCACGGAAATACGTGTGAACCCGAGTCCGCCCTATTCACGCAATCCGATTTTCTTCATCCCACTAAAAAATGTTTTTTGAGGCGAAAGCAGCAGCTTATAACTAATAAACTCGATTCTAAGAAGCTGCATAAACGAAACTTTGAAAAACTTCTGAAAATGGAGGAAAATTGAGAAAAGTGCAAACGTTTCTGCGAGTTTCTTATGCAAATCCGTCCTGAAGAGTTGTGAAAAAAGCGGTTTCGAGTTCATTAACTGCCATTTCGAAAAAAAAAAGTCCTGGAGGCGTAAAAGTTTCACCTTTTGGACAACGAGAAAACTAATCACTATCGAAATAAACTGGCTAAAAAAGATATTCTTTCTGGAAAAATAAGAGAAAAACTCGACAAAACAGCCGTGCAAAGTGGGAGCGTCTAGGGTCACGCATAACGGCATTTCAAGCGCTCGCGACCAGAAAATGCAATTTTCGGCCTTCCGAGGCACGCCTCTTTTTTTTGCAATAATTTAAAAACGATGAAGGTTTTTTGAACATTTGATGGAGTGAAAAAAGCAAAAACCTTTAAATAAATTAGCTCATTGAAAGGTCATGCACATCATTTGGAAGGTTTCTGACCAGAAAAATTGTCGCGAAATTGTGGAAAATCTTTTAGACCTTCTGAGAAACTTTAAAACTATCGGAAACAGAAAACTTGAAAAATTTTCTCAATTATAAACTGAGCTCAATAATGGATGATCTAAATCGCTCGAGTCAAGAGCGGCCCGATAATCAGCAAAATCGATAACCGGTAATTCGACACTTAAAAAAACAGAGAGCAGGCAAAAAGAAGGAACGAAAGGCGATCTTGGCGAGTTCAGCGTTCTCTCCGATTATCCGTCTTCACTCCAGCTCCTAATGTGCAATCTTAGAGAGGAAATTCCCAGGAAAAGAAACTCGAGAGAGAGCTTTACTAAGAGAAAACAAAGGCGGAGATAGAATCTCAGGAAAATAGGAATCTTCAAGTGTCTTAGTCGGTTGGAAGCCTATTTGATATTATCCGATTGACACCTTCAATAATTCATATCACATGAAATATTGAAATGCGACGTTCTTGATTGAATCTTCCTCAACCAAGAGAAAAACAAATGACAAAAAAACGATACTTTTCAGTTTTCAGAAAAAAAAAAACCGACGAGGTAGTACAAGTTTGAAAGTAATTTAAAAGTCTCCAATGAAATTCAAATAGCCTCGGCTCTTATCAATAATCATTATTTAAAAGGTATCGAAAAAGGCTTTAAAAAAATAAAAAAAGCCTTTTTCTGTGACAGATCCGCCCGTTCACCTTTCTGCAAAACTACACTGTACCAAATTCGATAAAGCTAGAAATATCCTTTTTTTCTTCTAAAAACTAAGAAGTCTTAAATTATTGCTCAAAAAAACTTTCATCAAAAAAATTCAAACGAGCACAAAAAAAGTTTTCTTGTTTGAAAAAATCCATATTTAAAATATTGCTAGAATATTTAAAACTATAAGACTTCAGGGTATTTATGAAACTGTAAACTTTGAAACCGAAAGTATACCTTGAAAAATTTATCATTCATAAACTCGAATCACGTCTTTTCGCAACGATTCTCTTCAAATAAACTGCTTCGGGAGGAACTCAAAATAAATAAAAGAATTTATAATCGGTATGAACAAGTACCAAACTTTGAAGGACACATACTAAAGGCTAAGAAGGAGATTTTACTTGTCGGCGACGGCGATTCCCTTCTCCTCGTAAAGCTTCGCGAGTTCTTGCGGGCAAGTGTGCATGTAGCCCTTGTTCGAGGCGCAAATCTCCTTCATCCGCGTGTACGGGTCGTAGTTGCTGAAAAAACGGTCATAGATTCATTCATGTCGAAAACCGTGTACTCTTCAGATAGAAAACTATTTAGATTGGCAGAAAAAAGAACAAAATAAAGATTTTCTAATGTTAAAACGACTGGCAAAAGTAGTTCTTACTCAACATTCCAAAAAAAAAAAATTTTAAGGAAGGTTGGAAAATCTGAATTATCTGATGAAGATTTAGATTGTCAACTTTAAACTTATTCTTCGGAATGTTTTGAAATCCACTTCGATGTTCAAACCGACAAAATACGAAATTGAAGCGAACTAAAGAAACATCATTGAAAAATCATCCATAAAAGGGCAAATTTAGGACTCAGATGCTTTGAATCAGAGCTAGAGAAGCTTAATAAAAAATTTAAAAAAAACCGCATATCGAGAAACGGAACTTTTCAAGTAAAACCATCCCTATTACCAGTTTTAATTCCGTAAAATAATGTATCCCGTGGAAAGACGTTCATCAAAAACTCTACAAAAATAAAAAATAAAACTCACGCGAAAAATCTTTCGTATTTCTCATGGCGGGGCTGCACGTAGCCGAAGAAGAAGGCAAGGGTCGACCCAACGGCGGCCACCATCGAGATGCCAATAGCCCGGCGACCGAACTGGTGCAGCATGTTGCGAGTCGCGGCTTGGGTTACCATCTTGCTGAACAATTCTTCGTTTGAGCGATCGAAAAATTGAAAAAAACGATAGCGCTAAAAAAAAATGATAAACTTTTTGATATAAAGAAACACTAGCTTTCTTTTGATTGGGCCTTTGAGAGAACAATACTAGATCAACTGAAATTCATCGAACCGGCTAATCAACGCGAGAAGGTTCAGAACGAAACTTATTATTTCGTACCTTATTTTATTCAAGGAAAAAAACTTTTTTTCGAACCTCAATAATTTGCAAAACTAATTTTCTTATACCTCAAAACTGCTTTGAAAAATGAGAACGAAAATTGTTTTAGGCCGCAAAAAAGAACAGTGAAAAGCTCAGCTTGAGTTTTATTTTTGAAAATAAGAGCCAGAAAGTATTTTTCGCTCAAAACTGAAAACTAATATATATGAGCTTTTTCTTAAAATATTCATCAAAAAGTCAATATAATCAAACAAATTTATTTCCTAAACAAGATCGCTCGACCTAATACGGGTTCTCTAGCAAAGTTCAAATTATCAATTGCATTGAGGTCACTATATTTATACGAATGATAATCAAAATGGCGAATCCTAGTCAGAAAATTTCTATTTAAACCAAAATAAGATGTGAAGTTAGGAATGGAAGATTTATGATTTCAATGATCGAAATAGCTAAGGCTTTAGACTAAGAACAAAATTTTCGGATACCTTGCTATGAAGCTTACAATCCTAGGACGATAGAAAGAAGAAGTAGCTCAAATAAAAATAATGCCGTGTTCAAAGTAATTTCCGCGAAATGCAAAATGGTCTCTGACCCTCCAAAATTTAGTTATCTTTCTCTTTCTCTGACAGCTATTTTGAATTTCGCGGAATCACTTTGAACACGGCATAATAAAAATGAAAAAACAAAAATTTAAAAGCGAGGCGCGCATGTAAAATAGTTCGACCCCTCAAGCGTACGCAACGCGTACCATGGAGCACACATACTCCAACCGTTTCCTTTTCGGTTCCCGTTGAAATTTACCTTCTCGAAAGCTTTGAAAGGAAAAAAGCTAGAAAATTGTAGGTCTTTAAAAAAAAAATTAAGAGAAAGCTTATCAATAAGTAGTTTGAAAAAAATAAATCTGCGCAAAAATGAAGAAGGCTGCAGAAGATGATCTAAAAAAATTTCTTTAATAAGAAGAGAAATTTATTTTTTTTCTTTTTTTATATAAACACGAAATTAGGGCTCGCAATGAGACAAACAGAAGAGTGAGGTCACAGAGTTTTCTATTAAAAGTTCACCGGAACACTTATGTTTTTGAAGGGTTGCCTGATTGGGTGGGCAAAAGGAATGAAAAAGAGCTTTGGTTCATAACTTCCTTCTCCTTACGTGGCTTTGTAAAATGTTGAAAGTTCGTATTTCAATGTATTTTATTTCAAATTTTGCTTTTTTTGAACGTTGGGAAAAAAATTTTGAGAAATCTCGGAACTCGAGTCAAAAAGTCAATGAAAAAAACTTTATGAAGTTTTGAAAGAAAAATGATTAATATTTTATATGTTCAGAATTTTCTAGGATATGATCGATATGCACATCTGGAGAACTACTTTTGAATGAGCCTTCTAAAATTTCTTGAAAAAAACCGTGGCTTTCGAGATTGTTTGAGCTGGAGAACTATGGATTTTGCCAAAATTCAGAGCTATCGTTGCAAATTTTCTTAGCGTTCAAAAAGGAAATTTATGGGCAATTCTCAATTTCTTGATTACAAGTCTTCATCTTTTTTCGAAATCACCTTGTAGTGAAAACTGAGTCAGGGCTCTGGAAAGCGCTTAAAAGCGGTGGTGAGAGAACTTTTTTCTTTTCATGTGGGAAACGCCCTTCGTGTTATTTCTCATATGATTTGAGAATTGTAGCCACCGTTGGACATCTCCGTCTCTCATTAGAAAAATAAGAAAAATGAATAAGAATTTCTCCTTGGCAACCTGATTTAATCTTCTCCGTACACCACACGTTTCCCTTCCGTACCTATAAAAGTTGTCTTGTTCTTCTGCTTTGTAATAGTGATAGTTATTCCTTCGGATGCTCATGATTCTAATTAGGAGGGATAATTGGATTTAATTATCTTAATATTTATTCTCGCAATACTGTAACTCGAGATTTAAAAACAATTACTACGATAAATGGCTTTAAATATTCAGTAAGATAAAAAAATTTTTTTCGGATTTTTTTCAGACATGTTAGAAATTTAATGAAAAATACGTTTCTCAACAAAAAAGCCGTATTTTTTTCAAACAGCCGATATTCCTCTTTCCGTTTTGTATCTGTTCAAATTTCCCAATCTCCTGATCTTATCCTGTTTTATTTTCTGATGTCCCGCCCTTTCTGGCGAATTTTGCCCTCAGAGGCGAGGATTAAGTCGCCCGACGGATATCCGCTTCAATCTGGCTTCCTTTAACTCCTAACAGGATAATTCAGAGAATATCTGCGCGATGAATTGCTCGCCAACTCCTTTTCTCGCTCTTTTCGTTCTTCTCACGGCAATCAATGCAATGGTTTGTATCTTTTGTTTGTGAGATACAATTTCTCTGTTAGGAAGGCTCACTGTAGGTTTGATGAATTATTGTCTGAATTTCGTGAGAGAGTTCCCACTGATAGGAATTGATTTCAGGTCATAAACGAGGAAATGAGAGGTCTAAATGAGTCACAGAAAAGTCAAATCTTGACAATCATATTAGACAAGCCGGCTGAAAAGGCAATCTTCGACGTCACAGAGGAGCCTTTGAGGTTTTTTTTTTCGCAAAAACATCTTCTAAGTATTCAACAGTTTTTTTTTCGAAAATAAAAATTAGAAGTCGAAATCCACCCGATTAAAAATCGCTTCTACATTGAGATTTTCCCCCAACGTTTTTAAAACAAAATTTTGATTTTTTGTCATTTCATTTATTTATTCACAGCAATATCAAAATATAAATTGAAAAACGTTTATTTTTCGATTTTTTTACTCATTCAGTAGCTCAGAGTGCAGGCAAGTTATAAACAACTTATGATTGGGAAAATTTCGGAGCAGAAAACGGAAAGATCGGAGAAATATTTTTTCAGCTTTCAATCTTTTTTTTACATTCAGAAACAATAAACGCGCATTTTTAGTGAGAAGGAATCGACGGGAGGAGTCGACGCCATATACGGACCTTCGCTGTCTGCGCGGCCGGCCCACAAGTCATCGGCAGCTTTTCCGGAGACCGACTTCGAGAGCAAGGAGCAGAAAAGTCTCCAGGTCGTCAACGTCGTCTTCATCTGCGTCGTCATCGTCGGTCTCCTGGCTTTCATCTTCAAAATCTTCCGCGGCATGCGCAGTAGTGGAAACGAGCTGGCCGATCCGGCCTACAGAAAGTTTTGAGCTTTTGAATCAAAATCATCGACTTGAAGAGTCTTTTGCCAAATAGAAATGCACAGGTAGGACTTCCGAGTGAAGTTATCTTCGATTTCCGTTGTATTCATCATCCAAATGATTGTATATTTCTCTCCCGGTTGTTTTCTTCTTGACAAAAATAAAGATCTCATTCTTATTACGGAGAAGCCAGATGTTCAAGCAGACCTCTTGAGTTTTTTACAATTACAGGAACAGTCAAGAGCGTTTTACGACACCGTAAACGGTCCATGTATGGTCTCCAGACCGGGATGACCGCTAGTTATATGATTGATACTCTCACAGACGCTGTTCTGAAAGTCAACTAATGCTATTGCTTCATAATCTCCGAGAAGAACTGAAACAATGATTTAAACAAATTTTCTCCCATTTTGAGGTTTTACTCACAGAATTTCGTGAATAATTTCGTAAAAAGATTACTTCATTACTAGCGAGACTTTTTCGTGAGAGACTCCCACATAAGGCCGATGACTGTGAATGAGTCTTTTTCTCAAGAAAGAAAAAGCGCAACCTGCTATCTGTTACGTCATCTCGACGCAACGCGAGCCGCTCCTCTCAAGTGTCCCAAACGCCGCTTGGCCCGAGCGGCTTCGGACAAGTGCCTTGCGACTTCCTAAAAGGCGGGAAACAGAGCACGATTGAGAAGATCAACGGTCCGATTAGCCGTTTGATTTATGAGAAAGTTATTATAATCTCAGGTGCGACTTGAGTGGGAATATAGAGTCAAAATGAAGCTCCGAAAGTAAATTTAAATAAATTTCGAAATAAAACTTCTTTTGATTAATCAATCAGAATATTTTTTTGTTAATTTCTCTCTGTGTTGATCTTAACTAGCTATACAATATAAAAATACAGATTTTTTTAAAAAGATTGAGAAGTTCAAGTTTTTCACTTAATTCTCAACAAAATTCGAGGCGACGGACTTCTCCATTAGGTATCTTATCTCAGAAATATGCAATATCTCGCCAAAATTTCAGTCGGTCTTATCTCTTCGATGATACATTCGTTGGTCTGGTACTGTTACGTAATTAGCCTTATCGCCTAGGCTACGATAAGTTTCCAACCTTAGAAATAGGTTTGCCTTCACCTTTTTTCGCGTGTCTAATAAGTTTCGTGAAAGTTGAACGAAACATTCTTACTTCAGTAACGATTGGAAAGAATTTTAAAAAACTGTTAAAATCGAAAAAATGTCAACTGCAACGCAACCGGAATGCATTGTGCGATACCGACGTTCCAAAGACGGAAAACTATAAATCTCAAATTTAAACATTTTTCCAGCATTCACCCTCCAAAATTGAAATTTTTAAGACTTGACAAATATGTAATGAATATTATGTTTGAGAGGGAAAAACCGCAGATAGTAAAATAGATTATTTTTAATTTTTAATCCGAAAATAAATATTATGTTAAACCAATTATTAGTGCTCTAAAATTCTGAATTGGTCTCAATTTCAGTCTGAAGGAACTCTTTCCGCCAAACGCCTGCTTGGCCTTTGAGAAAAGTTGGCTTTCGAAGTTTCAGAACAATACTTCCGATTTTTTTGTCTTCTCTTAACCTTTTCGCATGCTCTAACAAGGAAATGGCGGATGAACTATATTAAGATCCACTTTGCACCTGGGATCGAGCCGGAAACACGGCTAAATAGGATCAAATGAGCAAGTCTCACATTTGTTGGGCAAGAAGAACTCGCCTCGCAGATCTCGCACCAGCGCCAGGTGCATCTCCGTTTCTCCGAGTCTCCACTCTCCGCACGCTCTCTCGTCCGAGCCTGTGGCTCATCCTCGTCAGAAAATTGTCGTGAACGGAGTCGGGACTCGCCCGAGCACAAACACGTGGTTCGGCGTCGTCCCACAACTAGGTCATGATATGGAGGCTACCGTAATTGGCCAACAACTCGCTTGGACATGAAACAAACAGTTGATGTTTGAGAAATTTATTTTTGGGTTTACCTCTGTTAACTCCTGAGAACCTCTGTCAAGAAATAAAAATAGAATCAAAGAAGTGAATAAAACTCTTGGATGTTAAACTGAAGTTTGATCATTGTTTACAGTGGTCTGGAAGCTCATAAATTGGTTTGGTTGAGACTTTTTCTAAGTTTTTGGGAAGAAAGGTGGTTTTTTTAATCTTTAAAACAAAATTTGAAAGGTTCTTTGCCTCTATAGTTTTTTTCGAATATGTTCTACGTTACTTTTTGAAAAGCAGGATTTCCAACAAAAAAATCTTGATGGAAAAATAATCGGAAAACTGAAATTGGAAGCGTCTTTGAAGTATTTCCCGAATGTTTGCCTTGAAATGGAACTGGAGCAAATGTTTCCGAACCTTGGATAACAGAAAAAAATTTTTTTCTTTTTTTAAAAAAATAAATAAATCGCAAAGGTCAATGATGATTCCGCCGAAAACAGAGAATCAAATCTTCTTTTATTCCCTGATTCAGCAGAAAATCTTCTCTGAAGCCTAAATAAACTTGTAAACTTGGAAACTAATCTAGAAAAAGAAAGGTTTAATCTGGCTAGCTGTCTAATAGGAGGTCGTGGCAGGTCAAGATTGTTTCCCATCTATAAAAGATGGAATCAACAAAGAACCATGTCACTTGACTCATTTTTTCTGGTTTTCAATACTTTTTATAATAAAAAGCTCATTTTCTGTGAATTCCAGAATTTTTAGAAGAAAGAATTGCCGAGATCCCTATTATAGCATAATTTTGGAATGGAGACTTTCCGGCAAGTTTTCTGGAAACAAATCAGAATGCGAAATAAATATTACCTTCCTTTTTTAAAATAATTTCCGATTTGAGTGGGCTTGTAATCTCTTGAATTTTAAAAACCTGAAAATTTCTAAAAAAGAAAAAGAAGAAAGAAACAAAGGATCTCATTCAAGTGACGTTTTTTTATGTCTTTTTTCGAGAAAAGGGCTCAGAGGTTCCGCATGATATAATCCGGCTTTTGATAATTTTTTTTGAGTTGGAGAATCTTTTTTCGAGAATTAAGAAGCTTTTGGGGATTTTTTGTATATTCCTGTGGTACGGTATAGGAGCAGTGACAATTTGTTACAGGGTCATTTTACCTTAAGGTTCTGAATTTCCCGAATACTGGCCAGAAATATCATTAATGAACCAAATGGAAATTGTGAAAGTACAACTTTCTGGTTTTCAAAAGTAGAGGCCTAGAGCCCCAAAACAGCCTATTTTTTAATTGATTTCGAGGGCTTTCTTAGACTTTGAGGCCTCACTTCTCAAAAGAGAGAAAGTCGTGCAGGTTGGGACTTTCACAATCTTTCTCCGGTAAATCAAGGAGCGTACTGGCCTAGAAATTCCCAAAATGGAAAGACCGTCAGGGCCTATTTTGGAGTTTTTTCTCTCGTCAGGGCCTATTTTCGAAAGTATGGCCGTATTCATAACTCCTGGTTAATGGGAAAATGTATACGAGAAGAAAAAATTTTGAACTTCTACAGTGATTTTTGTCCTTTCCTTACATCTATTGTCAATAAATTTTAATGCGGGATAGTTCAAATAGACCTTCTGGAAGTTGTAAATTTCTTTCGCAAACGCCTTTTCGACACATCCTTTCAGCCTTTCAAGATCCGCGTCTTTTTGTCGGCCGGCTCCTTTTTCGGCGAAATCTCTTTGATCACGTCAGTTCATAAATAGTTGACAAGACAGTCGTTTTCACACCTCTCGCAAAAAGGAACCTAACATTTTTTGTGAGGAATAAAATCAACTTGATAGATATTATTTCCGTTTCACAGAAATAGATAAAAATTTAGAAGCCCTTGTGAAACATATAATGAACTCTCATAAAAATTATTATTATAATATAATTTATTTACAGGCAGAACGAAATAGCGTGTGCAAAAAAGAAGGGAAGATAAAATTCCTTGAAAAAAAGGGTGAAAAAAAGCAAAAAGTAGATTTCCTCTGCTTCTCAAGCTAGGAAAGGAATTGAAAATCATAAATATTTTTCTTGGCTAATTTCTACTTCTTTTTCAAAACTTGAAAGTTTGAAGTTTGAAGAAACTGTTAAAATTTTTTTACCAAAAAGTGACTGCTAAAAAAATGACAAAGTTCTATAGAACTATACCTTTATGATGATCTTTTATATTTATTTCCAGATGCTAAGAATTACTTTAAGATGCTTATTTCAAGATAAACTTTCTCTTTAAAAAAACCTCGGGTATGGAACCATATTCGCAGAAAAGTTTCAGAGAAAAATTAACTACATTTTGTACCTTTCAACGTGGAATAAATAAAAGAAGACATATTTGCTTCATCGCTGGATTATCACAACAACATAAAATTCACTTTGAAATAGGTTTAAATATTATCAGAAATCATTTATATTCAAAAACCTTAGATCCTCTGAACGTTTCATTCTAGGGATTCGACACAAAAATTTTGTTGATAAAATTTTGAGGATTTTGGATTTCTGAAAGTATTCAGAGGATAAAAAACAGCCACTGGTTCTCACTTGGATATTATCTAATTCAGAAATTATTCAGAATTTACTTTCCTGTGTAAAATTTGTTGATCAGTCTCAATAGATTGTAACTGTCAATTTTTTTCTCATGTTTTCAACTCTTGAAGATATACTTCCTTTATCACGAAAGATTCCGTTGGAAATCCGTGTTAGTTTTATTTTTATACTTATCAAAAGCTTGTTTTTCGAATGGAAGAAAAAAAAAACGCGGAAAAAAACGTCCTTATCATATATATATATATTTTTTTTTTGTTATAATGGATAACCTCCTTGCTCAATTTCAACCGGCCAACTTGAAATGCTTTATTTATTTTTTTCCTTTTTTATCAAACAAAAATATTATCAAAAATCATTATGTCTTCTATACTTTGCTTTATAATCATGTTCCAAACTCATATATTTTTTGTTTGTTTCGAAAACGCTCCCATTTTCGAAAACACGCGTCGCCCCGCCTACCCGACGCCAAGAGGCGGGGCTTGTTTGGACGCGCATCCAAGCGTCGCCCAACTCCTCACTTCATTCGGCTCGTCGGCTCCGGTCGGCTCCGGTCGACCGCTCTTATTCTCCCTCTTCTATTGTCTTCCCCAAGTTCACTCCGGTCAAGGCTCGTCGAATGCTTGAGTCTTTTCCGTTGTTTACTTCGGATCAAGGCAATCCCCTTCTGTATTGGCACAGTCAAATTGGCTTTCGAGAAGGGAAACTTATCAAGTTGAGTATCTTCTAAGGCTTTTCAATCGCCTTAATCAGACCTCAACTAGATGATTTCCCATTCGTCGAAAAGAATTTGAGCATGCTATTGTTTTTTTTTATCTTTTAAGTTAATCATTTCCTTCAATTTACATTTATTCCGCGAAAACTTATTTTTTGTTCTACTATCCATCTTCAAAACTTTAAATACAACTTTTAAACCTTTCTTTTTCCTTGCTGTTTTACACTTTTCCTCTTAATTTGGTTCGAAAAACTTTTCAAAAAATGATAAAATGTCTAGTGCCGTTCATCTATCCGTTAATTCGTTTTTTGCTCCTATTTCCAATCTAAACCTGTATTTTTGCAGAAGCAACAGCGCTCCTCCAACAACTCTCTCTGCGTAGAAATGTGCCAAAACCAATGTAAGTTTTCCTTTCTACACTTTTCACTTCTTTTTTCTAAACAAGAACTTTTTTATTGATTCTTTTACATTACAGATCCCTGCACTCCTCGTTCCACCAAGCGTCTTGCCAAGTACGCCAAGGCGATCAAGGCTACTCCGATGCGTCCTAGTAAGCTTTTTCTTCACTTTCTTTTTCTACTTTCAAAAATTTTTTCATTGAATTGATGGAAACTGAAAATAAGACCTAACCGTGTACTTTTGCAGGCCGGAAGACGATGCAGGCCGTGCGGAAGTCTGGACGTCGTCTCGACATCCAACGTCGTCAGCAGATGCTCGCCGAAGAGGCCGCCAAACGTCAGACTCGTGCCAAGTCTGAGCCCATCCTCTCTCCTATGGAAAAAGCCAGTGAGTTTATTGAACTTTCGTTACAATGATGAATAATTGAGCTAATTCCCAAATAATTCCAATGGTCATTTCATTTCTTAGAAAAAAAAAATCACAAACCCACCAGAAAAAATTTCGAAACCATTTCTTTCAGTGAAACGCCCGGAGCGACCACTCGAACGGATCGCGGCGACGATCCGCTTCCGGTCAGACGTGCTCGATCGGATGATGGCTGTGTACTACGAGCGGATCGCCGCTGAAGTCGAGGAGAAGATCGAGCAAGAGCTCCGTGACGACGTCGTCAAGCAGGCTCCAGGAGCTCCTCGTCGTCGTTTCCGTCCGGCCGACTGGAAGCGCAACCGTCCCACTCGTCCAGAAAACGACGATTTCTAAGCCTTCCACTCCACCTGTCACTTCTTGTCTTTCCATGATGCCTATAGCTTTTCCTTTTCTCGATGTTTATTCAAACTCAAAACCTGAATAACTCGAACCTTTCTTCACTGCTGGCAGCTATCACTTCGACTTTTCCATCCGTTTGTGTTGTTATTTTAACCGCAGACCCTTTTCCGATTTAGTCAACTTCCCCTGTTATCAAACAAAAAACGTCAAAAAATATGGGTCCTGCGCTTCAAATTCTTGCCTTACGTTCATGTTAAACTTGTATTGTTCTGTGCCTTTGTTTTATTAATGAATATGCATTTGAAAAGAGCTTCTTCTAATTACATTGAAATGAAAAAAGACTTTCAAGTTACAAGGTCGAAAGTTTCATACAAATGAATTGAAAAATTATTGAAATAACATGAACAAAAAAATCACAAAAAAATGGTTCAATTTTTTTGCATCTTGTTTGAAATTTTCTTCTCTTTTAGTCCATACAGCCTCTCGGCCCCCGGCCAGTTTCTAAGCCCGGCCCAAAAAGCGCTATTTTTTTTAGTCGATTTTCAAGTTTTTTTTCAGAACAAAATTCATTTTTTTTTTTGCTTATTTTTTGACATAGAGTTCAATAAAAACTATGATTTTGATAGTAAAAATAATTTTTCGTTGAAAATTTTTGCAATGAAGTTTTAAATCGAAGCCCGGCCCAAGCCCGCGCAGACTTTTTCTTATTTTAAGCTTGCAGTTGGGGAGACGATATTATGGAGTATTATACCAAGTTTGAGCCTTAGTTTTTGCTTTCCAAAACACTATTACAGCTTTTGCTTTAAAAGAACTTTAGTTCTTCGATTCTTGTTTGCATTTTAGATTCTAGAGTTCACATCAGAATTTCTAGCGAAACCAATCAGAGACAATCTCTCTATGCAGTGGTTTTGTTGAGGACTAATGTGCAACTCAAAAAAACTTCTATCTTTTCTTTTTGTTGACTTTATACAAATCTGAAACAAATAAAGATTAGAAAAAAATGTACAAAATATACAAACAGCGGTTAGAAGCGGGAGGGCGTGGGCGTTGAACTCGACTTAAAGTTAGAAAACTTGAGTAATTAAATCGGGAAAAGGTACAAATAGTTAAAAATAAGCGTAACGGTACAATGTTGGTCAATCTGGCACTGTAATATACAAACAGCTCTGAAGCTATTACAAATAAGGCTATAAATAAGATAGAGCCGTATATATACAGGAAATGAACAAAAATGGTAGATTTAATATCCAATCAACATTTTACCCCTCAGGGCGAGTTCACACATGAGCGATGGGGCTAATTTGTTGTTTCCCTTTTTCTTTTCTTTACTAACTGCATGTGCCGCCGCAATAGCTTGTTCTGACATTTTGCACCAAGTTCCGAATCTTCTGACGAAAGGAGTGACATGTTTCGAAAGAATGTGTAGCTTCTCGGTCACAGTCTCTTCGAGGTCAGCGATCGCAGTTTGCTCACAGAAATGTAGGATAGTGTTTTCATGTTGGTCTTGCTCTGCGGCGGTCAAAGTGCAAGCCTTGCTCACATCTTGAATAGAACGGAGAGCATTCATAACCCTTCTGTAAGCAGTTGTTTGAGGCGTCACGGGGAGCAGATCCCACAAAAGCCCAACGCGTTCCGATTCAAGCAGCTTTCGCACCTGATTTCCAGTGTACTCCTGGAAGTAAACTCCACGTTCAATTCCGATGACCTCTTTTAGTATGCGTTCGAGTTCTTTTCGCGTAGGTCCATCTTTTTTGATCAGCGATTGCTTCAACTGCTGCCAACGCGCGGTGAAAGGAAGGCCCTGCCGGTTTCACGGGTTCTGCAAACATGTTTAATTTTAAATAAAAGAAGAAATAAAAGAACAAACCCGTAGCTTTCGAAGCTTCTTTCTGCTTTTCAGCTTCCTTCGAGGAAGAACCTGCCGGTTTCGCGTGTTCTGCAAAAATGAAGAGTTTTACATGAAAAAAGAAAAAACTGACTTCCTCGATTATTTCTCTTTACCACTTTTCTTGGCCTTTTTTTTGGCATTCCGGGCAGAAATTTCACCTGCAAACAGGACTTGCTTATTTTTTTGGCGCAACGAAAAAATGTACCGTAAATCAGTAACAAACACAATAAAAATGTAACTGAAACAAACATAAAAAATCACTTGAAGTATTCTAGCAACAGGAAAATTCTTTGGCGCTATTTGTCTACAGGCTTGTGCGAGGGCCGGCCCCTCACCCTCCCGGCCCCCCGACCATTTCGTAAGCTGGGCCGGCCTTGAAGGGGCCTCAAGAAAAAATGGCCAATACTTTTCCGAACCGTGCTTTATCCGAACCAAATTCCGAACCAATGATTTATCCGAACCTACTTTATCCGAACCACCCTATGCTTTATGCGAACCACTTTTTTTTAGAATGCATGCTTTATCCGAACCACTTTTTGTAAAAAGTTTATTACTTTTTTACTATTTAAATGCCGTTTTCTTAGCTTTTTGCGATGACTAGTTGCCCCATAAGACTCAATGAACTGGAACTAGAATTTTCTGTCAATTTCTTTTTTTCGAATTTCTTGTTATATGAGTTTGATTTTTTTCGCTCATATTTTTCTAAAAACATCCAAAAAAACTGATCTTCCAAACTCCATCTTATTATTCAAGACTCTGAAGGTATAGAAAAAAATTGAACTCGAGCTGAAAAAGAATATGGACATGCCCCGGTTAAACCTTGTTTCCCAACAAAGATCGCTTCTGGACGTTTTTCCTTGAACATTTCGATGCCTGTTGGTTCATCGTAGGAGAATCTGCGAACGGCTCATTAGAAGAAGTTCTCTCGAGTTCAGTTATTCGAATGAGATTTTTCTTTATGAAAGTTTCTAGACAGCTTTATGTATGGTTTTTTGACAGATATTATTTCTTAATATCGCCGCCTTTTGTGATCTTTCACTTCTTCCATGCATGTTGGTTCTTCGTAGGGGGAATCTGCGAACAGCTCATTAGGACGAATCCCCTCGAATTTAGATATTCAAATAAGATATTTTTCTTTAGAAAAATTCTAGGAAGGTTGAAGAAAAGGCTTTTTCAAAGCTGAATTAATATTAATCAGCGTTCTAAAAAGTGAATGATAAATAATAAAAAGATCGAAATGAGTTCGAACTTTTGCTGGCTCCAGCCCAACCCATTCCATTCAATGTTTTACCCGTTCCGACCGTTCCCTTTTTTTGAAAGCTGATCGTTTGTTCAGGAACATTCAATGATTTTTTTGTCATCGAACATCTGTTGTTTTTTTCAACAATAAATTAGTCCAAATCTAGCAAAAAAATTTTTGTTTCAGCAGGTTTTCAGGATGTTTGAAGGAGGCTCGGAAGGTTGACGAGAGGGGCCTCGGAGATTGGCTGCCTCGGAAATCAAAAAAATTCAGAACTTTCAAACGGCTGAAAGTGATTTGAATCTGAGCTTCGGATAATCAGAATTGCAAATTTTTTTCTGACACACACACTCAAATCATTTCAGTCTTTAAAAAAATATTTCGTTCCAGATAGTTCAGGAAAAAAAGATTAATGAAAAATTAAAATGAGATGGAAATTAAATTAGACTTTGAAAGAAATTATTTTGATATCCTAAAAACTTTTTCCTTCATAACTTTAGAAAAGGCACTCGAAATACAAATTGACTTCTATGACTTAAAAAAAGAAGGGAATTAAACTTATAAGAGAGAAAAAGCTCGGAACATTGGCAGAAAAACCGTAAAAAAAGGAACGATTATTTCGAAAAAAACGATAATTTACGAAGGCGCAAAGGTTTCGCGCGCTTTCTCATCGTTTCGATACCTGCACTTTCTTCCCTTGGAGATTTGCCAGCGCAAATAATTTTTTCCTCTTTTTAGCAATTCCTTCTGTTTATTTCATTGTATTTTTTTATATATACGTCATGATTTTTTTCAAATTTAATTATTTGCATGATTACAATATTTGATTTACCACTGAAATTTCTATTTTTTTCCTGCAAATATTGCCCTTTTTTTGTATGTTAAGACAAGTTTGGCCTAAAAAAAGTTTTTTTCCTTAAACTTTTTAATTTATTTACCATTTATATTTTTTTCTATCCAAAAACAATTGAATGCGAGCAGATCTTTGACCTGCATTTTCAGCCAGGTTCTAGAACCTGTGGGAATCAAGAAAAACTGCTCAATGGAAATAATTTCTGACAAAAAAATTCTTTCTGCCGTTCCGAATACATCTAAAAAAAGGTTTCAGTGTAGATGACAATGATAAAATCCGATTCAAGCATGCCAAAATTCACGTTCGATTGGTTTCAGCTGTCTCCACGTTCAGTTTTAAAAAAAAAAACGTCTTTGAAAGTGATTCCTGTCGGCATCTTCTTGTTTTTTGACTGAACGCCCCTGTCGTTAACCTTCCCAGCATCCTACAAACCTCCTGAAAACCTGCTGTATCCGGAACGAAATATTTTTTAAAGACCGAAATGATTTGAGTGTATGTTGTCAGAAAAATTTGCAATTCTGATTATCCGAAGCTCAGATTCAAATCACTTTCAGCCGTTTGAAAGTTCTGAATTTTTGATTTCCGAGGCAGCCAATCTCCGAGGCCCCTCTCGTCCGTTTTATTTCCATTGAGCAGTTTTCTTGATTCCCACAGGTTCTAGAACCTGGCTGAAAATGCAGGTCAAAGATCTGCTCGCATTCAATTGTTTTGGATAGAAAAAAATATAAATGGTAAATAAATTAAAAAAAGTTTAAGGAAAAAAACTTTTTAGGCCAAACTTGTCTTAACATACAAAAAAAGGGCAATATTTGCAGGAAAAAAATAGAAATTTCAGTGGTAAATCAAATATTGTAATCATGCAAATAATTAAATTTGAAAAATCATGACGTATATATAAAAAATACAATGAAATAAACAGAAGGAATTGCTAAAAAGAGGAAAAAATTATTTGCGCTGGCAAATCTCCAAGGGAAGAAAGTGCAGGTATCGAAACGATGAGAAAGCGCGCGAAACCTTTGCGCCTTCGTAAATTATCGTTTTTCGAAATAATCGTTCCTTTTTACGGTTTTCTGCCAATGTTCCGAGCTTTTTTTCTCTCTTATAAGTTTAATTCCCTTCTTTTTTTAAGTCATAGAAGTCAATTTGTATTTCGAGTGCCTTTTCTAAAGTTATGAAGGAAAAGTTTTAGGATATCAAAATAATTTCTTTCAAAGTCTAATTTAATTTCCATCTCATTTTAATTTTCATTAATCTTTTTTTCCTGAACTATCTGGAACGAAATATTTTTTTAAAGACTGAAATGATTTGAGTGTGTGTGTCAGAAAAATTTGCAATTCTGATTATCCGAAGCTCAGATTCAAATCACTTTCAGCCGTTTGAAAGTTCTGAATTTTTTTGATTTCCGAGGCAGCCAATCTCCGAGGCCCCTCTCGTCAACCTTCCGAGCCTCCTTCAAACATCCTGAAAAACCTGCTGAAACAAAAATTTTTTTGCTAGATTTGGACTAATTTATTGTTGAAAAAAACAACAGAAAAATGTTCGATGACAAAAAAATCATTGAATGTTCCTGAACAAACGATCAGCTTTCAAAAAAAGGGAACGGTCGGAACGGGTAAAACATTGAATGGAATGGGTTGGGCTGGAGCCAGCAAAAAGTTCGAACTCATTTCGATCTTTTTATTATTTATCATTCACTTTTTAGAACGCTGATTAATATTAATTCAGCTTTGAAAAAGCCTTTCTTCAACCTTCCTAGAATTTTTCTAAAGAAAATATCTTATTTGAATATCTAAATTCGAGGGGATTCGTCCTAATGAGCTGTTCGCAGATTCCCCTACGAAGAACCAACATGCATGGAAGAAGTGAAAGATCACAAAAGGCGGCGATATTAAGAAATAATATCTGTCAAAAAACCATACATAAAGCTGTCTAGAAACTTTCATAAAGAAAAATCTCATTCGAATAACTGAACTCGAGAGAACTTCTTCTAATGAGCCGTTCGCAGATTCTCCTACGATGAACCAACAGGCATCGAAATGTTCAAGGAAAAACGTCCAGAAGCGATCTTTGTTGGGAAACAAGGTTTAACCGGGGCATGTCCATATTCTTTTTCAGCTCGAGTTCAATTTTTTTTCTATACCTTCAGAGTCTTGAATAATAAGATGGAGTTTGGAAGATCAGTTTTTTTGGATGTTTTAGAAAAATATGAGCGAAAAAAATCAAACTCATATAACAAGAAATTCGAAAAAAAGAAATTGACAGAAAAATTCTAGTTCCAGTTCATTGAGTCTTATGGGGCAACTAGTCATCGCAAAAAAAGCTAAGAAAACGGCATTTAAATAGTAAAAAAAGTAATAAACTTTTTTTACAAAAAAAGTGGTTCGGATAAAGCATGCATTCAAAAAAAGTGGTTCGCATAAAGCATAGGGTGGTTCGGATAAAGTAGGTTCGGATAAATCATTGGTTCGGAATTTGGTTCGGATAAAGCACGGTTCGGAAAAGTATTGGCCGAAAAAATGGCCCGCCCGGCCCGAAGCGCGCAATTTTTTTCTAGTCGGATATCAAGTTTTTTTTTACGACGTTTTTGCTCTTTTTTTCACTTTAACAAAAACTATGATTTCAGAAGTTAAAGTCGGTGAAAAATTTTTTTCAAATGAAATTATAAATTTTTTTTGAAGCCCGGCCCGGCCTGACGCACAAGCCTGGTTGTCTACCGTATTTTTCATTGGAGCAACCCTTCCAAAGCCATTCCGCGTTTTCAAAATTTTTACATTTTCTCCCACTACGCAGAACTTCGTGAGAACAATGAAAAAAGAGACGAAGTTAGTCCCCCTACACGATGTTAATAATTATTTTAGTACTCTTTTCTTGCGTTCTTTATTAATCTCTCCAAAACTAATTTTTTTCTTTCTTAAACGAATAAAAAAAAACTAACAACATGAAGAAAAGTTCATTCACCGAGATTAAAAAATAATAAGGATTAAAAAAATCGAAACAAAAAAATTCAGACGTTAGTAGCGTTTGCCGAAAGAGTCAGTTAGATGAAATCGTCTTTTTGTGCTATTTAGCGATTTCTTGAGTGGCTTCAGGGCCTCTTTTCTTGGTTTAAATTTTTTTTTTAAATCGTTCGGTACGCATTACCAGTGTCTGAGAAGCTTAAAGCACTTTCGAGATTTGAAAAAAAAGAATACAAAATGGCAAAATGTGCAACTAAGAATGACTAAATTTGATTTAAGACCTGATATTGCGAGAAAACAAAACAAAACAAAAGAAGATATTATCCAGAAAAGAACAAGTCGTTGTAGGGCAGAGAAATGTGTCGTCGGCTGGCGAATGGCAGAGCGCCAAACCCGAAAGAACTGTAGAACGTGGGCGGGAAGGCCGTGTACTTTCGTTTCCTCACCTGAAACTTTCATCTGGGTTAAAATGATTTGGAAAGATTATGTTTCTTTCAAGGAGAGTGTTTAAACCGAGAATCTACATGTTTTTTTTTTCTGAAAGAAAGATCACAGTGCTTCTTTATATACTGGATGTAGCTGTAACCCGTGAAATTGACTAGTTTCCAAGGAACTACTTTTCGAAAGTCGCTTGACTGGACTCTGTCCGTGACTTCAACCCATGGACGCAATAATCAGAATTTCTTTTTTTTTTTTGAGTTACAGACTTTCAGAACCACCATCAATAAACACATTTTAGCCATTTTTCCGGATTCGTATAGCTCCGAGTGTAAAGGAATTCTTTATGAGTAACCAGAGGCAGAAGTTTAACGAGTCACCTGTTATTCGGACCTCGGGAACTCAAACAAGAAGCGGTCCGGACGTTTCTGAGCATTTATAGTGATCACTAAAGCGGCTTTTATCACTATTAAGGGTTTAACTGAAATGCTCAGGATCGTCCTGAGCGCGTCCGGTTTGCGTTACGTAGGCCCGAGTTTGCACTTGGTTCCTAATAACGGGTAACTCGTTAAACTTCTGTCTCCGGTTATTCATAAAGAATTCCTTCACACTCGCGGAAGGTTTAGACAAAAAGTTATCATTAGTTTTAATATCTTCAAAACATCTTATCTCCAAATCAAGAAGTTTTCGCAGAAAGCAACTCTGTCAGGTCTTCATCCAGATTTTGAAGAATTTATTAAAACCCCTAGTTTCTCAGTAAAACGACCTTTATGTAATGAGATTAATATCATGAATCCCAAAGTTAGTCTCTTTCAATGTTTTTGAAGGCTCACCTGTCGGTATGGAGAAATTTTCTGGTAGCCGCTGTACATTCGATTCTTCAGTGAAGAATAACTATCTTGTAGCAGCAATTTGATCGGGTCGCTGCAAGTATTTCTTGGCGGTTGTTTTATACATTAAATTTTGGTCTCATTCAATAAATATGGTGGCTGTGATTACGAACATATTGTTAAAGTTAATATATATTCTCTTTTTTTGCGATTACTTTGCCCCATTCACGGAGCTTGGGACGCAAAAAGGAGTGGAATGTGTGCGTTCTCCACCAGCCAGGTACTGTGTCTTCTACCATCGTGTCAGGACCTTTTTTTTCATTTTCTCAAGCGAGCAATAAATCAACTGTATCAAAAATACGGCCTAATTTTTTTCTCTTCTTTTCTCCTCAATTTTTGAATTTTCCTGTGCTAGTTCCATCTTTGATCTTCAACAAACCTTACAAATCCGACGCGTTCGTAGCGTGTTTCTCCAGTGGAAAAAGAGGCGCAAAGAAAGGCTAAAAGGGCGAGAAAAAGCTCAGGCCGCATTGCCTTTTATTTCGTCGTCGTTCAGTCTGAATCAGTCTTCAATGAAGTTAGGGCATCAGTTTTTGCAGTGAAGAGTTTTCGGAATCGAAGAAATTTTAGTGGTACTAGATCTGGAAGAAAAAACAAGAAAAAGAGAGCCTGGAATGGGACTCAAAAAAAGGAAGGGAAACATTGACTATACATTTTTTCGACTTGAAAAACGAGATGGGTAGATTGGCAAGAATGAAGCGTTGCGTGTGCGACGCGGTTTTTGACCAATGTAGGAAATGTAGAAAAAAAAGTTTCATATTATTTCATACTTTCCTTCGTTCAACTGAATCTTTTCAAACCCATAAAAAATTCAAATTAATTGAAAAACTGTAGAAAGGGGAAAAAGGTGGCTCGTATTTGACCTAGAGTTCCCCGCCGAAAACCGCGTCGCACACGCAACGCTTCACCTTTTCCAATCAACCCATCTCGCCTTTCAAGTCGGGAAAGATTGACTTTACAAGATTTAAAATATCATTGGAAACGCCTTTTTTTTTCTTGGTCATTTCAAATGATAGAAACGTAGATGTGGTCGGTTGATCCTCGTTAAGAAAATATAGAAAATTTTTAAAAAAGTATCGAGGCAAAGAACCCTTTCTAATTCTATTTCAAGACATTCCAGCCTCTTAAGTATTCAAGCTAGAATTTCCCAGCTAACGAGAACTATAGCCGAGTGCAAAAATTGGGGCAAGAGCGTAGGTTGAGCGAAACAAAAGGAGGAATTTCGAGCCATTTATACTTCTTCTCGTAATAAACTAATAACTCATGCGTGTCCTTTTTGTTTGTGCAAATGACGTCGAACAATGTTGAAGAAGAAGAAGAAAAAGGAATTTGTTTTTTGAGTCCTTATTCGATTAGGTTTCATTCAGGAAAGAAGTATACCAATACATTCGAAATGCTTTTCCTCGCGCGCTCTTTTTAATCAAGTGCTTTTCGGAGAGTGATCATTCCCAACGAAAACAAAAAAGGTCCGACAATGAAAAAATGTGACAACAATATCAACAACTTCTCACTGCAAAGAAATATTTAACGCTTCCAGAAACATTCACACAAGGAAGATTTTTAAACGAAAACCAACACTATTTTTTCTATTCAATAAGATGAACACGTCTATTTTCGACATTAATTGAAAAAAATTTACATAAAATACGATTGTTTACTTACTAAAGATTGTTTTTTTAAAAATTAGGCCATTTTTTTAAGACTTGCTGGCGCTTACAAAATTTGATTAAATTTTTAAAAACTAATTATGTATCTTTTGATGTTCTAATTGTGTTTTTCTTCCTATTTGCCTATTTCTTCGTCCAAATTCCGCTAACAAGGAAGATATCGCCCGAAAACAGCAATCGGTGTCTGCACAATTTAAACCTACAGTGTTCAAAACCATAACGGGGAACTGATATAGACAATAAGTAGATTGTTTTCGGACGCGCTAGAAAGACCATAACTCAAAGTCATTCAGTACGGATATAATCCCAGAACTAACCCGAATTTCATAATTTAAAATGAAGAAAAGCGATTATTTTTAACTATGAGACATTCGAGCTTGGTTGAAAAGGAAAAGGAAAACCGTTTTTTTTTAATTTGCAAAAAAATCTTCAGGCTTTTTCGTTTGCCGGAAGCCTGTGATGAATCGGTGGGTTCAACCTTCTTTCTTCGAAAAAAAAAACCGCCAAATTGAGGCTGTTTCAAAGATTGACGTCACTCTAGAACAATTGAAAAAGGCGAGAACAATTAGGGGGCAAAGAAGATTTATTTGTTGGCGGGAAATTTTTCAATTGGGTACAGTAAAAAGGAAGATAAATTGCCCCTTTTCACTTCTTTTGGATCCAATTGAGGCTAAAAAGCCAGGAAACCGTGAATATTAATTATAACAGGTCTAGAAAAAGGGAAAATCCCCCAGCAAAAAATTGCTTTTACTGCCAAGCTGGGCATTTTTCAGTAGAAGTTTTAATTGTTCTATGGCGAATTGAAGCTGGGTCAGAATATTCAAGTTGTTGGCTTTGGTTGGAAGAAAAGGTATAGTCAATGTTTCCCGACTTGAAAGGCGAAGGAGACGGGGTAAGGGGCGGGACGCGTAGCGTGTGCGTTCGCGGTTCTTGGCACGTGTTCAATTTAATTGTCGTCGGCTATTTAAAAAAAGCTCGGCAACCGCTCTTTTTCAATGTTTTCTACTATTTTTTTGATGCACACATGAACATAATCAATAAATAATTGAAAAAAGAATGAAAAAAGCGAAAAACGGGTTTTTCTAAGAGTAGATGGCGGTTGAATTGAACACGTGCCAAGAACCGCGAACGCACACGCTTCGCGTCCCGCCCCTTGCCCCGCCTCCCTCGCCTTTCAAGTCGCGAAACATTGACTATAGAGGAGAGCTGGAAAAATGAAAGGAACCAGTTGTTTTCGGACTGAAAAAGTGACGAGTAGACTTGGCGATTCATGTGGGTGGGACCCATAAATTATTATTTTAAGTTTGCTTTTTTACTGCTACTTTTCAATTTCAGCTTTTCAGCTGTCCGAAACTTGTTTCATAGTTGCTAAAATTGAAAAAAACTATTCGTCACTTATTTTTTTAGTAAACTCAATTTTTTTGTTTGCATAATAATATAAAAAAATAACAAAAAAACGGTAATTTTTATAGAATTGAAATAGAAGACTGCGTGATTGAATCGAATGAACGGATTCGACAGGAAACCGGAAATTTAGAGCATCATTCGAGGATTTTCGGGCGATTTGAAACCCTAATACTGACGACAAATACAACAAAAACAGCTGCAAAGAAAAATAAGAAAAAGGAACCAGAGAAACCAAAAAGATGCCAAAAAAGCGTGTTTTTATCGTGTAAATATTTCTTCATTCGTGAATTTGTCTGACCAGTCTGTGCCCTCTTTTCCTTTACCGAGAGGGAATCGAAGGAAAAGAAACAGCACGTGAAAGGAGATAGCGCAGGAACGTCTGACGATTTCGAGGTTTGGGCGATTTAGGAAGATTGGCCAGTTTTTTTTTTTGGCTTTAAATAAGTTTCAGCAGAGTATTGTACTTAATGAAAACAGAAATTGGGTTAAAATTATTCTTTTTTTGGTTAAAAAAACGTTTTACTTGTAGTGTGTTCCAAAACGCTTTCTGTGTCTTTTCAGATCTTCTCAAAAAAATTTTTCTTTCCTTCCCCTGATGGGTCTTGAAGCGAAGATTTATCAGAGACTTTTTCTCAAAGACCCAAACTAACCACGTGACCAGATGGTAGCTACATTTTTCTTCCAGTATCTTGAAAAAGATAATCTGAAAGAAGTTGAGATTTTTTTGGCAAAAAAGTAGGAGGTGCTGGAAGAACGGAAAGAGCAGGAGCGGAGCCCTGAAAGCGATCCTCGAGAGGATGCGGAAAAAGCGGACGAGCGGCGACAAAAGGCGGCGCGAGTATCGAAGCGGAGGAGGCCATGTATCTCGTCTCGATGCGTTTGTGTGTCCAGGCGGCCCAAAACCTCCATTCAAGTGGCCATCGCACAGCCTGGCCGGCTCTCCTTAGCCTTCTTAATAAATAAACTTTTTATCAAAATTATTATCATCTCTCTAATAAAAGTATCAAAACTTTTCGAGGAAAGTGAAGCTTGGAAAATGATCATAAAACAAGCTTACGAGGTTTTTTTCACCTGCACAACTTTCTGATTTAAAAAAGGACACCTGAAAGTAGAAGAAAAACCTATGTTATTTGCTTTGTTCTGACAAAAATGAATAAATAATAACCCCTCAAAATAAAAAAATAAAACCCTCAAAAATCCGTGAAAAAGAATTTTTTTGGGGGCTCTGTCCTCTTTTTCGAAAACTGGAAAGGTGTGCAGGTTGAGACTTACAGAATATTTTTTTATGGTACATCAAGAAATATTCTGAAAAATTTTTAGGGAATATCCAATCGCAAAGTGAAATGGTTACCTTTTTTTAGAAAAGTCTTCAGTTCAAAAATAAACCATTTTTTCGAAAGTTTTCACTCAGTTTTTCGAGGGACCATAGAAAAAGTTTCCGAAAGGTTCAAAGATGGATTCTTGATTTATTGTTTTTGATCTGGAGTTTACGACTCTTTTTGGCCATCATATTAAATTGGTCCCCATTGGTTGATAAGTCCAGTCCTTAAATAAGAATTTGAAAAAAACCTAGCATTTTCAAAAAAATTTATTAGATGTTTTCTGCGCGGAAAGCCTAAAAGAAAAGCTGCAACACCGTAACCTCCAACCAATAAGAAATTGGAAAGCTTCATCAAACACAGAAAAAAATATTTGGGAAAGCATTCACAAATGCACATAAAAATTCCCGTAAAACATAGACATATGGACATAAACCAAATGAAAAACGAGGGTAACAGTGGAATGAAACAAAGAAATCGAGAGAAGGATACAAAGATTGGTCAGTTAGGAGCATAGAAAAACGACGGGAAAGACAATATAAAAAGATCGAAAATGGTCAAAACAAAACATTTGGAGCTTGAACATTGGAACGAAAAAAGGGGCAGTTTTTGATGACTTTGAAGTATTTCGAAATTTTCAATTAAGGCAAGAAACATGGCAACAATATATAAATTTTTTTTGTACAGAGATTTGAAAGCTCAGAGATGAAACTATCACATGAAATCATTGTTTTCTCGGAACCTGAAATTTTCTTGGCGGTTGCTCTGTTTCAGCAGCTCTCCTCTGAAAAATAATGGCAACATGATAAAATGTGGAACTTTCTCGGAATTTCGGAATCAAAAAAGACTCACTGATGATCGACGAACCAGTTGCAGTAGGCCTCGTTCATGATGGCTACCGCTTCAGGCGTAAAATTCAAGCTTTCAAAAAACTGAAATAAAAATTCATGAAATAAGTCGGATTGAGTGGGAAAACGTCAGGATGGTACTGGTCCACGAGGTCGCTGACCCGTCGGATGTTCCTCTGAAGGAAAACGTCTTCGAATTCTTCCAATCTCATCGTTTCCAGCCACCTTAAGCAAAGCTGTACCAGATGAAAGGAAGGTATAATATGGAAAGTGAATCTCAGGCAAATACTGGGAAGGTGTTGGAATGTTGCTGAAAAGCTTCTAGACGGCTTCCGAGGACTCGAAAGCAAAAGGTTTTAACTTTCACATGAGATATATATCGTTGCTAAATGAAGAAAAAATTAGAAAAATCATGAAGTTAATGTTAATGGTTCCCATAAAAATACCTGCGAAAATTCTTCTAATTAAACAAATTTCAAAGCTAAATTTGAGTGTAAAAACGATAATCTCACAAAGAAATCGATGAGCTCAAGTCGACCTGACTCTGCAGACAAATCGGATGTGCGCGTATTTGGTTCAACATGACAGTTTTCTGTAAGGAAAAAAATCGTGACAGTAAAAGAAAGAGAAAAAACATCGTATCGTTGACTACGAGCCATCGAAGAAGCATAGGAAAATAGCTTTATCGCGTTTTCTCGACCATAAATCTGCAAAAAGGGGAGTGAAATGAAGGATTCTGAGCGGAGAGCGCTCACAGGCATCATGAAGACTTCCTCGCTGCCAGGCCTCGGACGCTTCGTCTGCGGCATCAGGCTCATCGAATCCATGTTCTCGTCGACGAATTCGTGGACCGCCTCGGGATTGGTCTTGACGCGTCCCAGCAGAAGATCCGTCTGTCGGTCGTTCTTCTTCGTCTCGACGAATCGCGGCGTTTTTGGTAACACCACAAATTCAGAAGCGTCCGACATCTGTCGCTTCCGATTTTGATGCACCTCGGCTACAAACGAAAATCTCCAGAATAATTTCGGCGACTGAGATTTTTTCAAAATTTTTAAACTTTCTTCTCTGCCTTTCTCGCCTGCTAGTTATATCTAACACACGAAACCGAACAACAACTGCTTCAGATTTATTACTTACGGCTTTTTCAAATAATGAAGTGTAGCTCAGTTCCTCACGCTACTTTCTAGCTATACCACACTATTTGCAAAGGTCGCCCATCTTTTCAACGAAAAAATTTGAGAAGGAAACAACACCATTTCCACTTTGATTGAAAATAGGTGTAGTCCGCAGAAAAAAGATTTTTTTGAAAATCATTATGAGCTTTATACTTTTCTCTTTCGTAAAAAAAGCGCGAACGAGCGTATAGAAATCAAAAAATGCTGTGAAAAATGACTATCGTGTCATCGAAGAACAGAAAACTGTCCGAACATATAAAAACAACATTTCGAGAAGCTTCGAATAATTTTCTTTCAATTTAATCTAATTTATAACAAAAATAAAGAGCCCTGAAATTCCATAATCATGTTATGCTTATTTGGCGATGAATCACGCCAAATCGAAGGCTTTTTATTCTGTTTTTTCAAATTCAGAACAGCAAGATCAATTTGAAAGAGATTTTATTATTTCGAAATGAGTTCTTTGTTTCTTCGAAATTTCAATTCTTACTAATTGCGTGAAATAATCAATGATAACCCTAATCGAATTTTTGTCTTGAAAGTTTGAGCTTTTTCCAGTTCTATGAACGTAGTTTGATCAACTTTGAAACGAAGACTTTGCAAAAACCCACAGAAATTGCTGGCCGTCACCGATTCCTGACGAGATCTCCGAACCCCCTGAGGAATCATTTTCATGTCCGTTTCTGGAAAAATGAATAAACTATTGGAATTATGAAGGCGACCGACCTTGACGAAACTTTTTATCGCTGTAGGACTTCAAATCGCGACCAGGGTTCCGACAAACTCGCACAAACTCTATGAATGTCGAGCAGATTTCGACGCTGGAAATTTCGTATTCGGTTGGAGAACGAGAAAAACCTGTTTTCGTTTTTGACCAACTTGATCTCAAAAAATGAATTGACCTTCTTTCTAGTTTTCTTTTTTTTAGTTGAGGATTTAAGGTGAACTGCCGACTTGATATCTCTCTTTAGCACTAGATTCACGAAAAACTTCTAAACGTTTTCTCTTCTCTAATTGACTCTAATTGAACGTTATCTTGAGCCAACAGTGAACGACGCACATATCAAAAATGATAAAAACAGAAAACTTGTTTGAAACACTAAAGTTGCGTGAAATTGAGTGGAATGTCCGTAGGGGAAAAGAAGGGCGCGAAGATGGGGTTTTTGAAATCTTTTTTTGATATAACTTCAACTAGAAAAAAATACTATAGAGGCGTTAAGATAATATATTTTCTAAACTTCTCTAAAAATTTAGTTCTAAAAAGTATTGATTCGGTGATTATTGCGGAGCTAATAGCAGATAGTATATTTTTCAAAAAAATGAGTAAATGAAAAAAAAAATTAGGTTCCCTTGGATTGGATCTTCTAGATTGTCAGCCTTTAAAATATCCCACAGCAGATGCAAAAAAGTCTCAAATTTAATATTTTTTCGATGATTCGCAGTTTTCTGACCTCTAATAGTAAGATTTCACGGGAACTTTGAATCTTTTTTTCACCTATTCTTTTAGAAAAAGGATGTTGAATCTTTCCAAAAAAGATTGGGGCCTGAAGGATACTGTATACGTACCAAAAGTTACACTAAAACTCAAAAATGACGTCTTCAGAATATTAAATTTTGACATATTTAAATAAACATTTGAAACAAAGAGAAAAAAATTTCCGCTTCAAAATGGAAAAAAAATCTCACTGATTGGGATCGTGAAGAGTAAAGATTATGACAGATGGACCACGTTTTTTGAGACACGAGGTCAGACACGAAAAAAGGATTTTCGCCTTCAAAATTTCCGTGTCCGCGGGCAAAACGAACTCGATACCGTAACCTGTAAAAAAGTAGCTTCTTAAGGAATCTATCAGGACAAAACCGTCGTTTCTGGACAAATGTCTGACGCCGGGTCGACTGCGTAGAAAATGTTCCCGGAGGACGGAATCTGAAAGAAAAAGCTTAGAAATGGGCCGAAAGAAGCTTCGGAAACCGTCGTCGTTTTTGTGCTCCAAACATCTTTCGACACAAGTCGTATTGTCGTTTTGATATCGCATCTGGATTATTTTGATTGGAAAAGAATTCCAGCTTTCTAGTTTCTTTCCACTTTTGGAAAACCAACCGTTATCCTCAAAAACGCGGCGATTTCGGCCGTTTTCCAGGTGAAATCGATCGGTATTTCGATGCTCCCTTTGCAGTAGAGCGACGTCGGCAAGTCCGGATGAAGGCCCTCGGGAACTTGGCCCCGCGAAAACTGACAAAAAGGGAATCATATGAAAAAAAGAATGAGGTGAAGAAAATTTCCAAAAAATGATAGGATAAATATCAGATAAGAAACTAATCAACAAGAAAAAGATGAAAGAGAGTTTGAAAAAGAAAAAAAAAAGCTTCATTTATCTTACTGAAGTTTCAAATACCTACTACCTTTTCTTCAGAAAAATTTTCAGATGCTTCCCATAATTTTTAAACTGTACTTTTTTTCAAGACAATCTGTACCCAAAAAGAAAATCTCATCATGACAACGAAAAATAAACTCACAAAAATGAATTCGTTAGTTTTCTTTGTGTCTTGCTGGTTAATGTTGAGTTGGAGCCAGTTTCGCGGCGAAAATTCCTCCCTGAAACGACGTTCCGATCGGCTTTTGAAGGTCTATTCACTGAGGCTGGAAATCGTAGAGCGTCGGATTGATCTCGTTGAATTCGGACAAATTATTCGAGTTCATGTCGACGACGGGAAACATCTGCAACATTTTCTCGCCGTTTTTAAAACTCGGATTCTTGTCGAAAAAATATTTTCTGAAGGCTTCATCGAATATTGACGAGCTATGAAACTGAAAAAATTGAACGTATTTAACTTGGAAGATGAAAAATCGCTTTGAAAAAAGTTTTCTCTACACTTTTACTTTTTCTGTACTTTCAAGACTTAATAAAAATCATTTAGAAAATTTTATGCTCGGACCTTGGTACTCTACATGGAGCGTGCACGGTGCGAGCACTGATTTTGCACTTTTTCACTGCACGGTGCATGTTGTCGTTTTGCACCTCGCAATTTTGGGTCTTTTTTTGTGCGGTAATGGTGCAACACCGCACGGTGCTGACACTCTGAACCACAAAACTAAACATGCTTTGCTACTCAATTTAGGCCTTTTCTTTCTCCATAATCCGACTTTTCCAACGAAAAAAATCATTACTAAAACGAAAAAAAATATAAATAACATGTAGAACTTTGAGAAATGGACTGAATTGACAGGATTTCGAATACCCAATTTTCTGATTCGGAGTCTCAGCACCGTGCGGTGTTGCACCATACCCGCACAAAAAAGACCCAAAATTGCGAGGTGCAAAACGACAACATGCACCGTGCAACAAAAAAAGTGCGAAATCAGTGCTCGCACCGTGCACGCTCCTTGTAGAGTAACGCGAACCGAATCAGACGTGTCGGGGGCATTTCGAATGACCACTTTAATAGTGTCAGCCCTCTTAAGTGATCCCTAGAATTGCTCAGTCCAATTCGCGCCCGGTTTGCGTTAGCAAGGTCCGAGAGTGAACGTGAGCAAAAATCAAGAGTGGGTGAATTTCAGATTTCGCGCCTAAAAAGACCATTTTGCGATCTCCAAATGGCGCGCCTCGATTTATTTTTCAAGTTTTGATGTACGTATTAAATTTTATTTTTTTATTTAAATCGAAACAAATTAGTTTCCTCGGAATGCTTATGAAGAGTGTCAAACTACGAAATTTCTTTGAATATGAACCAATAAGTACCTGATTGACTGTGGGATCTAGTGGCTCCAGAGGCCCAGACTGGTCAAAGAATCGATCTTGAAAAGTCATAACAAAACTGAAAGAATCCGTAGAATACCATGATGAACGAAAGGAGCATGCGAAGTGCTGAGAACTTGGACGTTTTTGCCGAGATTCGGCTCAAAAGCCTCTTCGGTTCGCTCAATTGTCAGCTTTTTGCTTCGCTTCGGCCGTTGTAGGCCTTGAGGTCGGCATTTTCCCATCAGCCCACTTTTCGAGAAATGTCCCGTGTAACTGAAAACCGCTTTTCTCTCGAGTATGACTGGATAATCAAGGTACAAATTTGAGTTGTACTGAGGTAAGACGTTAGTGGGGATCGGCTCTGCCGTGCACTGGCGACTGAGAACTGGTATTGATGGCGGAACCGTCTGAAAGTGTTTTTAGCCTAGTATTTGCAAAAATTAAGAAGAAGTCTCTAATTAAAAACCAAAGAGGTGAAGTCAACTTTATTTTTCCCGTAAAGGCTAACACGGGGAGCGCAAAAGGTGGCGAGTTGAGAAATCGATGGAACTCGGTATATAGGTAATTTAGGACCCTGATTCCGATTAAGTTGAGAAAAAGTGCGCCTTTTTGCGCTCTAGTCGAGTTACTGCATCTTAAAGTTTGCACGTGATAGCGACCTTGCGTTGTGAAACGCATGATGCAAGTTCGATCCCTTTTCGGTGAAACTTGTTTTTGCCAATTCTTTTTCGAAAAAATTGATGAAGTTCTGTAAATAAAACGTGTAAGCAATGTTATTTTCACGCTTTCTGTAAGACGTTTGGGTTGAATTATAACAAAGAAGTTCATTTTACTGTGCATTTTCTAATTTTCAAAAAAATTGTTTTAGAAAAATTCGGTTGGCCCGTTGAAAAAACGCGTATTTATCCCGCTTTTTTTCTGGAATTCCGAATTTGAACCCCGGGAGAAATTTTTGAGCGCATGAACAGTTTTGAACTCTCAGTCTGCAAGGTGACCAGGCGAGCGACTCCTGAGGAGTCCGTTCCGGATTCAAAACGCACAAGTTTGATTTTCGGAAAAGTTTTTTGAGCAAAATTGAAAAAATTACATCAGGAAAGTTAACTGAAGAAGAAATATTGATCTTTTTTTCGCGATATTTTTGCGCGAATCATTTTCGAGGGAGTCGATAAACGAAATATTGCTACCTGAATTTAATCTTTTTTTATTCATAAAAAACATAAACGACATTTTTTGCTAATTTTTGCTAGAGCACATCTCGATAATCTGAAAAATAACACACAAAATGATAAGTAAAACACCTAGTTTTTCAAAATATTACAGCATAAACAGAAATACCGACCTCTTCATAGTCCTCTTTCAAAGTTCCGTAGACGTGCTCTTTGCCAAAAACTTTCCTTTCAATTAATTGACTTCTAAAAACTCAAATAGACATTTCTAACAATAAAAACTCACATGGGTCCATCCGCCATCTTTTCCAGCTTTCGAGCCAACTCATCTGAAGTTCCAGGTAAGGCATACGTACCATTCTGAAATAACTTTAGTTTCTCAATTATCAGTTTCCCTGTCGAAAAAAAAGCCACAATAAAATAATGAATTTACTTCTTACCAATATTTTCGTCTTACTGTCCTGGGACATTTCAGGAAAGCTCACTTGACTGCAGTTCTCGGATCCCGGATGAGACGGCGGTTTCAATTCTGAAGACGCTAATGATTTACATTTAAATTAAATTGTTACAAAAAAACACCTTCGTAGAACTTTTTTTCAAAAAAATTCGTTTTCAAGGAGGAAATTGCTAACAATGATTAGTAATTTGGCTTTTTGCAACACTGCTCCATTTTTTTTAGGACCCATTAAAAAAATTCTTATACACAATTTACTTTTCAAAAATTATTGTTTTCCGTGTTTTTTTCTTATACCCAAAAAAACAATCAATAATAAAAAAATGCTATGCCATGAATATTTTTCCGGATGTGTAAAAAAATTTTTAATTTCTATTTACAGTTCGAAAAAAATTCTTTTTATCCTAAAGCAATTAAAAATAGTTTCTAAAACAGATATATAATCAAAAACCTTTTAAAATGTCCGAAATCGCATCGGTTTCTTCTTCGCCACAGTCATAAACCATATCTTCTTCAAACTCATTGTCAGTCGCCATAAGCTCAATAACTTAAAAAGAAAAAGTTTTTGAAAAAGTGGAAAAAAATGGGAAAAAAATTGAAAAAGGTTTTTCTTTCGGCAACTCATTTAGAAGGAAAATGAACTTCCTACTTCACAATTCCGCTATTTTACTGTTAATAGACCTTTTTGATATTTCAAAAACAGACCTTCTAAAAACTACAAGACAGTACACAAAGTTAGAAAAAAAAAGTGAAAAGAAAAAATGTTAAAAATTGTTTCGCAATTTTATTATTTTCTGTCGGGACTGTGTTTGCGGACTTCGCAGAAAATACATTCACAGTACTCTTAAAATTGAAATGCGGATCTTGATAAAGCTCAATCGAGTTTAGAAACTGGATACACTGTTATTGTTATCCAAATTGTATAAGTTTGCGCTTCATGATTATTATGGAGAAAGTTTGGAGCATTTTTCACTCCATTTTTTTCCTCGACTGTGAATCTTTTCGAAGACAGAAAAAGTTGTGCGTTTGCACAAAGAACAAAAACATTTTTGGTTAGCCGACGTTATGTTTATGTGGATGGAGATCCCTGCACAAAAGACCGTGCGGAAAAGAGCACGTGTGAAGAAGATGGAGGCACAGATGCGCGGCGTCGGAGGAAGTGGACAGCAACAAAACGGCGACTTTTCTCGAAGATTTCGTCTTGCCAAACCGTCAAATGCTTCTTTTAGTGTAATATTTTATAATCCATGAGTCTTTTTTGTTCAAAAAAGCTGTCCCAATTTGAACAGAACCATTCGAACTCTCAATAACTTCCGGCGGCACGGTCAAACGATAAACTTGTCAGAAAAGCTGTAATTACTGTCACTCACGCTTCCAAGTATCCTGTCCACTGTCAAAGGTACCACACCTTGAATAGAAAATCTTCCTTCTGACATTCTCACTCGAAGTTCACCTTTTCATCAAAGGAGAAGCGGCGCCTAGGTCAGGTAGGAGCGTCACACCTGTCGCAGAAGTTTCACGCCTGTTTGTCACATTTTCAGTTTTGGAGCCCTACCTGAGGGGCGTGACTTGCTCCGACTGGTATAAATGTACGGTTCCTCCATCACATCCCATTACTCGCGTTAACGACCTATTCGTCACCTTCTTTTTCTTCCTCTCGGACCCTTTATTTCTTATTTCTTTCCCAAAATGTCTCAAACGTGCTCCTCTACTTGTATTTCAGATATTTTTATGTTTTTTCTCATGTGATTATCATAAGCAAGCCTTTTTTGAACATACATTTTTTCGAATGGGATCAAAAAATGAGCAACCTTGGTTTTTCCAATTAAAATGTTTCCAAATGTCACTTATCTTTTTTGAAAAATCTCTCAAGATTTATTTTTGTGTGAATCAAAACCTTCTCGTTCCGCTTTTCCGAGTTTTTCGTCCTGTCTTTTGATATATCTTCTTTCTCAGCCTTGTTTGAAAAAAGAAAGGGAATGTTTCAGAATGGCTCGCCTGACCTTTTTGACGCTGCTCGCAGTCATCGTCGCGTCATCGGTGGCCCTCGAAAACCAAAACATTTTGCGATATGAGAACCTCGAAACGTTAGTTTTCATCTTCTTTCAAATCTTACGTTTCCAAAGTTTCCTTGGCAAGGAAAAAAACTTGAGTATTTCAGGACAACTTCGCCTTTTCGCCGGGCGCTCTTCGACTTGCAGAATCTCTACAATGGCACGGTAAGTAGCCTTCTTCAGCTTCAAGCTTCAACTTGAACATAATTAGATTCATGTATTGTGAATTACAGATCATTCTTCCTAAAAAGGAGCTCGAACAAGACTACTTCCACTTCAGACAGCGCGGAAAAGGGAACTCAGACCCAGAGGTTCACAACTTTATCAAGAAGTTAAAAAATGCTTGTTTTGCAGATCAAGTATTCAATCTTGCTGAAAGACATGGAAAAAGTGCATCGGGAGTACAGAGGGCTGTTGGACGAGGCCAAGGATCACGTGACGCGGCTGGTGAAGCTCCACGAAGCCCTTCTGGACAGCGACGACCTCTTCGACTACTTCGAGAAGCAGCAATATCAGCAGAGCGAGCGCAAGGTTCGTTTTCTAGGGTAAAAAAAGCGTTTTGTTCTCTCTAATGGGAAAATATAGTGCAATCTACCACATAGGAGCAAAATTTACCCACAAGAAGTCAGATAATCTTGCAAAAAATGAAGAGTTTTTGACCTTTTTTCAAATTTCAAACTCCTTTTTTGAAACCTTCCTATTAGAATTCGAGGCAACCTGAGCTGATACCGCTTTGGCGATTTATATGACCAAAAAAATCAAGATGTGGATTTTTATTATCGAGCTCTTTTTCTCAAAAAGTATCGAATACTGAAATTTTTCAAAAAAATCGGGGAAATTTGCAGTCGCGACGAGACGAGGAACTTTTTGGCTTTGCCGTCCTCCGTCTGAACGAGCATCAGCTGGTGCTCAGTCCCGAGATGTTCGCCATCGGAGCCGTTCTTGTGGCCGTTGGAATAAGCTTCTCCTTGCTCATGCTGGTCTACGTCATCCTGGTGCTGCTCATCCGGATCGCCATCCACATCTGCCGCTTCTGCTGCTGCAAGGGCCGTCGTCAGACTTTCGATGTCCAAAGAAGTTTCCGCAAGGACGTCGCCGTTCACGTGTGAAGCTGTAACTTCTTTTGTCTGTATTATCTGTTCTGGCATGAGCCGCTCATTAAGTTGTTCTTTATTTATCAGTACATTTTGTTATGTCATTTTCTCATATCTGATCGTGTTATTATATTTTAACGGTGACTTGAATAAATTTAAAACCGTATTTTCTAGACTCCAAAAATTCTGAACGACGAACAAAAAGTACATAAAAGTTCGATAAAGGTGATAAAAATGTCTTTTTGCCCTGCTTTACACGTTTGCCAGTGGGATACGGTCCCACGTTTGACGACTTCAAGGCTGAGAGATCGAGCCAGTGTTGGCTTTTGGCCTGGATGTGGCTGCACGTCCTTGTGATCGGGACTTTTCTGGCCCAAGTACCGCCCGTCAAAGCCCTCTGCTCCACGTGCTGTGGCAAAACGCACGACCTGTCCAGTAAGATTTTTTTTTATTATTATCCTAGAGAGGATTTAGATCGAAAACTGTAAGATTGGAGTTTTTTGAGATCTTTACAGAATGCACATTGCCAACAAGCGGCATTGTTCTTACAACCTGTGGCTCAGCAAAACTCGAGTTGAAATCCGCCTTGTGCAGTACATCAACAGTCAAGCCTTGCGGTTGCCTTAGCAAGTCAACATTCAAAATTTCGGAATGTTGAAGAAAGTTCCTGGGGCGAATGGACAAAGTTCACAGAATGCACGAAGGACTGCGGCATGTGCGGGACCAAATACAGAAATCGAACTTGTTCTTTTGACAAAGGCTGTCCTTGTCTGTGAGTAATGTCTCAAAAAGTTCACCCTTCAAATTTGTAATCCAAGTGGTTCCGACTCGAAAACTCTGGTGTGCAATCCGAATGCTTGCGATGGAACAGGGCCGAAATGTTGTGGCAAATACATTTACGACGAAGATTCGGATTCATGTGTTGATCCCGGAACACAGCCCACTTCTACCACGCCCTGTCGTGAGTCAACTCATGCAATAAAACAATTCAAGTTCTTTTTGAGCTGTTTATACAAAACTTTTCGTTATAAAAGAGTCCGAAAAATTGTAAGAAAGTCGGCCGAGCGAATTTGGAAAAGTTTGGCGCAGACTTTTTTTGCGCCCTTTGGGTTGTTTGGGCTATTAATTTTTGACAAGTCTATGATGTAATGTATGTGATGTCATGTATGTGAAAAATAAGTAGAGATGAATTATCAAATTATAAATAAATAGAAATACTTGAAGAAAATGACAAAGTTTTTTTACTTTAAAAAAATTCGTAAGCTTTAAATCCAGTTATAGATAAATCTCTACGAGTATACTACCTCTTTTTTGATAGAAAAATGTTACAGCAAGCGTCTGGAGCGAGTGGTCGGCTGTAACGGTTTGCACGAAGAATTGTGGGATGTGTGGTACAAAATACAGTAACAGGACGTGCGTCAGCGCAGCTTCTGGGTGTCCTTGCACGTTCGTTGTTTATAAAAATCACTTAGGAGAATTCTTCCGTTCCAAAATCAAAGATTCATTGTTTACTTTTTTTTTAAACGTTCCCAAACGGTGTGAGACGACGTCAAAAATTTTTGGCGCGAAAATTAAAATCTCAAATACGCAAAAAAAAAGTTATGAACGTTGAATACTCAGTGTAATTTGTGAAGTAATTTTATCCGGAGCGCGCACTTGCTTCTTTTTGTGAATTAACAAAACTTTGACGCCTTGCTAACCTTTCCTCATCCCATCAAGAAGTATGACGAGTTCTGAGTTTTTTTATGCTAACAAAGATGGTAGTTTTAATTATTGGCTAGCAATTCACTTGGATTTGGCGTACCATTTTCGAGGTAAAGGTCAGAAAAGTTCAGTATGCAAAGTATGCCTTGTAAAGTTTTCTAAAAAAAAAAAGGGAACCAAATGCGAATTAAATGTTCAGGGGCACTTCTTCTCGTGTCTTCTCGTGTAATCCACAACCATGTACCGGGTCTCGTCCTTGCTGCGATCCTTTTGTTTACGACGACGATTCTGATTCCTGTGTAGCCGGGCCGACGACTCTTCCACCGACCACCGCATCTGTGCCGACGACGTCTGCATCAGGCCAAGGAACTTCGTCTACAACGCCTCAACCAACTGCTTCAACTCTATGTGGTACTGCTCACCAAAGAAAATTCTAGAAACGATCCAAAGCTACAGTAGGAAGTTGGGCCGAGTGGTCGGACTTCTCAACTTGCACAGACACCTGCGGAATGTGCGGTTCCCAGTATAGGAACAGAACTTGCGGTCCTGGATCCTGCGTCTGCGAGTTCGTTTGTTTATTTTCTTTTTCTATTTCTTTCGAAACGAACGAATGACTTCCGATTATATTTCAAACGGTATTCAGAGGGTTTTCGTCCTTCAACTATGAATGTCCGTCGAAAAAGTGCCCGGAGCCTGAGCAGCCATGCTGTTTCCCGTTCATTCTGGACCCAGCCTCGGACGCTTGTGTTATGGGACCGACAACACTTGAACCGAGTCCGACTACCGGGAAATCCCCATCCACAACGCCTCTATCAGGGCAAGGAACTGCGTCTACAACACCTCAACCAACTGCTTCCACTCCATGCGGTACCGCTCGCCAGAAATGTCTTGAAACACTTTAAAGCTACAGTAGGAAGTTGGACCGAGTGGTCGGACTTCTCAACTTGCACAGACACCTGCGGAATGTGCGGCTCTCAGTACAGGAACCGAACTTGCGGTCCTGGATCCTGCGTCTGCGAGTTCGTTTCTTTCTTTTTTTTTTTGTTACTTTCTGGTTAATAGGTTGTGCTCCGCTCATTATTGGCCTCAGAGAAAAAAAAAATGCCATTTTTTAAACACTCAAAACCATTGCAAAGATTGGTTTTGAACTATTCTGTAGTGTCTTATTAAAAACTATCAAGAATTACGCACCACCCTAACAATAAGACAACAGTTTTCCGGTTTCTCTCCAAGCGAATGCCTTCCGAACTGATTTTAAACTGTGTTCAGAGGATTTTCGTCCTTCAACTATGAATGTCCGTCGAAAAAGTGCCCGGAGCCTGACCAGCCATGCTGTTTCCCGTTCATTCTGGACCCAGCCTCGGACGCTTGTGTTATGGGACCGACAACACTCGAACCAGGAGCGACAACGGGGGAACCCTTCTCCACAACGCCTTCAACAGGCCAAGGAACTGGCTCAACACCTTCTCAATCAACTGCTTCAACTGCATGCGGTACCGTACTCCAAAGAAATTTCTAGACACCATCTAAATCTACAGTTGGAAGTTGGGCCGAGTGGTCGGACTTCTCCACTTGCACAGACACCTGCGGAATGTGCGGCTCCCAGTACAGGAACAGAACTTGCGGTCCGGGATCCTGCGTCTGCGAGTTTGTTTTTTTTTCTCTCCGACATTCTGGTTGATAGGTTGCGCTCCGCTCATTATTGGCTTGAGAAAAAAAAATGCCACTTTTAAAACACTCAAAGCCCTTGCAAATGTTCGTTTTGAACTATTTTTTACAGACCAACTTCACAATAAGACAATAGTTTTCAATTTCTCTCAAAACGAAAGTATTTAAAATGGATTTCAAACTGTATTCAGAGGGTTTTCGTCCTTCAACTATGAATGTCCGTCGAAAAAGTGCCCGGAGCCTGAGCAGCCATGCTGTTTCCCGTTCATTCTGGACCCAGCCTCGGACGCTTGTGTTATGGGACCGACAACAATTGAACCGAGTCCGACTACCGGAAAATCCCCGTCCACAACGCCTTCATCAGGCCAAGGAACTGGTTCTCAAAAAACAACAGAAGCTGCATCAACGACTCCTCCAGCAGTTTCGGGATCTGGCTCGACACCGTCTCAACCGACATCCCCAACTGAATGCGGTACATCAAAACGATTTGTCTTGTAACGTAAAATACAGTAGGAGAGTGGGGCGAATGGACAGATGTTTCGGCTTGCACGGACGGTTGCGGAATGTGCGGCTCGCAGTACAGAAACAGAACTTGCGGCCCCGACTCATGCTTCTGCGAGTTTGTTTTTTATTTTGTTGTAACGTTTAGGTTAGTGTGAGAATTAAAAAATTCACATTCAAGGTTTCGAAACGGATTTTTGATTTTTGTACAGAGGTTGGTCGTCTTTCAATTACGAATGTCCGCCGAAAAAGTGCCAGGATCCTGACCAACCATGCTGTTTTCCGTACATTCTGGACCCAGACTCGGACACTTGTGTCATGGGACCGACAACACTCGGACCGAGAACGACAACTGGAGAATGCGGTATCGAAATTGTTCAATTTTAAACGACTTATGGCGGCATATAGACCATATAGACGATATAGTCCATACATAATTCTTATACTTTCTTATATTTCCCATAATATCCCACTGTTAGGCTGACAATTCATTACAGAAATGAAAAGAGATACTTTTAAAGGTTTCTCAACGCGCTTGGTAACTGTAACGCTTCATGGTTCAACTTAAAATAATGGCCGAAGAAAGTATTGGTTCCTTTTCGAGCTTTGTTCCAGTACTGTACTGAGGCTGAAGACCTGATGCAATGGAAACTAAAATTTCAAATCTACTTTCCTCCGAACGTAACTTATTTTGTACAACTAGAGTATAGCATTGGAACAACGATATGTTTTAAAAATGGAACCATAATTTAAATTCATTCCTACGAGCCTATGCAGGAAGAGTACTCCATATTTTCAGTGAGTTCTTGGGGGGAATGGAGTGCCACAACGTGCACGAACCCTTGTGGAATGTGCGGAGTCCAGAACAAAACGAGGAGTTGTCTTCGAGACAAACGAGGCTGTCCTTGCAAGTTGGTCAGAGTCTATTTCAGAAGAGGATGACGTCATTCAGAGGTGACGACAAGCGCACGGTCGTGTGCACCCCCATCCCTTGTCCCGACGATCAGGAGCCTTGTTGCGCACCCCACATCTACGACCTCAGTTCGGACACGTGCATTCTGCCACCGTCGACGACAGCGAAGCCGCCATCGACGACGCCGCCTTGTGGTTGTTCAGGGTCGGCGTTTAGACGACTTAGTCTGGGACTTTCAGCATTCAAGTGGAATGAATGGTCGGCGTTTTCCAAGTGCACGGATACTTGCGGTCTGTGCGGATCTCAGTACAGAAACAGAACCTGCGCCACTGAACCTCAGTGTCCTTGCGAGTAAGAAATCTTGACGATTTGAAAGTTATTTGAGTGGAAGGCTAGGTATTCTTAAAAGTCAAATACGAAGACTTTTGTTTACGAATTAAGCTTGAAAAACCAAAAAAGATTTATTCGGAATTCCAGAGGCTTCGAGTCGTTCAACTACCCTTGTGGACAGGCGGCCTGTCCCGGCGACACGCCCTGCTGCGACGACTTCGTCTACGACATCGAGACCGACTCTTGTCGCCCAAGCGACGACCGCGCTACCACTATCGGGATGGTCACTTGCGGTTTTCTCATAATTTCCTTCCCAGTTGTTAGTTTGCTTGTTTCAGAAAGCCAATGGAGCGATTGGAGCGCTCTTTCCGCCTGCACAGCAACTTGTGGAATGTGCGGAAAAATGAAGAAAACTCGAACTTGTCTTTCGGAAAGCAACGGATGTCCTTGCGCGTTAGTTGTTTAGGGAAATCAACAGGGCATCAAAATTTAAAATATGAAGGGAGCTTTTTGTTCATTGTAAAAATCAAGAGAAAATTTTTAAATACAGAACAGTAGTTCTACCTTAGGGGAAATCTTCAGAGGAGAGAGCACCTGGTCGTACTCTTGCAACGAGGTCGCTTGTCCTGGAACGACGCCGTGTTGCTCTCCTGCAGTCCTCAACGCCACCACCAATTCCTGTGACCTCAGCCAACCTGATCCTCCCAACTTCTTCTCTACTACGCCATCTTGCGGTAGAACATTTTCAAAACCGTTCTGGAAAAAAATACGATTTCAAACACAAGAAAAGCTTTTTCGAAAGGACACCGTAAGAATCATATTTTTCTAAGGTAGTATTTTCTCTTTTTTTCTTTGAGTATTTGCCGGCAAATGGAGTTTTAAAAATTATTTAGAATTGGAACAGAAACAAAGCTTTTTTCTATGGTATGAACAACATTTTGTCGTGGAAATGGTAGAATATTTTGCAGAAAGCTCCTGGAGCGAGTGGTCTGCCGCTTCGGCATGCACGGCCTCCTGCGGAATGTGTGGAACTCACTATCAGAACCGAACTTGTACTTCTGCGGCCGCCGGATGTCCTTGCCCGTTAGCGTTCCATTAAAAAACCTTTTCAAAGAAAGAATTTAGTGGAGATCCATCGAAAAGCTATGTTTGCGGAGCAGCTCCTTGTACTGGAACCGAGAAAATTTGCTGCGAGCCCTACGTCGTCTGCAACTTCACGCAAAGATGTATTTTGCCAACTACAGGCCCTCCTTCGACGACGCCTTGTCGTGAGCTTCCAATTTTATGATTTCAGAGTTTCGAAGTCTTTTCAGAAACTTTTACACCGTAAATTAGTTTTAAACTTGTGAAGAATAACGATTTCCGCGTTTTGAGAGTCTCAGAACTTAGATCTACCAAATTAAAATTTTTTAAAAATAGACCTCAACTAAGTGATTTTTCAAAAAAGACTTACAGCGGGACTTTGGAGCCAATGGACCAAGTACTCTTCGTGCACGGAAGACTGTGGAATGTGTGGATCGCGCTACCGAAACAGAACCTGCACCACAACAGTCGTTGGCTGCGCCTGCTAGTGAGGCCCTTCTTTCCTATTAGGCTGTACAATTTCTGAATTCCAGCGGTCTCAGCGCGGATGTCGTCGCGTGTGCCGCAACTCCGTGCGGCCCTCAAAATCGCTGCTGTCCTCCCTACGAATACGACGGCGAGACTCAAACTTGCTCGATGCCAAAATCAGATAAAAGTCTAGTATTTAGAGGTGTGGCTTTCTTACAGTTTAAGAAAGTTCTTTCAAATCACTAAAGGCGGTTTCAACGGACAACTTCTGACTGAAGTTATGATCACTAGATGTAACTTCACTATTTCCGCTCAAAAATCGAAGATCTTCGATTAAAACTTTGAGTAGATAAATTCAAATTTCTGACCCGGCTATTTTTTGTCGAAGAGAAGAGTTTTCGCGATCATTGAAATCAATTTTTCTGCCCAAAAAAGAACTCTTGACCCCAATTATGATTTTTCTAATGGTTTCCGATCAAAACTTTTCTCGAAAATCTACGTTTATTGCTGAAATAATGGCATTTTTTTACAATTTTTTTAAAGTATGCTCATCTAAATCGCAAACCTTAACTTTTTTCTTTCTTTGTATTTCTAAAGTTTATTTTGCAGCCCCGCTGATATTGAGAAAAACTTTTGTCAGCCGTTATGAGAAGTCCGCCGATCCGCTACCTAGCTTCCTGGATGTCGTGAGAACGTGAAGGATTTCTATTTTCTCTCATTTTTCGTGTTTTTGTCATAAAGTGTTGGTTGAATAAAATTATTTTTCATTTCTTCCCCTCCAACAGAAAAAAAGCGAATCGGCATGGAAAAATAAGGAGAAAGTCTACAGAAAAATGAGAACAATTTTCATTTTCTAAGGATAAGAAATTTTTTTATGTGTTTCTTTTTGTTAATATAAAAACAAGTATTTGGAATATCCGTATTGAATATTTCTTGTATAAATTGAAAACGAACGCTAGAAAAATTCAATTTTTCTCATCATTTCGAAGATTTATCATTCTGAGAAATATGGCCGAAATATGATGTCCAAGACCTTCGAATTAATTTGAACGCTGGAAATTTTTTTGTGATATTTTTTTGGTTTTCCTCGAATGTTCTTCACATTAGAAAAGTTACGAAAAAAAATCGAAAGACTTCGAAAATGAATTTTAATTATTTCAACTAATAATTCAGTATTTTAGTGAGGAAAAGTCGTGTCAAAGTCAGTGTCTTCAAAAAGATGAAGCTTCTTTTTTAAGTATCAAAGATTCACGGTAGGCCTACCATGATTCATCAAAGCCTTTCCAATTATCTGATGTCTAAATGAACAGAATAAATTCAACTTTTACGAACGAAAGAAAAAGCTCAACATGAAACACAAAAAAAGTCCCCCTTTCACACGTTCGGACAACTACATTCCACCTAAAAAGAATCGAAGTTCTCAGAGTTTACGACTGTAAACATTTGGAACTTGGAGAGGACTTTTCCATTGTTCCTCTTGCGGCGGATGTGGTTCAGCGTTTTTTCAGTGCTTTTACTTGCGGCGCCGCCTTTGGTACAATCAAACTGCTACGGTTGCTGCGGACCTGACCTCGACCTAACATGTTTATTTCATTCATCTTGAACAAGTTCGACCTTTTTTCAGGTTGCGGAATGCCCAAGACCGAAGGCGAGAAGGTCAGCTGCAATTCGGCGATCATCGAGTTTTATTCTCCGACAACCGATCTTGATGAATGCACTTCTACACCGTTGTTCAGCTCCACATTGTCTCTCAGCACGTCTCTCTTTCCGATCACGACTTCGAGTTGGCTCGAACCCAATGACACGACAATCTCCTCCTTGTCAACTGTTGGAGACACTTTCTCGTCGACTACTCCGACCGCGACCGTAGGGACGACTTCGGAGAATGAAGGAAGCACCGTCTCCAACGGCGTCTCAATCGACCCGGCTCTAACGACTCCAGATGGGTCTGGAAGTACGGGAACGACACCTTCTGGCGGGATTTCCGACGGAACAACTCCAAATCAAGGACAAACCAAAGGTCATACTAAAGGAACTGATCCAAAAGACGGTAGAACTACTTTAGATGCTGGAGCCAGCACAACCGATGATGGGTCTGGAAGTACGAGAACGACACTTTCTGGAGCGAATTCCGACGGAACTACGCCGAATCAAGGACAAACCGATAATACTGGAGCAACGGATCCTAACTCTGGAAGCACGGCTTCTATCGACTTCACGGAAGGTTCCACTCTAACAACCCCAGCTGGTGGCAGCACGACGGAGGACAATAAAGCGGAAGAAACTGACTTTGTCACTGATGCAACTCCTCCCGGGCCGGCCAGTACTGATATGTTCACCGTTGCGCCAACTCCTCCGCAATGTTGTCCTTCTCAAGGTTTTTATCGATTTTTCTTGACTTGAAACTGCGGGGTGCGCCAATTCCTGTCTGCGTGAAATGCAGCCGCGATATTGTTTGGCGCCAATTTGAAATTGAAAACGCATTGGTGAAATTTTCACGAATTTATCTTCATCTATTCTAATAAAAATTCCAGAGAACCTCTTTAGACGTGAACCAGTGTCCACATGAAAAGTGAACAGTCTCAAAACGTTTTGAATTCGCGCCAAAAGTACCGATTTGTATAAAAAAATATGGTTCTGATTTCTCTTCTGGAAAAAAAGATATCTATTTCTTAGGAATTTGGAGCGAATGGGTGCCGACGGCCCCTTGCAACGACACTTGCGGCAGCTGGGGCTTCAATCCAGTGGTCAGAACTTGTCTCTCCACTTCTTTCGGATGTCCGTGCACGTAAGAAGAAATCCACTAAAGCAGTCACTTGCCTGTTTGACAGAGGTAAAACGTCGCAGCTGATGCGATGCAACCAGAATTACTGTCTGTTCCCCCGTCAGACATGTTGTGGCGAATGCACCAAAAGCATCCTCAATAAAGTTTTCTTCTGCGATTTTCCAAAAGAAGTCCCGCTCAAGGAGCCTCCGTGCTGCTTCGGAAGAGGTTCGTGCTTTCAATCAACGTCTTCTCACAGTTTCAGAGAACATCTGGAACCAGTGGAGCTTATACTCGGCGTGCACGGAATCCTGCGGAATGTGTGGACTTCAGACAAGGACTCGGACTTGCGCCGCGACGCCTTACGGCTGCGACTGCGTGTAAGTTGAGATCAGAAATAAAATTTGAATTTTGAAAACCCTGCTAAGGCCAAGTAAAGTCCATAAGCCTAGGTATGGTCTTTTAACAATTTTAGGTTAGTTCAAAGGAGCATAAAAAGGAGCATTTTTGAAAAAATGCGATTAGTCATCTTCTTCTCTTCATCGTCAAAAAACGCTATTATGAACACGAGTATTCAGGAAATCTTCTTAGATTTCAGAATTTGATGAGACGAAAAGTTACAGAAAAGAAATTTGGAGAGCAGATTTTTAAGATTTTGCCCCCTAAAACAACAAACCCCTATAGGGGCCCCTCTGAGATTCCTCAGGGCTGAGATAGGAAAACGCGACATTTTATTTTTCCTTATATTTTATTTAAGATCGCATAGAACATTTTTCAGATCAAAACAAATTTTATTATTGACTTTATGGTCAATTTGATGTCCCAACGTGAAGGAGTCAAAAATGTTCAGCTAAGCAGGAAAATCTTCAAAAAATGTCAAGTACTTTCCTCATGAAGAAATGTTCCAGAGGATCTTCAACTCAAACGACTCCATGCGGGTCGGCCCCTTGTCCCGGGTCCAACCCGTGTTGCCCGTCGTTCGTCTTAGACTCCAAGACCAATACGTGCAAGCCAGCCACGTAAAAATCGTGAAGAAAGTTTTTCTCAAACCTCAAATTCTGTCCCAAATATTGATTAACCGTCATTTTCTCTCATTTCCCGTTGTAAACTTTTTTCCGTTACTCAGTTCGAAAAAATTTTATTGGGGGAGCATGGAATCGTCCAAATCGTCGAAAGAATCGTCTTTTTGTGTCCTTTTGCCGCCCGTTTTTGGCCTTGGGATGGATGGACCGAGAGGATCCGCGTAGGAATAATCAGCCGACCCTGGAAAGTCTCCTTTTAGAAGTTCTTAAGGTGATGTCTCACTCATGTCCCTTTGAGACACACTGAATGGCTGCGCATCTGCTGCCAGGATACTTGCACTGTGCATTCTCACGCTGTTGAGCGAGTTCGGTCGATCTCCTGCAATTTCTCTTTATTTGAAACTCTGTGATGATATCTGAAGGTCGCATTTGGAATGGCTGAACGTGTTGAGGTCACGATACGGTTCAGTCCACTATGTGTCAAATCTTTCTTAGTATCATTCGATAGTTTGATCAGTCTGTGCTTTCTCGATAACTTTAACAGACTTTGTTTTTCATCTAGTCCGAGTAAAGAGGGCACAGACAGCTTTCTAAAAGTCCAGAAAAAAAGCAGCTCAAAAAAGTACTGAACTATTTCAATGAATGAAAAATGATTTGACTTTCAAAAATACTTTAATAATGAATAAAAATTAATGATTCTTCGTTCTAGCAAAAAAAGGTTATGAGGACTCTGAAAATAAAAAATTTCAAACTTCTGAAACTAAAAATGAAAAAAAAAAGTTCCACTTCTGCTTATAGAAACAAAAAAACGAAAGTGAAACGAAGATTTTCAGTCTTGACGTGAGAAATATAAGTTTAACTAGGTAATATTAAGCTTCGTTTTCCTTTTTGCTGAAAACTGATCCAAGCGAAAAATTAGCAATTTATCAAGCCTTAATTTGATAACATGAATTGAAAAATGATGCCTCACCTGTTTGTGGAACTGGAAGAGAGTGAGTCGAATTGGCGGAATGCCGTTTCCCTTGACTCGAGTCCGATTCTCGCTGCATCCGGAGCTGTCGAACTCTACAAAAATTACACCATTTTTTTTTTTTGACTGAGAAAAATCTTCACTTTTCCGCTTTTTCGAGCTTCTCGACGTATTCCTTCGCCTCGGGCATCCCAAGATCTGTTGTGATTCTCACCAGGAACTTCAAACCTGGAAATCGCAGATTAAGAAAGAGACTTTTTGTCTCTCGAACTCACAATCGATATTCTGGGGGAACTTTCGATGGATATTCCTGTACAGTTCGAGAGCTTTTTGGTAGTTTCCGGCCCTGCGATGGGAGGACGCCATCATCAACTGCCATTTGATCTCGTTGGGTCTCAAGAAAAGGCTTTGAAATTGAAGGTAAAACAAGATTACTGCATGATGGACGCCTTCTCGAAGTAATTGACGGCCTTTTCAGAGAACTGAGTTTCGATGTAGTAGGCGCCCATCCACTCGATCACTTTCATGTTCGACGGGTAATATCGGTAACTCTTAACCTATGAAAGTCAGGAAAATGGTGGAAAAGTACTGACGTCATAGTGGCACTGGAAGGCCTGAGTTTTGTCGCCCTCCGCGTCGAAAATGGCCGCCAATTTGTTCAGAATGGAAGGATCGTATGGAACTAGACTATTGGCTTGGCTGTAGAGTTCGATGGCCTGCGCAGAGTCTTCCAATGACTCGTAGCTGAAGTTTGGAAATACTCTGGGAAAAACTCTAGTGGCCACTTAAGTGGCTTCTCAAGGAATACTTGGATAGGAAACTAAAGTTGTCACTAAAAACAACCCTACAGAAGGCACTACATTGCGTCTTAGTGGCCACTATAGTTATTTTAATGGTCTAGTAACACTACTCAGATTTTCAGAGAGGCCACTAATTTGACTACTTAGCCACAAACACGTCAAAAAACATTATAGTGGCCATTAAGTGTTTCGCCAGTACGACATCGGCGAGTTTCATTGACAAGGATTACTGTATGTTAAAATCCGCATTCCCACTTTGTGTCCACTTCCTGAATGGTTAGTCTCCCAGTTTTCTTAATCTAACATTTTTTCAAACTTTTTTGTTTCTGTTTTGAGTGTTTACAGTTAAATTGAAAAAAACTCATAAAGAAATGGCGATGGCTTTATCAGAAAGTGCATACACACAAATTGCACACGTCGCAGTGCGGACTCGAACATACAGTACTCCTTGAAAAAAATGCTCATATTTGATATTTCCTTACATTCCAGCCAGTTGACAAAGTACTTGGACGTTGTTGAGCAAGATGTTGTGCAGCTTGTAGAAACACTCAAGAGCCTATGAGAATAACTATGACTCCTTCAAAAATGAGGAACAGACTTGCTCAACGTTTCCCTGAGCTCTGTGGACAAGGCCCATGTTGTACATGGCCTGGACGCAGCTCGCCTCGCTGTTCAGGGCTTCTCGGTAACAATGCTGCGCTTTTTCGAGCTCTCCCGTCATGTAGGCGATGTTACCTGGAGGTGAATCGCAGGTAAGACTATTCAGGTAATCAGTTTTTTAACATGAAAATGCGGTTACTTTTCCGAAAGCCAAGTAACAAGAAGTTGAACTGATAAAACTACCAGAAGGTCAAGAAGCGGGCAAGCCTTTTTCCATTCAAAATATTGTCAATTAATGATAATAATAAAGTCGTTTTTCAGTAAGCTTTTCCTTTTTAAGATTTCAACAGATTGGTTTATCAGTTTTAAAATTGGTGTTTGGGTTCTCATCGCTGTACTGTTCCAACATGGTGGAGCAGTTTGTTCGATGGTACTACCAACGGGCCCACACTCTTGTAAATAGTGAAAACCGTTTTTGGAACCTAACTTTGATAGGAATAAAAATATGGTTATTGTCTTTGCTGAGCAGGTTTCAGAGTCAAAACAGGTTCAAGAGTTTTGAAAATTGTTTGAATTTTTAAAATTATTTCACCTTGGTTGACCAAGGCGTTTGCATTATAGCGATCCATGGATAAGGCCTGCTCTGCATATTTCTGCGATTCAGCCAACTTTGGACCTCCTTCCTGAAATTATATATATTTTATCCAGAACAACAAAATGCAAACCAAAAGTCTAATCATGCACAGGTTATTCGCAGCGGCACTGGCTGTTTTCGTGTCCTGGGAGTTGAAAACTTTGAGCACCTGCAAGCTGTATCTTTTTATGATTTTCTTGGGGAGTTCTGAATTTCAAACAAGATGCATTAGTGGTTCCGAGCAACTTCATGTCCTTCGTTTAACCTCAGATTTTCAAGCCATCGTTAATTTTGGACTCACCTCGACAGCCTGCTCAATGTCGCCATCCTTGAGCATTTCGCCAGCCTTGGTCATCTCCAGCTCCGTGGCGAGCGACGCATGAACCGACTGTTTTATCGTTTCCAGACACCACTCGTAGCCCGCCGTGCTGCTGAAACGTTACGAATATTCGTTCAAAATTGAAAATTATCAGAATCTCTCCAAGCAACTCTCGAAAAGCGGACTCAGTTGCGATGACAGGGCTGATGAGTTTCGTGGCGGTCATGATGGCTCGCTCAGCCTCGCTTCTCTTCATCCGCTCCCACAGCTTCAAACTGTCCGAATTGAGCACTTGAATCATCAGAACGTCTTCCTTTTCCTGTAAATTTCGTTCAAGTTCCTCTTCACTTCCACAAATTTTGATAAAACCTGGCTAGTTTTATGATCGTCGTCGTCATCCAGCGGAATATCGAGCAGTTTCTGATATGCCTCTCTCATTTTTTCAACATCTTGCACACAAAAACTCGCTACGACTACAATAATTCCAGATTGGACCTAAAAAAAAACAGGGAATCACCAAGATTCAGAGCGTTTTTGAAGTCGGCTTTTTCTTCGACGCAATGATCGAACGTGCTCAGAGCGTCGTCGTAGTTTCCCATTTTGACAAATGCAATTCCTATGTTGTTGAGAATCTTTATCCTAAAAAAAATCAGATTTACTTCTAATTCAAGTGTTGGAACCTAGTTTCTTTCTGGATGCTAGGAACCTGGTCTAACGCCATTCGGTAGTACTTGATCGCCTTGTTGTACTCCTTCCGCTTGAAGTGGATGTTCCCGATATTGACCTAACGTGAACTTTATTTGAGTGAATTCCTTTTTTTCGCGACATGACAACACCTTTTCAATTACGTATGGTCTGCTGTTTTGTACGCAATGTATAAAATTAATGAAACATCGCGTTTTTTCGAAAGGAAATTTATTGATCCAATTGGATCCAAAATTAGCCAAGAATGGCTAATTTTGGGTTATTTATTAAAAAGTTTGTTGTATTTTTTTCATGTAATATCGTTTGATTCAATATATTTTGAAAAAAATCACCTTCAATCTCCCGGAGTTAGGAAACATTTTATTCTTGACAATTATCTCGTACGTGTTGAGGGCTTCGTTCAACATATCGCTATTTTGGTACTGAAAAAAGTTTTTCGAAGTTTCAGGCAAGGGAAGGTAAGTTGAAAACCTGTTGAGCCAGGTTGAACAGGACCGTGAATGTGAGGTCAAGGTTCATGGACTCGACCATCGAGTGCTGTTCGCGGTACTTCACGACGGCCCGCTCTCGTCGGCCAGCGTCTTTCGCCTTGTCGAGCGCCTAATCAAGGTTTCTTTAACATTGAGCTTCAATATCGCTCTTTAGAAATTTTTAAGAAAATAAAAAATTAATTATCCAATAAAGATTTCACAAATTTGGCAAAATCTGACCTCTTTGTAGTTTCTTTGCTCCGCGGCGAGCATACTTCCCTTCAGAAGATCCGTCACTTTTTGTTCCATTTCTTTGCATTTTTCTTCGCCTCTGAACTAAGGGAATATTAAATTTCTCGAAAATAATACTCACGTATCACTTTTTGTTTCACTCGCCTTGACTGCTTCGGACGCTTGTACTGAAGTTTTTCAAGTTAGGTCTGTTCAGAAATTTCGTTCGACACTTATAATATCTTTTGAGTGCTAGTTTTTTCGTAAATGTTACAAGGTTATTATATATAGCACTGTAGTCTCCGAGCATACCGATGAATAAAAAACCACGTTTTTTTTTTGGTCAAACTAGCTAAATCAGAAGAAAACAACTTGAAACTTAGTCTGAAAAGAGAAAATGCTACTGCAACTTTTAAATGAAGATTTTCAAAAGTCACCTTTATTGGCAAAAGAAGTGTAGCCAGCGGCTCTAACGGCCGTCATCGGTCTCGCCGGTTCGTTTCTCATTCCAGCCGCAGTTCTTCCACCCGCGCGACTTCTTCCTATCATTTTTCTTTTTTTATAATCTCTTTTCCATTTTTAGTTTTTTTTTTCGAAATAAGTTAGGTAATACCATAAGAGGATTGATTCCCGACGGCGGCCCCGAAACTTGTTGGTGGCGCTTGTCCATAGGAAGAAGGCGCTCGGAGGCCCATTTGTGAGGCTACCTTAATTTTAATATCGATTGTATTTCAGAATTTTCTCAGTATTTTAGCTGAAAAAAAGGGAATGAATTTTCCGTGGTTCGATTTTTTTCCGATTGTTGCTTTAAAAATACGAATTTGTTGTGATTAAATTGCACTATCATTCTTTTTTTAATGTTTATCTTGTTGATAATATGGAAGAAGAAACTACCTGAGAAAAAAATATCTATCGAACTGATTTTTTTGAATTTTTTTGAAGTCATCATAAACAAAATGAACACCAAGTTTACGCAGAAAAAGAAATTTATACAGAGACAAAGTTCAAAGTACACACTTTGTTGAAAATTCATCTATTTGTTTCAAAACCATAAAATTGAAAGGAAAAAAAACGAACCGGTCGCCGTCCATGACTTGACCGTGCCACAGCTTGTTGAAAACTTCGATCTTGAGTGATATTCTGTGAAAAAAATCAAGTTTAAATAAGTTTTTCATAGAAAAGAAAAAAAATAATAACTTGAAAAAAAGAACCTGTATGTCATAGGCGTGTTCGTAGTCGTCGAATCCTCCGTAAAAGTCTTCGTCCAATTTTTTGCTCATTTTCTGATTTTCGACTGAAAAAAAGAAGAAATCTCCTGGAAGTAATGAATAGTGCTTTCATCACCAAGTTTTTTAACAAATAAAATAAACCATCCACTTGTAAGGTTTTAAAAGAAAAAAAACATGAAAAATTAGTTATATGGATTGTTTTGCGTTTCCCTGAGTACCATGGCAACCAAAGGCGCTAGCGAGGCTGCTGCTCTGAGCTCCGCCCATTTTTCGGGTAGCAATTAAGGGCTAACCTGAGCAATAAACGCGTAAAATGATTTTGGATTTTAAACGGAAGAAATTAGTCTGAAAAAGCAAATATCTTGTTTGAAAGACATATTCATCAGGGTTTTTTCTGACAACGTTCTCTCTTCTCTAAAGGATTTCTATCCTCTCTCACGGAGATAAGTTCCTTTTTTTGATCCGGCTTCCATCTTCCTCTCAGGTTTGAAGCTCACCCTTTGGGAAACCCACTAGAAACACCATGTTAGTCGAAAGTCAACAGGCGAAAGTGTTGCAAATGGCCGTTGTAAAGGCGGCCGCCAATCTTCTCAAGTGGTCACTCGAGGCGTTTAACGCACTCGTCAGCTTCTTTGTGTTTCCACGCACCTCCTCACGTTCGCCGGTTTCTGAAATTGGGACAAGAGGCGGCTGATTTGTTTGCTTTCGGCTTTTTCCGTCTATTGGTTCGGTTCGAAATTTAACGCTTTTCTCAAGTGATGATGCCTTTTTTCTTAATTTATGTTGGACAGTTATCTTTACCTTGACGGACTTTTGGATGAAGCTTCAGCTTGATATCAGCAGCTTCTTTTTATCGCATAAATGTCGAAATGTTAAACTTTATCAAGAGGTGCAAAAAAAGGCGAACCGAGTCTAGAAGGATGGGCCCAAATTTTTTTTTGTGGAAGGAACTGTTCAGGAAAGAGAAAAGGGAGCTCTAAGATGCTGAAATTCTTCTGTCTGAAAATTTAATCTTCTTTATGATATGATATCTATGCTTTAAAGATCTTATCAGAATTCCTCTTCATTTTTTTTTTACTTTGGATTTTTCAATTAAAATTTTACGATTTTTTTAATAATCTTACCTAGAGAAAAAACTTCAAACTTTTATTTTCGTTCACTTTCTTCAAGTTCCTATCTTCTGGAGGTATCTTCTTCTCATCAGTAACGAGGAGACGCAAATTAATTTTTCTTGGAACCATTTTGTTCAGTATCATTACTTTTCATTGCCTCGGATCGAATTTCTCAAAGCAAACGGATGAACAATTGAATGTCTTCCGGGCCGCGCTGGAGCCACTTAAGCGGTCATCCTTTCAATTTTTTTTCTTTTTCTGTTCCGTTTGTCATTCAACATTGAAATCCTTCACCCTTGAGATATCTGTTTCTTTCCCATTTCCTATTATGTCGGTGGCATTGAAACTTCGTTCGGATGACTGTATTTCCACTTCGATTTTTAATAACTGAAGTTTGTAGTTTTTAGTTTAGTTCTAGCTTCTTTCTAATTTTTTCGAAACTATTCGAAGGATTTGGATTTCATTTAACTTTTTTGTCCAAGCACAAACTTTCAATGAAGGAAAAGCGTGTCATTGAAATCCGCTGATAATTCCAACAGTTAGTGAAGATCGGAAATATCATTCATCACTTTCCCCGGCCGAAAGTTGACCGACTTTCACAGCGAGAACCTTTGAGCCATGTTTTTGTGTCCAATCTTCTTATCACTTCCCAATATTAGTTTTTTTAATTGTCAGTTGTAAGTTCAAAATAACTAAAAGAATGTTTTGAAGTTAGAGTTCTTAATTTTGTTTTACACTGATTTTTTTAAAACCTGTGTTCTTATATCGACAGGTTTTAACATATCCAAATAGTTTTCGGCGGCAAAATGTTCAAGTATTTTTTAGTTATCAATAGTTGAATTTTGAATCTTTAAATGAGCCAACTTTTTTTTGCGACTGTAAAAAAGGTCATCAAGCCGGAGTTAAAAAACTGATATTTTCCTTTACTTTTAGAAAGTTGGGAAAGAAGTTATGCGGAAGGCTTCTCCACAGCTTTTCAGTTCTTTTGAAATTTTCCGAAAACAAAATCAAACTCTTTTCCCGTTAGTGAGTAGAAACTGAAAACAGTCTTTATTTCATCTTGAAATCATGTTAAAGATTTTCAAACTTCAATAACTTTAGATGAAGGCGAGAAAATAAGTAGGAAAGTTATTTGTGACGTAGCCCCGCCTTTTTTTTTGGGATTTTCCAGTTTCTCGGACTTTTGAACCTTGAGGGAATGTCGCTAAACTCGAAAAGCACAATAAAACTGTTTTACGGCTCAAAATAGGGGCTACAAAAGGCTTTAAACTGAGGGGACTTGACTGTCCACTATATTCCAAGTATCCTGAGCGCTTTCTCCAGAGATTTCCTCCAAATCCAAAGAGTTCAGCCTTGAAGTATTGCATGATCGGATTGCGTAACCACGAACAAAGCCGAGTCGGAGGATTTATGCCGGATCGAAGGTGTCGGCGGCGAAACATCTGGGTCGCTGATCTCGATAATCACTCAAACTTGCGGCGTTCACGTGGAAAACGGCTGCTGTCTGATGGATGGCCAATATTGAAATAGACCCGAAAAGAAGGTCGCCAACTTTGTTCTGGAAGTTTTGAAATAGTACTGGTTCAGCTGGCGTTATGTTTGAACATTTTTTGGTGATGGTTTTTTTAGAAGCTGAAGGAGACCAACAAGAAGATGTTGAGGTGTGATAATTTTTTTGAAATTTCAACTTATTTGAGAAATCGAGAGGATTTTTATAATTTTGGGCAGTATTAAAGAAAACTTTAGCTGACCGCGAAATACAGTTGATTTTTGAAATGAGTTCTTCCACTTTAAGAAGTGGCTCGTTCATTTTTACTTCTGATTCTTCTTTTTCTCAAAATAAACTCATATCTGAATCAATTTCTGCCTTTTTTACATGTTCTCAGATCATCTTTACAAAAAGGAATCAGATCGAAAACGTGTTTTTTTTAGTTGAAATAAGATTTCATTTTATTTACCTACTCTTTTTCGGTTACAAACCTTGTTTAAAGCAATAAATCTGACTTAAAACGAAATCTGATTCAATTCGAAAATACCACTTTTCACTCAGGCATCCTTCTAATCAATTTTGGGCTGTCTATTGAATTTTTGCGCCAAAAAGTAGGCCAAGTTAAAAGGGCACTAGGACTGGTGCCACACAGTTTTCAGTTCTGGTCTTTTTTCGGTCATTCGGTCCGTCGTTTCATCTTTTTCTCGTAGATAACTGGGTTAGGTGGGAGACTGATAGAAAAAACCTTTTTGTTTATTTCTTGATTTTTCAATCGCTTTTTTCGTTTTTAGGAAACGAATAAATTGAGAGAATATTTTTGCTGGATCATAATTTTGATGAAAAATCATCCGCATCGGCTTCCTTCCGTAATAGAGCTTTTCATATAACCTTCAAAAAAATATAGCGACCCTTACCCGATGTTTTTTGTCTTATCAATTCGAATCCGAAAAAGCAGCGTTGATAAAGACGAAGAGGATGGTCCATTTGCATCTCATCCATTATCAACCACCTCGTTTGCGGAAAAAAGACGTTAATGGTCAGTCCTCCACCATAAGCTCCGCCCATTTGCCCATTTCCTTCGCTTCTTCAACCTCCTCTTGCTGATTTTTTTTTTCTTTGGTCTGGGAACTTTTTTTCTCTGCATGTTTATTTTACTAGTTTTCATTTAAACATGGATTCCTAAAGAAAATAGCAGATTATTCTGAAGAGTGTTTCCGCCAAGATCTTCATTGCATCGGGTTTCAAATGAATAACGGTTAGAATATGCTTTCCACGAGCTCTAATCTGTACTGTGAAGCTTTTTGGTCAATATTTTTCTCGAAATGGTTCAAACATCGAAGTTCTCTGTAGCCGACGACCAGGTTCAAGAGCCGCCGCCTGGAGTTGAGACCCTTGGCCTCACGGGCAAACAATCGACCGATTTACGGGTCAACGCGTGAACATAGGCGTTTTGGCTGGAAGCTGGGAGGGTTTTCCGCTTTTTTTGAGTTAGCTAGCTTGAATAAATTAAGAATATCAAGCGGTTACCCAGTCTTGAGGCCTTGGGTTGAGATGAATTTTTTTTTGTTACTTTTTTTCAGTTCGAAAATAAATTGTGTTTGATGCAAGTTCAATATTGGCTCCCATTACTACTAAAAGCAACTCTTCGTTTCAAGACCTTGACCCATTTGCCTATACTCCTTTAAAAGACAGACTTTTCGAAAATTCACATTATTTTTGGGAAGGGCTGTAATCACAGAAACAACTTCTCTTTCTTTCTTGTATATTCCATTTTTGACTTTGGAAATTCCTAAAATTCGAGCAAAACCCTCTTCAAAGCTCCAGAGGAGTGCTCGTATCTTCAAAGATTCCTAGACTCTGAAAAAAACGCTTTAAAAAAATTCTGGATTTATAAAACTACAGTTATTTTGCTTGTCTTCTGATATATTTGTTGGCAAAAAGGATGGAACTTCTTGGAAATCAGTTTTTTTAAAAATTAATTTTTCAAAAATTAGGAAAAAATTTGTCTTTGAAAGTCTAGATTTTTTTTTCCTCTCGCGAAGAAAATTCCGACAGTTGAACCTATACTAGGTTGCCCTTTTCAATCAAGTATCTTCTTTTTCTGCAAAATGAAGGAGAGCGGGTGAAGTTTGAGAACGAATGTATTCTTTTTTGGAACTCAGTTAATATTTTCTCAAATCCTTTTCCCGGTCTTCAAGAATGTGTTGCTCCTCCCAATCCTCGGGATATCGTGGCTTTTGGCCGTTGTTGGCCCCGTAATGCCAGGTCCAGTAGATGTCCAAGCTGTGTTTGCGCCGAAAGGCAGGGGGAAAAAAGAGACGGCTATTTGCTCTGGAAAAATGCGAGCATGGCCTGGATCCGGCTGCAGCGTGTTCGGTCCCCTCGTGCCGCTTCCTTATCACTCGGCCGCTCCGGTATCCTCAAGTCGTTCGCTTCGGATAATCAGCTGTCCAGTTAAATAACGCTCCTTTTTTTTTTTGCTACTTCAGGTTTTTACCTGAGTTCCTACCTTTTTCGAGTCACTGACTCAGTCAATCGAAATCCCAACCATCTTGTCACAGACGAGGCTAATTTCCTATTTTTGATTTATAGAAAATCAAAGATTTTTCTTTTCATAACGAAGCTTTCAAAGAGGCTTTAGCGATTGAAAAAAAAAATTGACCATAACTGAATCTCCGCCTGAATGTCTTCATTTATTAGATTTTTTTTTTCAAAGTTTTTAATTGAAACCAGGCCTACGTTTTTTCTAACCACTAACCTGGAGAATCTAATTCCCAAAAATCTTCCAATATACCACAATGGAGGCTTCTCTTTTCTAATTTTTTTTTTCATAGGAAGTCAATTATTTTTATTCACATAGCGGAACTTTAAATGAGGTTATAGGGATGAAAAACTGATGAAAACTAAATCTTAACCAATTTTTCTCATAATCGATGTCAATACTATTTTTCAATTTTTGATTTGAAAAAAGGTCTACATGTTTCTGAATATAGAGTTTCTTGCTTGCTTGAACCCGAACTGAATGAATTTTCAATTCCTTTTCAGAAATTCAAAATTTGAAATCCGTGTATTTTTTTCAAATTTTGATCGTTTTTTTCTCCTTTTTGTTACACTTAGTCCGGAAATACGTGTTGCAAATGGCTAAAAGATTCGTTTTTTTATCGAATATTCACAAAAAGTAACGGTCTAAATATATATATATATTATAATCTGAATAATAAATAACTATCTTTATTTCTTTTTTTAAATTTCGAAACGAATTTACACTTGTTTTTTTGAAATCTTCGAAAAAAATTTTTGAAGATCAACTAAAAAAACTTTTTTTCGGATTCTGGTCGTTTTGATATTGAATAAATTTATACTTTCTAACAAAATAATTTTACACGTTTATGAGAAGTTTTTTACTATGGAACATTAAACTTTCATGAGACATTCCTCCTTTGAAGTTAAACTTTTCTTCATGACCCAATAGAAGCGTTATAAGCGGATCATTTGGAATGAAAAACTTCTTTTTTTCTCAATTTCTAAGATGTTTCAGCAATTCACACTAACACGTCTGAGAGTTCCAGTTTGCGACGAATAAGCCACGTTGTTTGACGTGACAACGGTAATCTGAGATCTTCTCTACAATTTGCTCACTTTTTTGAAAAATAAAAACTAGGCTCCTCCCATAGATTTTTTTCATCGGAGTAGTAGTGATTGTAGGCTTTTCGCAACACTCGACCGGACAACTGTTCCTGTGTCAATGTCATTTGTCAATGAAAAAGAATTGGTATCGGCGTGATTCTTTGAGAGTTTGGACTCTGCCTTTTGTTTGAAAATTTGAAAATTGCTTCTAAAGAACGTTATTTTGTTCAGAGATCCAGCTTCAACCTGTTTTGAAGTCCTCGAAGTTTTGAACTTTCATTTTTTCTCCACTTTCTCTTTTTGCCGCTTGACATGCTCGTTCAGGGGCCGTTTCATTCAACTTTTATGTTTTTAAGTGGGTTTACAAACAAAATGTTCCAGTTTTTCATAACACTTCGATGATACGAGCTTCATCTATATAGAAAAAATAAGTTTTGAGTTTTTTCATTTTCAATCACTTTTTTTCCTTTGGGAACTTTTTTATATTATCTGCTTGAACTTTTGAGGAAACTCGGCTGGAATGCACTTTAGGACTTCCTGATTCCAGAACAGGAGAAGTGTTTCTCACAATAGTTCTTGTTATCGGTTTACGAAGTTTCAAAGTTTGCAAAATACGAAAATAATGACAAAAAGTGCTGTTTCAAGCTTTTGAAGCGTTTTAACTCAACAAATAAATTTTCTGGGAGGTTTTTTTTTCTCCTTTTTTTGGAATCAGAAGGGCTCAAAGAACACTTCTGCTAGGTATCATGAAAACTGCAACCGGAGGCTAGGAAACGTCGTTACTGTCTGGCAATTTCCTTGCACCTCAGATCATTTTTTCGTTTTTTTTTTTTACTACCACTTTCTATTTCTCTTCTCTCAAGCCTAAAATTCCGAATCACTGTCAAGCTGCTCTCATTTCAAAGAAGCAATTCTCACTCCTACTTTTTCATCCCACCCCCAACACCTGTCGAAACATGGACTGATTTAGAACGTATTATTGAGGAAATCGGCAAAAAGCTTGCGGAAACAATGTGCGCAGCGGCGATTTCCGGGACGCAAAACAAAGATTCTCGGGCGTTTTGCAAGCACAGTCGCCGGCGTTTGACTCCATCGCAATTTGATTACGTTTTCCGTGACGCCGAGGCCGTTCTTCGAAGATTTCTGATGGTTTCGGCTATCAAGATCTTCTTTGCTCTGTTCGACATTTGAAACTGTGAGATTGAATAGTTTCACGATCTCAGATTTCTATTTTTCCAGCTGTATCTAATATTTTTTCCCAGCAAAGCCATGCGGGTCTTTCAAAAACTTTGGAATTCTGGGAATTCCCTTTGCTTCCATTTTTACTTCTTAAAACATCTGAATTTCATTATCATGGTATTTTCCAAGCTTGCGATCATTTTCGTCATCTGAATTTTAAACTTCTGTCTCATTCTGAACTGTTTTGTCCTTTTTTATTCTCTTAATGGGTATTTTTCCTTGAAACTTCTCAGATTTTGATCAATGTCGAGCTTTTCGCTTTTGAAACTTGTTCTATTCGACACTTGACAAATGTTTAACAGGAAACTGAGGTTTTTTCATTTGAATCTGGTCCAATAGTAAAATTGAGAACGGCTTTTTTAAAGCCATTTTTCTATTCCAAATTTCCTTGCTTTTTCATGCTATATTCGTCAAGAACTGAATTTTTTTTGCCTCCGACCAAGTTAATGGTTGATTTTGACATAGGTGCAGTTTCAGAAGTGCGACTAAATTTTAAAAGCTAATTTTTTGAAGTCAAAGAAAGTCGGACCTTTTCCACTGGAATTTTACGACAAAATGTTCATTTTTGTCATTTTCTCTCTCGACTTCCGCCCGGTTCTCAAAAAAAAGCCAGTGTCGTTTCAAAGTAAGAGGTTTTCTGCAGTTACAGGAAGACTGGAGGAATGCGCGGCGGGGAAATTTTCTCCTCGGTCACTTTGAACGTCGCCCTCGCCGTCTTTTCGATGCTCATGGCGGTCGTCGCCCTGGGGCTTCTCGCTTTCGTCTTGGCCAAGGTAATGATTTTTTTTTTGAATTTATTAGGCCGTTATCCTGTTTATGTAGCCACAAAAGTGCGTATATCTACTTCAGCTTGAAAGAATGTAATTTTTTCTCACAGTTTTCTTAGAAAAATTTTGATAGGTTAATTCAGAGGTGGAGAAATGGCGCCCCTAAGCGTTTTTAAACGTTTACATTTCAAAACCAACGTAGGCCGCCATGGCCATTTCTTAATAAGTCGCTGCCCAGGGCGCCCGGGGCCAAAGCCACGATGGCAAAAAAACGCCAGTGGAATAAAAAGAACGCGCAAAAATTGGAATCTTCTAAAATCTTGTATAATCGTTGTTTTCGAAGCTTTAAAACAAGGTTTTTCGAACTTCCAATTTGGTGGCGACGGAAATTTATTCTCTAACTAATCAGCGGGTTCGTAACCATAAATCTGGGACATCCCGCCTAAAGAAAAAAATAAATATAACCGTACTTCACATAAAAAAATTCAACTGGGCATCATATCCACTGAAAAAAATTAAAAAAATTATTGAAAAAAATTGCGAAATCCACGATTTAATGAAAAAAATGAACAAAAATGACCATTTTTCGCCCTACTTTTGCAACGTGGTATTATACGCCATCGACACATAATGAAGCGGCTCATTTCCTCTCAGGGGCCTGATGGCTGAGGCGGGCATGTTGCGCCCTGGAGGGCCCCTCATTTCTTCCACCTCTGGGTTAATTCGAAAGAGTTCATTTTCCTTTCGCGGTATTTTCAAGGTTAAGAAGGGTTTTCTAGTTTTTTTTAGGTACTTAAAGATTTTCATGCCTTAAAATCCCAAATACTCAACTTTTCGCGGCTTCAAATTGCTGTTTTGCTCTGCACCCTCTTCGTCTCTAGGCTACTTTCTCAATTTGACATGCTGTTTCTATTTTTCTCTGACCTCGCCGGTGAGGAAACATAGAGACGCAGACGCCTAAAAACTGTCCAGTCGCGGCAAACGGAATTTAGTAAGGGAAACCCTGCTTGATTTAAAAAGATTGAAAGAAACGAAAAAAAAACACACAGGACACCTTGGCTCAGCGCGACGTCGCTCGGTCACATCCCCGAGACAAACTCCGACGTCACGAAAGTACGGTCGTCGACTTCAGAAACCCGAGCAGTCAGTCGAATCGAAACATTCGCACAACTTTCCTCTTGATTTGCAGCTGTTCCTGAACATTTCTTACAACTCAACACTTTGATGTTTCAGAAAAAGCCCAAAAATAATCAGGTATCACGGTTAACATTTATGCAATCCACTGTATTTTGAAAACCAATCAAAAGTGTTTTAAAAAGCATTTGCTAAGGAATAATTGAACTTCTTCCATTTAAGGGTAGTTCAAGATGTCAAACCTCCGTTTAAAAAAATTGCGAAAAAAAAACTTGTAGCTTTTTTTGTGTCCAAAAGGAAGCCGGTTGACGGGAAACCTCGAATCTAAAAATTTCGAAGGGTTATATACTTTTTCACAGATCACTTTAGCCACTTTCAAACACATAATTAAGGATAGCTCAAAAAACTACATCTAGTGAACCCAAACTCATTTATTAAAATCAATATGAGTTCTATGGTAAAAAAAAAAAGCTTCCACAAGACTGATTTTCGAAAAATCAAAATGAATGATATTTTGAAGATGAAGCAAATGGATCCGATAGAACTTCCTGGTCTCATAAAAATTGGCAATAATCGAGCATCGGAACTTGATTTCGCTAGTCGATCCCTGCCTCCTTTACCGGTACTGAGCCCTTTTTCCATCGAAAAGAAAATATGTTATTCCAGTTGGATGAAGAAAAGGCTTCCGATATGCTGGACATTTCCTCGAACCAAGTCTCCCCTGTGGTTCGAGAGAAGAAGCAAGTTTCCATCGACATGGGCAGGTATTTCGGAGTTCTCACTAAAAAGAGTTACGAAAAGATTCAGCACGTCTCCGACTTCGTTCGTCACGGATTCCGGGATTTCTGAAGACGATTCCGATACGTCTTCCACTCGATCCTCAGCTACAAGCGACGTAAGTTATCTTTGAAAATGAAATTCTCAAAAAATCTCAGAAAAGGACTGATGGGCTATTCCATAAAAAGAAGGAGTAAAATTATTTGGAATGAACTTTGAGTTCAACGTTTTTATGATAAGACGATAATTAAACCAATAATTCATGTGAAATCAATATATCAAAGTCTTTTCTAAACCTTCCTTTTTTTGTGTCAACGCAAAGGTTTTTTTGAAAAAAATTAATTAAAAAAACTGCAAAAAATGGCTCTTTTAATGGTAAGTTTTTTTCGATTTTTTTCCTTAAAAAAATCTTTTTTTAACACCAACGTAATTTTAGTTTTGACAAAAATTTGGTCTTTTTTTCAATTTTTTTGGGACATTTTCGACGAAATATGTTCCAAAGTGTCTAAATAATTTTTTTAAAAAAAGAAATCTGATAAAAAAAGTCTCTGAGTTTGTTTTTTTACACGGTGCGAAATTCCGGAACCTGGTTTTTAATGAGAAAAACAAAATGACTCTCGTGGACTAAAACTCATTTAGTGAGACCACTCCCTTGTAAAACGGCAACTACTAGACTCGTATTTGAAAATAAAAAAGACGATAAAGGTTCACAGACGGTGATGATATTTTATCTCTGACTAGTGAGCGTTCCCAACCTTAAAAATGATCAAGAACACGTTTTGCAGAGCGGCCGGACGATCGGACCGGAGGACGGGAGAACAGAAAACGTCGCCGAAGTGTGGCTCGTCGAAGACGTGACCATCGAGCCCTTGGCCGAGAAAATCGTCGTCGATTCCGAGTGTCAAACTGCCTCGTTACACTCCCCTTGTTAAGTATTGTGCAACCTCCTTATTTACACAAATTTCAAATTACGGTTAATTACGTAGGTACCTGGGGTACTGGTCACCTTCCAGTGGAGCTAAGATAAATTAAAATTTTATATTCCTTCAAAGTAAACCATTGATGCGGCATTCAAATCAGCTTCCAAAAATTTTTCGAAGATGCGTCAAAATACTATTTTTCAAAGTGACAATACGCCATTTCCCGCAAAAAAAATCTGATTTGAATGAAATGAACTACCCCGCAAGGACCTACACGATATTATATGACGGAGCCCAGCCAAAAGTTGGAAAAAGACCAAAAATACTCGAAAAGCCAACTACTTTCTTGCTTTTTCGTTCTCTCATGTATGCCTCCATCCAACTTTGCCTTGATGTTTCTCAAAATTGCCAATATTCATTGCCAATCTGAATTTCTTCAAAACCTGTACCATTTTCTCTCGTGTGAATATTTATGTAAATCTTGACTCATTATTTTCGTTGCAGTTTAATATTTAATAAATATTGCGAATCTTTTCAACTGCAAAAACAATTTATTTATTTATTTATTTATGGAGGTTATCACTCTCAGAAGTGAATTTCTTACATTCGGATCGGCAGAAATTTAATGCCGTGTTCAAAGTAATTCCGCGAAATTCAGAATAGCTGTCAAAGAAAGAGAAAGATAACTAAATTTTGGAGGGTCAGAGACCATTTTGCATTTCGCGGAAATTACTTTGAACACGGCATAAAAAAAAAACAGAAAGTTGTCTTTTTGAAAATCCATGACCTGGCGCCTCACGGTGATGAAAGTGCGCTCCAGCGAGCTATTCTTTTTTTATTTATTTTTTTGAAATACAAAAGCGATCCTGTTAAGCCTGATTGAAAATCCTTGTTGTTCATAAATGAGTCAAGTGGTTTCGAAATAGCATTAAGACGAAAGTGTCCCGTGCTACTTGCGAGACTTTTAACGCCTTCAAACTATACCAAGGATTTTTAACGGGCTGTAAAGTTTCACAATATTTCTTCTGCATTGAATATAACAGGAGCTTTTTGATCAAGGAGTTCTTTCTCATTTTTCATTTTTTCTAGCGTACCAATAACATTATTATTCGCGTAAATGCTCTACTTTCATATGGGAAAAATAACCAACTTTTCTCAGCTCCCTTCTATTTTTATCTCCACTCGATCACTGTTTTTATCGATTTTTTACGCGTTCCCGAGAAAACTCGTTTTCAAGTTCCACCGTTTGGCGTGACAGTAATGAAGCGAGAAAAGTTTTTCTTTTTTATTGAATGCATATTTTCCAGAAGTCACTTCCTATCTAGGCGAAATTGCCGTGAGCAGTTTCCACAATGGATACCCGTCGAGTGCGGCGGGTTCGTGGCGAAGGTCGACGAGAAAGTGCCCGAGTCGCCGAGCAGCAGATCGCCGCTCAAGTTAATACTCCCTCTCAAAGGTGGTTTCAGATGATTTCAATTTTCCATTTGTTTTGAAAAACATCTCTAAACATTAGGGAAAAAATTCATCTGATTAAAAATCTCAGATTTACATAAATGGAATAAAAAGCAAATTTTCAATCACTGTAAAGAAAGTAGCAAGGAAGTAAAAGGCAGAAAATATAAAAAATCGTTTCACATTTTCCTCACTTTCTAACAGCTGACTTTTGAAGGGTACCGCTCAAATGAATGAATTGTCGTGTTTTTGATCTATTTTTACCTCCAGAAATTGATGCCTGGTCTACGAGAATATTTCCAGCCTTTACAATTAATTTTATTCTCAACTCGCTTTTGAATTTACAATTGAAAATCTTTGAGTCGAATGTGATTCTTAAAGAAGTTGTTTTATTGGGGCAGGTTTGAGAATCAAAAAAGTTTTTTTCAAACCGAGACGTGTTTTCATTGAAATTTGTGTACTTTTTGAAGCGTGAATCATCTTGTTAACTTGAGAGATAGGCTTTAAAATTGCAAATAAGTAAAAAATTAAAGAAATCTCTTAGCTCCGGGACATACGGGACAATATTTTCCGGCTGCCTAAAAAAATGCGAGTTCATTGAAGTTCGCAAGCTAGTGAGGTTTAGGAGACGGCGGACAACGAACCATAACGCTTGTGAATTTTAAGGCACCGAACTTCAGGTCCATCTCTTGTACGCTATTTATTCTGTAGAGAAAACAAAGTGGTTTTATTTATTCTTAATATAATTTCCCTATCAAGCCGTGAATCGGCTTCCGATTTTCTTATATAACAATAACAGAAAATTGTTTCAGAGGATCACAGTCAAGAAATTCCCGCGCCCGGGCCCCCAGAAGGCGTCCTGATCGAATTGAAACCCAGGGCTATCCAGAATATCTCCACTACCTGGATTCCGACGACGACGAAGACTACCAGCCTAGCCAGGTTCCATTTAGAAAACTAGAAATCCTGAAAAGGGTTCTGCGAAACTTTTTTGTAACTTTTATCTTTGTTATTTCATCCATTCAGACATCTTTTCTTTCAAGTGTTCCCAAAGATCAGATACTAGATTTGATTTATTTTATTTTTCGTGCAGCTTGTGGAATGGCGAATAAAAATTTGAGAAAATGAAAATCAAGTAATTTTATCTGGTTCCAGGAGGCAGAAAACGCAGCTCGAGTTGAGGCAGAGCGCGAAATTTTGGAAACGAGTGAATCGGATTCAAGCGAAGACACTTCCGGAAGCGAAAACGAGTGGTCAGACCTGGAAGGCGTCATTGGAGGCGGACACAGCGACGGAAACTCGACCATCGATCTCAGCGATCTCGATGACCCTCAGAGAGACGTGAGCCGAAGAAAAGAGAGCCAGAAACCTTTCTGTTCAGTTAGACGACGAAGAAGAAGAGGGGGGCTCTGAAACTGTCGAGGCGTTCGATCCAGAAGTCCAAGAGATCCTCCAGCAACGCTACATTATGGACCTCATTCATGGTCGTGAGGTCTTCATTCGATCTCTCAATAAAGGATATTTTACCATCTTTTTCAGGTTGATGAATATCCTCGCGCCTTGTTGACTTCAAGTTCGGAAAGTGGAACGGTTTAGATCATTTTAAATTAATTCATATATTGATTTTTTGCAGAATGACACTCCCGTTGTAGAAGAAGTTGCTATAGTAGATGGAGAAGCGGACATTCGGGAAGTCACTCCTGAGGTTTTTTCTTTTTTTTTTCTCGAAAAGTCGAGATTTTTATTTTTCGAACGTCCTTCATCCGGCGGACTCTGCACTTCACATGATAAAAAATAATTTATTTTCAAGTTTTTTTAATTTTTTATTAACTTTCTAGGTTTTTTTTTTTCAAATAAGTTTTCATCCCCATTCTCAATTTAAAAAAAATTCTTCTTTTTTTCAACTTTTCTTTTTTGGCTCTTAGTCATATCGCGTTTTTCTTGGCGTTTTCTCATTTTTAAATTTGGAAAAACACTTCAAAACCCATGCGTTTCACAACGTTGTTGGCACAGATTTCTTAAAGAGCCCTAAAAAAAGTTTTTTTTAACTTTGTTTTTATTGGTTTTTTTCTCAGCAAGACGACGAGCGCTCTTTAAATGCTCCAAGCCCCAAGAGATGCCGCCTTGACGAGCCGTCCACCAGGTTTAGAAATCCGCAAATAAATTTTTTCAAGTTAAATGTTTTAGTGCGACGGTTGCGGTCTTGGACGATGATGATGAAAATGGCGACACCAGTTGTAATGTGTGTTATGAGGCGAGTTTTTCCAAGGAAAATAAATTTGTGCAAAACATACTTGTAAGAAAATGGCAACGCTTTCAGAGGTGTTGAAACCATTACAAGCAACAGAAAAAAAGCAAAATTTCTCGCAATAGATCTTGTTTTCGTTTTTTAGAGCTTCAAACTACACAAAATACGCAAATTATGACAAAAAAAAAACGCGAACCCAAGGTTTTGATGCGTAAACCAGATCTATTACGAGAAATTTGTTTTCTTGCCCTGGAATCAGGAGAGAAAAATTCAGCAAAGTTTCATCAAAAGTTCGAAAAACGCTCCCTAGTAAGAAGAAATCCGGCCAAAACCAATAAATGAGCTCAAAAAATAAAATAATATCCAATTTTCAGGATTACACCTCTTCTGGCAACCATCGTTTGGTTTCGCTGAAATGCGGACATTTTTTCGGCAAATCCTGTATTCTTCGCTGGCTTCATACTGAAGGTTTCAGAAATATTTTCATTGAAGATCAATTTTTTTTTTTCCCCAGGCGCTGCCAAAGCTTGTTGTCCGACGTGCAAAGAGAGGTTCAAGCAGAGAGACATGCGCCAACATTTCGCCAAAAGTGTCAAAGTCCTTATTTGAACGTTACGTGATTAACAGTGAAGGAGTTTCCAGGTCATCAACACGGATGAAATCGAAGATTTGCGATCCAAAAACTTGGCTCTTATTGCAAAGTTTGTTTTTTTTTTTCGTGTCTCGAAAAACTTATGCTTTTTGCTCTAAACTATACTGCAAGCTAGCTGGAATTTAAAAAAAGTAAATTTGTCATTTTTTTCAAGTTTTGCGACAATCTTGCGCGGAACGTAGATAAGCGAAGGTAGATGTTCAAAAAGATGCTCTTTGCGAGATTTTTTTCCTCGAAAGTTGAAATCAGCCCACAGAGTTTTTCAAACCTTGGCTTGAGAGTAATTCTCGAAGTATTTATTATATGCTAAAACGTAAAAACTAACAGACTAAGTTTAATCTTGAAGTCTGCTCAAAAATGTTCGTTGGAATGTTCAAAAATTTTCCATTCAGAGAATCGAAGAGTAAAACTGTTCCACTTTTTGAGCTCAAATTAGATATGGTCAGAAATTATTGTATCAGTTTGATGACTAAATGAAAGCGTTTCCCTTGAAAATATTTCAGCAGGTATCCTTCAATTTTTATAAAGTAGCGCTCCTCAAAATGTCTATCAATAAAAAATCCGAAAATCGCCAAAAATTCTCTTTGAAACTTTTTTCCGTTAATCACCGCTGATTAAAGGGATCGCGAGAACACGGCGACCCTGGCGAAGCTGACGCAAGAAGTGAAGATGCTGCGCGGAAGATTGGTCCTGACACGACCTGTCGAGGCGGAGACGTCAGTATCCTCCGCAATCCTCCGAAAATATTCAAGATTCTAGGACGCCTGAAGTCGTCGTCGTCAGCAACATGGGACTTTTCCAAGGCGAAAAGTTCGTTTTCCCTCGTCCGAACAATCTTTCTGCTGGTAGCTCTCCCTTTTTTGATTCTTCTAAGTTTCCGAAATCTCAGAAGCGAGAGCCTTCGTTCTGATGGACAAGGAACTCCTGATCGGAATGAAAGGCAGCACGCAAATGTTCAACAGCTACGGCTTCCGTCAGGTTGCTCTCATTTCGAGAAAGTCACCTCGAAACCTTCTTTCCAGTTGAACACTAATTTCTCATCGACCAACACTTTCTGGCCGATCGCCAACAAGAAAATCCGCTCCATATCCTGCAATCCCGCCAATAAACAATGTTTTGCCGTCGGTATGGTCCATTTCATCGATTGGCTCTTGATTCATAACGATCCAGGAGGAGAGGACAAAATCGCGTGGTGCTATTCGGCCCTCGGACAACTCCATCGGGGCTACAAAATACCCGACACCAGCACGGTCACCACTATCTGCTGGATCAGTCGCGATACGGTAAGATCATTAAAGTTCTATAAAAACCTAGGAGGGAAAAGCTTGTGGGAAATATTTTAAAAACTAGAAACTTTGGGTTTTTGCAGAAATTAACCGAAATTAAAGAGCTTTAAATAGGACCTTTGAAAGGAATTTTTCATGGTATTTTGCTCGTTTTCAAGCCATCTGACGTGTCTGCGCTCTCTTTCATCTCACCCATAGTACAAAGAAATAGGAAAACACAACGTAAACTCAAGAGGACGCAGAAAAACTGGCCATTTTTCAGATTTGATGAATTGGTAAAATCAAAAGGGAAACATGTGTTCGCCATTTTTTTTAAATGAGGAATCGAGAAAGTTTTGATTATGTAAATTTTAGTCTTCATCTTTCTCCCGACATTATGACATATGAAAAAAATTTCGTAGCACGTTCATATGGATTTTTTTTTTTGGTAAACAACTTTCTAGGTTTTTTTGAGTAAATGAAGACTTGAAAGAAATTTGAAACCACGATTTAAATTTTAAAAACAAGTATATACTTGAAGTTCATCGTCGGCACAGTCACTGGCCGCCTTTGGAAATTCGAAAATGTCTGGACGAATCCCAGCGACACGACCAACGTTGACCTCACAAATGGAGCTGGCCGCATGCCAATCATTTTTTGCTCGTTAGTTCCTTTCTTAATGTTCATAATTTCGAATAACTCATAAAAAGTTTCTGAGAGCATGAACTTGTTGACAGGATCGATCTCACGACCCAAGTCTTGGTTTATTCGACCGCCAAGGAACTCGCCGCGTTCCACAATGGCCAGAAGGTCATTCTTTTGACCAGCAATATTGGTGAGTTTTTTTCTAACCGAAAGGTTCGAGAAATAGAAGGAACAGAGCAAAATTAGAATCTTGGAAATTTTTATTTTTATTTTTCTTCGTTTTTCAAAGTGGAATGGGAGCTCAAGTGAAATGATTAATGTCTGATTCATTCACTTCACCTTGGATAGAAGTTTCAAAAATAGCGCAAAAAGACTATTTTAAATTTTCTTGTAGCCCTTGTTGTTTAGATCTAGGTCTGAATGAGATTTTCCAAAGTCCGACAGAATGTTGAGATGATGTTTTTTTAGAAACGGACGACCTCCAGAAGATCGTGACGGTGTGTTTCGACCCAGAAAGTCTCTGTTTGGTGGCTACCGTAGTCCGAAGAGACGGATCCTGGACCAGACGTCTTGTCCGTCTCGCCATCAACGATGAGCTTGTTCGTCCTCATATTTCTCAATTCAATGATAATTTATTTCATTCACTTATTTCAAAAAAAAAAAAAGTTTCAATAGAAAAAAGTTGGAATGGAATTTTTGAATTCAAAAAATATGAGATCATTTTTCGCCATAGGCGTGTTGGGAAAAGCCTGCTGAAATTTTCGCAAAATAACTTGAAATCCATGAAAAAAAAGAAATTTTTCAGCTGAGTGTCCAGGGCTGGTCGGACTGGAAAAGTCAGTTCCCGAAAGTTGACACCATGTACAACGAGGTCGTCTTCAGTGTAAATAAAGGTTTTTATAGAGTTAATATAGATCAATTTCCCCATTTGCAGTGCAATATTCTGTCGTCACGACGGGGATCAGCCAGTTGATGGCTCACGATTGGAGTGGAGTTTGTCCCGATGTCCGTTTCACTTATTTATTTTCCTGTTATATACGAGATCAAGAAAGTTCAATTTCAGCACGCTATTTGTCTTCCCGGAGAGAGCGACCAGACCGTCAAAGTTTCTGGGATGCTGGCTGCCGATGGAGGTCCGAAAGCCACTCGGAAGATCTTTGTCCTCACCGAAAACCGTGTCTATTCCCTTTTCTTCAAACTCGGACCTTGAACACAAAACATTTGTACAAATGACCGCTTGTTGAATTACGGTATCTGTTGAAAAACGTGTAATCTGCACGATGCATTTTAAGCTTCCTATATGTTACTGAGCTCAATATTTTTTGGCATTATTCGAATCTTTACCTTTTTAATCGTATTCCTTCATTATTCATTCCATCGACTCACTGCATTTCTCAACATTATCGTCCTTGATTTCACTCATCAAGCATATTTTATTTTATTGCTTTCAAAAAAGTATCGTCGGCCTATACTTTTTCCTTATTCTTGAAATTTCAATTATGCTTTTTTGTCTTCAAAAGTGAGTTGGAAAAATAAACTTTCAATTACAAAATGACTTTCATATGCTCTGAAATCTTATTTAAGATTGGATTATGATACTTTTTTCCGTCTCAAGAACATTTAAAAGTTCAATTTATAATAGACGCTGATAAAGGAAAAAACATTCTTTTTTCCAATCGCGGCTCCAAATTGAAAAGAAAAGAAAGGTGTATGATGGACCAAATCAATATTCATTATACTTTTGCTTGCTTGTAATATTTTTTTCTTTTATTATTCAAATTCCGTAGAATGGGTTTACTGCATCCTGATGGTGAAAAAATTTTTATAGTTTACTGTAGGGTGCGATTACGCATACACTGCATTGAACACGTGACGCAAAAGAACATGTCCTAAAAATTTGGAAATTTCGCACGAACGAGTCCTTTTTTTGTGTTTTTTTTTCGTGATGTTTATAGCCTTTTATCTTGGTTGGTTAGCTTGAACTTCATGTAGAAGTACTAAATTTATAAGCTTTTCTGAAAATTTTCAAACTTCCCGCAATCCTCGAATTAATTTTATTCATTTTTTTCCTACTTCCACATTTTAATTATGCAATCGAAGGTGTTTCTTCAACTATTTCATGCAATAGCTAAAAACATTCGTTGTTATGAAAAAAACGTTATCAATGCTTCATAACCAAGCATATTTTCCAGGGTAAAACTTTGTCTCTTGACAAAAAGAAGCACAAAAAATGGTGAAAAAACGCAATGAGGGGAAGGTGAGCGCCAAGCTGAAGCAGAAGCCCAACTATGGACCGGTTAAAAATCGTCAAACCTTCCGCGGTTCAAACCACAGTATGAATCCAGGTATACAGATCTTTCTGTTTACATTTTTGCAACGCGTTAGATTTACAGACCGTCAGAAAGATGCGGGTGACAAAAGTCAACGTTCCAAAGCAACAATCAACCGTCTTCGCATGTATAAAAGCTTCAAGGCCATCCGGTTAGATTCTATTCACTTGAAATTGACGAACCGTTGAATTTTGTAGAGATTCGAGCGGAAAAATCGTTAAAGCGGCTCCTTTTCAGTCGTGGCTCAGTGCAGGAACACAAGCTCGCGTGGAACCGAACCGTAAATGGTTCGGTAAGTTATTTTTCTTTCTTTAAAAAGCCCTTAGACTAAGAAATTATTAAAAAACATTTTTTTTCTTCCAGGAAACACCCGTATCATTGGTCAGGAGCAATTGCAAAAGTTCCAGGAAAACTTGGGCAAAGTCATGAAAGATCCTTTCCAAGTAAGATATTGACGCCAAAACGGGAAGAAAAAGCAAATTTTCTTAGGTCGTCATGAAACAAACCAAGTTGCCCATCAGTTTGCTGCAAGAAAAGGCCAAGGTTGGTTCTTTCAAAATGGTCGAAAAATATGATTTTTATTCAGACCCAACGGGTCCACATCACCGAGACAGAAAGCTTTGAGTACACTTTTGGAAAGAAGGCGCTCCGCAAAAAGGCCAAGCTCAGCACGGATAACTTGGAGGTTCCTTGTTTACTAGTTGGAAAGAAAATTGAAATTTTGTTCAGGAACTCGCCAAAGCGGCCGGGGAACGTGAAGATAAGTACGACGCGGCTCGTGATAGAGATTTGCAGGTTTTTATTTTTCAGAATAAAGTCCGAAGTAATCATTCTAAATTCCATTAAAACTTGATTGATTAGCTCCAAGTTTTTGTACAAAAAATGTAAGCTAATTATGAATCGGTAATTTTATTTCAATCCATGTAAGAAGCTTACTTCATTTTTGATTATTTTCAAACTTTCAGAGAGAGATTGACGAACGACCAGAAAACCCAAATCCTTTGTTCCGTGCCGGTCAAAGTAACCGAGTCTGGGGCGAACTTTACAAGGTTATCGATTCCTCTGACGTCATCGTGCAGGTTGTCGACGCACGGGATCCCATGGTTCGTTTTTTTACGGCTCATTGAAAAAAATGATTTCACATACATTTATTCAGTGTTTAAAAAATTAGATCATCAGGTTTTTTTTGTAATGCCGTGTTCAAAGTAATTTCCGCGAAATGCAAAATGGTCTCTGACCCTCCAAAATTTAGATATCTTTCTCTTTCTCTGACGGCTATTTTGAATTTCGCGGAATCACTTTGAACACGGCATAATAGTTATAGTCGAGTTTTAAGTTTTCAATGATCAGCTACTTCTCTCATGTAGAAACAGTTCGGGTTCCACAAAAGTCAATAAAGTTTGGAACCATCGGATAAAACGAAAATTGTTCCGAGAATTGCTCCCAAAACCTTTTTTCGAAACAACTTTTGGACGCCGATAAACGCTTTTTTTTATTTCTCTAAGAAATTTTCTACGGAGATGACAGGGAAAGTCAATTCCTGTACTTATTCGGAATAAATGAATCATGAATTTTAAGTTCGAAAGAAAATATTGATTCAAGCATTACGTTTAGCAAGGCTTATCATAGAGATCTTGCTTTTATCATATTTTGAAAACGGTAAAGCTAAACAAATTTTTTAAATTCGATTTAACCGGTTTTTTCCCAGGGAACTCGCTGTCGCCACGTGGAAGAGTTTTTGCGCAGAGAAAGGCCTCACAAGCATTTGGTGACCGTCATCAACAAGGTCGACCTCGTGCCAACTTGGGTCACGGTGAGAATTCCCTCATATTATCAGCCTAACACATTTTGCTTTCATTGTGAATTGAGGAGTTTTCAGCGAAAATGGATAGGAGAACTGTCGAAAGAAATGCCGACGATCGCGTTCCACGCCTCGATCCAACATTCCTACGGCAAAGGGGCCGTCATCAACCTCCTCAGACAGTTCGCCAAACTTCATCCCGACCGTCAACAGGTCCTTCGGAGCTTTTTGAGAGTCTTGGTTGATTGTCGACTCTCAGATCAGCGTCGGCTTCATCGGATATCCAAATGTGGGCAAATCTTCGCTGGTCAACACGTTGCGCAAGAAGAAAGTCTGCAAAACGGCACCCATTGCCGGTGAAACTAAGGTTATTTTGTCCTTTTTTTGAAGAGATTTCCATTCAGAAGGTTTGAAATTGAATTTTCCATCATTGAAAGAATTTCTCTGATCTTTTTGCAAGAAAATTGAGGAAGAAATTTCTAAAGCTGTCACTTGATAATTTTTCGACATGATTTTTTCGATTTTCAAGACACTCTAACGCGCTGAAATTTAAAGGAAATAGCTCTTGAAATTTCATCATTTTTTTAAACTTTGCGTCTAGTTTTTTTTTCTTGAAAGCTGAGATGTGTAGATTGGCGAGGATGACTCCAATTTTGTCTTTTCTTTTTTTCGATTTTTTTTTATTCTTAATGGTTTAGTTGAACAAATGGTAGTATGAAAAATAATCGAAAACGGATTTTTTTTTTACTTTTTTTCATTTTTTTTATGTGTTCGACCTTTTCCCGCCATAATGCCGCGTCGCGTGCGCAATGCTTCACCCTTGCCAATCTACCTATTTTTCCTTTCAAGTCGGCAAAAAATGGCTGTACATTTTTGTATCTAGTAGCTACGATATTTTAAGCAATCTTTGAAGCTTTAACATGAACCAAAACGCGTTGAGCCATTCCAATTGCGACCGGAAGGTTGAAGTTGGGAGGAACATATCTGACAGAATGATAGTTTTTACCAACTAAAAGTTTTCTCATTAGATTTCTCCGACTAATTACAGGTGTGGCAATACGTGATGTTGATGCGCCGCATCTACCTTATCGATTGTCCCGGCGTCGTCTACCCACAAGGAGACACGGAGACTCAGATCATCCTCAAGGGCGTCGTCAGTCTTTTCCTTCCTCATTCCCACCTCTTATACAGATGAATAGGTTCTAACATAGATGTTCAGGTGAGAGTCGAGAACGTGAAAGACCCCGAAAACCACGTGCAAGGCGTCTTGGACCGGGTCAAGGTGGAGCATCTCCGACGTCATTACGGCATCGGCGAATGGGAAGATGTCGAGGATTTCATGACCAAAGTCGCCTTCAAGCAGGGACGTCTTCTCAAGGTATCTCAAGAAGTCTTTGCTTCTGAATGAAGAGATCTCAATATAGATTTTCTTTCGAATAAAGAGGAATAATCTAAGAAAGTTTTTTACACACGATAATTCAATGCATTTTCCTTGAAACTTTCCAACTTTAAAACTGTAACTAGTAGGGAATTTTTTAGAAAAGCATAAAAAATTTAGGAATGTGCGTTTGGAGTTGAAATGAAATTTTTGTTTCAATTTCTTGCTTTCTTCATGAACCTTTTCAAAGTACTTGCCCTAGTGTAAAAATAGATAGTAAAATTTCCCCTCCTTTCAATATATTTCTTGTTGTTCTTTTTTTAACCTCAATTTTTTTAATGTTTTTCATCTCTGCGATTTGATTAAAGACAAAGGTATGGAAAAGAAGAAGAACCGCTTTCCATTTAAAAAAAAAAATTAAAATGAACACAGATTTTTTTCTTAACCCCAAACATCAAACTCCCAGGGAGGCGAACCAGACATTAGCACAGTGGCGAAAGCTATCCTCAACGACTTCCAAAGAGGTCGACTACCGTATTTCGTGCCTCCCAAGGGATGTGAAGAACGGGCCAAGACCGATTACAACGAGGTTCTCGACAAAAAGAATACATATAACCTTTCTCATGGTTTCAAGGCGCCAATCAACGAAACGACGGCAGACGAAGAGGAGAAACAAGAGACGATGAGTGAGAAGGCTGACCAGCCGGAATCCGACCAGGAGCTGGACGAAGAAGAGGAGGAGAAGAAGGAGGATGTGGTGAGCAATGTCAAAAATGAAAAAGTAAATAGAACACGTGAAAGATTAGAGAAAGTAAAGAGTCTGAATTTTTCTGATTTGAATGGTTACGGTATGAGGAGCTTCAGTCAAGGATTTATTAACCGTCTCGACTGTTCTCATGCTCCGCCGTCGTCTCTCCCATCAGACGACGACTTGCCGAGCCGAACCCGAGATCCACACCTACAAAACTAATATAATAAAGACTTTAATGTCACTCCGTCCCGTCTTTACACGCACACAGAAACATATATAAAAGTCTCATCCTGGCCACTTTTATATATGTTTCTGTGTCCGTGTAAAGATCGAGCTCGGCAGAAGTCGGGTTTAGCTTGGCTAGTCGTCGTCTGATGGAAGCGGCGACGGTGGAACAGGAGCTGAGTCGAGTTTGTAGTCTGAGGAATTCAGACTCTTTTATACTCTTTACTTGGTCTAATCTTTCACGTGATCTATTTACATACTCAATATTTTTGTTTCTGGCGAATAAGGACATTTTCCCAGTTCAGAGGAAGTTTTGTCGCATTGAAACACCGTTAAATCACGAGGAACAACTAAAAATGCAAAGAAAAAGTATTCGTTTCACAATAAATTTTATGCGATCCCTCTGTAAGAAGAAAAAAAAGAGCAAAAAAATCAAAAAGTTTTTTTTGTCAATTTTTGCACTGTTGGTTCTACCTACAAAACAAACCATGGTATTTTTTTTACCGTGATTTTAAAAAAAGTCGTGGTTTTTCCGAGTTTATTCATTTTTTTCACAGTTTAGCAAGAAATCAAGTGTTATTTTTTTTTTTGAAAAAAAAACCTAGTTTATTTAGATTATCCAGATATGTTTCTTGATTTTAGTAGTTTCTTGAACATGAAGTTTCAAAATTGTATTGAAAATTCGTGGGCAATCTGATATGAAAACCGAAAAATTGTAGGAAGACGAAGAAGAGATGACGGACATCGGCTCGACTTGCAGTGGCTTGACGGATTTGTCTGGCGTCAGCGATTTGGAAGAGGACCTCGCGGCGATGGAAGAAGTCGACATGGAAGAGGTTCGTTGTTCAATTCATTCCCATAACCCATTAGAAACTGCTTCATAAAACAGACCGAGAGAAAATTATTTTTACAACCATCTGATAATAGCAGTATTATTGATTCATTTCACACAGGTTTACGAAAATGAGAAGCTCGACGGGATGTTATATAACATTATCGCGATGAAGTTTCATAAATTTCAATGGGTTCTATCGTGGCTAGAATTTTTTTTTTGCTCTAACACACTCGAAGAGCTAAAAAAAGAAAAAATTCACAAAAATTCATTTTTCTGATACAGTATCAACAAGTTGAACATCAAAGAAACAATTATGAGATCGATCGGAACAGAGTGGAATCTAACGCGAAACCTCTCAATTAATGAAGTTCTATCACCTGTCACTTTCGATTCAGTTTTTGCGGTCAAAAACCGTCAAGAAACTATGAGCTCTACAGGAACCGAGCTCGTCGAAAGCAACTGAAAAAGATAAGAAAAAGAAAGGAGAAGGTCTGGCGAACAGAGGACGCGGAAAACGTGCGGGAAAGAAGCTCAACAAAAGGAAATTGGCCGGAAAATCCATCGTGCAGGCGTCGGCCGAAGGGAATTCGAAGGCTCGGGTTTGTTTTTGAAAAAAGTTATTTTTTATCCAAAAAACATAAAGTTATCACTTACGAGCTTCTGCCTTATCATGTTAACGGCAATTTACTGAGAACAGTTGAAAATTCAGAGGAACCCATTTAAAAAAGTTAGCAAATAGTTGATAGTTTTTTTTCTATATAGAATTAAAAATCGATAATGTTTAGTATGATGATCAAAAACGTTATCAGAAAAGAACTGTTTCAAAAAAGTTTATACGGATGCTAAAAAAAAAAGAAAAAAAGCTCCGCGACCATTATTTCTATGCCTGATATCGTATACAATATATATAAATGATATTTTCAGGGATTTATTTTTTTTCAATTTTTTTAAAAAAACAGCAGAAAAATTATTTAGATTTTTAATCAGTTTGCCTGCCTCAGAATCTTTAGATTTAGAATTTCTTTTATCGATATTTTTTAAAATTGATAGCAATGAAGAATTGAGCAAAAATTTTTGCAATTTCCCGAATTTCTACCACATTTTTTCCGATTTTCATTCTCGAAAGTTTCATTTTCCCCAAATAAAATAATTTTGAAGGGAGTCGTCGAGTTCTCCAAATCGGACCCCGCCAAGAAGAGCAACATGTGGAGGAAGAAGCTGGAGAAGCGCCACAAAAAGAAACATCAGCAATAAAATCCCAATCTTCAATTTTCTTTGTTCACTTGTTATCTTTTTTCAACACCTAATTCGATTATTGCTCCAATTTTTTGACAAAACATTTTTATTGAACGATATTAATCCAGTTGTTAATTTTTGTTGACCAGTTGATGTAAAGAAATACGATAATAGTCCCTTGTTTGTTGCTTCTTTTTGTTTTGGTTGCCCATGGATTTTTTCCATCTTGTTGTTTTATTGAAATAAATTTTTTTAAAAAGAAAACAAAGTCTTGGAAAATGGGTTTTGTAGCCACGTATGAATACCTGGAACATGGAGAATGTTTTCGCACCTCGTTTTTGTGCAAGGGTACAGTATTCGGCGTGCTTTTTTTTTTAAATGTACTCTATTATTCGTTTTTTTCGATTTCATTGATTTTGGATCTTTGATTTTTCGAGGCGTTAAGTTTTATATCGTTAGTTCATCAGTTTAAAATTCTCAATATGAATATATTTTTTCATATTTTCTTGTATTATTTCCAATTTTCTATTCTAAAATCGCTGGAAAAGGGTTCCAACTGTGCAGAAAAAACTGTTCTCACAGTTCCCACGATTTGCATAATTTATGCGTCTCAAAAACCATTTTCGTTTTGATTCAATTGTGGGAATTCCCATAACAAAAATAATTGATTCAAAAGAAAGATTTCAGTCAAAATTACGGCGAAACACCCCAACATGGACGACGCGTCAACCGCGTGCGAAGGTACCCTCTAAAAACAACTATAAATAATCGATGGATTTATAGATTTGAAATTCTTCGAGAAACGGCTCACCGAGGTGATAACGTACATGGAACCCCGCTGTGTCCGTTGGAGAAGTCAGTTTTTACTTTTAAATGATTTTTTTACCGTTTCTGAACCGCGGTAGGACGTTTTTTTTTTTCAATTTTTTTCCGCTGGCTCGATTCACATATATGGAAATTGTAGTTTTTAGAGAATGCGACAATTTTTTTTTCCGGAAAATTGCTAAAAACCCTTCAGTGGCTCCTTTCATGAATTTCACATTTTAAGATCAGAAAAGGTTAAAAAAAAAGATGCGCGATGTGTGAGAAGTCAACAAAAAAACAGTAAATGGAAAAAAAATTCTCCAAAAATTAAGGTATCGAAAAACTGCGTTATTATTTTTCGGCGTACCACGATTCATCTTGCGTGTAGCAAATTAATTTGTGGCTTGAGCTATCGAAAAAAAAGGTCCTGACATGATTATGAGATATATAGTACTTAGTAGATTCACATGCAGAGGAATCAAAAACGAGAAACCTAACCAATAAGTTTTCGTGTTCAACCATACCAATCTACTTTATCAACGAGTTAGGCGCCAAAAAAAACGCGTGGAAGATAATCGAAATATCTAAAGTCAGTCGCAATTCAAGAGATTAGCTCTCAATCAATATGTACCCACCACAACAACTTTCCAAGGCTCAACCTAATAACATTGCAATGAGGAACATTTTTCGGAGAACGATGAGATTGAAATTAGTGAAGCAAACATGATGAATATCACGTTCTGTTGTAGTATTACTCTTAGTGGTTCTTCTCGCCGTCACGATCAGTTTCGTCTTCACGGCGTTCGGCTGGGTCAGCGACTCGAGTCTCAGTTCGGTTGGTTTTCTTTTCATTTCGAAGTGATATGGAAATATCAGACACCTTGATATTTAAGACTGCGTTGTATGACATAATAAGCCCCTTTTTTCAATAAAAGTTGCCATCCCGTTCCTCATTTTTTTTCGCTTTCTGTCTTTACCAGGGAACGTTTTTCAAGAAAAAAAATTTCTCGCATTAGATCTTGTATCCGAGTTATAGATCTTAAAAGTGTGCAATTACGCAAATTAGGCCAAAAAAGCGCTATTTCGGGCTTGTGAAGTGCCCTAACTGGAAAACGAGATCTATTGAGAAAAATTTTCTTTCTTTTCTGGAATCAGGGGGTCCTAAAGTACACTTTAGCAAAGTCCCAGCAAAAGTTTAACCGCGGGATGAAACGTTCCCTAGTTAGGAAAAGAAACATATTTATTTTACTTTACTTCCCGAAAAACTCCGCTCACCTTTTCAATATTTTTTTCTTGTTTCTACTTTATTTTTTTCTGAATTTTCTCTAACAATAAATAAAAAAATTTTTAGCTTTTTCAAAAACGCCAAAAACTTCATCATTTTTTTCAAAAAAATACAAATTCGAGAATTCATTACACGACTGAAAAGTCAAATCGCAGAAAATGTTTCAAAACTGTGAAAATTTTTGTTTCGGAGCAATTTTCTTGCGTTTCGGAACAAGTTTCGTTTTTCCCGATGGACATATCATTAAAATCATCGTTTTTAAACGAGAAAAAACGGTTTCGAAGTTTAAGATGACGTTGTACGACTCGTTGATGTTGCATCCGTTGTTCAGCGTCAGTTTTCCGGTGTTGATCATCCTGTTCACCGTGTTCGGCATACACCAACGTATTCTGGGCCCCTACATGTAAGTTTCGGCACTTTTTCTTCTCGTTTGTGGTTTTTGCATGCAAAATGGGTTCATTTATTTTTTTCGTTCTCTATTTCTCTTTTTAAAAACTTCGAACTCAATTATGAATCATAAACCGTGGTTTATAACTTTTTGAAAAATTATTATTAGGTTTTTTTATGATTTTCCACCTATTTCTTCCATGTGAGTTTCATTTTTGCAGTTTTTTTTAAAATTTTTATAGCTTCCTTGAAAGATTATTATTTTTGAAAAACCTTCCTGCGTAGTGTTCTTATGTAATGTATGAGTGTTTTTGCTCATTAAGTTAGCTTTCACTGAGATTTTCGGCTTTTCTGAATTTTTAGTTCTGATACTCAGATGAAAAAAGTTATTTTTATCACGCTTTTTATGAATAGAACCATCGTTGAGTTATTTCTCAATATTTTGTTTTTGTCCACTTGGCTTCAGGCTCTCAATACATTTTTGGATATAAATGGTTGTTAATTAAGTTGGAAACCCAGAAAAGGATTGGGAAGTAACGAGGGAATGTGTGTTTGGCGGTCCTCCTTCCGCTTCCGTTTCGACGCCTGTTTGCTCTTTCTCGTTGCAACCGATGCTTTTTCGTCCTTACTCAGCCCTTCATTCCGCTCAAACATGTTTCGAATCGAAGCTACTTGTTCGGCTGCTTTTTAATCTCATTTACGAAGTTTTTCCCACATTTTTTTACCATTTGATGCTTGATGAATCCCATGAACTTCTCCATTATAATTTGAGAACAAGATGAAAACTGATTCGTCATCTATTTCTGTTTGTCTTGCGATTTATACTACAAAATCGAAAAAAAAAAACGAGTCTAGAAAGGGTAGTGCGAAGCCATACATAAGATATTGGCTGCCGAAGCTCTTGATGTCCTGCAATAGACATGAAAAATAGCGAAAGTGCTTGTTATTTCTTATTTTTTAGAGTTTGAAGAGAATTTTTTTATGAAGTGTGCGACGCAATAACAACTTCAATTTTTCCCGTTTTTAATTGTTTTGAGAACCGCTTAAGCGGAAAAAAAAAATCTAGTTTCAGCCTGCCTCCATTCTTTATCACGAAAATGTTTTATATCCAGTTCATCTCGTTTTAAATCACAAAAATCTCAGCCGGAATCGAGAAGCAGAAAACTTTGAAGCGGTCTTTAAAAAAGTAATTAGATTTGGCTAGAAATGTTCGTGTCTTTTTTTTCGCCTAAAAGACTTTTCTGGCACTTTTCTCTGCGACCAAATTCCTAATGCTTTTCCTTTTCCTGCCGCCAGTGCTCCTCTAGATTTTGGCCTTCTTCCAAGTCGAGAACTCCAACAAATGAGAAGCGTTATCCGAAGAAATGTCCTTTTATGGCTTCTCATGCTGCATCTTATTATTGCTTTTTTGCGCTTTTCTAAAGTTTTCAGTAACTTTTTTTCAAGCTCTTGGTTTACTTCATTCAAACTTTAATGTCTTTAATGGTTCCTAAGTTGTTAAAACTGCATTCCCGATTTCAAGTTAGAGGATAAGTGTTTTATAAAAAAGACGGGTTTTTTTTCTGCATTTCAAAGGCTAGAAATCGAGAACAGACAAGTCAAAAAATTTCTTTTTTTCTTTTTTGCAGATTTTGTGCGTAATATTTTAAGCTTCAAAAAATACTAGAACTGTTGATTTACTTGATAGAGCTTCTTTTTATTCATTTCCAAAGCGTTTATTTCCTTCAATAAATTCGATTCTTCCATCCGAAAATCTCGCGTAATGAGATTTTCTGAGATGTGTACTACAATGGATCATCAATCACCAGTGGAAATTCGTTCACAATGAGTCCTTTCTTTCTCTAATTCTCTCATTTTACACACCTTATCAGCCGGATTACTCATTTGTCTGGTTTGTAGCCTCGAATCGGGAAAATTCCAGAATCGCCCCCCACACTGTTTTTTTGCCCCCCGCGTTCCAACAAGCCCCCCCACCAAGCCAAGTTCCGATCTGTGGGGGGTAAAATAGGAGGACTTCATGTGGGGGAAGAATCGAACGCGGGGGGGGTGAATATGTATTCTAGAATGGCCCCCCACAGTACAAAAACGGGGGCGATTCTGAAATGCCTAGGCAATCTTTCATATTTGCCCCCGCACGGCTTTGAAATAGTCCCCCAGAGCTCATTCGAACAAGCCCCCTCCCATTTCAGAATGACCCCCTCTCATTTCAGAATGGCCCCCTCCATTTCAGAATGGCCCCCTCCCATTTCAGAATGGCCCCCTCTATTTCAGAATGGCCCCCTCTATGTCAAGTATTTTTATTTATTTGACGAATTGTTCACTGTGGCTCAGTTTTTTTCGAAGCGAGCCACAGTCGGCTTCGCGCTATGCGCGCTCCGCCTCCGTGTGAAGCCTTAAAACTAAGCCTATTTTCCTAAGTAATTTATTAATTAATGTGCATGAAAAAGAAAAAAAGCAAAAAAATTCTATTCCTCAGAACAATTACTTGATTGAAAAACTAATAAAGTTCATCTTAAATTTTTTTCTAAGTGGTCAGCGCCCCATAATTTTATGATATTCGTACGTATCTCGGCGAGACGTACCCGTAAACTTCTTTGTCTGACTTGAACTTCTCATGAAACTCGGACAGCGACCTAATTTCTTCCATGATCTACCAATCAAATCACAAAAAAATTATTAAATTCACAAAAAGAACACGAATTTACATGCGAAAAATACAAAAAAACCATTTGAAACAACCAAGAACGACGAATGATACGAAAAAAATTAGAAAAATAAATTTAAAAAAATGGAAGCTCTGACACGTGTCCTACGTGATCGTTGCGTGACTTTTTTTCGGTGTGGGGGGTTATACTGGATAGTTCCGGGGGGCTATATTGGATAAGTGTGGGGGGGCTTGTTCGAACGTGTCGCGGGGGGTGATATCCAACATATGCGGGGGGCTATACTGTAATATGCCCCTCGAATCTACTCTCGCGCTTTGCAGGAGTATAATAATTCACAACGGATATTTTATTCGTATAGTTCAAATGACTAGACAGATAGTTCAATTTCTCTATTAAACTTTGGGTTTTTCTTCTTCAGTCGAAGATATCATTTCCAGATGAACTAATTTCCCCCTTTTCGGTCTTATATTAGTAAGATAAATCTATCACATTCATTTATGATCACAGCTTGATTTTTAATAAAGTCGAAAAAAGTAATAAATAAAAAAAAGAAACAAGGGCGAAAATTTAAAAAATTTTAATGCACCACAAAAGGAGAACAGAAAAAATTATTATACCCATTTTTATAACTTTTCGGATCGACTTTTTTTTTCTGTATTTCAAAGTCCAAAAACCTCTCAACTTAACTATCTAAGAAAGGGAGACTTCTATTCACTGTAATATCACAAATATTGTTTGACTTTTTCCCTTGAACAACTGGATTATCGTTCCGATGATCCGCCATGTGGTCCACGAGGAACCACAATTTAGTCGACCACAGATTATTTCGAGAGAAAACAAGAATACGTCATGAGAGCATCTTCTCTCTGTTAACTTCCCCTTGTTTCGTTGTTGATTTTCAAGAAAAAATTCTCCTAAAACCAGAAAAATCAGAGGCGTTTGCTAACCTCTGAGTCAGCACGAATCGCAGGTGTTTAATTCAAATTAATCGAACTTTTCTTCGTCGAAGTTTGCTCCGTTATGTCCTTTTCTCTTTCAGTTTCAACTTATCGGTTGACTTGGCCCATTTAACCAACTATACTATTAGGCGTGACAAATTGGAGAAGAGCTTCCTGCTTTTTCTTTCCCAAAGGCATTGGCCTGCGTGTTTTGGCGATTCTTTTCTCTTTCTCTCTTTTTCTCTCTGTGGACATTCTTTCGTTCAGTGCCAAAATGAACGGCGAAACCAAGTTTTGACGCGATTTCCAACGACGGAGATTTCGCATGAGATCCTTCTCCTGATTTGGCATTTTCGGAGTTTCTCTTTGTTTCAAAATTTCCTCCAAAAATCCTTTTTTCGTCCGTATTTGTTTGAATCATCTTACTTGGGCTAATCTTATGGATTATGGCTTAGAGCGTAAACTAGTCCTTTTTTGTTTACGATTTTTGAATGGACCTGAAAAGTCTGTTTATATTTTGTTGTGTTTGTTTAGGATACTTTATTTATTTTTGTTATCGATTCCAAAAGATTCGATTGTAAGTTTATATGAAGAATGAAGCTTACGAGGTCTGTTTCAAATGTTTTCCCTCTAAAAGTTGATGTCAAAGTTTGAAGTCTCACGAATATTTAATAGTCCAAGCGTCGATCGATTGAACGTTGGCCGAATAGAATGGGACTGTTTGCGGAAGTTTTCCTCTTTCGCCACATGGTTTTTTCCATTTTTCGCGTTTTTCGGCTCCATTACTCGAAAAATTGAAAAATGATATTTTTTGCATCTGCAGTGGTGTGTGATGGGAATATTAATCTACGTAATTTTCGAAATTTTCATGTCTTTTTTATACGTTTCTCGATAAGCCTTTTGCCTCCAAAATGCCACGATATTTAGGAATCACCATTCTCTTCTGTAGGAAAAACCTTCGAAGCCCTTCTTGATGAATCATAATGCATGACGGCTCCTGAGTTTCCCATTTTACGAATTTCGCCTCTGTTTTTTGAAAATATATGAATTTATTCCAGCATAGCGAACCGATGTCGCGCCGCCTTGTCGCCGTTCAGTCTCAGCTGTGACGACGTACGTTTCTTCTTTTCAAATTATTATTAGAAGTTGTCATTTGTCTTGAAAATACGGAAAATTTATCAATAACCTTGCTGAGAATGTTTTTACAGAACGGGAAGTTGATAGTGCGCCCTGCTGTGAAACTACCTGCACCCTAACCTTCTTCCCGTTATCAGCCTCTCTTTTCTCCATGTAGCTCGCTGTTTTTATACTTTCTAATGAGGAATCACCCTCCGTATCAATTCATGTAAAAAGAATTTCGCTCTACGGGTTCTTCTACGTTTTTCCTCTCTGTAAATGTTAATAATAACTCATATCTTAGCTCATTCAATTTTTTTTTTCGTTTTCTGTGATCCCAGAAAGTATATCTAGCGCAAATTTGAATAGAGAATCGAGACTGAGTGTAAATTAAAGAGCATCTGGGTATTTCCTTGTTTCGCACACTATTTCTCTTTTTATTTTGTTTCGAAAACGTATTTATGCGTTTTAGCGGTATTCCTCCCAACTATCTGGATATTCAGAACCGCATTATTTCTCATTCAGCGTTTTTGTTGTTCGTCAGATTTAAGGAATGCCTTTTTCAATCCTTCTTTTTCATTTCGAGTTATATACAACGTTACTTGTAGTGACATTTGTGTTTTTTGTCCGATAAATTTAATTTATTTGATTTTTCCTCTCAATTTTTTGTATAACTGTCGCTGCTGAAACTATGCAGCCCACACGTTTCTACTGCAGAACGTGCTATCTTCAATCGCAGTATTTTGTGAATTCGCTCTTTTTTTCCTTCCAGAACTCACGAAGGACCTCGCGGTTCTATTGAATTTCGACTTTCAACTTCACAGTTCAACCTGGACTATTTACATTCGGATCCGGTTGGTTTTCTTTCACTTTTACTCCGAAAAAAACTTTTTCGAGATTTCATAGGTCCATTGCGTGAATAACACCTTGTTCTGGTTGTATTTTTCTTTTTCCCTTTTTGAAAATTTTCTCTCAAAAGGTAATCCATTTCCTGGTCTTTCATCTGTGGTTATATCTTTTTTGCGAAAAACAACGTGATTCCATCGAATTTATCATTGAAAGTTCGATTCATATCGTCTGTCTGAAACGTAACTATAAATGGTCCGATCCTTATCGGTTTGAAGTCTTTTCTGGGAAGTTTTTCATTATCTGCCAATCATTTTGCACATACTTATGACTGGTTTTTAAGATTCTTAGGCAAGCCTGACTGTGAGTACTGAGAAAAGGCTTATATCTTATATCGCACATCAGTTTGGCCCGTCCGATTTGGCACACTGTAGTTTTAATTTGTGCATACACCGAGCGCTGTTTTTTCATTAATAACCAGTTTTTTGTACGAAAAAGTGAGCAAGTTTGAAGAAAAGCACAATTAGAACAATCAAAGATAAAAAAATTTAACTATTAAGTTATTGGAAACGTTAACAAGTCTAAGAAAACGGCCTAACTTGAGAAAACCGTCTTTAATGAGTAAACATCGTATTTTCTGTAATTTTTCATCTTTTTAGTAACGAAAACATCCGTGCTCAATTTATTAAATAAAAAAATAATCAAGAATGGTCTAGTATGGCCAGCAGAGACGTAGCAGTGAAAACCGGACGGGTCCCTGTAGGTCTGAGCTGGGTAATTAAAAGTCTCAGGAAAAATTGCATTTCTCTTATTATTATTTTTTTTTTCTGATGAAAAAGTTTTGAAACAATCGTAATCTGATAGAGGAGAGAAGATCTTATAAAAAGCTATTTCGAGCGAGTTTCTTGTATGGTGCAGTATTTTAAAATTTCGTTAGAGTTTATAAAGGAGCAAAGACAGAATAATAATATCTCGAAGGGGAATTCCCTTTTTCAGAAATACTTATCCAATGCCATACTTCTGCAGATTACAAAAAAAAAAAACAAAACTTTTTGAATGTCTGTTAGGCGATTTCATTAACCGAAAGCCTGAAACCTCAAAATTGGAAATGGAAAAAAAAAATGAAAAAAGATCTGTTCATCTCGCAGCTCGAAACAGAGAGAGAATTTGCTATTTGTGTGGCAGCCGTCGATTTCTCAACTTGAAAAGAAAAATGCGATCGAGGAGCTCTCAAAGCTTTCAAAAACCGATAAGAGTTGTACGTAATCGCTAAAAGTTCATTTTTGGCGTTTCCTCATTCGATTTATCTGTTTATTCGAGCATTTTCTGATTCATTTCCCCCTCAAGTGTCTGGTTTCGCTTATATTCGTTGCTGACCTCTCAACCGTTTCCCTATCGATTCCTACCGAAAAAATGCTTTCTGAGGTTCGTTTTGTTAGAAAAATGTTGTATTAGACTCATAGAACTTTTCAAATTACTTTCTGTGCTAATCATTACCTCGAAAATTCAGGTAAAATATATCCAATTTGAGAACCACCATTTGAAAGAAATGTAAAATGTTTTTTTCTTCTAAAAGAATTTCTCCGCAGATGTTTTAAAAACGATTTTTTGGTAAGATTGTGAAATTTTATTGCGATTTTCATACGATTTGCCGGCGCACACACTATGAAATTTTTTTCTTCTTGTCGAAATTTATTCCTTTTTTTCTTTTTGAAAAAAACTTTCCTACCAAAAATTTTTCATGAGAAAAAAACATTCGGACTGAATAAAAAGCTAAACTATTTGAAGCCTTCCAATCTCGAAGAATCGCTCGGAGACACGCAGAGTCTTCTCCAGACCGCGAGCTCAACCGCCGGCACCACCGCGGCCGTCGCCGCGACTTCGGCTTTCCAAGTCAGTAGAATATTTGACTGACCTTTTATCACTCACATTCATTTGCATTTTTTAAAACTTTTGGTGTTTCAAAGGTGGCAATGTCTTGCATGAAACAGAATTACACTGAGAACGGCTTTTCGTCTGAAAAAAAAAAACGTTTTCATGCTTCTTCGAACACCGAAGCAAATTTTTTGATGAGAGTTCTCCTTGTTATCAAGCTTAGTACGAAACTACCAAAAAGAAATGTGAATAAGGAAAAAAAAAGAGTCGATAGCTGAACTATTCACATGAAAGTCTATTGAACAGATAAGTATACTTGAACGGGTTGATGGGCAAACGGTTTAAAAATGAGAAAAATTTTTTTCCCATACAAAAAAATTTTTTTCAAAAAAATAGAGCATGAATTCAAAAAAAAAAAAAACAAGGGAAACAAAGTTTTTGGAAAAGATTCATTTACGCATAACGTTGTTCCAGTGGACGGGGGGAATTTGACCTCTGTTTGCCCCAATTTTTGCGTATCCTCGAAAAACAACCGTTTCCCCCAACTTTCTTGCATTTCTTGGGATTTCTCACTTCAAGATGACTGTACTCGACTTATTTGGGGTTAGTTTTGTTTAATAGACTCTGAAAACGTGGAAAGTGACAGACATTTCCTCAAAAAACTGATTTCGGAAAATCATTTATTTTACTTTTACTCACGAAATTTCATTACCAATGAATTATTTGAGATTGGAAAGCTAATATAGTATGTAAAATTATGCGAGGAATTTGAGAAAAAAAAAACATTTTCCAATGAATTTTTTCAATTTTAAAGGGAATGAAATTAATTCAGACGTCAGATATAAAAGATAAAAAGTTCAGTCGACGAATACAACCGATATGATGTTGTTGGTGGAGCCAGAAGGATTGGCGTTGATTCCGTGGAATAAAATGGGCGGCTACATCGCACAGGGCGCAGTCTACTTCTTCAAACTGTTCATCATCAGTCAGTTATTTGAAGAGTTTTTAACAAATGGGGCTTTCTGGAAGAAATAATTAGAACGTGTGAGGTGAATCTCGAACGAACGATAAAAGCGATAGAGGGCGCCACGCGTCCAACAAAATAACATGGCGGCAAAATTTCAACATCTTTTCGCCTCTTTTCTCTCGTCTGCAAACTTCCGCGCGCACTGTTTTGTTGCACAATTCTCTTCAGGACTGTTTGTCTATGCAACATTTTCTTCGTTTTGCACTTCTCAAACCTCCATTTTTGAATTTAAAAGCCAAAAATACAATGGAACACATTTTTATGCAAAATTTTCACCCCGAATTTCGCTGTTTACTTTGCGATTGGCTTTGATTTAAATTGATGAAGTTTTTCCCGTATTCTTCCTCTTTATTTTTTATAAAAAAGCTAGTTTTGCATACATCATGGTAAAACAAACGGAAAAATAGAAAGATTGTCAAAAAATACCTTCGAACGTGTTTTCGTGCGGGATTTTGTAATTAAACTCATTTCTTTTCAATCGAGTCTTTTGAAGATACATATTGTTCAAAATTTTATCTGGTTTTGGTCTTTCTGTCATTTGTTTCGATAACTTCAACGTTTTTTTTTTGAGATCGGTTGGTTTGATTTTTTTTTGAATTTTCCCTGTTCTTTGTTTTTTTCTTACATCTAATACATTTCAAATCAACCTGCTTATTTTGGCTCGTTTCGCAAAATTGTTTAAGGTCAACATTTCGGGTTACTTCCTATTCGCCGACTTTTTCCACAAAGGGAACCCATATTTATTGGAATTATTGAGAAAAGAAAGCGTCGCAGAAATGTTGATGAACATTGTGGTGGTATTTGTTGTTTGTGAGTTTGAGAATTGTTCAAAGCTTAAAAATTTGAAGTTTTCTTATCGTCACAGAGATATTGATTTTTTTTTTTCTATTTTACTGCATTCAGTAGAAGCGGTGAAAAACGTTTGATGTGCAGGAAAATTATTCGATTTTGACAAAAAAAAAGAGTTCAGCTTGCAAAAAGTTGGAACTTGCAAAAAGCTCACTTTTTAATAATTTAATGATTTAATCCATTCCGCTCTAGCTTGTTACATTTTTTTTTTCTGACAAAAAAAGACTATATACCAATTTTATTTCTTCTGTTCTTCTGAAACGTGACCGTCTTGCGCGGAATACAGTATAGATCAGTCGGAACCCTAACTAAATCACTTAGATGTTAAATTTCAGAGAATTCATTCTACAATAATTTTGGAAAAGAAACTATGAAAATTTATCCAAAGTTTTAAAAATATGATAAGCTATAAAAGTTCTGTGAAGTTGATGAGACCGAAAACAAATTGGAATTGCTTTTTTTTTACGGAAATGAAGTTTTTACAGTTGGTGGTGCGATACCCTACGTGTTCCAGTACGTCGAGATCCATCACAGAAGAAATGCCAGCGGATTTTCGCTTTTCGTCTGTCTTGCGCTTTGTGTCGCCAACATCCTCAGGATACTGTTCTGGTTTGTTTCAAAAATTCTTCTTTTTATTCATTTTTTTAACTTAAAATGTCTTTTTAGATAGAACAAATATCATTATTCAACTGAAATGATGGCACTCTTTTCACTGAAAAAAGTTTAAATGGATTTTTTTAAAATTTGACAATAGACAGCTTCAAAGCTCGAAAATTTCATAGCTTTATCATTAGCTGACTTATAAATATTTAAATTTTTTCATTTTGTTGACATTGGTTTTTAGTTTTGTAAGATGCTGTCAATTCGACTCTCGATAATGTTGCGATAAAATAACACAATTTTTTTGGTTTTTTTGATACATCACTTACTTTTTGGCGTTTAGTTTATACAGTAAAAAAATGACATTCCTCTTTTCTGCGAATTTTTTTCGTAAGACAGCGAAACAAAAAAACTTGAAACCGACATCAAAGTTTCTTTGAAAAAAACTCAGAAAAAAATTATTTATGAGATATAATCGTAACAGAGTCGAAAGTTGAAGCTATAAACTCCCAGTTAGACAAAAAAATTTTTCAAATTCGTTATCGAGTTTGAATGGAAATTCGTTTTTTTACTTGAGAAGATGAAAAATTATATTTTTTTGAGGTTTGGCAAGAGGTTCGACGTCGCTCTGTTGGCGCAGAGTATAGTGATGTTTTTGGCGATGATCGCCATGTTGGAGATTGCCGTCCGGATGAACGCCAAACACACGCCGAAGCCGCAGCGAAAATCCCTTCTCCGTCAGTTTTTTTTTTCTGTTTCAGTTCATTCATTTCAGACGAAGATCCCTCTCAACTTGAGGAAATTTATAGAAATATTGAAACATGTCGAACTCTTTGCGTGGGTTCTCTCTCCTTTCTTCTCTCTTTTTTTCGAAACAGTGCGAAAATTGAGCATTCACCTCAGAATAGCATATCGCGCCGCCATATTTAGGGTGTGGGCGACGCTAAAAATAGGGTAAAAGAAAAATTAGTGCGTGGGGAAACGGATACTAAAAATGCTTTTCGAATACATTCACGTTTTTTTTTTGTTGCAAAAAGCATGTGGACTTTGACTTTGATGTAATGATTCTTCTGAATTCGTAGACCTTTTATCCAATGATCTTTTTTTAGGTTTGTAGGTTTTCCACTCTTTTTATGGGTTTTCCATGAATACATGTGATTTTTCAATAGCCCAATGATTGGAAAAATGAGTGACTCGCGGAGGTCTTTAGTTTTGAATTTGGTCATTCCTAGTTTTTACGTTTTCACTATGGAATCAGTGAGATACAAAAAAAATGAGTTGAAACTTTTTTACGGTTTAATTGGAAGAATTTTTAAAAAGGAAATAATTTGGCAAATCCTATTGTCTATGGGTCAATAAACTTCTTTCGAAAAAGTAAAAGACAAGGATCAAAAAAATGATAATGGATCTCATTTACGAAATTTTTTTGTTTGTTAGAAATAAGCTCTAGAACAGAAAATAAGTTTGAAGCATAATGCGGAAATCAGAACTCTATAATTTCGAAGTTATTGAATTTTTCTAGGCTGCTGCAAGTTTTTAGTTTTAAAAAGGAAAATTATAAGATTTTATTTGGCAGAGAAAGGAAAAAATGTATCGCTGTGATAGATTTTCTTCACGAACTATCCAAGCTTGTGATTTTTTGCAAAAAGACACTGCTATAGGCTATTTCAACATTATCATGTTTCGTCCAATCGAAGCAGAAATAATGATAGGAAAGTGTAAGAATGAATGGATTTTCAAGCTTTTCTTGACCTTAATTGTAACCTGTATCTATGCCACTTTTGTCGCATTTGGTTTCCCTCTGAATCTTCGCCAGAGTCGTTGAAAATTCTTCTCTCCAGAGAAACAGAATAATTCAAACGTGGTAAGAGGAGTGTGTATGAAAACGCTCGGAGGAAATTTCCAATGGAAAAATGCGTGTGAAACTATTCAGTGATCCTTCCGTCGATCTTCTTTGAGATTTGCGCTTTCTCACGTCACAAGAAAACTTCTTCACACTTTCTACTGTTTCGATCCAAAATTATCGATCCTTCCAACCGGAGATTCCTTATTGTTATGTCAAAGTTCAGAAAACTAAAGAAAAGATTTATTTTAGTCTTACAAGAAAAAGAGACACTTGAGCATTAAAAAATAATATCTATTTACGAATCACCGACCCGTTCAAACAATTAAAAAGAGTTAAAGAAAGTACATAGAGAAAAAAGACCTGTAAGATGTTTTGCGTCGATGATTTCGTCATTGAGAAAACTAAATGTTTTACACGCCTTTTCGAAAATAACCGTAAATTTCTAGGTTCTCGGAATTCATCCTTGTTTTGGTAATATCTGAAAAGCGCATCGAAGTATTTAAAACCTAATCGGGTTCTGCGTAGTTTTCAACAATTCAAGAACAAAATGAACTCGTCAACATACATGAGCAGTTCGTTTTTTTGGCTCTAAGAAACGAAAAAAAATTCAAAAAGCCTTACCAAGGTTCACAAAGATTTACTTCAGGCTCTCTTAAGCATATGATAACCGGAATTTTTCATGTATGCTAATTAAACGAGTTCGATGCTATGCACAATTTCCGGAAGAGAAACGTTACAAAAAAGGCAAAAAAAAGTAATTAGTTAAACTTCGGCGGCCTTCGTATCGCAGATGACTCGTAGCGAACAAGACTCGTCGTCCTCGACGAAACAACGCGATCCGCCGTTGCGAGTCGAGCCGTTGGTCTTGCTGTCGTGCTCGATGATAGGCATCAGGGGCGGCTGATCGGAGAGACGTCGGGAAGAGAATCGCTGCTGCGACTGCGACGCCGTCGTCTCGTGGTACGTCGTGAAGCCGTTGGTCTCCGAATAGTCGACCACCGCGTCCTCGTCCTCCTCCACGACCATCGGCTCTGTGCCAAGTGCGCTCGGCTGAAATCGTTTGGTTAGGTGGCAGGGCATCGCAAGAAATAGTAAACTAGAGTTTTTCTTGCAAATTTCTTCGAGGTCCTCGAAATACCCTTTCATCTACTGTTATGACATTTCTTTAAACATTAAATCCAAACTACTCGAAGCTAGAAAAGTAGATATCCTTCTTTTTTCCATAGAAGTGAAGCAAATAGTCGTGAACCTCGGGAATTAGCAATTATCAAATCAAGAAATTTCTAACATCGTATAAAGGAAGAAAAAAAGGAAAAAAAACCTTTTTCTGCAAACCGAAGACGGCCGGCTCGGTTTGCCGTCGTTTGTGGCAGACACGAGTCGTTAGGACGCCGCTCTTGTTTGCACCCATCTCGAAGGAGCGATGTCGCGTCTTCTGCTTGGCGCGATGTCCATGTCGCGACATTCGCTGCATGACGTGGTCTGGCGGCGGCGGGATGCAGGACAAAAGCCGATGGGCGAACTGCCAGACTGGCACCACCAGACGTAGCGCGGACCGCTTGAACTCTTTGACGGTGAAGGAGTAGATGATGGGGTTGAGCATGGAGTTGCAGTAGCCGAGCCAGCTGGCGACGTCGAGCGCTATCGGCGGAATGCAACCCGAGCACTTGTAGTCTGCATATTTTCTAATTTTTTGAACAAGTATGGTACTCACTTGTGAGGTAGAGGCTGAAGAATGGCAGCCAGCAGAAGAGGAACGAACATGAGACGACGCCGAGGGTCTTGGCGATCCGTTCATGTGTCCGCAGAACTCTTCTCTGATGCTCTACCATTCCATTATTTTTGCCGAAATGTACACGAAGGGTCGTCTGAATCGGCTGAATACACGAGCATGTTTATTCCTGATTTTCTGCGGCGTGGTCAACGACATTAAAGGGATTGAAAACGGCAGAAACGGTTGTTACAACGGCAGGGAGGCACGAAAATCAAGGGGACATGTAAGGGAACACAAAAAATCGATGAATTTTTGTCCTGTTAACAGAAAGTTTTCTGGAGATCATCGTCTAGATACGCCTTGACATCACCGCAATCAGGTTGGAATCAAAAATGTGCGAGTGGAATTGGGAAAGAGAACGGACCTGCTGACTGATGGTGTTGGTGAGGAAGTTCATGTTCTGGCCCAAAATCATGAGAAATCCGCGGTCCAGCGCCTTCTGTCGGTTTCGGGCCAACTTGTAGATGCGCCAGTAGAGCGTAAGTGTGACCGAGGCCGGCAGAAAAAATGCGAAGACGACGCTGTGGGCCAGGTATCGAATCTCGTTGCCCACGAAACAAATTGACTGAAATCTTCCATTTCTCAAGGCCTGTTCCAAATAAAATAAACAAAAGTTATAAAAAGTCTTGGTAGGAAAGTAGGAAATATTTTCGAAGATGATGCCTTTTGCAAAGATTTTCTATACTTCGCCTCTTCTAAAAGATGTTGTAAATGGAAGAAAGAGTTTTGGATGAAAACTCACGTCGTCATAACACTCGGGCTGCTCCCATCGGACTGTGGTGAGCAGAATGGTCGAGGAAAAAGTCCAAATGATGAGCATGACGAGGACGACTTTCGTCTTGGTAACGATGGACTTGTAGCGCAAAGGACGCGTAACGGCCAGATACCGGTCCACCGATATCACACAAATCGTTACCTGCAAGCGCATTTTATCAGGCTAGATTTGAAGCTCACATGAATTTGGTCATGAGAATATGTGGGACTTTTCTCTCAATACTTTGAGCTTCGTTCTCATGTTTTTTTTTTCCGAATGACTTCAGCATGAGAATTACTGAAATCTCAGAGTTTTTATCTTTCTCTCAGAAATATTAAAAACTTTGGAAACCCACCAGAAGATTTCTGAATGGTTCAATTTTTTTCGTTTATTTTTAAAAATATCGGAAAAAAAGATGTAATTTTGCCCCCATAGCCTCATAACCTCTTTCTTCAGTCGGAAGATTTTTTTATTTTTTTGATGCTGTGAAAAAAATGAAAATTTTCGTTCGGGAGCTTATTAGATTTCTCGCGTGAATGGGGCTAGCGAGTGAGAGGTAAGCAGCGCTTCTTTGAGTGGAAAATGGCTCACACAGAGAATTTCTTAAAAGGGAGGAGAAAATTCATTGAGAACGAAATTTTCATGTTTTTTTTTTTTGAATTTAGGTGAAATAAAATTGGAATAATTCGAATGAACTGTTTTCAGAGTTATCCGGGACTGTAGACAACTTTTAAGAATTCAATAAGTTGGGAAAGAATTGATTTTTTTTTTTTTAGAAGAATATACAGAGCTTTCCGGACTTTTTTCGAATCTCTGCCGTATTTGCCCTCGAAAAATGAGAAAAAGCAATTGTTGTGATGCACATGCAAATCTCAAGCACTGCTTCTCTCCAAAATAAAGTTCACGAAAAGGTCACGGCGCCAGGCAAAATAAACAATTGCGGCTGTTTTACTTTTGTGGATTCGATTTAGGGATAACGGGACATCATCGAGAAGAATGGAAAACAAAAGATCAATTGGGTCAAGAAAAATTTAAAAATTTTTGCTCCTCAACTTATTGAAAAGGGAAATTCCTATTAGGAAGGACTCTTCGCAATAAAACAAAGGAAAATATGAAGAAAGGAAAACTGACCACGGAACAAGTGCAAAAGGTGACGTCGGCAGCGACCCAAACTCGGCAGAGAAACCGTCCGAAGATCCACCGGCGGTAGATCAAATGAAATCCTCCGAGAGGCAGGACAATGATGCCGACAAGGAAGTCGGTCAGACCCAGGTTCCACACCAACAAGGTCGTGTTGGTGCGTCCGACTCGCGCCTTGAAGCAGAGGACGAGAAGGTTGCCGAAGACGGTGAGCAGGATGATGATGACCGCCGGGATGCAGAAGACGGCCAGAAGAGGCCCGGGCAGCATCTCGCCGCTCGCCGCGTTTTGCAGCATCAGGAGCCGCAGCTGCAAAATATCTTCCTAACATTTTTATAGATAAAAAGACGCCAATTCTTCTCTTTTTTTTTATTCTTCTCTCTTGTTTTTTAGCGCTTTTGTTCTTTTTTTCATCGTAAAAAATTGGGAAGTTTCCTCTCAATTTTCCCATGGGTTCTTGAATAGCGTAACTTTGAAATGTTTTTGAATCTTTTGAGCATATACAGTGGAGATTCGTTTGATTAAATATTTAAAAACTACTTTAAGGGAATTTTTTTGCCTCAGTAATACATTTTTTTTTCCAAATCAGTCAGATATCTTAATCATATTATTGACAATTCATCAAATAGTTTTCAAAAAAAATCTTTGAAAAATTACCAGAATTTTAATCAGAAAACGAAGTATAATATGGCGATAACATCATAACGTAGACAGTGAAACGTTTTCTCTCGAAATAAAAAAAGTAATGTGAGAACTGAAGCAGTTGTAAGAAATTGAGGAAGAAAAATATAATTAATAGTTGGCATATAAAGTAAAGAAAAAAATCACATAAGAAAAAGAGATAGATTTCCGAAAAGTTTTATTAGAACACAATTTTTTTCTTGAAATATCTTATTGAAACTCTTGGGACTTGCCGAAGTAGAGAACCTGCTTCAACTCCGAGAATCCTCTATTATTTTCCAAGAGAGCAGTTCAATTAATTTTGTAATTTTTCGTTTCAAATTTTAAAATCGAAATTTCTAATTGAGTGAACTTATGAGCAACCACAGAAGCATGAGCAGAGAAATCTCAGAAAGAAGAAGAGCACGAAGATTTTCTTTAGGAATGCGCAAGCCAACCGAGTAATTCAACACGACAATTACTTGCCATTCACCGTGCTAAATGGCAAAATAATCGTTACAAAAAAGATTTTTGTTTCCTTATTTCAAAAAGAGCAACGATTTTCAAAAAGACGTAGCAAACTTATGTATGTAGTAAGTGATTAAGCATTCAAACGCTCCTTTTTCACACGTTTCATGAGTTATTTCAAATCAAGACCATTTTTTTCATCACGCTTGGTAATTCTCGGTTTTTGGTAAGATGTCCGCTGTGGAACTCATTTCTCTAGCTTTGCAGCTTCGTTTCTCTAGCTTTGCAAAAGTCTTTTTTTCCCACGAAATCCAGGACTACAAAAATGTTTACAGCACCACGTGTAGGCTGCAACTTGTAAAATCAGATTTTAAGAATTCCGGATAGTAAAAAAAAAGAAACTTATCAGGAGGAATGTTAAATTTTTATCTAAACGGAAAGAAAGAGTTAATGGCGGGCCTCATTTAAGGGCCTAAAGTTTCCCGCGGGATTTTCCGTTAGACCTAATTGTTCCAATCTTTGGCCGTTCTTCTTCTACTTTTTTTTTCTTATTTGATGGCAGATGTTACGCCATGCGGGTGTTGTTGGCAACGCGAACTTCATTTGCAATGCGTCCGCTTCTTTTTTTTGAGCGATCTTCCAGAAAACTCAGGTGGAAAGTTTGAACTGAGAAGCTACGTTTTTTTTCCGTTTGCGTCAGCACGTTTCAGCGAAAGTTCGATTTTTAGTGAGCTGGTTATATATATATGAAGACAATTTGAAGGACTCTGGAAAATGGAAGAGGGCTAGATCTCTTTGAGGATACTTTTCAAAACCCAATCCATCTACTATATGATGCAGTCTGCAAAATTGAGCCAAGAAAGAAAAAAACACGAAAGATTGAGCAGCGAAACCTTTTATGCAGGGTTTTTCTTAACTGATAAGAGTAAACAATTCTTATTCGCTGTTCAATTTTGATCTTCAGATTTCTCAGAGCTCATTAGAACATGGGTGAAAATTCTAGTATGAAACTGAAAAAGAAAATAATTCTCTGCGATACCGACCTGCTCTTTGCACATGTCGGAGATGTTGCCATCGTTGTTCATCAACTGTCCAAAGGGCGAGGCGACGACGACGTTGTTGTCGACCTCGTCGACAACGTCGTCGTTCCACCCCATGGGTGTCGCCTCGATCAGATCGGCTTTCTTGGCCTCAACTACCGTTTGTTCGTCTTCTTCGCAGCCGTCGTCGTCGTCGTCGTCGGCGGCCTCTGGCGTCGTTGCTTCTCCGGTTTCACGGCCGTTTTGTTTCGTCTTCCTGCAAGAATGGCCGTTGGAACTCGGTGAATAGGCTAAGACGGGGGCTTTGCGTCTTCTTGTCATCGATTTTTCAAGAGGAAATGAGATTTCGAAGACTCGAGGTTTGACGTGGCCGTTCGTTGAGATTCTTGAGATTTTAGAGGTATGAGCTTCTCAGGTGTGCTCAGGTATCAGTGATAAATTGATTCGGAAAACGCTCCGTTGTTAGCCGGTTTTTTGGTTTCGAATTGTAGTCAAGACCAGTTCTCACTAATAAATGTCATTGTTACAAAGAAGAAATTGTTGAAGTCGAAGTCACGCAAATCGAAAGGTTTTTCATTTCTTTTTTTCTATTGATATTAAAGTGAAAAGATTCGGTTATGTAAACTTCTAGAAAGGGAGAAGTTTTTTCTCACGCTTTATCCCGCCGAAGAGACGAGGCAGCCAGAATCAGTTTTATTGTTGTTCAGATGGGCGTTTTTTTTTAATTTCTTGTTTTCTGCTGTTGTGCAAAATGTCAGATAGACGAGAAAAAAGACTTTGGGCACCAGTTCTGCACATAGAAATGAAATCGACTACTTTAGCCAAAAGTCCAAAATTATTTCAAGATCTTCTGTTTTATTTCAAGATCTTCTGTCTTCATTGTTAGCATCTCAGGGAACCAGGAAGGTTTTTCAAAGCTTTCCAAGCAGAAAGTTGCGAAGAAATAAGAAAGACGGAGGTGAAAACGAAACGAAATCAGGCGCGTCGGCTCTTCGCGTGAAGAAGACGACGGGGAAATCGGGAGCTCGCGCATATGACGAGTCAAAAGAGCCTCTGAATACATTATCGAGGAAACTCGGACGTTGAAGCAAGAAATCTGGGAACCTAGAAATGTGTGAAAAGTTGGGAAGTTTCCCCTCTACCCATCTACCTTTGCAAGTTTTTTATCGCGTAAATAATCGGATTATCTCAACGTATTTTTGTGCTACGAGAATCTTGATTCGAAGTTCTGCCCGGCTAGCAGGAGTACTGCGCGGCAGTTGCATAACAAATGTGTTGGTTTGCGTGCCGAGGCCATTTTCGCAGATTGCGCGCATATGAGAACAAGCTGATGATGCACTATCCTCTTCGACGTTTTTTTCACACAGCTTGGCGCCGTGTGAGCGAGGGAAAAAGAGGTTGAGTTTGTGCTGCGCCGAGGAACAAAACCGTGGAAAAGCTAGGGATTGGTCGGATTCCATTATTGATTTCATTCATCATAGTTATGAACCTAAGTCTTTTATTTGATCGCATTCTCAGGTTCAGATATTGAAAAAGAAGATTTTAGAAAGGAAGAGTTTGAATACCGGTTGAGTTTTGCCAAGATCAATAGAAGACACAATTATCGATTTGGCAGAGAAAAACTGAGACAACAATACAAAATATGTACTCCTCTATACTGGCTAGTTTGGTATGAAGGAACTTTTCTGATGTGAGAACTCTTCAAAACATGAAAAAAGTTCAGAATGCAAATGGGCATCTCGAAAAATATCAGTTTCTTCATTTTTCAATCGATGATTGTTGAAATTGAAGCAACGTTCCCCAAAAAATTTTCGTGGGAAAAATAAAATGTTAATTAACTCGAAGGAAGAGAAAGGAAAATAAAGAGATGTGCTAGTGAAACAGTGGGCAGCAATCGAAAAGGCATTCTTTCTTTTCAAAACTCTTCTAGCAGCTTTGCGTCTTCCGGGTAATGCGACTATGAGCACGTGAGATCTCGGGTGGCAGTGGTTCAGGCCTGAAAAAAAGGCCTAGGATGGAAAGAACTGGGCGGAGCCTGAGAACCGAGTAGAAAAAAGGCGACGAGCCAGCTAGTAGATCGTTTCCCTGGACTTTTTCTTTTAATTCGACGTTCGAGGAGCTCTGCAGGATCTCATTGGTCCGTGTGATATGTTTATTTGAGAAAAAGTAACTTGGCGCTCTCTTTTCCCTCTAGATTTATGTGGAAGATTTGGACACTGGGGACGGAAAACCAAAGGATTCATTTCGAAATTACTGTAGCTCTGAAGGTAATATTGAACCTGGAGGATATCAAAAGTCTTGTAATTTTGAACGTTGAGAAATCTTTTTTTTTCAATTTTGAGCAGCTTGCATCGAAGAGTAAAAGAATTTCAGGTGTAAATTTTTGTTTTACAATTATCCCCACACGAGAGTTTAAAAAGCGCATTTCGAAAAAGGAGTCAGTATTTTACTAAATTCTGAAGGATTTCAAGCGTTACGATTTTTTTAAACTTTTGTTGGCTCTAATTTCATAATTGTTATTTTAAAATCAGAATTTTGAGGATTTCTCTTTTTTTGAATTTACTATCTTCTCTATAAAAGGTAGCGAAAGCTCATAACCTAGTTCTTTGTGAGCCAAACCCAGAAAAATTAATCTTTTTCTTGTCTGCAGTTTTGTTCCCACATGCAGCCGTCGTTTTGAATAGAACAGAAAATTAGAAAAAAAGAGAGATTTTATTCTTTCTTTTTTTATGATAATTGAATTTATTTCATTCTGGTAATTTCTCAGAGAAATGTCTTTTTGAGCTGATTTTTTTAGCGTAAAAACTGAAATATTTCTACAAGTTGTTGACAGTTTCATTAGAAATTTAGGATTTCAAAGCAGAAAACAATTGAGTTGAATAGAGATAAAAAAATGCGTAGAGGAAAAAACCAACTTATCCTTCTTTCAAAACTTAGAAACTTAATATCAGCGCGGTAGGAAATGGAGGAAGACAAGTTACAAGAATGGGAAACGCGGGCATCTGCACTCGTGAGCCGCTTTCCCGACGGCTCCTTTTTTCCGCTCTGAGAATGTAGTGTGAAGAAATTTTGAAAAGAAAAGAAAAGGCGTTGGGACGGCTCCCGTCGCTGCTTTTTCTATTTCTCACCGTTTTTGAAGTTGAAGACGACGAGTGCAATTGAATTGAGTTCTTCTGCTTCCTCTCTTCTTCACCGCTTCGCTCTTTTTCTCCAAGTCTTGGCTGGTTTTTGTGTGTGTCTGAACGTGTCAAGGTTCCATATAACTGAGAAGAAGTTTCAAAAATGGAAGAACAGTGAAGATCAGAATCATCAACCCAGAAGGGCTCTTCAGGAACTACTTGGTTGCTATCGTCGACGGCCTCTCCTACATAGCCTACAGTGTTCGTTTCTCATTGAACGAAGATCTCTGTAGTTCCTATTGCTATATTTGCTTTATCCGATCGAAAATAATGCATTGGAAATTTTCAGCTAACAAAGAAGGTCATTTTAATTTTTGGCTGGGATTTTCCTGCTTGATTCCCTAGTTTTTTGAGAAAGGTCATCTCCAAGTCAAAGAAAACCTTCAAAATCGGTCAAATAGGCTATTTCCAGGCTTTGAGCTGTCGTTTCTCGAAAATGTGGTTGTTGTGGAGGTTGAGACTTTCAGGACCTTAATTTAGTACTCAGAGGATATTCTGACAAATTTTCAGAAAATTTCCAACCGCAAAGAAAAAAGACCTTTCTTGGGAAAAAAAAAAACCCCTGGAGAAATCCTTTTCAAGCTCGTGGATCTCTCAAGAGATCACTCAGACTGGCTGAGGAAAAATCATCTCCTATGCTGAAATCATTCAGTATAGCGAAAAATTAAACTTGAAGAAGAATGGGTCTCATTAGAAAGTTCAGGAGGTGCTTCCAAATAGCAGAATCTCATCACTTTCAAAGTAAAACGCTTTTTTAGATGCCGACCGAGTTCTATCCATTTCTTTTTCATTAAAAGATATTAGCTTTGTTTATTGTTTGCAAAAAATTTTTCTCTGCTCTTTCTTTTGCATTTGCAGTATATAGTCCTGTATTTTCATGTGTACTTGGTTTTGAATTACAACAAGGGCTCTGCTCGGGATGGATCGCTATAACCGCATAACTCGTCTAAACTAAACTCTCTTTTCAGATGAAAAAAAACGTCAAATGTACTTTATACTCTGACTTGGCTTGCACGTTTTTTTGGTGTTCCATTAAAAGTTTGCTGAAGTTTAGAGAGCTTGAAAAAGCGAGCACGCGTGCGCAAAATATTAAATGTAACATTTTTCTTTAGTGTTCAAAGCTAGGAAACGACAATTAACAACTTTACGGGTTTGGGTGAATTAAAATCCACTTTATCAAAATAATGGGTATGAGAAGAAGTTCTGGATTCAATTTTCAGTAGCACAGACGTTTGTTAGAATATTTGAAGTAATTAGATGAGAATAACTGAAATTAAAATAGAAATGTGGGCGTGGCGGGCCTGCAAATGGTTGACGTTATGTGTTGGAATCTTTTGTAGTTCTTTTTTTTTCTCGGATACAATTTATTTGTGCGTATTTGAAGGGAGAGAAATTTATGAACGCTGTCAACAATGAATTCTTCTGATTTTTAAATTTTCAAATTTCGGCTCTGATCAAAAATCACTAATCTTCTTCTGTATCACTAAAAGATCTCATACACTTTTTTTCAATAAGAAATGCCAATTTTTTCAGAGTTCAATGGTTAGAAATGCCTTTTTTGATTGCACTCGATAAAACTTTTAACAAGTGTAGTTTCGGAAGAGTTCCGAAATGCAGGGATACTGCAAAGCTTTGGGAAATATTGTTTACTCTTCCAATTTTCAACGAATCTTTCTGTTCTTGACACTAGCCTTGGTCAGAACGAATTCGAAATAATTTTGCGAATTCGGGAAGTTTTTTTTTGACTTTCTCTTTCGTTTCATTTTCTTCTGAAAAGTTGGATTCCAGGTGGTGATGTCTTGTCGGCGTTCTGGGCCTGGCACGATTTGTGGTCGTTCCTCATCGCTCTCGGCGCTTTCTCTGCCTTCTGGGGCCTCATGACTTTTTTGTTGTCCGGGGTTCGCTTTTTTCTTCTTTTACTAGTCGTATATGGGTCTTTTTTCAGTTTACTTGGTACGTGGAATCCCTTGGAATGGTTTCGCTGTTGGTCGAAGCGAGTTTGGGCTCGCCGCAGTTGCTGCGTAACTTCCAACGGAAATCAACGCAGGGCATGAGGTTTTTCAATCGGATCTTTCATTCATTGACGAACTGAAGAGGAGGGTCATTGCTATGTACCGTTAGGAACTTTTTATAATAAAAAAACATTCAAGTTCTAGATACCCTACATTAAATACGCAAACCCATCATTTTTAGATCATTTGTTTGAGAATGGTTATTAGTAAACTTCGCCCAGCTATTCATTTTTTTTTTAATTTGTGAAAATACAACTTCACTGATATAACTAAAAAATTCTCATCAATTTCAAGGCGAAAAAGCTATTCGCAATGTTAAACTGCGATACTTTTATTTTTTTTTTCAATTATAATGAAACTTTCTGAAAATTTTCAAATTTTTTTTATAGTATTCCTATGGTGATGGCGTGGCTGTGCGGAGATCTCGCCAAAACGGGCTATTTCGTGGCTACGGGCAGTCCTGTGCAGTTTTGGGTCTGCGCAATCTTACAGGTGATTTGCCAAAAACAACAAAAAACGCAATATTCATTTTCAACATTTCAAAAAATTTTAAATTTCAACGATTCAAACCAGATTTTGTTACAGATCACAATCGATATTCTCATCCTGCTTCAAGTTTTCATCTACCGTAAAAATACTGGCAGCGAACTTCCGTACTCAAACAGTGGTGCAGCTCATGCTACCATTGACTAATTCCTTATCACTCGATCAGTTTCGTATTTTAACTTGGTTTTTTTTTTTTGACTTATTACACTTTGAATAAAAATATTGCTTATTGCAAGCTTTCTTTCTCCTTAGCGCTGTTTTTGAAATGTGAAGTTCTTAATAATGTTCTAGGGAATTTTTCAGGAAATGAAATCGAATGTATAATTTTTTTTTAAGGTCTCATTTCTTCTCTTTTTTTTGTGCATCTAACGCCCCATTTTCGGTTGTGAGGTTTCTAGTACATCTTCAACACCCTACTTCTCTAACAATCTTAGAATTTTGTGAAGTTATCCTTCGTTTGGTTCTCTTCATCTTTTTTTTTTTCGATGATCGGCACAAAACATAATTGGTTTTCTCCCCTGTATAGTTTATCGCATTTCATCCTTCAAAAAATGTTAATACGCATAAATTATTTCGTTGATGAAAGATTTTAATTGCAATTTGATTCAAATAATGATGTGTTCAACTGAAAGAAATGTGTCGATGAACGAATTTTTTCATTGTTTTTTTTGGCGTTACAATAGTATTTCCGGAATAGCACATTTTTGAGCATTCTTGTAACGAAATGAAATCGAAACACTGAGATGATATCATTGAGGTTTTATCATATAATCATAAGAGATTAATCATATTATAGAAACATCAAACTGCTGTTGCTGATTCAATTTAGCTCTAAGTTACGGGAATTATGTTCCTGAAAGAGGGAGAAAACGATTTAAAAAAACCGCAAAAAAAAAATAGAGCCCAAAAATTATAAAATTTAAACTTGAAGAAGTTTTTTTTTGTATCCACAAGCTCTACCTTTCATGACCCAGTATTTTATTCAGAATAAAAATTTCCTTATTTGAAAAAAAAATGTGAACCCCATGCAATGTCATTTTCTTGATATCGAAAAAATTTTTTTAAAAAAAACGTGAACCACGTGACAACGTGTCACTTATTCTTGTATGACCTGGGTTCAAATATCATTTCTTCTTCCCTCACGAGTCCTGCTTCTGCTACAACGTCAAGATGAGTTTTGAGCTTCCAAAAAACTCCTAATTTCCAAAATAGTTCTCTGATTTGTAAGCGCTAGTAGACTAGGCCCGCGGGACTCCCGGAGTGCCGATCCTCTTTGCTTGCAAACTGGATACGCAAAGTCACGCTGAAGCCCATTCTGGTGGCCGAAGCACAAACTGTTGGCAGCGCGATGCTGACAAAGCGATGATGGGACCCCCGCGGAAAATGCCGTCCCGGTCTTCGGCGTCTAGAATACTTAGCTCTGACAAGGCCGAGCGGAGCTCTAGCGCACCGCCTAGTTAGTTCTTATGACTGTATAAAGCTTCCCTAACTAACTTACGACTTGAGATTGCTCATTAGTCAAAACATAACGATTCGAATAATGCATTCGACTTGCTTTTTTTAATGTTGAAATTATTGCAGAAAGCTTTCAAAGAACTTGTTGTGGCCAGTCTATGGAAACTCGACAACAACTTCCAATAAAGCAGTTTGATATCCAAGAAATTCTTTTTTAACTCCTTTTCCTTCAGAAAGAACGTTCGGAGCATCAGATTAACATCTGGAAACAAAAAGCGTATTGGAAAATATCGATTGACAACTGGAAGAATTGAACTGAGGTTTCAAAGATTTTATTTTCGAAAAATTTTACAATGAGGAAAAAAGGCATGACCTTATTAACACAGAATTAAAGCCAGAAAGATCTTGATCCGATATCATAGGCAAAGTCGGAAAGGGTTGAAAAAAGATCCATAGAAATGTTTCTTTTAGGGTGACAAAGGCTCATTTTTTGCTGTCTTTTTGCTCCATTCATCCGCTCTTTTGTGCACCACCCATAACGGAGGCTCAAAGGGCCCGTATAGTCTGTTCAGATTTGAATGTCAAGTCGTCGCTCAAGCTCCGCCCATTATGGTGCAATGAACCAATCAGGGCGAGCCATCCACAGAGTGTTTTTGAATGACGTCATTGCACTTTACATTAAAAATCTGAACAGACTATAAAGGGTCCTTCCGACTTTTCCTATGAAGATATATAAACATTTAAAAAAAAATGTGGTTGTTAGAAAGTCCTGCGCCAGACTCGGCTGTTTTATTTAGTTTTTTTACAAATTTTAATAGCAACCGTGATAAATAATCCATCATGATTTGAGGCCGCAGACATTCTGGCGACGGAAAAAAATAATTTAACTTCAAAAAGAAGCTATTTTTTTGATTCAAATTTTGTATTTATATCCTCTTTACTGCATTTTAAAGTCTTTCAGTTTTGAAAATTCAGTAAACCGCGTTGTCAAGAAATCCGACAATCAAAGTCGCACCATCGTCTTCAAGTTCTTGGCGGACGGAGTTCGATCAACTCCGATGCCGGCTAAACAATACCAGGTTCCAGCCCAATGCTCTTAAAAGCAGCTGAGGGTTTTTTTTTCTGTGTTATATTGCAAAGAAGGAAAGAAAACAGTAAACTTTTAATGGCTGAAATCGCTTCTCACTTCTCTGACCGCTGCTTTGAATTCCGCAGAATCACTTCAAAATGGGCATGAAAAACTCCCAAAATAAGAAAAAAAAACTCAGACACTGGGTATAGATGATTCACGGCTGGCTTGAGCCATCGAAAAAAGGGTCTTGACACGATAATGCACGAGATAGAACCTGACTCGTGGATAGCGCATACAGGCCACGCCCTCCTAGCGTCCCAAGCCAGCCGTGAATCGGCTATAGCGCAAAACGGACGTGTCGGGGCGTTTCTAGGGAGCCCTTTAGTAGCGTCAGCATTCTTAAGTGTCCCCTAGAGTTGCTAATAAACATCCGGAGCGCGTCCGTTTGGCGCTACCAATGTACGAGAAGATGCTCAGACCTTGGTAACGCGAACGGGACGCGAATCGGACGTGTCGCGGCATTTCTAGTGACCACTTTAGTAGCCTCAGCACTCTTAAGGGATCCCTAGAATCGCCCAGAAACGTCCGGAGCACGTCCGTTTCGCGTTACCCATGTCCGAGTGGAAGAAAGAAAGAAAAAAGATGGAAGAAAAAAAAAAAGAACGCTTTCGCGAAGCCTGAAAAATGGTAACAACGAGATAGCGAACTTCAAGTCTAAAACTTGGATTTTGGTATCTTTTGGGCATTTACCCAAAATTTTGAATTCGCGCATAAAAGCTGCCATTTCTTTTTAGTAACCAATTTCTCTAAGCTTATAAGGGCTCCCGGAAAGTCTATATTAGGAATCATTGAAAAATATCAACTTTTAAATCGCATGAAATTTTTGTTTTGGAGCAATTTACTTGCGTTTCGAAGCAATTTTTGTTTTGCCCGATGAACACCACCCAGTTTTGTGGACTATATCGCAGCGAGAGTAACGCTATACCGCGGGGGAGCCGCGAGCGATACCGCTCGCCTCTCGCTGCGACCTCGCAAACGTCTTGCGCTATATCGCTCTCTGAAAAATTTTTCTTCAAAAAATTTTTTTTTCTTGAATTTGATTGATTTTTCAATTCTATTTGTTTATTTCATCATAAAAGTCAAAAATAAAGCAAAAAAATGTTTTTCAAATTTCAAATTTTTAAGAGAGAGCGATATGGTAGCGAGACTTTGACGAGGTCGCAGCGACATGTTGACTAGATCGCAGCGAGAAGCCTTGGCTATATCGCGTGCGGCCCGCTGCGATATCGGCAATTATGTTGGGTGACGCCATTAAAAAAAGAACATATTTAAAATACGCTCGACAGTTAAATTTTTTTCTCCTTAAAGTATCCTGCTTTTCTTTACGCCTGTGCCTTTAATAGTTTAGTGGGCTTGTCATTTTCCTTTCCCGGGAAGATATAAACTCATTTTTTGCCGTTTTCCAAGTATTTTTGCGATATTGAAAGTATCTATGACTTTTCAAAATTTTAGTTATCTTTTTTCAGTCTCGGACGGTTATTTTGAATTTCGTGGAATCAAACACGGCATTAGTTTCGAGCCTAATTTTTTAAAAGTTGAATTTGCCTTTGAACTAAAAATTGAGTATTATTAATTGAACACTTTTTTTGAAGATGGGCTTTTTCTCGCGGTTAAGAGCACTTTTCTCAAGGAAACCGAGAAGATCTGTAAGTTTCTCGTTCATATATGAGGAAAGTTTTTGGTATACAGACTAAAAGAGATAGCTCTCCTTCGTATATTTCTTTTTCTTCATTTTACGACGAGCCTCTCAGTAACAAGTCGTATCTCGATTTTCCTGACTCATGCAACAGGTAAGCCTTTTTCATTATACGAAAAATTTCTCTTCGAAAATGGGAACTTCTGCTTTTTTTTCTGTCACAGAATCACATCTTTCTATACGGAATTATTTTTTTCAGACAAAGAGTCAATTTTCGAGCCCAGTTATGCGCCCGGTTTCAGGAATCTCCATTCAATGAGTAAGAGAAAAAGAACTGACAATTTTGAAACCATCAATTTAGGAGAGAAGTAGATGTTGTCAACTCTTCTGGCCGAAATTTACAGTTGAATTCGTTTAATCGGGCAGGGGCAAAATTATTTCAAGTTTAACTTATCTTTTTTGTATATTCGATTTCCTAACTTCTTTTTTCCTTTTTAGCCCTCCTCTTGCTCTACGCCTCTTCGTCGTTCTATCGGGCGGTCTTCCCTATTTGCGACTCAAACCGACAGTGACTGCGAAGAGAACAGAAGCGAGATTCAAAACAACGATTCTGTTGTGAACTATGACTCGGTTGGCCCCTCAAAAGACGTTTCACAGATGTACAATGTGCTCTATGAAATGAAAACACCCCGAGTACGTTTCAAGTTTTTATGCTAAAATTTATATGTGGATTTTTTTTATAGATTCACCCTCGCGTAGAATTTCTTCGGTTTTCTGAAAATTCGTCGAGCTTTCTTCAGCCTTTTGATTCGAGATTTTTTTCTTTGGTGAGCCCGGTCGGAACAAATTCGGAACTAAATAGTCTTTTAGAGACAAGTTAACACTTTCGAGTCTGGAAATCTTGCAAAACGCAGTTTGAAAAGCGCCGATGACATCAGTGAAATCTGTTCGAAGCGAACAGTTTTTTCCTCCATTTTTTGAATAAAAAAATATTTTTTAAAGTCACTTCGGAGAATTCGATGGGCCGCTGATGAAAAACCTGAACAAAATTTGCGAGGATTCCTTTCACGCACATGAGGAAAAATGGAGAAGAGGCCGAAATTTCTTATTTCGAAGAATTTGAGATAGATATGGACGAAGTAAGATTTTTAAATAGTGATTTCATTTTTCGCGAAATTTCAGATTCTTAGTCCGTCAAAGTCTGAAGAGCAAACAACATTTCATTTTGATGAGTCTTTTGGCGACAGGACTTATGACTTACGAGTTCGGATTTTTTTTTTCTTGATTGGGATTCATATAACTTTCTGATTTCTTTTAGAGAACTCTTGAAAGTTTTCTTCATTTCCAATGCATCTTTTCGTAATTTTTTAGGGTGCGAAAACTATAATCAATCTTCTCATGAAGCATTTGAGTAATCAATGGAAGAAGGATTTTTTTTTTAAATTTGTAAACAGTTTATATTGAAGTTTTTGTAGGTTTAACTGACTTTTTGCAGAGCGGTAATGACGCAGACGATGAATTGACTATGGGCGCCGAAACCTTGGAAGAACAATTGGCTGCTTGTGGCTCGATATTCGGTGGCTCATCAACGGAAACAAGTCCTATTTGCTCATCTCCATCTGTTTCTTCTATTGCTACCTGGGTACCTCTTTATCAGAGCGAGGAAGACTGCACGTCTACTGAGGGTTCTTATTACATAGTTCATGCCAACTGATGTATTCTCTTTCTTCTGTGTACATACTTTATATAGATTTTTATTTATAGTTTGACAAATTCAAATTTAGTTTAGCGATCCAGTTTTTATTAGAGAGACCTCTAACTGTTGTTAGAAAAACACCGCCTTCAAAACTTTGCTGATTTTTTTTACTTCTTATACCTCACTTCTGCTTTTGGTTCAGTTTCTTCGATGAGCACCCGCTTGAGATCGCTTTATTGTGTGCAGCTTTTTCTTCTTTGTATAGACATGGTTTTTCATTTAGTTCTTTGAAGTTGTTGATTTTGTGAAAATTTTCATTGCTACAACATGCTCTCGGAGCTTTTACATTCACCTGTGATTTTTCTATTGTTTGTCATGGTGTATTTTCCTTCTAGAGTACTTGCCATCCATCTACATTCATCTCATTCAACTCTGGTGTATTTTCATTGTTGCTCATCTGAAAAACAGGTCTTTCTAATAAATTATTTGGAAAAGTGTGGGAAAAACTGGGATAAATTTGTGGTTTGCCATTTACCTAAAGGACATCAAAGTTTGAAAATACTTATATTCCTAATAAGCTGATGTCGACGCGGAGGAAAGATAACAGCGTTCCGCTGCCGACAGAAGGAGGTAGTCGAATATATTCAGACGATCGGCCGATATTCGACGACCCCGAGGATAGGAGAATAATTTGTATTAATTTGAGGTCTAGTTCAAATTAACAGGACGAATATGAAAGATTGTCATAGCCTAGTTTAATATTTTTTGGCGAATTCGAAATTATGAACGAAATTTCTTGGAAAATTTTTTTTTTGAATGAGTGTTTTAATTTTAAAAATTCGAGCCTCAGAGTTCGAACCAATGTTTTAGCGTTCGAAAAAAAAAGTCTTTGAGAGAAAGTTTGAAAGAGCTACGGGTTGACTTCGTTTCATGAGAAGAGTTCAGCGCCGGCTCGGTTGGCGCCGCGTTTTACGACCAGGCGACGAAACTTCTACACGTTATGAATGACGTCGACGAGGACAATTGTTACCGTATCACTGATTCCTGTTGGTCTTAACTGTTGAACACTTCTTTGTAAAGGAGAAGATTTAGCTGTTCTTCCAGAACAGGGAAAGTTCGGTGTAGAACAAGCTTAACTGCAAAGGAAAATGTTCGTATAAGACCTTCATTTGTGCAAAATCTGTTTGATTCGCTTTTCAATCCTTGGCTTCTGTCAACGATAATAGAAACGTGATTCAATTGTCTAAAACATTTGTTTTCGAATCCCTTCCTTCTTTCACTACTCAGAAAATAAACTGTAGGCCAGCACGCATAGTTTAGAGAGCACGGTGAGTTTGGGGAGGTCTGACAAGTCGTCTCCACGTTCTTCCCGCTCTTCAATGAAAGTTCTGGCTTGCATGATACCAGACTTGTTTCTCTAACGCATCCATTTTTGATCTTGCTTTTAAAGTCTTTTATTGAAAAAGTTAAACAAGGAAGTTCCAAGGATCATTATGAAGAAATATTCAAGATTAGCAAAAGATATAGAAAGTTGAAAATTTTGAAAACTTTGAGTGAAATGAATCGTTCTACAATTATGTAACTAGTAAGAAAGTTCAGTTTCAAGTGTTTGAAATCCGTTTTTGTTAAAAATCAGTTGAATATGAATCGGTAATTTTTAGTGATCAAACAAGTTGAGCCGACAGAAATCGTCGTGAACAACTCGAACCAGCTGCAGTTCCTCAATTTCTTGGGTAAAAAGTGTGAGTTTTGAGGCCAATTCTACTTATTTCTCATCTTCTCAGTTCATTTCAGACGGCCATATTGAGATTCTGCCACCGGAGTTGAGATTATGTGCAGTAGATGTAGTCAGTAATCCTACAAACGAAGGCTCTTCTGAGGAGCAACGAGGTTTTTTTTCTTCCTATGGACGATTTTTTTAAATTATGAAATGTTGATTTCAGAACACGAAAGTTCAGAGAACGACGAAGACGATTCCGATCCTCCACCTCCGGTATATTTAATTATTGATCCTTGATTCTTCTTATTTCATGAGTTTTACCATTCCAGCAATATGGAGAAACGCAAGACGAAGGGGAAGGCGAAGATGGAGATGAAGTTGAGATGGAGAACAACGACGACGACTTCGACGAGGATTGGTTCGGAGATGAGAAAGGCCCGAAACTCGTCTTCAATCAGCTCAACAATAGCTTTTTCCGTATGTGTATATTAACTTTAGCTGAGAGTAGAAATATTCTATTCATACGCCAAACTTTATGAGGAACAGCGCAACTTTCATTGTCACCCGAAACAACATTATATCGCAGGCGATATAGCCGAATATTCTTGCTGCGACATCTTCAGAATCTCGATCCCATTTCGCTCTCTTTTATAAATTTGAGCTGTAGTTTTTTGTTTCGTTTTCGACTTTTAAATGAATCGAATACAAAAATGGGAAGGAAACATTTCGGAGGACGATATAGCGCAAGGCTTTTGCGATATCGCAGCTACCCCGCGGCATAGCGTTATAGACCATTTCGCGCCAGCTTGTCACGATTTTCGTTTCCCTCCGGGCTGGAAAATCATTCTGTTCGAAGCGCGCGGAGTGTTTCTCTGCATGCGTGTTTTGTTTGGCCTAAAATTACCGTTATATTAAAGGCGCAGGCAGAGATTGAAATCGCGCCCGTTGAAAAGAGGGATTTTTTAGCTCAAAGGAATAAAAAAATCGTGACGAGCTGGCGCGGAATGGCCTGTACTTTCGCTGCGACATAGCCCCTTGCAGACTACGAAAAGGCATTGAAGCGGATCGCCGAGCTTTTCGACTCCGAAAGAAGTCGGTCTTCAACGGAAGCTTCGCTCAGCGTCCGCTTCCGCGTCAGTCCCTTCTCGACGAACATGACAAGGGCCGTCGGCGCCCTCCTCTACTACCTGGAAGCCATTCGTCTTGGCGTCGAAAACCGTCCTCTGAACGTCAGGGCGCCTATTGAAGGCGTCAAAACATTTGTCCTGTTCGTTTCCTTTTTCGATCTCAGAATGTCAAAGTACAGCTTCAAAAATTCGACTATTTCACTATTGATTCTTAAACTTTCTTCTAGGTTAGATTCTTTCTGATGTGAACCAGTAGAACATATCTAACGGATTTTCATTCCCATCCAACTTTTTTTTTTCCCACCACTTTTCATATTTAAGAGAGTCGCTCGTCGAAATGGACTGGAACACTTACCAAGCTCTTGAAATTTTTCCCCCCAAAGAAAAGGTTTTCGAATATTTTGATTAATTTCTAGACAGTTCTTTTCTTTCAGAAGTCTAAAAATCCAACCCGAGGTGGTGCTGACAAATCTTTGTTCTCCCTCTGCAACAAAACTAAATCGTGTGAAGGGAAACGCTTGTTGGGGTGAGCTCTTTAACGTCTCTTCATTAGCCACTAGAGTTGATCAATACAAAAATAAAAGATTTCGCTTAGAAAAATTAGAAATTAGGCAAGCACCAACCAATATATTTGTAAGTAAGAATATTCCGACAATTTTTCATGTTTTCTTATACGTGGAATTTTCGGCTTTAGAGCGTTCCACGCGAGACGGTCACGTTTCGAAAGAAAATTAAGAAAGAACAGCTTTTGAATAATTCCGATTTTTTGCAGAAAATGGTTCCGTACCCCTACAAAAAATCGTGAGGTTCTCCGAAAACGACAGGCGGCGATTGCTTATTTTGCTCATGTATATATTCCCTTCAGATTTTATCAGAACTTTTGGGCAGAATCTTATTCATCGAATTGTTAACAGGATTGCAACTTGAACACCACCTATTTCATAAGCAGAACTTTTTCTCGCGTCAAGAATATCAAGGTGAGTCGTCTCTTGGAATTCACACAGTTTCACTGATTTCTTTTATTCAGCAAACTCTGAACCAACTGCGCACCGGACACGCTAGATTCCTTCATTGGAAGGCATTTTCAGATGTTCGTTTTGTATATATTTACACAGAAAAATTAAAACTCAAGGCAATTTATTTTCATAACAAGTTTCAGACCATCGAAGCTTTGATCCATGTTGGGAAAGTGATTCATGAACGGGAGGTAGTTCCTGAAAAATTACCCAAAAAAATAAGAGTTCTCCAGGTAAAGCTCGACATTATCGAAAAGAAGATTGACCTGGAAGTTTTGAACGAACTTGCGGTCCTTTTCGAAAACGTGGTTTGCTCAAGTTGCATTGGCTTTTTAGAGCTCTAGAAAATCGAAAGTGGAAATGAACTTATTTGAAGGAATTTTAGCAATTTGAGTTCGAAAATGTTCATCCAGAGTCCCGAAGGACGAAAAATTCGAGAACATTGCTTTTCTCAATTTTCGAAACTGCAAAATTTGAGTAACAGAGTGGAATTCAAAAAGAAATTAGATTTTCACGTATTTCAAAACTATCGTTGAAGGCATACGGTAGATAATTATTCCATCTTTTAGAGCTTTCCTTTTTTTTCCAAACAGTTTCCTTGAAGTTTTACAGAAATTTTTTCATTTTGATTGGTTCATGGACGAATTTCATCGATTTTTTCCTTTTTCTACTGACTGAAAAGACTTTTCAGACTGGAAAAAAGCGTATCAGACTTTTTAGATCGACTATGAAGCATCGGCTAGCGAAGACCGTGTCGTGGTCAATCGGGGAGTCGATCAGGCGCTTGATGAATGTCAGTTTTACACGAGAAAAAGCGCGGAATTCGCTATATAGCCGATTCACGGCTAGCTTGGAACTGTAGGGGGGCCTCTATGGGTTATCTACAAATAGGGCACGGTTATTTTTTAAAATCGTGTCAGGACCCTTTTTCAATGGCTTAAACCAGTCTTGAGTCAGCTATAGAAGTTTCTGCAGGTAAGGACGTCTACGAGGGGCTGCCGAAAATTTTGACGGAAGTGGCGCAAGAAGAGTCGATAAAACTGGGCCTCGAAAATACAAAATGCTGCTGCATTTACGTGCCGATTCTTGGCTATATGCTCGTGTTGCCCATCGATTTTCCTATTGACGAAAGGTGGTTTTCCGAAAAATAATATTCTAAAAAAACGTCGAAAATTGTTCAAATGTCCTACATTTAATTTATCTCCGAGAAAATTCTAGAAAAATTTTTAGACTTTTTTTAGTTGTTTGATATTTTTTTCCTTCTTTCACCGTGAATTCTAGGTCATAAGAAAAAAATTATGAAATTTTTTTTAACTGATTGAAATAGAAAAATCCCCTAAAGACTCAAAGACAAGTTACCATATTTTTTTGGGAAACGTTTTAATTTGAATTTTGAAGTTTAACAAAAGAAGAAGTACAGAGCGCCTCAATGTGCATTTTTCAAGTTTGCTCCAGCAAAGTACGTTTTCAATAGGCTGGAAAGAACGTTTTTTGCAATTATAAGACAGGGCTAGATGATCAGAAAATGTTTCCCTTAACGAACCAGAAAACTTGACAAGCGAAAGTTCGAATGAATTTCAATGGAAAATATCAGATTCCGGATGGTCTACACGACGAACACCACGATGCATGTGAAGAACGAGAGAATGGACAGACTTGATCAAGAAATGGGAGACATCAAGATGCAGATAGTCGACAAGGAAGCCTTGATTCAGATGAGGTGCCAAGGAATTTTTCGGATGTATTGACAGGATCCTTTCCAGGGTGAAAAAGTTGATCATGGCAGTGAAAAATGAGCTTCACAGCGCGGTGCGTGTTGTGGCGACACTCGACGCTATCATTTCCTTGAGCCTCGTATCGAGGGAAATGAAGTGCGTTTTTCGTGGGGTTCATTTTTTGAATTGATTTTATTAATTTTTAATCGAGTGAGAAACTATTGTCTAATAAGAATTCATATCCATTTTTTTAAAAAATATTTTACAGCAAAAAGTAGATTAGAAATTCTGATGCAGAGTTTCGACTTACTTTCACTAATTATACCCACTGGAGTTTGGGGAGCAAAATACCGAATCATCTCCATAATTTATTATGAAAATAGATTTTAGAACACTTTCAGGATTAAATATATAAATATAGTTCGAGGATCAATCCTATTTTAAGCTGGGTTTGTCCGGCACTGGTCGACGAATTGGTGATCTTCGTGAATGAAGGGACTCATCCTTTGTCGCAACTTGTCTCCAAGAAAAACTTCGTCCCGAATCCAATATCGTTCGTGAAAAAGTCTTGGAAATGGTTTCTCCATCTATTGAGTCAGATCTTGGAATGGCGAATCGAAAGTAAAGATCATCACAGGGCCGAACGCATGCGGAAAAAGTATATATCTAAAACAAGTTTGTGGTCCGATTATATTTGCCTGATCCTTTCTTTCTAGGTGGGCATAATCGTGTTTCTCGCGAGCATCGGAAGTTTTGTGCCGGCGAGAAAAGCGAAAATTGGACCGATCGACCTGATTATCACGCGGATGTACACCATCGACACGGTTCTCGACGGGTTGTCAACTTTTGCCCTCGATATTGGCCAGGTGGGAATATCAGGAGATGGAATACTTTATTCGCCGCTAGATTGGGAAAAAAAAACTACGCTTTTGCGCCCGCAGGTAGAGAACGCAACGTTGTAGATTAGCTGTATTGGTGAGCAGGAATTAACAAGAACAACTGACTAGGGAATGGTCTCCATTCGCAGTGGGACTTCTGAATGAGACTAGGTTCACTAGATGTAGTTTTTTACGCTGATTCCAAATCTGGTCTCAAAAACTGTCCTCGAGACCTGTGAAAAAAGTTAGGGGCTCTCAAAGTCGAAAAATTTTATGTCTTCGATTGAGCTCATTTTTGGAGGGTATATAGATCTTGTCCCTCTGGTCACGAAAAACCATCAAATTTCTCTCAAAAAAAATTCGGAGCCCAGATATGAACTTTCAAAGCCCCGCCTAACACAAGAGCATGCGAGCGCGGTGTCCTATGGCGATCCGACGGCTGTCGAAGCAACGGCAGCGAGGAGCAGTGGTAAGGCGGCGGACTGGGGATCACGAGGTCATAGGTTCGGTGCCCACGCTGTGCAAACTTTTTGCGATTTCTCCTTTTTTGGATACTTTCGTCTAACTGCTCCTTTTTTGAGTTTTGAGGCGTATAAACACGAAAAAACTGCGTTTTGAACCTATTCCAACAGCTGAAATTCTTTTTGTCGCAAATTTTTTTAATGAAATTTTCCGTGATTTTCCATGTGTATGAGCATGAGTTGGAGTGTCAAAATTTTCAGAAAAAATTTTTTTGGTTTTTCTTTTTTTCTTTTTCCAAAAGCTGTCTGAACCGAAGTCATCACAGCTACGCTGACCGACCACAGAAAAAAATTTTTTTCTTCAAAAAACCCTTCGTTATTTGCAGTGGGCTCACCTATGACCATCGCATTTTGCCGAAAAAAAGAGAAAATTCCCGCGATTTGCCCCAAATGGAAAAGATTGAAAATGTCCAAAAAACTTATATCTCAAAGAAACTTCATTTTCTTATTTTCAGTTTCTTTTTTATTTTGGAACTTTCTACTCGCCGAAGTCTGACTATAATCTTTCAAAAATTTTTCATTGAACGGAAGTTTTTTTAGTGAGGTTTTTTTCTATTAATTTTATTCACGGATCAAAGGAAGCCTCCTTGATCCGTGAATAAAATTTTTGCTGAAACTTTATTCACGGATCAAGGAGAGCCTCCTTGATCCGTGAATAAAGTTTCAGCAAAAACCTGAATTAAATTTGGGTGATTTTTTTCTCTCGTGAAGAGGTAAGTGAGCACCGCAGTCTGAAAAAAATTATTGAAAATTTTCCGCATCATCTATCAGCGTAGCTGTGATGACTTCGGTTCAGACAGCTTTTGGAAAAAAAGAAAAAAAGAAAAAAACCAAAAAAATTTTTTTCTGAAAAATTTTGACACTCCAACTCATGCTCATACACATGGAAAAATCACGGAAAAATTTCATTAAAAAAATTTTGCGACAAAAAAAGAATTTCAGCTGTTGGAATAGGTTCAAAAACGCAGTTTTTTTCGTGTTTATACGCCTCAAAACTCAAAAAAGGAGCAGTTAGACGAAAGTATCCAAAAAAGGAGAAATCGCAAAAAGTTTGCACAGCGTGGGCACCGAACCTATGACCTCGTGATCCCCAGTCCGCCGCCTTACCACTGCTCCTCGCTGCCGTTGCTTCGACAGCCGTCGGATCGCCATAGGACACCGCGCTCGCATGCTCTTGTGTTAGGCGGGGCTTTGAAAGTTCATATCTGGGCTCCGAATTTTTTTTGAGAGAAATTTGATGGTTTTTCGTGACCAGAGGGACAAGATCTATATACCCTCCAAAAATGAGCTCAATCGAAGACATAAAATTTTTCGACTTTGAGAGCCCCTAACTTTTTTCACAGGTCTCGAGGACAGTTTTTGAGACCAGATTTGGAATCAGCGTAAAAAACTACATCTAGTGAACCTAGTCTCATTCAGAAGTCCCACTGCGAATGGAGACCATTCCCTAGTGAGTTTATATAGGCTGAGTGGAGAGATCCCGAAGACTGGAATGTTCCTGGAGAAAGGTGGATTATAGAGTATACTAGGTAAGGAGTATAGTGAAAATAAAAACAAAACATGAGTTGGTTATGTCCCTGTTCTTTGGCCAAATCTGGATTTCTAACTAGTTGACTATTTTTTAACGATTCTGAAAGCGTCAAAATTGAAAAAATTTGGAATTTGCACAGATATCGGTTGCGTTGCGACGCTCTACTGGGAAATCGTTGGTTATCATTGACGAATTCGGCAAGGGTACCATGGTGGTCAGGAGTTCCCTTCTTTTTGGTGCTTAAATTTTGATATTTGTCCAGGAAGTGGGTCTTTCGCTGCTCGCTGCCTGTCTCACGTATTGGATTCAGCGAGGTTGGATTCCTCCTCAAAAAAAATTTTTTTTTCGCTTTTTAGGTGTCGAAGATTGTCCACATTTATTCCTATCTTCGCATTTCCACGCACTCCCGAAATACATCCCTTACACGGAGACTTTCGTTTCTTTCCATGTAAATTCTCAAAAGCTAAGGGGTCATGGTGACAATACTTTCGCAGGGTTTTCTGAGTTTCAGTATTTTAGTAGTTTGAGAAAATTTTGAATCCTTCAAACTGGCACTTCAAACAGCTGTAAAAACTCGGTAATGAGGATTTAATAACAAATAGAATATGAACTTTTCTAGAAGGGAAGGAGGGTGATGTATGTAGATAATAGATCACGTGGAAGATGAAAACCACTATATGAAGGTCTGTTCTCACAGACCCTCACGAAGAACCTCCCCCTTGCCGACAACGAAGACGACTGCGACACACCCGATGAGTCCACGATAACTTTTATGTTTGTGTGTGCGTGATCGTAACGGAACAAAGTCTATTCATCCTTTTATTAAAAAGGCAAGTAGAAATAGGAGATCAGGCGCCATGGTTGGTCGGGGCGACGCGGAACCATCGGGTGTGTCGCTGTCGTCGTTGTGGACCAAATACTCTTTGGCCTGGCCTAAATCCTTCTCCAAGCTGCCCAGGCCGAATGCCAACCCATTAAGGGCGTTTAGCAGGCCCTCGTGGATTTGGATTAGGTTTGGCTCGCTCAGGGTGGCTCGAAGCGTCTGATCGACCTGCCCTGTCAGGACGTGGTCGAGCTTCGGAGCCGTTGCCACCGTCGTTGCCACCAAGGCGATCTGCAGAGAGGAGATTAAAATAATCTGAGATAGCTCACCTTCTGGTATGCCGGGTCTCTGTCGCTCCATACCTTGAAGGTACCCCTCATCCAAGACTTCACCAGGGAAGCCGTTGGCTCCGGTGGCTTTACCCTGGCTAGGGCCGCGTTTTGTGGTGGAGGGGGCGGAGAATGGACTTCCTCAGCTGAATACAACACCTCTCTTATTCGTTGTCTTCTTGCTCGAACCTGCATCTCTAAGCTCAGCTAGCTTATCATCCCGCTTTTGAGGGGTCCGCCCGAGTAGCATTGCGCCTCTGGCTACACACCTTGTAGTTGGGCGCGAGTTGTTCGGAGGCTTGATTTTTTGGTAATGACGTCCACTGGTGTGACCAGTGAGATCGGCTCACGCGATCTGATAGATCACGTGTAAGCCGAAGATTTTAAGTTCAGATAAGAAGGCAGGATGGGTAAAGCAACTTGAACGTTTCGGAGTATTTTATAATAGAAGATCAGGCGGCTGGTCGGGACGACGCGGACCCATCGGGTGTGTCGCTGTCGTCGTCGTTGTCGGCACGGGCAAGGTGAATGAAATGAAATGTTTATTCTTCGCTCACAGACAGAATTCTGTGGCGTGGAGGAAGATAACCAGGAAAGTTACATAGTCGTGAGAGTTTGTGAGAACGGACCTTCATATAGTGGTTTTATCTCCCACGAGATATATTATCTTCATACACCACAGTTACCGATTAATTTACAGTGATAGAAAATTTTCAAGATGTTATCCAAAGCTAAGAACTCGTTTTCAACGCGAAAAAAAATCAAGAAAAAATCATTAGGATTTCAAATCTTCGCAAATTTATGCAGAGCTCTTCGAATCCTTCAATCCACCATATTGTGGAAAGATTTATTTTATCTTCGATAAAAATTTTTATCGACTTTCCTATATTCAGTCGTTCCTCGTGAATCGGAAAAGAAGTAGGATCGACTACTTTTACAAATTGGTGGAGGGAATCGTCGACTGTTCGTTCGCCATCAACACGGCGCGCGAAGAACTTGTGGAAAATAGCGTTCTTCTCCGAGCTTTCGAGGAATCATTCCGGGGGAAAATAAAATAGAACGGGAATTTTATAGATCTACGAGCACATGAGGAACGGCGACTCGCTGATCAACGTGCCCATCGCGAATTATGGCGAGCGCGAGGAAGAGATCTGTCGAGTCATGGAAAGCGCTTTGTACGATCCAAGACTTATTTTTGGTTTCTTCTCACTACTTATTATTCAGGGATGAATTCGTGAAGTTTGACGTCGAGAAAGAATTGGCCGAGTTCAGCAAGTTCACTCTGGACCTCGTCAAACAGATCGCCCCTCTGGAACCGGAATGTTCCCTTGAAAAGGAAGAGGAGCCTCAGCTGAAATGGCTGAACGAGAAACCGGCAATCATCAACGTAAATTCTGAATTTATTTCTCGAAAAAAAAAATTCATTTTGATTTGTCAGAAATTTTAAATCATTCTTCAATTGTACCTTCCTTTAAGAAAATTGGAGAGCTTTCAAAAATAATTTTGTTTCAGAGGAGATCTTCTCAACGCGAAGATGACGAGGTCGTCGAAGAATCGGAGGATGAAATGACCGGAATGACTCAAGAGACGGAAAAATCTTCTCGAGAAATCAACAAAAGCATTTTGCGTGATTCTACGTTGAACAGAAATGATCGAGGGTAATTTTTGATCGACATGAAAACAAAACACATAATTAGGAAGCTTTGAGAGATTCAGTGGGATAATTTCGGGAATTATTAAAGATAAAAGGGTCAAATGTATTCATAAAGCGTCAAAAAGTTTTTTTTTTTTGAAAACGGTTTTTTTTTCTTGAAAGAAGGAGTTACCTGAAAGGCTTTTCTGTTGTTTTGCTCTAACTTTTCTTCATTTTTCCCTACTTCAAATGTCCGGAAAGTATGTCAATTAATATTTTTTCAGAAATTTGTCTGTTTCGTTCGCTTTTGAAAGTCAAGTGAATCAAGAAGAGGATTCTTCTTTCTTCAAAACTTTCGGAGTTCCGATGAGCGCTTCAGAGAAGTATTATACCTCTAGATGATCGTTTTGCATTCAAGTGATGAACTTGCAGCAGCACTCCTGAAGTTAGGCGAAAAAAGTCTTCGGTTTCAAATATGGCAACTCCCGCGGTAGTTCCTAACTCTGCGCAAAGTGTCAGGTTTTTTGGTAAAAAAACGGCTGCAAGACAGAATTTCACAATAATTAGAAGCACTCCGCGGGTCTCTGCGCAACTACCACAAAACACTCCGAAAAAGACTCCGAGCGACAATCATACGTTTGATTTAATCGCTACTTCCTTTTTTAAAAATATATCAGTTCAGAGAAAAGAGAGAAAGTTTCATCGAACGGAAAAACTCAATAACTGCACGTCCAGTCCCTGACTCTACTCAAAGCATGAAGTTCGTTTTGTAACGATTTTATAATAAGTGAAATTTCTTGAACTGCTCTTCAAAATGGACGATGGGATTAAAATTTCAATCAAGCTTATTAAAAGAAAATCCATTCTTATACTGTTTTATCATAAAAAAAATTACACGGGTTTTTTTTCCGTCACACCTCCAGTGATCAATGTCCTTTCTCCTTTCTTTGTTAATTTTTCACCTCTGTTTCAATCCTGTTTTTTTTCTTACTTTTTTATCAGTGAAATATTACGCTTTCGAGTAGTTACTTCAAAAAGAATTTGTATTATTATGAATTTTCTCTTCGAAATAAAACAAGAGGAAAAATCTTGGGGTAACCGTCAAGATCCGAAAACGCAGTGCGTTAGAGCTGAATCACGGCTAGGCTGGAAAGCAAAGGTGCGGAGCATCTTCACCAACCAGGCACTATCTCTTGAATTATTGTGTCAGGACCCTTTTTTCAATGGCTGAAGCCAGCCATGAGTGAGCTATACAAAGAATTTTTTTCACCAATTTCGTTTCATCGCCCAATTTGATCTTATAGAACGCCTACAGAGCGCTCTAGACCTGCTGTTCTTTCTTCTCGTGCTGCAGCTACCATCCGGATGAAGTTGTTTCAACTGATAACTTTTTCTCAGCTTCTTCCGTTTCAGCATGGACGAAAGTTCGCGGCCTTCTCCGAAACGTGAAAAGCCCCCAAACACTCCAGTCTTCACTCAAAAAAGTATCACCGGGTTCGTTTTTTCTTTCCATATTTCTTTGCTGAGTGGTGGAGTTTTTCACTCATAAAATGAGAAATTAAAAAAAAAAGTTTCAGAAGCGTTCGGTCCGCTGCGGAATCGTTACAAAAGACTCCTGGAAGTCTTTCCAGCGTCCGTCCCGGGTTGGATTTTTCTCGTTGTTTCCTTCTGAATATAGCAGTTCAGAAAAAAGAAGATGAGCCTCACAGAATGGAAGAACTCAATGATCGCGCGTTCACAACCTGATTCTCTACAAAAGTTTGATTCAGAAAAAATATCAAAGAGAAAAAATGATCCTAATTCAAAAAAAGAAAAAAAAAAGTTAAAAGCTTTTGCTTTACCGCGGCGAACTTCTGGAACTTTTTCTCAGAATAACTTTTTTCCAGACTACTTTGAAATACTTCTATTAATAACTTTTCATATATCCCTTGAACTGAAATTTTTCAGGAGAAAAAGTGAAGATTTCATGGGACGAAAGAAGTCGATTATTGAGCGTGTGCTCCCTGAATTTTCTCAAAAAAAGAAGTTCGTTTGAGAAGCAGTTCTAAAAATATACTCGAATGTTAAGTGAGTCTCAAGAGAAGCGTTCCAGAATTACTGCTCCACGTGCTCCACTGAACATCTATTGGTTATTCATTTGATTAAATGGTTCCCTCAATTTCTTCCGTTTTAGCCTTGACGAGTTTTTTCGTTCTGATCCGATGCCTGAAATTCTGTCACATACCTCAGTTGCCAGTCGAAACAGTCCGATAGAGTTAATTCAATCAAACTTCTCCATTCTCATTTTTCCGGATTCAGAGAAGATCAAAGTGTGGCGGAGGCCGAAGTTTCTCCACGGGCAGGACATCAAAATGTCGCGAATCGTCCAAATACTCCAGCTCCCATGCAGAAAGATCCAATGGAGTTTTTTATACTGTAAAGATTAGTTCAATTATTTTTTGATTTAGAAGGCATCAGAGCGTCGCGAATTCTCCGTATACTCCGGTTCCCATGCAAAACCGTCCGATGGAGTTAATTGGAATTGTTGAAACACTTTAGTTCCGTTTTTTGATTTTAGAAAGCATCAGAGCGACGCAAATTCTCAATTTACTCCACTCACAGTTCGAAATATCGATTCAAGGTGGGTTCAACTGGGTTAAAACAGAAATATTAACTAAGAGCTTCGAGCACTAAAGGAATTTATAAATTTCAGAGGAAATAATTGGCAAGTAAACGAGAGATTTTATTCAAGTAGTATTCAAAAATATAACTTGCAGTTCGTTAAAAATTAAAAAAAAGTTTTATTCGTACGAATGCTGAAAAAGATTCGCTAACCGAATTTTTATAGTATCTGGTCGTATATAGAAACAAGTTCTTTACAAAAAATGGGGAAAGGTGAAAAATAAATCAAAAACTGAAGGAATCACAGGGCGAATCCGCATAGGTTTTTCATTTTGTTTTTAGAAACTCTGAAGTTCAAAAATTTTTGTTCAGTTAGAAATATAATTGAATCTTCTCTTCTACCTTGTTTTCAGAATTTATCACAGTGTCGCAAGCGCAAAGGTTCCTCAACATCTTTCAATTTCCATGCAAAACAGTTCGATGAGGTAATTAAAAAATACGGAAACGTTTTATTAACTTCTTTTTTGTTGTAGAAGGCGCCAAGGCGTCGATATTCCTCCACACGTTCCACTTTCCATGCGAAACAGTCTTATAGTGTTTATCAGTATCTGTAAAGCTTTTCTCATTTTTTTTTTTGCTTCCAGAAGGCAAGAAGGTGTCGGTAAAACCGAAACTCCGTCCCATGCTCCATTTTACACCCCTAACAACATGATCGGGTCTTGAGACTGTTGAGATTTTTGATTCCCCTTTTTTGTTTCAGAAAGCGCCAAAGTGTCGATATCCCTCCACATGTTCCACTATCCATGCGAAACAGTTTTATGGGGTAGTTCAAATAATTGAAACTTTTTTTCAAATTTCATTTTGTTTTTAGAAGGCATCAGAGTGTAGAAAATACACCGCGTACTTCAGTTTCCGTACGAAACAATCTGGAGGGGTTTATTGATAAAGTGAAGCTTTCCCCATATATTTTAATTTCAGAAAACATCAAACAATGGGTTCATATACTCCAAAAAAAGTTCAAAATACCGGTTCAAAGTAATTTCCGAGTAAATATGATTAAAAATTTTGCGTGATTTGAAGAGACAGTACTGGAACGGTTCAGCGAAACAAAGAGGACTTCAATTTCCAAACTCCTGTTCTTTCGCAAAATTTCCGTTTCGAGTTGGTTCCTCTCTTTCATATCTAACACAATCTCCAAATTTAGCAGTAATCCACGAAAAGACTCGCAGCGTTCAAATATTCCGCAAAAGTTGAACAATCCGGCTTCTCATGAGTTCTATCAACCTATATAACTCGGAAAAGTCGATCAATTTTCAGGTTTGGCCAGAGCAGCAGTCAATTCCTGAGAGAAGCTGTCAACACTGCAGGACTTTTTCGAACGTCAGTTCATTTTTTAAGCTCCCAAGCGAACGGCTTTATATTCTTGAACATTTACGGCGTTAATGAGTTCTAAAAACCAAATATCTCTCTTTACACTACTTTACGAGTGTACCTGATTTTGTACACACATTCACGTTGTTTCTCATGAACCTTTAAAGTTTCAAGCGATATTTGAATTTTCTTATCAAAACTTAGCTTTTCACTCGTTTTCTTAAATATTTTATCACTGAACTCAAATTTTCATTCCAACTTCTTTTCAAAGGCAAACTTTTGAGAATTTTTTCAACTTCTGCCGAAATTTCCAAACTGAAGTCTCAAAGCTCCACATTGAACGTCTCATGTTACAGGCCGGTGGCAACGCGTGAGAAATCGCACTTTTTCGAGACACCGACCAAAGGAACGCCCATGCTCAATGACAGCTACAGGATCCAAGACTTTTTGGAGACGGGCGATCAGAAGGAGAGAAACTCCGGGAGACGTTTGGAGAAAGCGCCCGAAGCGACGGTTCTGGTGACGCCGGTCGGACAGTTCCTGAGGACGCCCCAGGGTTCGCAGCCGCCAGCGTCTCTCCGGTTCTCGCAAGTCCCACAGCTTCAACGTAAGCGGAAGCGCTCCTCTTCGAGGTAAAATTATAACTTTTTTTTTCATACTGTGCTATCAATCTTGTCAAATTTGTTACGTCTTCTATGGCTTGTTTTTCTGTAATATTGTTATCAGTGTTCCATATAGCTTATTTGCTTGTAAAATCCAAGGTACTTGTATATTAATTATGTTCGCTTGATTATCATAATAGAAATTTATGTCAGAGTTAGCAAAAATTTACAGATGAATATTATGAAAATTGAGCACCAGCGTGTAATGATGATGTAAGACAAACTTTAGCACAATAACAGTGTGAAAATAGGAAAATTATGCATGCAATATGTGAGTTTTGGCAAGAAATGCTCTAAAAAAGCAAAGTTGAATAATCTACCGGGATGGTCATTGGATGATTCTATTTTCTACCTGGTCAGACGACGATCAGAACGATAAGAAGTGCGGCGACGGCCACGGCGAACAGCGCCATAATTATGTAAAGGAACGTGATACCATGTAGTGGCTGAAGACATTCAATTCTTATGATAATGCGATAAAGAAAAACCTTGCTGTTGATTATTTTGGTTGCGGTGATGACCCGTCCATTGTCGTCGTAACGAGCTCCGCGATGTCGCATTTCATAGGTCGATGCCACTTTCGACGTATCCTTCGTCTTCAGATGCGTCAGAACCTTCAAGAACTTTTATTTCGATATTCCTTGATAATGAATTTGAAAAAAAAATGTTTTCTAGAAGATGACTTTGATGATCATTTTAGTTGTTTTTTGGAGTTTTCGACGCGTCCGAAGCGATTTAACTCCACTAAAAAGAAAAACGTGAATTTTTCATCTTTTTCCATGAATTTGCAAGTTCTACAAGCGTCTCAGCAAAGTTTAATCAGCTCAAGGAAAAAAAAGAAGTGTGTATATTTGCATATCGCTTGTTATATGTATTACCTCAAAAAGAACAAACGCAATAACGAGAATGACAATGTAGAAAATGACGACGGCGAGGCCCCAGCTGGGATCTGACCACAGAGAGACGAAAGAGTTGGCGGCGATGAAGATGGATATCACTGAAATGTACGCGTTGAACCCAGGAGAAGACAGTTCTGGACAAACAGGCCAAGGTGAGGCCGATGAATCCGAGAACGCGATGGCTCCAGTTGAAGATTGGCCGGGCGCCAGTGTCCGGAGCACATCGCATGAGCGACATGATTGGCTGCACCAGGGCAATCAGCACCGCAATCGAACCCAACTTGAACCAAATGTTTAGATTTTGACCAATTTATCATTTCTGGATAATAAGACGACAAGTTCTTATTTGCTAACAGTTAGCTTAAAGATTTACGGTCCAATTTGAAATTTTGATGAAAATTGGGGGAAATTTACGTGTAATTACACTAGACTTCCAAACTCTGCAAACTAAACAAATTATAGTTCCTAAAAAGCGTTTTAACTTTTTTTCTTTGAAAAAAGAACGTGTGAAATAATCTAGTCAGGTTTTATCAAAAGTTCCACATGAATCCAGAAACGCTTTCCTTTTTTAGAAAAAATTCAAAAATTCGCTGGCTTTTTTAAATCTAAAAAGAGGACAATTCCTCACTTTTTCTCAAATTTTGGACCTTCTCTCCTATTTTTTTTAATCCAGGAAGATCACTAACCAAGGAATGTATAGCGCCGGGATTGGTGTTGTACTCCGAGTTCATTGACGCGACTGGACCTGTCCAGGACCAATCTTTGGCGATGAAAACGAGCAAAGTGGCGAGAATGACAAGAGGAACGGCCAGTGCATTGAGCGTCCGATGGATCTGAAGCTCCAGAGGTGGGGAACAAGAATACATGGGAGAGTGCGTACGTGGAACCACCATTTGAGGCCTCCGGGGCTCGACGACGGGAAATGATCTCGGAGATAACGAGCACTGAGGATGGCCAGCGCCACGCAAACCATCCAGGCGATGATCATCAGAACTCCGTGGATTTTGATCAGCCAGAATCGTGCGCTTTTTGAGAGGAAAGTCTGCTCCGTCGCAGAGGCGACCGTCGTTGTGGCTTCAACACGGATTATTGGAAGATTGACCCTTTTTCCATAGGAATTTATTTTTGAAAGTGGTAAAAAATGAGCAAAACGATCAACCTTTTTCGGTGAACTTCCCTACTTTTTTTAAAATGAAGAATTAAAGAAAAAAATGGCTCAAAAAAAATTTTTATTTTAAATTAACCTCCCCGGGAAAAATGATGAATTTCAACTTCAAAGTTCAAAAAAACTTTTTTTAAGAGGAAAAAGCGCAAAAAGCTACTAGAATTAAAACGTGAGCCAGACCCGACTTTTTTTCCCCATTTTTTTCATGAGCCACTTTGTGAATTTTTCTAACATTTGCAGCATACTTTCCAAAAAAGTGAACTTTTTGAAATAATTATTTACCTGCGATTTCTGGCAGAGGCTTGCCTACGGCGACTTTTCGGTCCGAAATGAATGGAAAATCGGGAGATGAAGGGTCCAGCGAGTGGATTCCAAGAGCTGAAAGATTTGCCTGAACCTTCAGTTGATGATTTCTACTCACATCTCGCCTGACGAGTCTTTCCTCGAACCACGAAAAGCTGATGTTCTTTGTTCAGATCGGGGAAATATGAGTGCTTTCCCTGGAAAGTTCTAATTATGCGCGTTTAGAAGAATATAATCTAAAGAATTTTTTTCAAAGGGGCAGTTAAAAAAATGAAATTAAATTTTCTATACAGTGTTCAAAGTTAAAATCGACTTTTCTCGACTTGAAACGGCAAAGTGTGGTATTTACGTTTTTTTTTTTGGCGCCAATTCAAAAAATAATCGCAAATTTATGGGAAGCACATTACTTTTTGAGGAAATTACTAACACGTGTAAACAGCGTTTTTTGAAAAGTGTTTGATGTAAATTAATCATTTGTGATCCGAAAAGTAGGAATATCTGAACTGCCGCCAAAAACGCATCGCTACCGCTTTCTTTAGAAGGACCTACTTTTCGAGCCAAAAAAAGGATCATACCAAGGTTAATGGAAAAATATTTTTCGTAAGCTTCTAAGGAAAAGGTCATTCAACATTGTTTCAACGTTGACAAAAATAAATTTAATAACAGAAACTTCAACCAACATCGCCGCTCTTCTGCCTAATCTGGCAGTACATTCCCTTCTCGTCTTTGTGGGCGTGCACCAACTCCAGATCCACCTTTTCGAGGTCCTGAAAAGGCGAATTGAATCAGATCAAGACTGAAATCGCACCAAATCTTCGGTTTCTGTTGGAGCGGCGTTGCTCTTCCCGAAATTGTAAGTGACATGGGCTTCTGGAGCCGCGCCGTCAGGAAAAGCGCAATGAGTCACGGGATCGTCGCCCTGGAAAAAAGGCTTCCTTCTGTCAAAGTTACCATAATTTTTTTCAATCGATCAATTATATTTTGTATAACTCATTCAAGAAGATTCGAAAAAGTCTTTTCGGATGTAGAATGGCTCAACGAGTTCCGATATTGTTTCAGTTCAAGTTTGGACTAAAAGCATAAAATGCCTAGCTGCCATAACCGTCTCTGGAGCTACAGTACCTTTTCGTGGCGATTCATAATCGGGCGATGAAATCATCCTTAAATAGCGCTACCATTTCCGATTTTTTCTGATCCAACAGTTTGTAAAATAGTCAAAAATGCAGCGTTATTGTAGGATCATCGTCCTACGTGAAGCAAAGACACGGCAGATACTGTAGCAAGAGTAGAGGCGGGAAGTCCAAAGAATCTAATCTCTCCCACTATAAAATGGGCTTACTGACGTGTCTGTGCCCTCTCATCTCATTCCCACAGTAATGGAGAAATGAAAACGGAGAAATAATAAGAAAGAAAAATAACGAGAACACGGACAAAACAGAATTTTTCAAGTTAAGGCGAATGAAATACTGGGAAATTTTTAGTGGCCGTTTTAGTGGCCTCTATAGTGGTCGAATTAGTGTCTGAACTTTAGAGGCCTCTTTAGAAGTCTAACTGATACTACATATCACTAAAAACGGCTATAGAAGCCAATAAGGCGCAAAATTTTAGCTTCTATTGGAGTGGTTTTAGTGGCCACTTTAGTGTCTTCTCCAAGTAGTATTTGAGAAACCTTTAGAGCAGAAACGTGCATTAAAACTTCATTTTTTGATTATTTTTGGCAAAAATACTTCCCCATCAAAACTGACCATCAAATCGTCCGACGAGAAACCGATAGCCAAATAATTGTTGTTCGGCGAGTCCAAGGTGCTAAAAGACACTTGTAAAAAGAAGAATGATTTTAGAACTTCTAAAATGGTATTCAGACAGAACTGGTTTCAGAAGTGATTATAAGGCGCAATTTCAATGAAAAATAAACGTTCTCAAAAAGACGAACAATTCATAAAAATGCTAGAAAATTCTAAAACAATTTTTTTGATATATACTGTTTTTCAGACATTCTGTATGCCTTTCCGGCAAGCAAAAAAAAGCAAATTATGCTCACTTGGGGAGAAAATTTCACCAAATCATTCATTTTTTTTTTCGATCAAAACATGAAATGACAGTTTCATGCAAACCTGTGCATTTCCATTTCGGTCCAGCCGTTTTCGCGCGGCGCGTAAGAGAACATCTGTCGGCAGTTGTTTGTATCCTAAAATAAACTGAAAGTTAGAAGCACTCTGTTTTTTTCTGTACCTGACACCCGTGCGGTACAAATATACATTGCTTCTTGAAGCCGCATTCCGAACTGTTAAAATGCGCCGAGACCAACTGAAAATATATATCCTTGAGTGGAAAAACCGAGCAAAAAGATAAAAACTGAACTTTTGATCAAGAAAAACCTGCGAAACTTCACTCCTCCTGATTTTGAACGAATATAATTTTTTGAAAAGTTAAAATCAATCTTTTCCTATTGTTTTCAGTTCTCGCTGAAAATTCGAAAGATTTTCGAAATTATTTTTCCCAAAATAAGCAAGGTTTTCTGGATCTTACAAAGTGGAGAAGGAACATTTTCATAATTTGAAAAAAACCCGTATTTTTTTGAACAAGTTTTCTGTTGAGTAAAAAGAAAAAAACCGCTGGTGCGCGATTTATTTCACCATTTTTTTATGCATAATAAAAAGTAAAACAATCGAATAAAAACCTTTTATTATAATCGAATTTTTTTGCAATTTCATGATGATAACATCTTTTTGAAATTTAAAACTTACCGCGACAAGCGTAAGCCCGAGAACCACAGATCGGCTCATTTCAAAGAGCTCGCTAAGTTCTCAACTTGAGCTGAATATCTGAAATAATTGTTTTGCGTGATTCGAAAAAAGAGAATTGCAAGTGAAGAAAAAGATGAGGAACTTCAAAGCCGATTTGGAAGGCAATACTTGTTGGATTTTTGAAAGAGAAAGTATACGATACGAAGTGAAATAAATGCGAGTCGACGCTTGATTCGGAAGAAGACTTTGAGAGTAGGAGATGAGTCAGTTATGTTTTAGAGCCTATAGAAAGTTGTATTGATGACAATTCTTCACGAATGATGACTTGAGGTACCTCAACAGAAAGAATTTCAGCACGAAGAACTGAAAATAAACTCTAAAAGGAGAACACGACGAAAAATGCAGAAAAACAGGCGAACGTACAAGATGACCTTGGTCGACTCAATGCATTGGCAAAGGAAGAAAATAAGGGCGGGAAAAAAAAAGAAAAATAGCACGACCAGCCACTCTTTTTGCTCTATACCGATCAAACAATAGAAACTTGAAGGCTCTGAGACGCCGTTATTATGTACCCCCAAAAGGTTCCTTTTGAAGTGAGTTTGTATTGAAAGCGCCATACTTTGCTAATTCGTGACCGAAAAAAGAAAGACAGAAATTCATCATTTCTCCTCGCCGGAAAATTCTTGAAACCTAAGAAATAATCAAATTAACTCGCTGATATTCTTTAAACTTGCCAATTTTTCAGAACTTTCAAGAAAATTGACAACTGACGCAGAAGAAAAGAATTCACCTAAATTACCAGGAAACAAAGAACAATAGACCGTAAATGGCAAAGTCGTTGATCAGTAAAGTTCTATGTGGTCCGGTTCTCCTCAGAATAGTACTACTAGCTGGAAAATGTTCAAAAAAGGCATGCCGTGAGCTCGAAAAGATTTTCATAATAGTTTTCGAACGGGGAAACCCTAAACTCAGTGGACCTTGAAACGATCACCCGCCGGAAGCCTTTTTTGCTCGTTTGAAAATCTCAACAAGCATTATGAGCACTTTACTAAATCCCCTGTTCGAATTACTTTTTTGAAAATAATTTCATGTTTAACATTAATAGTTTTTAATCGCTCGCCCATCAACGGATCAATATAAGAGTGAGAAGCGGAAACAGAAGCCTCACATATAATTAGAATTAATCGTTCTCATTGAAGTTTTCCCATTAATCCTGCTGATCAAACTGGGAATTGGAAAAAAAACAGCAACGTGCAAACTGGAACATTATCGACGCCTTTTCTTCACAAACGACTAAAATTTTAAACTGAAATGAAACTAACAGACAAGAGGTAGGCTAAAAATTTTTAGAAATATTGTCGGTCTATTGATGTTATCAAAACATTTTTATTGGGATAAACCAGTTTTCCTTCTTCTCATTTCTCCCACTATATCGTCGTCCACTCTGAAGAAGCTTATTTTTGTTTCAAATCAACTTTTTCCAGTAATCCGGCAAGGAGAACTAGGCAACATTGAAAAATTTCGATACTTTGACCAACTTAAGAGTCAAAAGTTGCCAAAATGAATCGAATAAAACGATGACTCGGGTACTTGAAGTTCGACCTTTCGAAATCATCCAAGTCGAAAAAAAAAACTAATGAATTGAATAAAAAAAATGATGACGATTTTCGTGCAAAAGTAGGACGCACTTCGAACTGAAGAAGGAAAACAGGGAAAATTGAAGGAAGTGCAAGGGTGGGGTTGCCAAAAAAAACAGGTATTTACCGCCAGGAAGAGAAAAGAAACAATCACCAGAATATATATTCTTTCAAAACGTTTGAGTAGCCTCTCTCTTATAATCTGCGCAGTGAAAAAATCGGGAAAGAGAGAAAAACGGATCAAAAATGTTTTGAAGGAGACGACTTAATCATTTGACCGAGTTTCGTTTCATCAAGATCGAATCTTCTACTTGTCGTTTGAAGGTCGCAATATTTTTTTTGCTGGTAAGAACAGATAAGAATCTAGTCTTTTTTTCATTGCTATTGAACCCATGTCATAACAAGAGGTGTGAATGAAAAGATTAGAAAAACCCGTTTCTGAAGTTTCTTTCTCTATCTGAATCACATTGCAAACAATCAACGCAAAAAATTCTTGCATATACAGAAATTATACGGTTGGAACGTATTGAAAATAACTTTGAGCGTTTTACGAAAAATTAAAATCTTTGATAAGAAAAGATAATGGAAACGGAATAGGAAGGGGGGAAGCTGTGACACGAGGAAAGTTACCAGTTGGTTGTTTTGCCCAGTGGCATCAGACAAACTACGGGAACGAAGCCCCGTATCAACCGAAGAATCCCAACAGCCAGTCCTGTTTTTCTCATCACTTCCATCAAAATAATCACGCCGCCTTTGATTGAGATAACAAATTGGAGAAAATAACAAAAGTATTCATAATTTTGCTCGAATATCGCGTCGTTTTTGGAATAAAATTTTTTTGGCAAGTACTTCTTCTTCATCAAAACTTTTATTCATGACTGGAAGGATGGACCCTCCTGAAAAATGAATCATACACGTCGAAACGCGAAATAAGAAGCGAGAAAGAATCGTACGAATCATAGTCACGTTTTAACGAAAATTCTAGCTTTTTATTTAACATTTAAATCTAGTTCCATTTTTTCAATAATACATTGAAACTTTTGTCTAATTGCTCTTAGAAATTTCATAGTTTTCGAATGAAAAATCGCATGAAATAAAAAAAAGCAAAGACACGCCAAGGTCGCTTGAACGTTGGTTTTTCGCTAATTCCTGTTTGTCATAAACATGAGCAAATAGAATCGAAACCGAATCGCGTACAGTAATTTGTCGTGTACATTGAAAGAGTCACAAATAGTACAAAAAAGTTTATTTTTTCGATTTTCGGGTCGAATCATGAAGTAAAAAGAAATTGAGTACTAAGAATTATGCATAAAAATAACGGAGCACATTAGTAGACAACATGAAAGTGATTTCATGAGACTAACCGTATAAGTTTTTTCTGGAAAAAACCACACAAAAATTGGAAAATAATCGCGGAAATTTAGGAAAAATTCTAACCGCGTCAAAGTCAGCGTTCAAACTTTATTAAAAATTAACTTTTGACCAAAATCAAAAGCAAAAATTCATCATCTGGAAGAAAGTCGAAAAAAAAATCTGCTGTCAAATGCGCGTTATAAAAAAGTTCTCTGTAAAACAATAAAAATAAATTGACCTACAATAAACCAAAAACTATTCTAATTTTGATCTCTTATTCTATAAATTTTTCTTGGAAAAGTAACAAATTATGGCGACAAAAAGAAGAGTGAACAGAAAAAAAAACTTTAGAAAGCAGATTGAAACAGTCACGCTAGATTTTGGAGAACAAATTAGCTCTGTATATCCCCGTTTTTGAAAACGCGGACCGCAAAACCGGAAAACAGGGAAATTGTGAAGCGGCCGTCGATCGACTCTTCTGACATGCGGTAACGAACTGCAGAGAAGAATGATGACGCCGATTCTATGTGTGTAATTTGGTTTTCGGTTGGGTTAAGAGAGAAATACAGTCGAGTTTGTTTTCCGTTAGCTTTTTTGAGGGTAAAAACTCTGTATATTTCTTGAAAACCAATACCAGCGCCTAGTTTGGAAATGGGTGGACTCAGTTATTTACAATAGTAAGAAAAGGGATATCGAGATGGAATTCTTCAACAAAATTATGAAAAACTTTAAGAAAAAATTTCTCCTACAGAAATCTTCAAAGCGCAGCGCCCATCTACCATTTCATTGAATTCAAGTGCCATCGAAAACAATTAGGCGAGTGAAAAGAGAAATCAACATATATTGTGAGAGTCAAATGGGCGGAAGCTTATCGAAAACCAGTCCGAGAGCGAATGAAAAAGCTAAATTCCGCGCAGATTCATAATTTTGAAGCTGCTTCTGGGAGATCGGCGACAGAGAAAAAATAAATCTTTGTAAGCCAACCAGTTTTCGAAAGTGTGTAACTGAATTAGCTCTATTTTCTCTAAGAAACTGAAGAAAAGGCATTATTGTCTAATAAATGTTTGAAAATCTAGTATTTTGTTCAATTTTCTGGAATTTTAGTACATGTTAGATAAAGCTTTTTCATTCCACAATATCATCTCGATTTTACCGATAACGGATTCTAGACAAAACAAAGCGCATTTTTCTATAACGCCAAGATCAAGCGTAGTAAAAGGCTTGAGTCGGTTTAGAAACTGAATCATATGAAAAAAAAGCTGAATCATATGGAGAGAATGAAAGATTTTTTTTCAAATAAAAGAAAATTTTCTTTAGAGGCCTTTAAAATAGACTTTTCCCGAAACAATGAACAGCATTTATTACGGTAAGTATTCATAAAAGGTTGGCAACGAGAAAAAAAAAACCAGTAAAAAAGCTTTCACACTTCGGAAAATTCGGAAAATTGGAAAATTGTAAATATTTTAAAATTGCAAATTCAATTTATTCAGTTTCAGAGTAAATTGAAATTTCAATTTACTCTATAAAATATTAAATTGATATGGGAAAAAATAAATGTCGCGCCGCCCAAATCGTGCAAGGTTTTCAGCACAGAAGGCGTAAACCCCCGCTTTAGTACGATGTGAAAGTGAATTATGTGAAAAAATAAAATTTTTGAAAAACTGTAACGATCAGCGAACGCGTCGCTGTGCATGCAGAGGTTCAATTACTGTACAGGCTTAAGCCAGTTAAAAAAGTTTTTTTTCAACGATTTCTGCCGTTCAAACGTTTAAACGACAAAAACGTTTTTCATCTTTCTTTTTACCTGCTGACGAATTTTGCCTTCGCCAAGCAGTCTTCGAGTCATTATGAGAATAAGTAAGTTTTTTCTTTTTTTTTTTCATGCTGGTTTATTAATACTTAGTGGTTTCCTTTATCAGTTCTGTTTTCCAGACCAAGAGTTTCAGAGAGCATAGCCTCAAACGAAGCGTATATTTTTCCCATCGAAATTCAAGTATTTCTATTTTTTACTGTTTGTACTTCGATAGGACCCTTGAAAAAGTCAAAATCGGACAGAAAACAGAGGTCCATTCTACTCCGAAACGGCTCCCCCAAGACTCGTTGCCTGTCGAGCCGTTTGTCTTGTAATGGGATGTCGGAAATTATTCCTAATGGCTCCCATCACCAAAAACGCAACAAACAAAAGCTCAAGTTATGCCGAGTCTCTTCGAGCACCCGTTTTGCATGATAATTCAAAAAAAAGATAACCATCTTCTATTGAACCGAATATCAGCCTCCGGTATTTATACAGCCAGCCTCGCGGGAATTGACAAGACATCATTGGGGAGTTTTTCATGCCCATTTTGAAGTGATTCCGCGGAATTCAAAGTAGCGGTCAGAAAGTGAGAAGCCATTTCAGCCATTAAAAATTTACTGTTTTCTTTCCTTCTTTGCAATATAACACAGAAAAAAACCCTCAGCTGCTTTTAAGAGCATTGGGCTGGAACCTGGTATTGTTTAGCCGGCATCGGAGTTGATCGAACTCCGTCCGCCAAGAACTTGAAGACGATGGTGCGACTTTGATTGTCGGATTTCTTGACAACGCGGTTTACTGAATTTTCAAAACTGAACGACTTTAAAATGCAGTAAAGAGGATATAAATACAAAATTTGAATCAAAAATAGCTTCTTTTGGAGTTAAATTATTTTTTCCGTCGCCAGAATGTCTGCGGCCTCAAATCATGATGGATTATTTATCACGATTGCTATTAAAATTTGTAAAAACTAAATAAAACAGCCGAGTCTGGCGCGAGACTTTCTAACAACCACATTTTTTTTAAATGTTTATATATCTTCATAGGAAAAGTCGGAAGGACCCTTTATAGTCTGTTCAGATTTTTAATGTAAAGTGCAATGACGTCATTCAAAAACACTCTGTGGATGGCTCGATCTGATTGGTTCATTGCACCATAATGGGCGGAGCTTGAGCGACGACTTGACATTCAAATCTGAACAGACTATACGGGCCCTTTGAGCCTCCGTTATGGGTGGTGCACAAAAGAGCGGATGAATGGAGCAAAAAGACAGCAAAAAATGAGCCTTTGTCACCCTAAAAGAAACATTTCTATGGATCTTTTTTCAACCCTTTCCGACTTTGCCTATGATATCGGATCAAGATTTTTCTGGCTTTAATTCAGTGTTAATAAGGTCATGCCTTTTATTCCTCATTGTAAAATTTTTCGAAAATAAAATCTTTGAAACCTCAATCCAATTCTTCCAGTTGTCAATCGATATTTTCCAATACGCTTTTTTTTCCAGATGGTAATCTGATGCTCCGAACGTTCTTTCTGAAGGAAAACGAGTTAAAAAAGAATTTCTTGGATATCAAACTGCTTTATTGGAAGTTGTTGTCGAGTTTCCATAGACTGGCCACAACAAGTTCTTTGAAAGCTTTCTGCAATAATTTCAACATTAAAAAAAGGCAAGTCGAATGCATTATTCGAATCGTTATGTTTTGACTAATTAGCAATCTCAAGTCGTAAGTTAGTTAGGGAAGCTTTATACAGTCATGAGAACTAACTAGGCGGTGCGCTAGAGCTCCGCTCGGCCTTGTCAGAGCAAAGAATCTTAGACGCCGAAGACCGGGACGGCATTTTCCGCGGGGGTCCCATCATCGCTTTGTCAGCATCGCGCTGTCAACAGTTTGTGCTTCGGCCACCAGAATGGGCTTCAGCGTGACTTTGCGTATCCAATTTGCAAGCAAAGAGGATCGGCACTCCGGGAGTCCCGCGGGCCTAGTCTACTAGCGCTTACAAATCAGGGAACTATTTTAGAAATTAGAAGTTTTTTGGAAGCTCAAAACTCATCTTGACGTGGTAGGAGTGGTTTCTTTAAATCGCAAACCGCTACTCCCTGACATCATTCGTAACACAAGAAATAAGCGTAATCGAAATATTTGGCTATATATTCATTTTATTTACGTGAACATGATTCAGCAGATTATTATTATCTCATTTCATCCCGTCGACTGGTCGGTCTCTTTGCCGCTCTCGCATGGGATAATATTCCGACGCCCGTCAGCCCTGGACAAGCTGGACTCCGTACTGTTCCATTATGGTGAAGCAGTTCATTCGCTGGTACTACCCGCGGTCCCACATTGTTTCCCAACGCTAGCTACCACTCCGGGACGTATTGGACAACGATTGTGGACCGTAACCCGCGCCGACGACTAACTTCGATTATACGATGATTCAGCAGAGATTTTCTTCATCTTGCTCTGAAGACTGAATAAATTGAATTGAATTGAAATTGAAATTGAAAAAATTGAAGAATGGGAAGAGCCTGAATTGCGCCTTTGCATTAAAACTGCGCCTACAGGTTCATGCATTACTTAAGAAAATAGGCTTAGTTTTAAGGCTTCACACGGAGGCGGAGCGCGCATAGCGCGAAGCCGACTGTGGCTCGCTTCGAAAAAAACTGAGCCACAGTGAAAAATTCGTCAAATAAATGAATACCTGACATAAAAGGCATTTAGTTTCAAAACGTGGACACTAATAACACTATCAGGTAGCTCTAAACGATTTGCAAACTTGATACGCGTAGCGAAAAAATCTGTGAAATGTATTTTCCAAAAAAAAAAAGAAAAAAAAAATTAAAGGAGCATACTGTGCGTAAGCGTGGGCCTCGACGCCTCGGATTATTCCAAACCTTTAAAAGTTTTCTAAAAAAAGTAAGAAAATAGAAGAATAAAAAAAGTTTTCAATCAAAAGTGGATTTTCAAGTGTGATATCTTTCTGTTTCTCATGTGACCGGAAAAAGATTTCACGTCGAATCTAATTTTATAAATTGGAACGTAAAAAATGAATAAAATGATATGGCTGCGTGTGCGAATTTTGCAAATGAAGATGATGTCATAGGGATGACGTCAGGGAGTAGCGGTTTGCGATTTAACGGGAAGTTGGTAGGAGAAGCAAGACGGACTCGTGAGGGAAGAAGAAATGATATTTGAACCCAGGTCATACAAGAATAAGTGACACGTTGTCACGTGGTTCACGGTTTTTTTTTCGTTATTTTTTTCGATATCAAGAAAATGACCTTGCCATGGGGTTCACGTTTTTTTTTCAGAGAAGGAAATATTTTTTCTGAATAAAATTCTGAGTCATATGACGTGAAAGGTAGAGCTTGTGGATACTAAAAAAACTTTTTAAAGTTTAAATTTTTATAATTTTTTTGGGCTCTATTTTTTTCTCGCGGTTTTTTTAAATCGTTTTCTTCCTCTTCCAGAAACATAGTTCCCGTAATTTAGAGCTAAATTGAATCAGCAACAGCAGTTTGATGTTTCTATAATATCTCTTGTGATTATATGATAAAACCTCAATGATACATCTCTTGTCAATTTACGTGAGGCAAGCTGTACAATTACTGGAGGCTCCGAACATCAATTATTTTCTATCTCTTCTCATTCAAAAAAATTTGAGATAAAAAAATTTTTTTATTCAATGCTTCATTCAATGTTATACAACAGTTGAGTGCATATGAAGTCTTCTTCGTTTAGACGAAGAATTGAGGGGCACGAGCCTGTAAAATGAAGAAATAGGAAAAGTTCGAATCATAATAGAACCTTTTCGGCAGAAACGGCGACGGCGGCGACGAGGACGGCTCCGATGAGGGCGTAGAAGTTCATGTTGGAGATGTTCAGCGGACTGATGTCTTCCTCCAACTTTTTCCGACTTTTATACCCCGGATTTGATGAGGTTTCTCACCATAGAAAAATGTTTATTATTTGGGTCACTTGAGTTGATTTTTCCACGGAAAATGGCTGCATGAGAGTTTTGTCTCGGAAAAAGTCGAATCGTAAAATGGACTCTGTTCTACAAAAATTGCTTTTCTGATAAATGTAACTGGATTAGATACCCTACCTTGAGTAAATAAACCGAGAATCTTGAAATTGAAGTAATTTCAAACCACCCTAAATTTGTCCAGGGATCATACAACCAACAGTGTTCGAAGAAATTTCTCCGACTATTCAAAATTTAGTTATTTTTTTCATTTTTGAATTTCGATTTCATAAAGATGAGATCTGAAGAGAAAATTCAGTTTTACAATTTTAATTTTCGAGAGCTCAAGATGCCGCTCCCTAGGATCTTCCATACCCGTCTTTCTTGAACTTCCATTCTAAATTAATCCTGAATTTTCACATAAAAAATTTATCGAATTCTTCAAGAATAACTTTTTTTTTCGAAAGTTTTTATGATCACCAAAAAAAACTTTAAGGTAGGCTGATTGCTTTGAGACCTTCCCGATAAGTTTCCTATTCCACTTTAATTCAAATCTTCTTATGGTTTTTTTCACTGAGGTGTTCAATGGTCTCTTACCATACTCTGAGCCAAAAATACCATGGCAAAAGTTGTGGAAAAGACGTCGGAAGGTTATGGCCGAGGCCGAGTCGAGCCGGACCCCAGGGACGCATCGCTTCAGTCGCGTCGACTTCTGCCCCGGTCCGAGTCTCATTTGTCTTCGGCCTCACGTCGGCCCTCCAGCCGCTGCCATCCTCTCACTATCAGTAATAATATTGTTTTCATGCCGAAAAAAGAAAAACAACTGAAAACGGGAAGGCGTCGCCTTTAGGCCTCCTAGGGAGTCCCGTTAATCGTTAGGCTGTCACTGAAACAACACTGAGAATAACTGAGGAGATAAGGGCGATATCGCTGACGAACTCGCAAAAATGTCGCTCTTTCCTCGCGCGGGTATCGCATCTCTCTCGGCTTGATTTTCGGGGATTTATTTTATTTGAGTGCGGGAGTAAAGCGAAGTCGGGTCTAAAAACTGCGAGATTCGTGCGAGGACAGAGCGACATTTTCGCGTCACCGCAACAAACCTCGTTTTTCTCTCGCGCCGGAATAGCCAGTTGTTTTTGTGAAGGCTCTGGTTATCTTGAAAGTTAGGATAGTTATTGTCTATGTTAGAATTTCGGTAGCAGTGAACACGTCTCGAATTTGACACCTTCAAAGCGGTTAAAAAATGGAACCGCGGCAAACTGTGGGCATTTTTAAATTGACCCGGTCTTCTGATGAGTCTTTTGATTTTAAATTTTCGAAAATCTTCACTCTCCATGAACATCTGTATTTTATTCCGTTGTGATTTTTCGCGACTTGAAAGTGTTCTTTTTCTCTGCGCCCTCCTTATCACTAGGCCACCCTCTCATGTTGACTTGATGTTCCTTCATATCTCTGACTTCGCCGGTGAGGGAACAGAGAGACGCAGACACTCGAAAACTGTCAACTTGTAGGAAGTGGTGAACGAACTATACCTTTTCTATACTTTGAGCTCGTTTATCGCTCTTTTCATTTCTTTTAAAATTATTTATTGATTTTTCATTATGTGCGCATTGTCGGTGCGCTAGAATTGAACTCGTGCCAAGAACCGCGTAGGCACACGCTACGCGTCCCGCCCCCTGCCCCGCCTCCCTCGTCTTTCAAGTCGGGAAACATTGACTATAACTCAATAGCTTTTTTTAAAAACTTCCAAAATTGTTAGACGTAAATGAGACGTACAGTTGTACGAAGAGAGCGAGAAGCTCATTTTTTAGGCCAAATATGGAGCTGAAGCCATAGCCTGGCGCTTATAAACAATAAACAAACACGACAAGAAAAGCTCTTGTTCCCGAGAAACTTTCCCATTTCGACTTCTAGGATCTTCATTCACGCTGTTTGAAATTCTTCGCAAGATGATTCCGTTTCGTTCAAATACAGCTGCCTTTGCTGATTTTTTTACCTTGAGATTCTAATTATCGATTTAACGAGGGAAGTATTCTGAGCGTGAAGTTTTAATTTTCCTACAAGTTTTTTCAAAAAATATTAGAAGTTTTGACTGAACATTCGTCATAGTCAACCTGCAAAATTTTCAGTTTTGGAGATAATTTTTTCCGTTGCTGAATATGATTTTTACGCCGGTTTCTGTGTTAAAAGCGCATTTTGAGATTTCTATCGCTAAAACTGAATTTTCGCGCAGGTATCGGAAATCCTAATCCAGATAGGGAGTTTGGGAATTTGTTTTTTTTCATTTTTTCAAAAAGTCTCTGAGGAAGATTCTGAAGGTCTCAACCTGGACAGCTTCCTATTTTTCGAGAAATGAAGGCTCAAAGACAGAGAAAACCATCGAAAACCGTTCAAATATGCTTTTATAAAACTAAAAAATTCATTTCTAAAAAAACTGGAAGCTGTGCAAGTTGAGGCTATATCAAGGAATATCCTGGCCAACTTTCAGAAACATTCCCAACGAACAAGACTTTCCTTGAAAAATGAAAACTATTTTTCTTTTCCAGGATCTCACTCTAGAGGGTTTGGAAATTGTTTGTTCATTTGTCCGAAAATCTTTGGAGGTTAAGGATTCCAAATGGTAGCTTTCCTGAATGACCCTCCTTGTCAGGAAAGAAAAAAGAGGGAGAATAATGAGGATGGATGATGGCGGTGGCCGTTGAATCAGACTACACGCTTGATGTCTCCAGTAGCTCTCGAAATTGGCCGATGAGGAAGGCCTGGGATTTTTCAATAGTTTCCCGTGGGCTTTGTTCCAGTGCTGCTGCTTCTTGCTTCGCTGGACGCCCCACCACTCTATTGATTCCGTCCCTCCATATTTTTCGGCTTCCACCCACTAAATAGTTTGCGACCTCTCGTTTTTTTTTCTTTCTCTGTGTTTTTGTTTCTTTCGCACAATGTCTTCCTGAGCTTCAATCTTTAGGTCGACCATCAAGTCTCGTAATTATGATTTTGAGGCCTGTTTCAGAGGATGTTCGAAACCTCATTTCTCTAGCTACTAATCAGAACAAATTTAGAAAAGGAACAAATTTTGAAACTTTTAAATTTCCTCTTCCACGGTTTTTCGGTCTTTTCCTAATCACAGTGACCTAATATTCTTCGATATGGCCACGAGATTAGTTTCCTTTGTTCTTATGCATCCCGTATTACATTTTTGACGAATTAAACTAATTTGCGAAAGCTTTACATCCCCTGGTCGCATTTGGAATGGCTGGGACGTTGCGGCCGCGCTGCGCTTCTGTTGATGTCATTTCAAAAAGACTCTGAGTTCAAAGTTTTTTTTGTGAAATTCAAAAAATGATTTTAAAATAGTAGAATGTAAGTATGGTATTGCCAGGCAAAACCATTCTTTGTTTATTTTTCCGGAGTTTTTAAAAATCTCGTCTCACGTCTTTTTGAGAGCTCATTGTGGGCTCAAGCCACGCCTCCTCTATTTGATCTCATTGTCTAGCGACTCTGAAAAAAAAGCGGAAAGTACCTTTTTCCAGACTCTCTGATTCAAGTAAATACCAAAAGGTTATTAAGAAAAAAGTGCTTAATTTTCTAATTTTTCTGAAAATTTTTTTACAATACTGTAAAGCTTTTTTCAGTCATTTTTCCGCAGTTTTTCTGGGTTTTCAAAATTTTTTGAACGTATTTATATTTTTTGGATTCTTCGTTTAAACCTTTATCAAATAGATTGTAAGTGTCTATACTGATTTCAAAGTTATATATAGAGATTTCTAGAGAAACGTGTGGAAAAAATCCTGACAAAAATTTAATTATGTCTATTAATGAATAACAAGTTTTTCAATAAGAGAAAATTGGAAAAGACCCGACGAAAAAAATTTGAAGCTCAAAGTTGAAATATTTTTTCAGAGCTCTTTTTTCAAAGAATCAGGGTAGGCTTAGACTGAAATGCTCCCAGTGCTAATTGCCACGTGTTTTCTTGGGAAGAAACATAAACCATTTGGAAGGATCCCTCGTTCTTCCAAGGTCCAGGGAGGAAACGAGGCGTGCGTGTTTCTGCAAGTCAACTAACGAACCGGCCAGCCAAAATGCGCTGCCAATCGGTGCGAAAAGTCCAAACGGATCATTTCTCGGCGAATTTTCACTCCTTTCGAGAAAAATTGAGCTGTCCCAGCAGATCCGATCGCCCAAAGGAAAAAAAGTCGCGTGCTCTTTTTTTTCGGCTTTCTCATCGCCAATTCATTGTTTTGGTGCTTAAGGCTGATGAATATGAGATGACGCGTCGATTTTCGCGGTCATTTCTCAGCTTTGACTAATTGGTCTTTTTAAGTTTGTCTTCTGGAATGATCTAAACTATCATCCGAAGTGAAGAACGGAGTAAATTGTCTTTGATAAAGCTCATGTGTTGCTCATGTTAGCCTTAGATGCTTAGCTCGTGGCCGCATCCGGTTCCAAGTGCTACCTGATCCAATCCGATATTGTTTTTTTAAAGTTTGAAACTGATTTTTAAAAAAAGCTATTAAAATGAACTTTTTTTAGAAACTAGGAAAGCTTACGAGCTGAAATAAGCTAGTCAGAGACTTTTTCAAATGTTTTTTTGCAGAAATTAGCCTCAAAAAAACCTCTAAATCACTTTAAACAAAAAAATAGCTTTTTCATGAGGATGCACGGTCTAAATAAGTCTAACCGTTCTTTTTGCTCTCATTTAGAATATCTAGTCAAAATTTTGAGCCTCTTTGCCATTTTTCCTCGCTGTCAAATGACGGATCAGCTGGCTAACATGAGGAACAGAGGGAAATGCTCAAGGTGACGAAATGATAAAGCGACGCGGACGGCTGGAGATGCCAATGATTGAGCCACGGCGGAAATAGCGCCGTCGCGGCGGAGAGCTCCGCATTTTACACCCGTTTTGCGTTGTTTTTTGCTCCGCCGGTTCGTCGGTGGTTCGTTTGCGGCTTCATCTCTCCGTGACTACTGATTGATTGGTTGCAATTCGGCCTCGCCCCCTCTTTGATCTCGTCGTTCCGATTTCCCAGTCAAGAACTGTCCGAATCAGAGGCTCAAGAACTGGTCCAGCAAGTAGAAATGACCGGTATTCCTTTCATCTCTGGAAAATTTGTTCGAAGCAACATCCATTTTTGGTCTTTTCCTGTTATTAAATCTATGAAAAGTTAGACCCAGTTCGAATATTTCTGAACAGCTTCAGCTTCAAAAAAAAAATCTTCCCCTACTTAAAATAATTTGAGCCGTTTGGTACCTCTTTTGCTGACAGTCTGGCTTGTCGACCCTTTCTTGGCAAGATCAAAAAACAAAAAAGTTTGTACGGGAACGTGAAAGATCGAGAGGGAGCAGACAGGTCAGACTGTTTCATCTCACGGCGATAAAAGTATTTCGAAAAAGCTGCGATTCTGAGATTCTTTTTTTCGCAAGATGTCCGTCTTTTTATCAAGGTACTTGGAAATCGCAATTTTTGATTTTTCGCTTAACTCTGAACCATTCTTTTCTTAAATCGAGCAAAATAACATTTATGGATATAATTTTGAATTGCAATTTTTTTCACGTCCATATTGAAGATTGAAGTCGATTTGGCTAAGTCAGGACATTTTGAATCAAATCTTGAACTCAAATAGCTTTTAACAAAATTAGGGACTTATTCCAAAACGTATCAAATAATGGACTGTTCTGAGCGATTCCCCTGCTTTGACTTCCAAAATATTCAGATGTCCACTTCTATCGAACAAAAAT